GAAGGAGAAGAAGAGAAAGCGAAGTCGATCATAAAAGAAAGACAAAAAAAAATAAAAAAGTAAAAAATCTAAGGAAAGAAAGTCTAAGGAGAGAGAAAAGTCAGAGAAAAAGAAATCAAATAAGAAATCGGAAAAGAAGAAAAAAAAAGACAAAGAGAGAGAAAAAGAAAAGGATAAAGAAAAGGATAAAGAGAAGGAGAAAGAGAAGGATAAAGAAAAAGATAACAATAAGGTTGATGCATAAAAATAAGGTGAGGAAGTAGAAACCAAAGAAGTAATCAAAAAATTTATATTCCACTTTAGCAAAGAATTGCGAGATTAAAATAAGAAAGAAGAAAAAGATCCAGATCTAATTCTGCTGTCAAACATTATTAAAAATAAATACTTGCCAACAATCCTGTAGCTAAATCAAGTACTCAAAGTTTCTCTTATCTTAATTAGATGCTCTTGGCTATGATAAATAGGATTGCTTTTGGGATGGGTTTACTTGGGTACCTAAAACTAATTTGCACGACAAAGTGAGAGAAGATAAAGAAAAAGTAATGTCATTGACTAGTAGAATGAGAAGAATTCAAATATGCAATATACCGACAGGTTTAACTAATCGAGATCTCTATGCTGAATTGAGCAGATTTATGAATAGAAATTACTTAAATGACGTTGGCAATGCTAAACCCATTCTTTATTGTCACCTAAACGAAAAAGATCGAACTTGCACTCTAGAATTATCATCTGTTGAAGAATCAAATAGAATGCTCAAATTGGAGGAAATCAAATTACTGGATGAATCATGTAAAATTTTCAGATTAGGCGACAGTCTCTATGGTATTTTATAAAATTATATTTTATTCAGGTTAATCGGTTAATCAATCATAATTAGTTTAATAAGCTCATAATATGGCCTAAGCATAAGCAGCCGCATATCTTGCTTTAAAATCACTAGGATATGCCAGAGGATAGAGGGAAGAAGATGAAATTCTGGGCTTAGGCAGGTATCCCATCCAGGATTATAAAGGTTGGAAATTTCTTAAATGTTGCTATGGCAATAAAATCTAAATAAAAATGAATGGAATGAAATGCGAGAAGATTTAACTTGAAGGCTTTTCATAATATGGTCATATAGAAGATGATTTCTTTTTGTTAAACCTTTTTAAGCAGGTCTTGGGGAGGTAATTGTGTCAATTAACCACTTTAGCCGAAGCAGGCTCTCTTTTTCTAGTTTATACAACTATTGAAGATGCCTAACGCACGGTAATATCGATGACTGGTATAACATATAATTAGAGAGCACTCAAAATTATATTTATTAACGAATAAACCTATATTAGAAGTTACATCCCATTAAAATTAAAGTAATAACCTGAAATTGAAGAACCACAAATAAATCAAGAAAATGACAATTATGATAATGAACCATTTGAAGATTAAGAAGACTATTTGGATTAAATGGATAATAAAGTTTTAGAGAATAATAATAATAAAGATAATTGATAATTTATATATTTAATATTTTGTGTGGGAATCAAATCAATAAATTATATTGTCATATTAAGTTTTCAGTTACTTTTAATTATTTGGTTCTACTAAAATCTCCTTATTGTAATCATAATCAATAATTCTATGTCATTTTTATAACCAATTGCAATTTGTGTAATGAAATATACTAACATAACTAAATTGTATCATATATATTTATTTTGATAATCAAATCTCAATCTTCTTAACCTTCTCTCCAAGTTCTGGGACTTCTTAAGCAATTACTTTAAGTTTGTCTTTATTCTATAGCAACTCAGCTGTGTTCATTTTAGTTGTTTTCTTCTTAATTTTACTTTACTTTTCTTCAATTTGACTCTTTAGTATATCTGCATGTCTTAAATTTACTTCTTTAATATACTAATTAAAATTCTAAATATCAATACATCAAATTTTTTTTTCTCATGATCATTGTAATTATTCAAATCCTACTTCCAGATTTCAGCTTATCTCTTATTTAATTCCTCTTCTTCTTCTTGTCTTCTCTTTTTTTCCTCTATTTAAGAATTCAAGAATGACCTTAATTATTATCTTTAATCCAATTGCTTTATCTTTTTCTTTTCCTCTTCAATTTTCTCCCTTTCATTTTACGCTATAATATTCCTTAACATTTTGTCATCTTCCTATCTAATCAATTCCTTTTAATCTCTCACAACACCTTCAGCAAACATCCCCATAACTTTCTTCATCTTTTCCTCTCTCTGTTTCCTTTCCAAATCTCTTTGTTCTTCTAATTAATTTTGCAAATTAATGTATTGTTATTACATTTAAGTTTCAGCCTCCTTCTCTAATTTAGCATCTTCTAAAGCCTTCTTTCTATATTCCTCATTCTCCTTCATCATTCTCAAGAATCTTTCTCTCTCCTTGTTCCTTCTATTAAGTTATTCTCTCTATTCTAATTCCAATTCCTCTCTAATCTTTTTAACAAGTAAACCATCTAACTCCTTCTCCTTCTTTTGTTCTACTTTTCTAGATAATATCTTTTTCATTTTTATACTTTCTTTGCTATTCATCTCTAACCTATTTGTCTCTCTATAATTTTTCATTAAATATTTTGCTTTTAAGATTATCTTGTTTCTCTTTTTCTCTCTAATCATAGACATTTAATTAATAATGATGTAATTTCACATAAGCATCTTCATCCTAAAACTCCTCTTATTTTTTATTTTATTTCTCATCAATTTACCTATCCAATTCATTCTTTATCTTCTTTTTGAATTCCTGTTTCCTTACATTCTCCAGTTCCTTCTCCTTCTTATATAATTCAGTGTCAAACTTAACTAACGTAGCCCATTCATCATCCTCATCGCCTTCCATCATATACACAGATTTCGGAGCCTTATTACATCATACATATAAATTGATACTTTGGATGATATTTCAGAGTGCGCATCTTAGTTATATTATTACACTTATTATTGTTATAATTGTTATTTATTTGATTTTCTAGATTGACTGCTAGGAGGCTTTTACTATGGAACATGCTGTGCTTGCTGTTGTTGAGTGACTTAAATTATTCACATCAATGCAATACCTTATGATTCCTATATTGATTTTTCAGCCTAGGATTGCGTTGTTGATCCTACATTTTGAATTGCTTATTAAACTTATTATTTAAGAGTCTTCAAAGTCACGTCAGTGACTCTGGTTTTTGTAAAATAATCATTCACTATTTAAGTAATTATCTATTCTCTATTATGTAAGTTACTTATATTTTTGTTTTGTTGCTCTTACCGAAATCTTTAATAAATCTTTCCAAAACCGTCTGCTTTAACTATTCCCTTTACTACTGTATTAGTGCCTTATCGATAGTTTCCTTCTTCTTCGATTCATTAGTCACAGTGCTCATAATTATAATTAATAAAATTAATTAATAACTCATCTATTTACGTACATGTTTATCAATATAAGAAGTCTTTTATTTGCTCGCATATCTATTTATATTCACCTAACTCTTATCTGAAATCCTCAAACATATAGAATCGAACAATTCTTTCAAAAAAAATAGATTTTATTTCCAAGAATAGCAAATATTTAATAAGAAGATGGAAGATCTAATTGAATTATGGCATATTAATTATAACATCTTAAGTAAGAATACCGAAATAATAATTTTATTTCAATAATTCATGTCTCAAATCAATGTCTATTTATAAATTTGTTAACTAATTGTAATCGTTTGACCGCATTGGAAGTATCTCTAATACATCCGCTTATAGAAAAATTTAGGTTTAGTAAAGTTACTTTCGTTTGTAGATCAAATAAAAACTTATCATTGATTGCATAAGTATAGATTAATAATTAAATCATGAAATATCTTTATCTTCAATGCTATGTAATTTATTTTATTGTAAAATCTCTTCCTTATATTTATTTTTAAGGATTATTTTATAAAAAATCCTTAATAGTATTTATAATTCAAATTAATTGTTTTTTGGAATATAAAAATCAGAGTCAATTGATTTAATACATCATCTAGATTATTTATTTAAATTTATTATATAATGTATTTTCCTCTAAATTTAAGAAGCTTTATCTGAAATTTCATATTATTTTTGTAATCATATTTTACCTACAAAATATCTTCTACCTTTTCCTCCTCTAATATAAAAATTTTTTTTAGAGTAAATTTCTACTTTTTATATATTACCAGTCGATACTAAAATATTAATACTCAATCAAATTAGTTATGAGATTCTCAAATTATCTTAATTGTTGATTATATTGTTTGGTTTATAAAAAATTTCTATTGAATTTTCTAATTTCAATTAAATCTGTTGCAAATTTTAAAATTATGGACTAGAGACTGCCTCATGTAATAATTAATTAGATACAAATTAAAATTTAAAATATTAGCATTTATATGTATTCTTTATTAATATTGACATTTAATTAATTAATGAGGAATTATATCACGATAACACAAGATAATAATGTTAGACAATATCCAAGATTACTTGCTAATGAAGGCTTATAAAATTAGATGGCTAAGTTCAAGAAAATTGAAAATGAAGGTGGGTTTAAGAAAAAAGTAGAAACTAACTTTGTTCTAAAGAGTTTACATAAGATGAATCATGAGACACATAGTTTCAGATTAATAAAAGTCTTAGATACTCCATTTATACAAAGGAGAAAAAGTGAATGTGATGGAGTAATTTCTGAAAAAATTGTATTTATCTAAGTTATCATAAGCAAAACATCGATATGAAGTACCCTAAAACAACAATTGGGCAACACCAATTTTTAGATAGAGTTAAAGACTTACGTAGAAAAGCTATAAAGGGGAGAATGAAAAATAAATTTTAGAAATCTTTCAGGAAAATAGATACAACAAAACCTAGCTAATTCAATCATCAACCTCACTATACTATGTCAAAACGTGATTCCACTTATGGGAGTTTACAAGAAATCAAAGTACTCAGACCTTTTGCCAGAGATCGTGCTTACTATTAACGAACATTGGAGAAAAAGGGATCTGATTCTTTTTGTGAATCCCCAAGCACGCCTAATCTTCATATTCGTAGAAGAACATAGAAAATAGGAGTAACACAAAATTAAAAATAATTTGTTTTACTCTAATTGAACAAGTTCAGCCCCAAAAATTTTGAATAAATAAAAAAAGATTCCATACTAAAGATCTTATCAGAAACCAAAGAGAGCTAGTCTTAAACTCATGTTGTTCCTTAACCTGCTTCCATAATCTTAAATAAATTTTAACCTTACATTTGCAATCCAAAGATTATGAATCTAAAAAAATGTAGCATCTTAACCTCTTCTTCTAGAGTTAAAACCTTGTTTTGATTAACTTTATTGATCATAAATAAATATAATTAAGTATCAATTAATATGGCTTCTGCTAGTCTTGCTGTCAAAATTATTTTTTTTTCGCTTTTTAATGTTACCCAACCCAATTGTACTTATATTACTAAAATTATAATACTTAATATTATCCATTGAATGTCTATTTGAATTAATTGAATATCGATCACAAACACTTATAACTTTATCAAATTTCTCTATATAACTCTGTTTTAGACTGCTACTAGTAATTTTATCAAGGTTACGCAAACTAGTTTTTTGCAGTTAAGTTACATTATATTTCTTGGGCTCTCTATAGAAATTAAATATTTCGTCCTATGTGCATTGACTTACATTTAACTCATTCATAGTGGGAGCAAAATCGTCTTCAGAAATCGAAGGCTATTTTTTGTAAATTTCCTAATATTTGATACTTAATTAATTCAAAAATAATACTTGCGTGCCTCTTCCAATTATTCTTTTGCTTGCATTTCAAATTTAACTAAGTATTCCTGAATGTTAGTTTTAATTATTTATCTATATTTATTGAGATTTTTCTCAATATGCGAATCACGTAAGGCTGTCGATTAATATTTATCGGCCCAAAATTCAGTGCAATGAATTCTGCCACTATTAATTAATGGGATGTTGTGTTTTTAAGGTAATAAGGGTTCGAATTTTCGTTTTCGAAATAGAGCTATGGTGTCTTTTCTGTCTTCCAAAGCCTTGTCCTTCAATAGAAACTACAAATTGAGATTTAATAATTAACCGGTAAAGAAAGCATCATGTTAAAATTAACTTTCCTCCTATTTGCTAATTGTTGCAATGTAAATTATTCAATTGGAGGTAACATACTCAATTAAGATTTCATAATTTCAGGATTATATGATATTTCTTCTTACATTTTTATATTAAATTAATATTCTATAGAAATATGATAATTTTTGCAATACTATTAAGATTCAATTAACAAAGAGTTAGTACAATTGAGATCGTTTTATTGGTTACAGAGGTACACTTCTGGGGGAATCATTAAAAATCACTTCTGATTGTTGTTTCTACTTCAAAGGCTTAACCTTAACCTTTCTTCCTCTTTAAGTAGCATGAATTCTACTTTAATCAATGTCTTTAAGAATATCGTTAGTCATTTATTCTGATTGTCTAGCTGTGCAAATGGATGTCAATTTACAAGGACTCTTTTTTTGGTTAGCCTTTCGAATACCATTACTCTCTATTCCTGCCAGTCCTTTGAGATTAAGTGTATAATTAGCATTGTGTTGATCAATCAAAGCTTTGATTCGCTCACACTCTATTTTTGTATGTTTTGATTGCCTTTTAATATAGTTGTTAAATCGTTTACTTCAAATAGTCTTCTTATTTACCTTCAACAATAAATTTCTTTCTAATCTTGGGGTCTAACAATTTTATGTAGTTAGCTATTTTGGATGAAGCTCCTATGAAATTCTTATATCTACCCAAACTAGAGGGATCAAATATCAATTCATTAAAATTAGGTCTAGTCTATGAGAAATTATTTATACAATTTCCCTTCACCTTCTGTCAATTGACAATACAAACGAATTTTGGTATTGTTCATCTTTGACATCTAATCGACATGTATCATTGAATCAAATAGCATAGTTAAATCTGTATTGGTTTCTGCATTACTAAACGAAGAGGATTTATTGCTAAAATACATATTAACTATAATATTAATCATTCTTTTTTAAACTTAGTTGGGACTGTCTTATTTTGCTTGTTGTTCTTTCTCTAGTTGATTTTCCTAATCCTATCTTCCTTCATGATCTTCACTATGTATAACCCAGTTTCAACTATCAAAGCCCCAATCAAAAAGAATGCAGCCAAGGCTAATGATTGATCATATGTAAGTTGAAAGAAGTAAATTCCCAGATAATAACCTAGTAATCCACTGGCGAAGATGCTAAAAATGAAGGACAATCCAAAATTAACACTTTTTTCATACTCCTTAATGGATTCTTGTTTTTTTTCTTGAAATACACCTTTAGTCAATTAAGATGATTTTGATATGAATGCTCTGTCTTTGCATCTCATCTCTCTTGCTCTGATTTCGTCTAAGACTTCTTTGGGCCTATGATCTGCTTCCCAGGTGATTTGCAATGCTTATAAATCACTTTACATGATGAACTTAGTTCCAATAACATCTTGGATGTTTAACTAATCTATATGATCATCATTATATTGATCTATATAAAGTTTGATTTCACTAAACTTGGCATAATTGGTTGGATTAAGTGGATCTTGTGTGTATTTGAAATGCTTTTTAATTTCTTGAGGAAGCAAGTCTATATAAACATATACCATATTTATAAAATATTAATTGAAATATAAAATGGATTTTGGAATTTAAAACTAAACAGATGAATAATAGTAGGCCAACAAAGAATCATCGAATCAAAATGTCAATGAGGGAAATAAAAAATAAACTGGTTTTTGTGCATTTTTGACAGTCGAGTAAATTATAGATTAAGATTCAAGATTTTATACTCCTTATTTCAATGTGACTGAAACTGATGTAATACAAAGAATCCAAGGGACATTCTTGCCACTCAAGCCAGACTTTCTAAATCTGATTCGAGGAAATCCTGATTTGTAAATTATTATAAATTTAAATCTAAGATGGGGCCCAATTTGGATAAATGCTACCTTAATCTTTATGATCACAGCCATAGCCAATTTAAGATAGATAGACGAAGAGAAAGAAAATCAATCCTTCGTAATTAGTTATGTCCCATAAGCAACTGCTTTACTATATATAATAGCATTTGGAACTCCATTAGTCTTAGCTGCTGTTATGAAGTTTTTAGGAGTTGACTTAAGTTTCTTCTAAACTATATGCCTATATGGATACTCAATGTCAACACTATTACCAATAACCATCTTATGTTATTTCTAAAATGAACTATTCTTATGGTTGATAATCGTTTATGGATTTGCTAATTCCTCTCTGTTTTTGATTATTAACCTAAAGGAGTATTAATTTTTCATATAACATTAGAGAATTAGATAAATTGTAGATCTAGAAGAAGTATATTATTATAGGAATAGTTGTGACAATGCAGCTATCACTATATTTGTTTTACAAATTAGTTTTCTTCTCTTATGTAACGGAGTGAAATACATTAAATATTTACATATTGTTGATAATAATTCATTTTCTTTAAGATTCTCAATTTTCTGCATTCCTAAGGGCTTCATCTAGCTTCTTCTCTTGTTAAGCAAAGGCATAACCAGTGTATTTCCTAGTTTTGACTGGCTTAACAGGCAGAAGAACCGATGTGTCATCATAGACATCCTCTTCTTCTTAGAATAAGTTCTCAAATTTATCAGGAGGCATTAATGATGAAGGTGGAGTGCTTCCAAATCTTGACTTCTCTGATGAAGCTGGCTCTTCTGCATCCCTTACTCTATGGATTTCAAAGAGTTATTGTTCCGAGAATATTGACCATCTTGATAATGCTAGATCAAATAGAATTGTTAAAATCAGTATTCCACTCAAAATGAAGTAAAATTAGATATTAGAAAACAAATGTATGAATGTGTGCGAAATGTCTAATCTGTCTGTGAATTAAGATAAAAACATGTAGGTTAGCAAATACAGAATAATAGAGCCAAAAATAGATAGCACAGATCCTATGGAATTCATGTAAGAGAAGACAAAGACCTTTAGATTCACTATTATAATTGCATAACAGAATACTGCCATGCCTACTGATGAAAGAAAGAGGATTCTTCCTTCTTTGTCAATGCTTGTTTACTCCATCGATGGAAATACTGCATAAATAACAATGGCTGATTGTATTCCACCAGAGCAAAACCAGAAAAAGAAGGTGAGCAGAGTCACTTTATTATTAGTTTGATATAGTTATGGATCTAAGGATATATATAATTTGTATACTTTTTAACAGAAATTTAGATGAATATTGTTAATCCAAGATTGCATAAATCATTATAGGCACACTCGTATAGAACATATTATAAAATTGATAAAGCCAAGGATCATATAAATTAAGAGGTGAAAATCCATTATAAAATGAGAACCAAAAGTGTGGTAATACAATAAGGAGATTTTTGTAAAAGTTGTATCCAACCAGAACTTGATTTCTTCTATAACATTCTCTTCCATGATAGAGTAATAGTTATTGTAAAATTCTAAATTCCCCAATTGAATAATCTGCGGCTCTTGCTGCTTAATTCCCTTCAACTCCTTTGATTCCTATTCCAATATTGGCTGCTGTTATCATATTTACATCATTGGCTCCATCTCCTACTGCCATAGTCACAATATTATAAATATTATCCTTCACTAATTGCACTAATTCTTACTTTTATTTGGGTGATACTCTGCAAGCTATAACAGTATGACATTATTTGGCCAATTCAATGAGTTTAATGAGATACTTTTCATCCAAATGGATTAATGAATCACCAGAAATGATTAATGCAGTTGAATGGTTTTAGAATTGAGTTTTTAATAAATCTAAACCCGAGTTTATTTTGAACTAGGCTTCAAATTAATCATCTGATTAAATCACAATTTTTTATTGAGAATCATTTAACAAATTACAAGCATAACTTATATTAATAGCAGTTTCTAATTTATCTCCTGTTAATACCCATATCTTAATTCCTGCATTCAATATTTTCTACATTGTACTACCAACATCATCTTATAACTTATCCTCAATTCCGGTTCCTCCAATCAATACAAGATTGGTTTCTATTTGATCTTATAAACTTAGCAACTATTCCTCCCTATTAATAGTGGTTAAACCTGCTAAGAGATATTTATTAATCCATTCATCATATTGCTATTTGGTCAACTCTTTTTATGCCAACAGTAGAGTTCGTAATCCCTTTTCAGCATATTATTCTAAATGTTACTCTGTGATTGACAATAACTCCTAATTTTATCTATTCGACTTATCAAGCAAATTGATTATCATTGAATCAGCTCCCTTGCACAACAACATAATTTGATCATTCTAATCTTAAACGATAACAGACATCCTCTTTCTTGCTGAACTAAACTCCAACACTTATAATAACTTATATTTTAACAACTAATCTTTATACTTGACAATCATCATTCCATCATCCAACCCTATATACTCAAATCCACAAAACTTTGCTCCCATAAGTAAAGCTAGTTCATCTGGTGAAGATGCATTATACTTAATTTTGCCTTACTCATATTCCACTAATATTGTATGACATAAAGCAAGATGCATAAAATATTCAACTATTCTTCTGGAGTGGTCATCATTCTAATTCAAATCATTGAATAGTTGTTTGTCTCTAAAGTCCACATTGGTTACTTAAGGCATGTGAGTTATCTCATCAGAGTTTAAGATTTAACTTCTATTACAAACATTCCCGTAAGATTTACCATGTATTGATATGGTTTTGAACTCCATCAAATTCTTTGTAATGGTTCCAGTTTTATCAGTGAACATGTATTTGACATTACCCAATTCTTCATTTAGATTCGAAGTTTGCACTTCAGTTCTATGATTTTATGACTTACACTATTTATCATTTTCTATCATCATACCTTGTAAATATTTAACCTACACTAGATACCAAATTATTTTCATACCATTTCTAGAGTCACTAATAAAGATATTGGAACAAAATTAGTATAAATCAATAACCAAGTTCCCCATCTTTCCATTGTTCTAAAGACTATGTTAGTTTAAAGATCATTCTCATCTAATTCCAAGTAGGGAATATCCATAAAATTATCTAATTACCAAAACACTGAATATTAAGCTGAGAACAAGCAAATTACTAATTATCTATTTTAATCTCATGTTAATTTACATAAAAAATACTAGAATAATAAAGAAATTCATCTATGATTCTAATGTGCTTGACTTAGGTCTAGCCTTAGTTGAATTTAACATGATCTTAGTGTCAAATCCTGTATAGACAACCAAGCCATATATCCAATGAGTGTTCCTCAGTGAACACCCTCTGAGAATAAAGTTGACTTCATCTAATTAATACACTTTTCTATGTTAGGCATCGTAATTAATAATTGAATCTCTTGACTAATCTCCATCACTGTTATGATCAGGAGGCATCGTGATTGTACCATTGAATTTATATAGATAAGGGTTGGGTTTATCGTAATGGACAAGAATGTGCTCCTTTTGTAAGAGATAATCATTTAAATTTCTGGTGAATTAAAGTCCTTTATGTTATTTTTTGATTTTGAGGTTGGTTTCTCCATCTAAATTTTTGGTTTCAATGAAACAAGACCCTTTTTCACTTGTTTTGACGACTATCACATCGGCAGGGAAATATTCACCTTACTCTATTCTGATAATGTCTCCCACTAATATTTGTTACCATTTCTTTTCAACCAATCCGTAAGGTGTCAACACTAAGGCTATTCTTTAATTTTATCATAACATTGAATACCGCTTGTTCTCATCTCGATCAGAGAGCTATCTCTTGTGATCTTCTAAAAAGTCTTTAAATGCTGATATTGCAATGACTACAAACAAAGGAAACCAGATAACAGGTTACCCATCAGTAATCGATACTAAATCTATAGTTTCCAAATATCCGACGATCAAAAAATAGATATTTGCCATCTTTGAAAATTATTCCATTAAGTTCAAAGGAAGAAATGTCCATAGAGTGTATTTGCAGGTTCTGATTGTGTTATCTGGTAATTCGTGATCTTAAATATTTGTAATGATAGTTCTATCTTGTTGTTAATGCTTTGATACCTTTCATGTCTCTCCAATGAGGTCTAGTCTTGAAGCAACATCCTTGAAGTTCGTATTTGTTGTCATACGGCAAATACAAGGACCAGGGATCAGGTTGCCCCAATTCGCTTTATGAGTTTTACATGAATTTTTAATAATAATATAAAAACGATATAATATGAATAATGATGCAATATGTGAGTATAAATGCTGGGTTCTTGATTAATATTGGATACACATTTTAACTAAATTTATATATGAGAGTTGGTATTAATTTGCATCAGAAAACTTTGTAGCATACTAAATGTCCATTCTTAAAGACATTCAACATCAATATGACATCAGAACAGGCCATAACCAAATACACTAAATTTTGCCCCTATCTCCATTACAAGGAAATGAAGTAGACAATATTAGTATTTCTAGATCTGAGACAAAGAAGTGTCCGATTGACCATACCCAGTTTTATAGTAACCAATTCAAGGGTGTGATTCAGTAGATTAAAGATGAGGGACGATATCGAGAATTCAAGAGTTTATTACGAACAAATGGCGAATTTCCTAGAGCCATCAATAAGACTCCCTCTGGGGACCAAGCAATAACCTTATGGTGCAGCAATGATTACTTGGGTAAGAGTAGAGAGTTAACAGTAGGAATGTCTCAAAATCCGATGGTAACTTAGGCAACCAAAAATGCAATCGACCTCACAGGAATAGGAGCAGGAGGAACCCGTAACATTGGAGGCACAAGCATCTACCATGTCGAGTTGGAAAGAGAACTAGCTGACTTGCACAGGAAAGACAGTGCTTTGGTTATGAACAGTGGGTATGTTGCTAATATGGCCACCTTGGATACACTCGGCAAAGTCTTAAAGGATGTGACATTTTTGAGCGATGCCAAGAATCACGCTTCCCTAATCGAAGGAATGAGAGCCACCAAAAGAGATAGAGTCATTTTTAAACATAATGATTATAAAGATTTGGAGGAGAAATTAAAATAATTAGGTATTTTTATATTGTACAAAATTAGATATTTAATAAAACAAAGTCATTGTATTCGAATCTGTTTATTCTATGAATGGCACTGTTGCACCAATCTCAGAGTTCATCAATCTAGCCAAGAAATACAATGCTCTTACTCTCATCGATGAGGTCCATGCAGTAGGTATGTATGGCGATAGAGGGGCAGGCGTAACTGAAAAACTTGGATTGCAGAAAGAAATCGATATAGTCACTGGAACCTTGGGCAAAGCATTTGGATGCTCTGGAGGTTACGTATCAGCAAACTCAGAAATTGTAGATGCTGTCAGAAGTACTGCCAGTAATTTCATTTTCTCAACATCCATGTCTCCAATAATAGCAGCAGCTTGTTTGGAGTCTGTCAAATATCTTAAAACACATCCTGAAATCAGAGAAAGACATCAATATGTTGCATCTCTTATTAAAGCTAAGTTGAAGAGTAAGGGTATCCCTGCTCTCAATAGTGCATCCCATATTGTCCCAGTATTTATAGGAGATCCTATTTTATGCAAAGAAGCTTCTGAAACACTACTTAACGATTACAACATCTACATACAACCTATTAACTATCCTACAGTGCCAAGAGGGTAATATCTTATTTCTATGTTATTTTAGATAAGAGATATTACGTATATCTCCGACTCCATTACACACCGAGGAAATGATTGATGAATTGGTTGACTCTATTGAATGTGTGTTTAAGAGACTAAATCTAAGAATGGAATCTTAACACACGGCAGAACAAAGGGCAATCTTCTAATGATAGTAAATTATTTTCATTAAAATATACACAAAAATAACACTAAATTTCCCATCATGATATTAATATATATAATTATTAAATGTGGAGGAGAGCCTTTTAAAATTGTCTCAAGATTGCATTCATTGGATCATCTGTAACATTTACTTCTAGCTTTGTATTTTCTTAAGAATAATTATATGCATGGGTAATCTAATACATTAAGTTAAGGGATGGAATAATTTTGGATAATTAGGCATTGGAAATTCGATTTCTTAATATTCTCCTCAGCTAGTCCCTATCTAGGATGTTTTATTTGTAGCATGTAAATCAAGTGTTTCTGCAGCAATTGATAAATCCGGAAAATTGTATACATGGGGAAGATCAAAGTTTGGACTCTTAGGAAATGGATAGGTGGAAAACATAAATGTTCCTTCACTTGTCTAATGTTTGAAACATCTGGATTTCAAATTTGTTGCATGTGGTAATTATCATATGGCTGCAATAACCACTGACGGACAATTGTATACATGGGGTAATTTTGATCATGGCAAACTCGGTCATTCATTTGATAACTCAGCCAAATTGCCATCTAGAGAAAAATACGAATATTAAAAGAATTTGGGATCTGCTAAATTACCAGAATTAGTATAATTAAATTTTAAAGTCCAACAAGTAGCCTTAGGAGATCAATTTACTATAATACTATCAGAAGATGGCAATGTTTATTCAGTGGGATTGAATAAAAAAGGCATTTTAGGATATCAAACAAAAAATGTTGATGAACCTACTTTTAAACAAATTCCTGATTTAAAAAATATAGTATAAATTGATAGCGGCACTGATTTTAGTGTTGCACTTGATTCAGATGGAAAGTATATATGAATATTAATTAGTATGTTCGCATGGGGTAGTAATTACTTCGGATAATTAGGAACACCAAGTCCTTCTGTAGTTTAAACACCATAGCAAATTAAAGGATTGCCAAAGATTAAATAATTTTCCTGTGGAGAATAATTCATTGGGGCTTTGAGTACAGATGGGGTATTATATACTTGGGGTTTTGGAGGAGATGGTTAATTAGGAACACCCAGCAAATAAGATATACCAACACCTCATAAAATATAATTTGATCAAAATATTGATAAGGTCTCATGTGGTTAAGCTCATGTAGGCATCGTTAGTAAGAATAAACTCTACATGCACGGAAGGGGAAAAGAAGGCTAATTAGGTCGAGGTTCAGAGACTGAATCTCCTAATAGCAGTAGATACTCTCCTTTATTAGTTATGGAAAATGTTATAAAAATTGCATGTGGAGGAAGTCATTCTTTCGCTGTTGTCAACTAAAAATGAGTTTATTTTAATATATTTTGTCTTAATAAAACAAGATTGATTCTAAATATATATAATGCCTTTATTTTGTTTGAATAAACTTTACATATTAATAAATTGTAAAAAAACCATTTTCAACAATTGCAAGAAGATGGTGCTTGTTGTGGCTAAGGAGTGTCCTTATTGATTTAGAATGTGGGTTTGCCTTCTGGATTAGCTTGTGGCTTCTGACTCTCATTTTCCAATCTTTTTTTCAAATTAAGACCTAGTATATCGAAAATGTTTTCTAAATTTATTTAGCAATTTGTAATTACATATATTTTTATTTTCTAATGCACTGGTCTCTATGAATGGCATTTTATACTTTGTTGCTAATGCTTAACCTTCCGATGATTGAACTCTTCTATCTTGAGAATCCATTTTATTTCCGACTAAGATTGAACAACTTAAGGGATTATTATTGCATATTACACTTCATCAGTTGTATTTTCTGTTATAGATTTGATCCAAGTTTCTACATTATTGAATGAGTTTCTATCTACTATGGAATAAACAAAAATTATTCCGAATGCCCCCTTATAATATGTTTGTGTAATGTTCCTAAATCTCTCCTATCCTGCTGTGTCCCAAATCTATAATTTGATTTTCTTATCTTCAACCTTGTTAACATATTTATCATTTGTACAGTGATTGTTTTTATCTTAAAATCAACACCTATTGTTGCCATATAATTTTATGAAAACTTTTGATCACAATATTGAGTAAGGATATTGGTCTTTCCTACTCCTGAGTCTCCTAACACAATTACTTTCACCAACCAATCGTAATAACTATTAGACATTTTATCAAAATTTATCAATAATATTTATTATTTAAAATTCAATATTCATTTAAAATTACTTCTTCCAACTAAGTATCTGAGAACAATTCGATATTTCAGTTAAATATTTTACATCATTTAAAAATTATTTTGGCTCTTACTCTATTTAAAAGCTTTCCGAAAGTGAGAAATTACTAAGTTAGTTATGGCATTTAATTTCGTAATGTATTCTATTTAAATTTTGGGACTTTGTTCTTAATTAATGGCTTTACTTTAAAAATATTTGGATTTCATAAAATTAGCATTGATTATTATTATTAATTTTCTTAATTACACATAAAGATTGAATTGTAATTAATAAAATAATTATAATAATAGTATTTTTAAAAAGAAAAAAGAAGAGAATTTTATTTTTCTGGATGTTTTTTATGTGATTTTATATAATTATAAATAAGACAGTTCTTAGTGCTTAAATTATGATTAAATAGGGTCGACCAATTTAATTTAAACTATCATTAAAATAATATGAACTCTGGATTGAACAACCAAAATTCCTTATTGCAGCAACTAACTCCAGCCCAACTTGAAGAGTGTTAGCAATAGTTGAGGTAAACTTCTATCTTCATATTCTCGATATCATATTACTTCATATGCTCAAATCATATATTTGGCAATTAATTACCTATTTTAGATAGCAACAATTTTTCACCAATCTTTTGAGCAGCAACATGAAAAACCTTACAAATCCCTGGCATCTTTCAATAGTTTTAGGACAATCTTTTTAGAACCTCATAGGCACAGGATCTGTTCAATTTTAATCGTGGTAAGATATCATCAATTCTACATCAATTATAATATTGTGACCTTATAGTTATTTGAATTGGCTTATATTTGCTTAGGTTTGGGAGGTGCAATTAATTCGATTGATTATATGAAAATTTTATAGAAAAGCCTCTAGATGAACAGCAATGCCATAAATGCCTTCAATTAGAATTAGTTTTTCTGCCCATTAGGAATGGCGAATCAAAAGAAAACAAATACTTTGTAAAATCCGATTACTGTTGAAGATGATGACCCCCCTTAATTTTAGAAATGTCAGAATTCGAAATGCAACAACAAGGGAGATCGCAAGACCAAGTCAAAGAAGGGTGAAACCCTCCAATTCTGTGAGAAATGTTCGAGGATGTACAATCGAGGAAATTTTTGTGATTTTTGTGAATAAGTATTGAAAGAATTTCTAAGATTTTAGGTCTATTCGAATGGGTCATATGATCATGATGAATAAGAATGGATACAATGTGATGAATGTGAGAAATGGGTATATGTCTAGAGATATTGATAGAATCATCTAAATTGTGAAGCTAAATGTAGGAATTAGAATATCAAAGAGGAGACTGAGAATAAAGTTTATTATTGTTTAAATTGTTCTAAAATTAAAAAACAATAACAATAATAATAGTTTCAGTAATAGAAGAAACAAGAGAAGACGGTAGAAGAATATCAGCCAAAACAAAGAACCATTATGGAATGCGAGGATGCTAGAACAAGGGAGAAGAATATCAATTTTGTAGCCACTAAAGATAACAAAGTTTAATTCAGTAAATTTATAAATTTAATAATTTTAATAGCATTTCGATTGAATCTATATGATGATGAAATTAAGTCAGATCTCGATTTTCTGAGGAATTCTGGCAAGAAGAACATTAAGAAATAGAATTAATAAGATTCTCCAATCATAAAATAAATTTTAATCCCTCAATAATAACAATAGTAATAATAATAATAATAGTATTAATAATAGTAATAATAACAATAATAATAATAATAATAATAATAATAATAATAATAATAATAATAATAATAATAACAATAATAATAATAATAATAATAACAATAATAACTAATATAAGAAGAGAAAGTAAATATATTACCAACTCATTATTAGAATTCTGATTAGTAAATGAATAGTAGGCCAAGAACTAGAAATAACAAAAATAGAGTTAATTATAGGAATTTAGGGGGTGAATGAATGATATGCAATATATTTAATTGAAATTTTAATTTAAATAATACTCACATATATATCCAAATAATTAAAATGTCTGATTTGAGATTTGATAATAAAGTTGTTGTCATAACAGGAGCAGGAAGAGGCCTTGGAAAGGCTTATGCCTTGTTTTATGGGTCTGTTGGAGCCAAAGTATTAGTAAATGATAATGGCTGTGATTTGGATGGAAAGAACACCAATCCTAAATTTGCAGATGAAGTAATCACAATATTCTATATTTAGGTTGTGGCAACAATAAAGAGCAAGGGAGGAGTAGCAGTGGCCAACTATGACTCTGTGTTAAATGGTGATAAAATCATTGCACATGCTATAAAAGAATTTGGAAGACTTGATGTTCTTATCAATAATGCCGGCATCTTAAGAGACAAGATATTGGCCAAGTTGACAGAAGAAGATTGGGATATCGTTGTCAAAGTAAACAAGAATTTATATGATTTAAGACTCATTTATACGGAACCTATTCTGTATGCAAGGCTGCTTGGCCAATCATGAGAGATCAAGGATTTGGCAGAATAATTAATACATCCAGTGGATCTGGTTTGTATGGAACTTTGGGTCAAACCAATTATGCAGCTGCAAAAGCAGGAATAGTTGGACTCACATTGACATTGGCTAAGGAAGGAGAGAGAAGAAACATATTATGTAACGTGTTGGTCCCAGTTGGAGCATCTAGAATGACAGAAACAATCATGCCACCTGATGTGTTGACTGGAATCGATCCAAATAATCTCACACCAATATGTATCTATTTAATAATATTTTTAAGTGGCTGTTTTAACCCATGAAACAAACAAAGACTATAATGGTGGAATTTATGAATGTTCTGGAGGATTCTTCTCTAGAGTCAGATGGTAAAGAACTGAAGGTGTCTCTTTGGACTTGCCTGTTAAAATTAGCGAAGTTCAAAAGAATTGGGCTAAGATCAATGATTTCAGTGGAAACAATGAATACCCCACTGGAAATGCCGACTTATTCAACAAGGTTTAAGAAAATCTAGATAGGTTGGAATAATAGGCTGCCTAAAAGCCAAAGTTATGAGTTTAGAATTTACATTATTAATATGAATATTTTATGTAATTCATAATTATTTTTAAATTGTATGAGTGTGTAGTTATTACAGTATAAGTTAATATCAATGTTGTAAGGGTAAGTTATTTCCTAAATACATATTGAATTTTGTTACATTTTGTAAAATTAATGATGAATCTCTATATAATTATGTGAATCGAAGAAGGATTTCTTATAATGGCAAATCCAACCACCTTGGAATTATTCTCTTTATGCTATTTTTGATAAACAAAAAGGTATTCTTTTAATTATATAATTTATAATGAAATTGACATAATATGTCATGTATGCAGAAAATTAATATAAGAAAATGTTTATTGATTCAAATATTATATTAATTATGTTATGTGCTGTTGTCATTATTTTATCAATTTAGACAAAAAATTAGAATCTAAAAATGATATGTATATACTATGAAATAGTTAATAATGTTAATTGGTTAATAAGATGTATTTTTAGTAATTTATATAAAATTAAAATTCATTTTAAAAGTGACAGAATGGAAATGTTGCAGAAACAATTAAATAACTACATATATGAGGAAAGAAACATCGGAGGAGGGTAATTCAGTGAAGTGTTTTTGGGATTTGAAATATATACTAAGGAGAAAGTAGCTATCAAAGTAAGAATATATTGAGTTAAGCAAATCGACTGTTCACGAATGCGAGATTAAGTAATGATGCAGATGATGAAAAACGAGATTGGGATTCTTAAAATAGTACCCAAGTAATAAAACATTCTGAAATTTTATGATGTATTTCAAAATAATTAACTTGTTTACATAATTACTGAGTATTGCAATCAAGGTATAAACTGTCTATTTAATCATAGGCGACTTATAATAGTTTATTCGGAAGCATCAAATTACTGAAGATTTAGCAATTGATTTAATCACTCATGTATTGAATGGACTTTAGCATTGCAAGAATAATTGTAAGTATTAATCATAAGAATTTAAGATATAATTCATAGGGACATTAAACCCGCAAATATATTTATGAGCAATGGAATTCCAAAATTGGCAGATTTTGGATTTGCATTATGTAAAAATGTTTAAAATGGAGTTGAAATACAAAATTATAATGTAGGCACTCCTATGTACATGGCTCCAGAAACTCTGTTGAATAATCACTACAGTTTTAAGAGTGATTTATGGTCAGCTGGAGTAGTTTTGTATGAAATGGTATTTGGATAATAGCCATTTAGATCGCAAACAGAGCCAGAACTAGTTTAAAAACTTAGAGTTTATTAATAGAATGGATTACTTTATTATCCATTCTAATGTTCTCGCTTTTTGGATATTCTGATATAGAATATGCTTCAATGCGATAAATAATTGAGATGGTCAGTTGAATAATGTTTGGATTATTTGAGGCAGAGACCATAACAAAGAATGGTTACAAGCTAAAAATATATTCCTCAATAATCACAACATGTACGAAGTGTTACTCCAATTTAAATAGTTTAATAATAATAATAATAATAATAATAACCACAACAATAATAATAATAATAGAAATCAATATTACCCATTTAATATTAACAACAATTCAAAATTCAATAATATCCAATCTAAGTTAATACCAGTCAACAATTATCTCAACTTCCTATGCAGAAACAAATGATTCCATAACAATAATATTTGCATTTTTCAAATCCCTCTCCCCATTCCAGCAGAGAAAATCAGCAACCATTGAATGCAATAAAGAAAACTCAAGAATCCTCTTATTTACCAATGAGATTCCCATCAGTTTAAAGAGAGAGAAATACAACATTATAAGATGATTCACAACGTAGTAATGTAGAACCTAATTAACAAAATCAATATAGTTAACAGTTTGGCAATTTAATGTATAAAATTGCTAAGCTCTTCATCAATACTTAATATTTTGAATAATTCAGTTTAGGTAAAATGTATACAAGATCCGAATGTATGTTTTTGCAACTCAAAATCTAATTCTGCCTATTGCAATGTTGCATCCAAATAGTATATTCCAAATTATATAATTTAGTTTTCACACTCTAATCCTTGCTTACCTGAATGTTAAGTCAAATTATTTAATGTACGATAAACAATACTCTAAATGCCAGATTAATATAAAGAGGATCCTAGATTTATGTCATTATTTAATAACAATTGGGTTTTGGAGAACATTTTCGAATAAATGAGAGAATATAACTATGCAGCTATACATTTAATTAATGATTACTTGAATAAAGATTGCAGCAATCCCTAGTTGATTATTATCCTAGATTATTTGGTGATTCTGCAATAGCTTTTAAAACGCTTTGTTGCATGTAATACATGGTTGGAATTTGATAAGAGAAACAATATTGCAGCTATTGTACAGGCGCCTATTAATCCAAATCCAAATTAGCATTAATGGATAAAAATAAGTAATATAATCCAGAGAGATATTGTTAAATGAAGCAAAATTTTTTTGTTCTGAAATTATTTTACATTTTTTATAATAATGTGTTATATATTTTAAACTCCGATGATCTAAAATCAAAAGAGATTTATTCAAATTGAAGATATCGATGTAAAATATATTATCAAATTTTTGAAAAAAGAAATTTCTTTGATTAATTAAGAAAATTTATATTTTAAATAAATTGTTAAGTAATGATCATTTGAATATTTAAATATTAAATTTTGTAAATATGCACATACAAAAACAAAAAGTAAAATCAAAATCCGTATGGAGATATAATAGAAAAAGAAGTAAAATAAAATATATAATTAACAACTTTAAAAAATTTTTAGAATAATAATTCAATTAAAACATTTGTTGATCCTAAGATATTATTATGTTAAAAGAAAAAACCAAAGGGATGAAAAAATAACTAAAATCCCAGAGACAATTATCATTAATCTCAAACTCTTAAGATACTTAATACCCTTCTAAAATATGGAATGTTAGTAAGATAAAATAAAAACAGTATTAAAGTATGATTTGAGACTCATGGGACATTCTACTAAATATCAGTAAATATATGATCATGATAGCTCAACTTAGATCTCATTATTTAACCACATAATTATTTGTAGATTATGATTAAAAATTGGGTATTTGATAAGGATATGATTTGATACATTCAAGTTGAACATGCTTAATTGATTCAAAAATGGTCTGGTATCATAATAGAATATGTGATATACAGTTGACATAAGTGAGGGACATTAATGTAAGGTGAATTATACTTTTTTATTTAAGTAATAATGGGATTACTATTTTTTTTCATACTGGATTATATATATTTATTATTAATTTTTGAAAATGGGTAATGCAGATAGCAACGCAAGTATTAAGGCTATGCATACAAATTATGTTGTTGTAAGGAATATGAAGGACGATGCTCGTTATGGAGAAGGAAGGATTGTAAAGTAGAAGCAAACTAAATAAGAATTATTTTAGAAGGAAATCAATTTAACAGATGAAGAGAAATATTAGACATTAAAAATTCTGCTTGAAAAAAAGGAATGCAACACATATGATAATTTGATCAATATTACGAGTACTTAAATTAGCAGTATAATATATAGAGTTGTTTTATCACGAAGAAAATCAATTTTGTGGTCAATTTTTTAAGATCTTCATTTTAATGGAATACATACCAACAACCTTGTGTGATATCTTGGAATAAAGATTGGCTAAGAAGCAAGAATTTCAAGAATCAGAATTATGGACTATTCTAATAGGATGTATAGAAGGTTGTTGCATACTGGAATCTTAGAAGATCACTCATCAGGGATTACGGTTGGACTCGATATCTTATTTGGATTAGTTTCCATACGTCAAGATTCTGGATCCAACTTTGAGTGGAGTTCCGACTACTTATCAATAGTTGATACAAGATGAAACCAAATAAATCAATTTGAATTACTTAAGTCCTAAACTCATCCAATCCCTTAATGATGATATGTAACCCTAACACAATCCTTACAAAAGCGATGTTTATTCTTTGGGAATGATTATGTTGCATTTATCAAGTGCTCATAATTGTGAAGATTGTTATGACTTGCAAAAGATGAGAGTGAATCATTAATAAGTTCAAAGGAGATTATTAATTCTAGAATCTACGTTCTCCTCCCAATATATTCAAGTGTTGAGAACGATGCTTTTACTCAATGAGGATTAGAGACCAGATTTTTTAGAATTAAGATCTGAAATGCAATCGATGTCACCTCCAGCTTCTCCAAAAGCACATATACAAGAACAAGAAGAAGAGGTGATCTAATCCAAAAAGACTCAAATTGTTTAGGTTTAAGCCTATGAATAAGCTGTGGAGAGCTTTGCAATCCCTTAATAACAGTATCAATTATAAGCCTCATAACCACCATAAATATTTGTTAATCCCGAGCAAAGTGCTAAATTTATATAATAATAATAAAATTCAGTACATAATTCTCAAGTTCAAGTCCAACGATCAATTCAATTAAGACAATCATAGCAATCAGTCTAATCCAACTAATCAATGTATATATAAAGAAATGGTCTAAAAGACTTGAGACCCGATATTTGTGATCATTTAAAAATTGTAGTATTATCGCTTAATTTAGTTACCTTTATCAGAATAGCCTCCAGAACCTTCTCAGGTAGACACCAATATCGGTAATTAAATAGGGACTGAAGAATTACTGAATCGCTCCAATATACAATAACATGATATCTTGATGCCAATCACATCCTTCTCCAATTCCCGTTAATATGAGCAGTTCTTGCAATCTAAATCCAATATGCCAGTCTCATATGAATCCTACAAAATGGAATCCTCTTTTAAGAATCAATAAAATGCTGAGCCTGTTTCTAAATATGACTATCTTTATGATAAACAAATGAGCAATCAGCAAAAGTTTTCGAACTATCAAAGTGATTTGAAAAGAACTTTGGAATCTAAAAGGGTTGAGACTGTTTCTGAATCCTATCCTAATGGGTCAAGATATGAAGGATAGAAATTGAACGGCATGAGACATGGCCAAGGGACATTTTTCTATTAAGATAATGGCGGAGTTTATGAGGGTTAGTGGTTTGAAAATAAAATGCATGGTCAAGGTAGTACATTCATTAAAATAACATCTATTAGGCACTTTATTTTATGCTTCTGGTAAACCAGCTTATGAGGGAGAGTGGTTGAACGATAAATTTCAGGGCAGTGGCACCTTGTACAATGAAGAACCTTAAGCACTCTATGGAGATTTCGATTATGGGGATTTCGATAGAATTGGGGAGTAGATATATTTAATATTAACAAAGTTACTGGACTAGATATATCGGTTAATTCAATTAAGACAATAAGGAGGGTTAAGGCACCTTGTATCTATCCAATGGCGATCGATTTGAAGGCAACTTCCTGTAAGACTTAATAAATGGTCCCGGAAGATATATCAAAAAGAATGGCTAGATTATTTCAGCAAAATGGTGGAGAAATAAACTATAATAGTGATTTTGATTAAAATTATAGAATATTGTTTTTCAAAATTAAATTTCAAATTTATGAGTTACCCTTATGGATTTTGCTCTCCACAACGCCCCTTACCCCCATAATTATATTATTAGAATCCCATTCCCCAATAAAGATAAGCCCCTTATTCTCTTCCACCCCCAGTAATTTTTTCAAATATCATTAATCTAGGTTTACCGCCCACCACCTGTTGGAGTGAGACCTCCTCAATAACCTTATTATCCATAATATTAAATTCAAAATCAAGTCCCACCCAGTAATTATGGCCAAAGCCCTGTAAAACCTTAGTCAGCTTTACAATAATCATACCCAACCCAATAACAAAATCCAAGAATCCCCAATTATCCACCTTAAGTTTATAAATAATAATAACCGGTCGTTCCAAAACCCCAACCACCATGATAATAAATTCCACCTTAATAAAGAGGAACAGCTCAATATCCTTATTAGCCATAATAATAATTAGTCTAGAAGTAGTAGCCCCAGTAATAGTAACCCCAGTACTAACAACCTGGGTAGTAAAATCAGAATAAGGTTGTTTAGCCTCCAAAATAGCCTTATTAATAATAATATGTACCAAGTTAACCAAAACCTTAATCACATCCTTCCTAACATAGACCTGAGTAGCAAAATTAATAAATTCCATAATAATAACAATAACAATAAGTCAATAAACCTCCTTAACAATATAAATAACCATAATAATCTTAGAAGGATGATGACTTGGAAAAGAAATTCTAAGATGCCATTGATAGAACAAGAGATCTTGTGTAAAAATATTAAAACCCATAAACAAAATAACCTTAGTAACAACAACAATAACCAAATCCATAACCAAAATAAGAGTAACATACAAATCAACCTTAAGTTGATGATAACTAGTTATAAGAATTAGCACTCTAATATGAGGATGGCTATATCTACAGAGGCTAGGGTTACGAACCAGCCACTAGAGAAGGTTATGGTGTTCTAACTGATTAAGACGATAATCCAGTTTATGATGGTCAATGGAAGGATAATCAATATCATGGCCAAGGCAAGTTGATCAATGTTCAAGCAGAACAGATTGATGGTCCTTTTGATTATTAAGATTTAAGTGTGATTGAAAATGGATGGCTTGGATATGAAGGTAATCTAATAATAATTATGAATTAGGTGATTTCTTAGAAGGTAAAATGAATGGTTTTGGAAAATTATAACTTACAAATGGAGAGATGTTTGAAGGCTAATTTTAAGACGGTATGATCGATGGCGAAGGCGTGTTTTCTGCTGTGAATGGCCAAACTATTAAAGGATTATGGAGGGAAGGAGTATTAACTTAAGTTTTTGCTTGATTCGAACATTCAATATATAAATTAAATTTTATGTTATATGATAGTAAAAGTTCCAAGATTTTCTCACCTCCAAAGATATTCTCTGAATTAGATAAGAAGTATCAATCTCTCTATTTATTCTTCTTTTAAGGAGGAATGATGCCATGGATACTGTTTAACATCAACATGGCGAAGTGTAAAATTATATTGATCAAGTGAATGATAAAACTTTGATAGCAATTTAAATGGAAGTATGTAAATATCACATAATCATAGGAATAAAGACTAAATCAAAGATATTTTCATTTGCTTAATTAACTTGAAAAAACTAAGTTGCAAATCATCAAATTAGAAGAAAAATTGAGATAGCAAAACGAGTAATAAATATTATATTCTATTGCTTAGTCTTGAAAATCATCCCCAGATTAAATAAATCATTAGTGAATTATCGAAGGTAGATCAATATCGATTAGCATTAATCAAAAAAGTACTGCTCCTATTATTTATTAGACTTAACAATTAACACAAGAATTGCAATTAAACCAATTTACTATCAAAGAACTAAAAGAACAAGTTTAAAATAGACGTCTCGAAATCAGAGATTGCGTAAGGGATTGTTGGCAAATCTAATAGTAAATTCTGAACTATAAGTCTAATTACACTTAATCTACATCTAGAACGGTAATTTATGGAAATTTATTGATTAGCAAAGAATTCAATTACAAAGTCTCGATATCAGTAGTAATCGAAGCAATATCAATCTATTTATAACTAATGAAGATACACAGACTAACCGGTTGAGTTTATCATAATTACCTCCAATTAAGCTAAAAATGCACTCTAAAAGTAGATTATTAGAGGTTCTTCAGAAGGCTACTTTTAGGGGATAACAATAAGTAATACTAATTGAACATTTTATTTATTTAGCCTGTTAATGACATTGTAGAAATATATAAATAAATAAATATTTTGAGGAGAAGAGTTATTGAACAAACGCAAGAGATGAAAAAGAAATAGAATTAATACAGTTCTATAAGAAATTTACTTGTTTATTGTGCGAATCTTTCTTTAAAATAGTTCAAAAATAAATAGAAAATTACAAACAACAAAGGATATGCAAATTCAATTTATTTTGATTTTAGCACTTCAATGAGTCAATCAATTACTGAGCACTCAAGTAATCCAAATAGAGAGAGGAAAATTTAGAATATTTTATATGATACTCTTTAATAAATAATGGTCAATATGATTGATGTATAACAAAAAAACTAGTAAAACACAACAGAAGAGTCTATGTAATAGATTTAATTGACTATAATAGAATAAAAAATTCCATTTCTTTAGATTAATTTATGTAATTCTCTTCAGAATAGATTTTGGGATTGTTGGCACTTTAACCAAGATTGATGCAGGAGTTGTTGGAGAAATTCGAATTTAAATATAGACAATTGGGAATTCTGTCTTAGAAGATGAAAAATTTAACATAAAATTTTTGAATTTTAATTTGATCTAATATTATAGAATCAATTAGAATAATTTCATTTTATTAAATAACTTACATTGCTATTAATATTAAATTGTTAATTTTGAAATAAAACAATTATATAAAAGTTCATACATTAATAACTAATGATAATGCTTTAAGTACAGATGGTATGGGTGCTTGTTTCTCCTCCATTTTTTTGGTCAAATCTTTAAAAACATTCAATTCTGATTGATTTAGTTAATGCTGTTCTATAAATTATTCAATCATTTTGGTCGAATTATGATTAGTAAATAAATTTTATGGTTTAATTTCTGAATAATCTTAGGAATATGATAGTTTCTTTTTAAATTCTGTATTGGATTACATGTCTAGAGATGTTAGATTTTGAATTTGAATTGGATTTACTGTTTCTTTGAGATAATTCAAATTGCAGATTGTGAGTTCTAACTCTCTTAATTATGTTTAATGACAATCACACGATTTAACTAAAGTAAGCAATTATTAATTGACTGATTCCAATGCAGAGATCTTTAATTAATAAATCTATAGATTACCTTTTGTTCAAGTTCAAAAACTTTCCGTTAGAGAATCAAATTCTCTCTTTAGAGTTTTTGATAATCTTCGGTTTTGTGTTTAGAGGAATTGTTCGTATACTCCCTACTGTTGATTGTGCTCTTTTGAGTAGATTCAATTTCAGGGTTGTGATACACTAGGTTCTATTTGTATAAATACATTGTTTATTCATGTAAGATATATTATCATTCTCTTACATTTTTGCCAAAACCTATGCAATAGCTTATTATGATTAGGAGATGCTGATTTGTTTATTTTTTTGTAAAGTAGACAATCTAGGGTTGATGGGAGATCTATTAAAATAAAGATAATTTACTTTTCGTTTGGAGATGTTTTCCTTAATTTGTCTGAACTGTCACTCAAATTTATTGTTGCTTTTCTAGCAGATAAAATGGCATTTTATTATTATAAAAATAGAGCATTTTGCATCGGCAAATTGTAAACATCACTTTTTTATTAGCTGTTACCACTTATAGCCTTATCCTTAACTTATTTAGTTCTAACAAATCAAATTATTTAATACATTTTATCCTTTGAAACACTGCTTGGATAATTTTTGGGTGGAGTCAAACTAGGAACTCTCTTTGTTGATAAGATGTTTGACGCATTTAGTTGATAGTAACTTCTATTAATTGGATTCATTTAGAATTTATCAATATGTTAAAATTATTAGTCAAATATTATATATAATTATAATGACAATATATTTATTGTAATTAGGAAGGCTTTTTTGATTAAGAATCTTCAATTATGGAAAATATATAAAACCTTGTCTTAATACAATTTTTATAAATAATATGAATTAATAATTAAAAAAATTAGCAGTCCTATTAGTGAGTAAGAAGAAGGACCACACTTGTCTTCCAATTATGCAATAAATTAGAAATTAATTCCCTTAGCATTCATATTTAATAGATGATGAATATAATAATGAACCTGTGGATTTAGTCGTAACCATCGGCGGGGATGGAACAATTTTGTAGAGCTCCAAAACTAGTGTAGGCATGCTTCTAGGATGTTCCAATAAACCTTGACTCCACCCTTTGTGACATTTGGTAAAGGGACCCTAGGATTCATGTGTATCTACAGTTTAAGGGATCAATATGAGGTTCTGAAGAACTTGCAAACTCCATATAACATAGAGTTGAAGAAGAGAATTTAAGGCAGTTTGAATGGTCAATACGTCTACACTGCTTTAAATGACTTTTTCATAACCAAAGGAAATAGCATTCATGTAGTGTGTCTAGACATCTATGTTAATGATACATTTGTGACTCAAGCCAGAGGAGGTATTACTTCAAAGTGTTATTATAGATGGCTTAATTATAAGCACTCCAACTGGTTCTACGGCCTATTGTTTGAGTGCTGGAGGTCCTTTGATTTAGAACAGAGTCCCTTGCATCGCAATAGTACCGATCTGTCCCTTGTCATTATCATTTCGGCCTTTGATTTTGCCATTGGATGTGAAAATCAGTATAAAGATGAATGCGAATTCAAGAGGAGAAGGAGTAGTAATTTGCGACGGACAAGTACAGTATGATTTTAAGAGAAATGATTGTTTCGATATTACTCCTTCTAAAAATGATGTGCGGTGTATGTTTTTACCAGATATAACATAGTTGTTGTACCACCCTCACACCAAGATTTGGACTGGGTCATAAAATTGCAGAGAATGCTAAACTGGAATTCTAGATTTTAATAGCCAAGAGATTGAATTATATATAAGAGAAGTAAATAAAATATAAAATTAATTATTCATTTATTATATGAGTGATTCTTCGTCTTATTTTGACATTTAAGGCAAAGGAATATGGGAAAAATGTGAAAATACGCTTAATGAAGTATTTAAGATCTGAAATTTTAGGAAGATATACTCTACAAAGATATGCTGTAATATCTAAACAAGCCAACGCAATTTTGTTTGACTTAATATGAATTGTTTAGATTTAAAAAAAATGGAGAATTAAAAAAAATAGAACTCTTAACAACTTCAATTTCTCTATTAAATGATAATACTATTTTATTATAAAAGAACCACAAATAGGTTTTCTTAAAATCAACTCCTCAAAATGTCAAGTTTTGGTTTGAATAGATAAAAAATAAATGCATACAAAATAATTTTAGATTAGATTATGATATTGGTGAGCTAATTGGTCAAGGACAGTTCGCAAATGTATTTGCACACATATATTATTAGGTATACAAGATAACAAGTAAGAAAAATAATGAAAATTATGCATTGAAGGTATTCTAGAAGGTGGCTTTAAAGAATTTAAACGTAGATAATGTTTCCGTAACTAAGGAAATATAAATCATGAGGCAACTTAAGCATCCTGGTATAATAAAAATTTATGAGGTTTACGAAGACAAAGAGTTTATTTGCATAGTTATGGAATTGATGCAATGTATTTTTAATTTTATCGCTAATTTTAGATTCAATGAAGTAGTAGAAAAAAAGACATTCTGAACATTAGTGCGCATAAATCATGTTGCAATTATTCATGGTATTGCAATACATACACGATCATAAAATAATCCATCGAGACATTAAAGTATGCTTTCTTCTCTATTCCTTAAGCCAGACAATATCTTATACAAGAATCAAGACACAATTTGTATCTGTGATTTTGGCCTTGCTGATTACTACAATCCGATGTCAGTATATCAATATCAGAGATGTGGTACTCCAGGTTATGTAGCCCCTGAAGTCTTGAGGGATTAGAAGTATGATTTCAAAGTAGATGTGTATTCAGCAGGAATCATATTATATACTCTCTTAGTAGGCAAACAGCCCTTTGCTGCTCACTCGTAAAATAAGGTTGTTCAACTCAATTACCAAGGCAAAATTGATTACGCACAAGTAAAAGCATCAGATTTATGTCTTTCTTTCTTAAAATCAGTGTTATCTATAAATCCATAAGTACGACCTTCAGCCTATGAGGTCTTACATCACGAATGGTTTATCAAAACTTTAGGCGAGTCAAATTATTTTCAATTGCTCAATAATAATGGACAACAAGTGTAACCCATCTAACCCATTTCTAAAGGTATCATCAATCATCTATATCATTTCAATTAGAAATTTAAAACTTCCAAGCCATACAATCTATGATGGATGAAGAACAGGATGAATCAAGCAATAGCAAAATTTAAATAGAGATTCCTCAACCCACCACTTAACATCGAACTAATAACAACGGCTATTATTAGAGTTCTATTCCATAATAATAGTAGCCCTAATAATAATTGTAAATAGCTATAGATAATATATAAGAGGCTATTAAATAAATCAAAATTAAACAGTAAGTAAGAGATTTAAATTACTTGACTTAAATGCTTCATATGTAACATAAAGAAATGTCAGGTATAGATTGAAATTAGAAGCTTTAAAATAGAAATTACATATGATTTATAAATTATTTATTAAACTTCATTTCTTGAACTATTCATTTCCTAAAAAATGTATTACCCTTAATGTAATTATTACTTTTATTTCCAGTGTAAGTTTATTTAAATTGCATTTTCATGTCATTGAATTAATAAGCATAATTTTATAATGAAATCTAATCAGATAACTTAGGTGAAATTGTCTAAGTCTTCATTTCATATCTCAAAGTATGTCCACTAGATCTCCTCCCTCCACCACCACCTAATTTCATTGTATTCATAAATGTATCTAAATTCTACTTTAATCTTGGAGTTGAATTTTTCGACTCGTTTTTGCCATTAAATAAATAAGATATTTGTCTTTGTATTTCCCTCAATTTATCATCTTTGGCTTCTTATCTACTTTTTGGATATTGCTCTGGTTTGGGAGGAGATAATACTTTTAGTGGAGAACTTCTTCTATCCAAAAGTGGAGGAGTATTAAACTAATTTATAGAAAAATCTCCTTAGATATTTATGTATTTAGTAGGCGAATTGTTTGACTTGTAACTATTAAATAAATCTGAAAACTATTATGAAGATCCTGATTTTTATAAGGTTGATTTTTAGATGACTGAAGATTTTAGTTATTAATTTGTTTAAATATAGGATTAGACTTATTGTTTCTATTTTTAGAATTACTATCTATTTTGTTCCTATTAAATTTATTATTCAGCACTTGTCCATTATTTTTCAAATTCTTCTTATGTAATCTAGCCATTTTTTGATATGTTCAAGTATTAAAAGATAGATTGGATCTAGCTAAGATTATGTGATAATTATTTGTTTACTCTTTCTCTTTAATACCATGATTGTTATTGAGTTCTTGAGATAGTTCATTTAACTCAATTGTCCCGTTTTTATTTGAATCAATTGAGTCAAAGGTACCCTTAAGATCTGAGAATTTTGATTGCAGTGTTGTTTTGATCTATTTCCATAGCTAAAGAGTCTAAAGCATATCCATTCAATTGTAATAAAATAAAATAAAAATATTTTAATTGAAATGCTTTTTGGATTAGTGACAAGTTAGTAGATCAAGTTTTTTGATCCCCAAACCAATGATCATTACAATGACTACACATTTGATCCAACCAAATTCAATAATGCTAAAATAAGTGAAATTCAATAATAATTATGTAGTTGTTGCTTATCCCTTCCAATAAAATTCAATTAAAGAGAAAATAGGACAGAACCTTTAGATTGAATTTTTCAACTTAAGTGATGTACTTTAGACTAGAAATCAACAGCTTTTTAATTTGAATGATAAACAATAGCCAAAAGTTTAGTTAGAGATAGATTTCGATAATCAAATTGTAAAAAGCTACTTTAAAACAAATGAAGGTGTAGAAATAATATCAAACAAGGAATTCGAAAGAACTTTTACTCCAACATAAGATATCGAAGATCAATATTATCATTTTCTCAAGAAGTATGAAATAAAGAATTAATATAGAAATGTGAATCAATTACCATAATTTAAGGATGCTCTAAATTTAACCAATATCTAAGCATTTTCAAAGGAAAATTCATAAATCATATACTCAAATATAAGCAATAATTTAATTTGCGATCTTGTTATATCTAATTTGGCAACTAGTGTGATCATTATTAGCAAAAATGTTCAAAACTTTTCATCATTAAATTTTGTTAAGGATAGACAATACTTTAAGTAACTTTTCTGCGATATTTCAATCCGAATAATTAGTGAATAAGGTTCTTTATTTGATTACATATGATGTATATTGATTATTCCAATAATATGTATTGATTTCTATAATTGATATAATAAAACTATTATCACAACTAATCATTGAGTTCTGTAATCTGTTTATATCTCCATTGGTTTATGTATATAGAGTTTATGATCATTGCCACAGAACATGCTATTTCTAAAATCACAGTAAAATTGTAAAATGAAAATGAACATTCCATTTATCCCTATGGTTGTTATAAATCAAAAATACTTTCATTTTTTCTTCAATCTAAAACTCTTCCTGCAAATTACATAGATTGTAGTTATTTATTTAAGAAGTTCTAATTGAAACATAATCGAAATATGCAGATATTAACTAAACTATTTATAAAATAAATACTAAAAGTATTGCAAATGAGATCCCTATCTAGAAACTTAGTTCTGCATACTTTTTATTGGTCTTTCGTAATGCATAAATTCCAATGAGTGTACTAGATATGGACAATAAGATGAAGCACAATCTAATTTCTGAAATTGCTATTTCCCAGGGACATTCAATCTTGAATATAAATTATAAATTACTATAGCACTTGCTTGTAGATCCTTTTTAACCTTCAAGAAAATTTCAGATCTTATTGGTCCACTAATAGTCTTGCAATTCATTGTTCTTCTCATTTCAACGCAAATATAATGGCCTCCTGTTAATGGATAGATGATTAAGAATACTATTATTAGCGGATTCGATCTCACAAGTCCATTTGTCATCTGACCCCACAATACTGTAAAAAAGCAAAATACATAATAAACCCTTAAGATCAATTCATTTAATATACCAAAGCAACCAAATTAACAATCAAGCTTTTTTTAGTGTTTCCATCACTTTCATACAACAATTTTTTAGCTTGCCAGATTTCTTTATTAGTCTTTGCTTAGAGGTCAAGCATATTTTAATACGTGTAAAATATTATTAATAATTTTTCTATTCACAATATTTCTAAAAAATAGCTAACAAAATTCATTTTAAATAAAATAACGTTTTAAATTCAATGTAAATCAAGCATTAAAAATTATTTGGTAAAATAGAATTTAATAAATGCATTATTTTTACCGTCTGTTTATAAAGCAGAATCAATCCATTGAATTTTATTAAAAGGTGAACTCGACTCAATAATTATCAATCAAAAATATCTGAAAAGCACTCAGATTATTGATCTTTGGTTCTACTTTTAATCTGTATTATTTTGACTGAAAATAAAAGTGTAATACTATTACTGAAAGACAATGCATGAAATGAAAATAACGAAGATTATCTGACTGATATTATGTTGATTGCATTTACAGTGAAATTGTATTGATAACTATAAATAGAATACAAGAGTTTCTATCAATTATCAATCTTATCTCAAGTTTTTGATATTATATTATTAAAATAGTTTATAAATAATAAATATTTCTGTTGTTAATGTTTTATAAAACTAATTTAGTATCTCCTAACAGAACCTAATCTCCAGTTGTTGTTCACAAATAATCGATAGGTCAAGTAAATAATCCTCTTTTAACTTAATAATAATACCAACCATAAACATACTATGCATCATCGAAAACAACGCCAATAAAAAATTTAGAATAGAAGTTTGAAGTGATAAAATAAAATATAACAATACCTACTTAAAGTTAAATGTCTCCTGAAAGAAATAAATTATTAGTAGCTAATGAATTTGATATGCAAGTCTTACGCAATGACATCACATTCAGGGAATAAAAGATCATTTCATTACAAAAAGCACTCGATTTGTCCAATGATGATAGAATTAGATTAAGATCTGCTTTGGAGTAAAAGTCTAATGCCTGTGTCAATAAAGAAAGAGAAATTGCCAAATTACTAGCAACTATTCATTAAATGGAATTTAAGAAAACAGAAAGCCAAATTGTAAGAGACCTTCAACTGCAAATAGAAACTCTCAAAATATTTATTTAAGAGAATGCTTTGGATAGGTCTAATTTCAAGAATGAAGATACTAATAATTTGAAGTCCAAAATGAATCTCCTTTAGGAAGAGTTGACATAACAAATAAATAAAAATGATTCTTAGTAATAATACATAAATGAACTTATGAATTAAAATAAGGAGTTGTCTTAGAAGTATAATGAGAAGTGTTTTGAATTATAAAAGTTGGAAATGTAATTGGATCAAATTAAAATATTATAAAATGAACTCAGAGGCAAGGATGAAGAAATAGAAATATTAAAAGGAGAACTCAACAATGATAGTACATCCAATTATACCAAAGAATAATGCTCTTTTGATCAATAAAATGAAATATAAAAGTTTCTTTCTCAGATTAAATAACAGTATTTGGAAGATTCTCCAAAAAGAGACACTGATGACTAAGATTCAATGAATGTATATAGACATATATACAGTTTTCAATCTACTGATGACTTTAATAAAGGGGATCTTTAGAAAATAAACAAATGATTTATTATAACTATATATTTGTTGTCTAAGTAGGATGTTAAATTATTATGTTTCAATAAATTTTATAGGAGTATGTTTCTTAATAAGAATCAATTTAGTTATGATAAATAAGGGATGGACATCAATAATATTGATATATTTGAGATTGAAAAGATATAAATTGAATAATAATAATAAAGAATATTATCTTTAAATAATGTTTTATTTTGATTACTGTTTGTAATATTTCATTCTTCTGGTTCGAAAACTCCAAATGAATCTTCGAAATTGATGGCTTCTTTTAATGAACTTGTGAATGTTTAGTAATTGTTATTTATGGTGGCAGCACAATTTTCTGTTATTTATTAAAATAGATTCATTACTGACACATTAAACATCATTTTCAGACAATTTAGTACCTTAATCAGGTTTGAATAATCTACACTTGTTTGCACATAATTTGGTCAATGATAATGTTAAACCAACAGTTATATTCTAAGTAATGGAAGTAAATAAAATAAATTACAAAGGTGTAAAGGGGAGTGTTAGGGAAATCCAAACTTTCAGAATCGTCGCTCATAAATCTTAATTAATTATATTTATTCTTTATATTTATATAAATAAATTTATATAAATAAATGAAATCGAGAACTGAAATTCCAATATCGAATTAATTAACACCTTATTTGGCCAATTTGTAAGATAAATAGGATAGAGTATTAAGAATGCTTTTGAAAAAAAATAACTAATTGGAGTTCAAACAAATAAAGGTTGTTTAGAAATAAACATTAAAACATAAATCGCAACATTTTTAATTGCCATAAATTTAGAATGCTGATTTTAATGAAAACAAAGACAGAAAATACAGAAAATATAAAAATTTTTATTATTCAGATTAAAAATCACAGTAACAGGAATATAATTTGGAATCTAGAGTATAAGAAATTTTGGATAAAATATGTCATGTAAGGAAAAAATAGATCAACGATTTTAGACCTGAATCGAATCTGATGAAGAGAAAAGGTTATTCAGTTGATTTACCTAAATAGCATCCTTCCATCTTATAACAGAGACAAAAAAGTGTATAACAAAATACATTTAACTACTTCTTGTAGCCAACTCAATTGAATTCTGAGTCAGATTGGCTCGAGTTTGTTTTTGGTTGAGCAACATCCTCACTTATTTAATGATTATCTATATAATTTATGCACTTATGATATGATTTTAAGATATTAATTTTTTTTACATCTTTTTTTTTAAATTATCTCATGCTTCCTATTGTATACGCAACTTCCTACATCAATTATCCATAACTCAATCTTTAACAACTTTATCCCGTTCCAACTTAATACTATAATATGATTCCAACAAAAGTTATGTGTGATTAAGCCTGTCAATTCCCGGAGATTACTTTTAATGAAGAAGTTTCTGAAAATACTGATTAAAATCGCTAAACTCACTCTAAAGAAGCTTTGGTCCTGCAAGAACTCAACCTGTTGCTTTTATATTTGTAGAAGAACATTTCCTTGCTCAAAGAAAAGACTTTTGAAAAATTTGCTAGTGAGAATTTGAGAGTATATCTTATCACTATTATAATTAGAATCTAATATCCATACATTGTGACATACCGAATATCATTAAGAAGAGATACATCCAGGTAAATAAAACTAAGGAGGAAATGACAAAATTCATTATTAGAAGATGTTTCCAATTCATCAAAACTTAAATTAACTACCAAGAAAAAGAAAGTCTTGGAGCAGAAGAAAGAGATCGTCTTTTTTATCACACCTTCTTTTCAAGTGATAAAGAATTTATGAACACATTAGAAAATGGCACTATCGATGACCTCATACCATTTAGAAAAGAATCAAAACTCAAAACTATTAATGATGCTTATTTAAATAAACTTTTCAAATCACAAAAGTTTTCTTATTACTATCAGAAATTTTTAAGTAACTCAATCTTTTACTTATACTAGATGAATTTCAAACCATATGTTAACATGAAAATGAAGAGAAAATTGAGAAAATGACTAAATAAATTTTAAAAATCATCATCGCAAGAGATTACGATGTACAATATTTATCCCCTATTAAAATAGAAAATTAAGTCTTATCGAAGATTTCCATGGAAAGATCATGAATTTAACAAATGTGAAAATAGAGCATAAGAAATCTATTCAAAATATCATTCATAGAAAATCAGTATTTGTAAATATTTAATTAGAAAATGAAAAGAAACTTTTGAAAAAGGAATTAATTAAGTTAGAACACATAGAAATATCTGAATCTATTAAATGAACATTATAAAAATATGGACATCCAATTATATTTATATATATTCAAAGATAATCAAATCCATACATGTGTCCGTTCTTCAGATTTTTTATTTTCATTATTTATATCCATAATAAATGAAAAAAGTGATAAATTGATTTTTAAAATTATTTTAAACCTTCAACAATTAATACAAAATAATAAAAATATATTACTTTATTAAATATTATTTTAGTAAAACTAAGTAATAAATGTATATTAAACCCCAATTTAGTGTACCCATCATACTCTCTATTTTATCCCCTACGGATGTTAGTTATAAATTTAACACCATAATTAGATTGATCTGCTTTGTTTTTCATAAATTTAATCCATAATTTTGAATATATCTGTAAGATTAACTAAAAATTGATGTATATTATATGTATATAAATAACTTATTATCAAATTGCTTTAAAAGGATGATTCAGAACATAAGCAAATATATGGGTATTAAAATGAGAGAAAATTATTATGTTAATTATGATGTATAAATTAAATCAGTTGTTGGATTCTTAGGAATTTGCTTGATTCAAGCCTACTCCTAAGAGTTTTTCCATTTCAAAAGTTCTGTGACCCAATAAGTTAGTTAATTTTCTGAGTCTTGCTTTTTCATTTTTTAATACTTCCATTTAATTGCTTAATTCATTTGTCTCGTTGTTTGACTCTTCAGCCAACTTCCTAAAATTTCTAGTAAAGTCTGCTAATTCTTCAATGAAACCAGTTGAGGTGTCATCATTTATAGATGATTGTAAGTATGATTCATGAATGATTTCTTATCTCAAAATTTGCAATTCTTTTTTATCTCTTTCCAATTCATGTAGTATGTATTCTAACATAATCTAATTGTAATTACTAATACATTTAATTTATCCTCGTGTTCCTTCATTGGCAGATTCATTGAATTCTTTTAGAACAGTTATAAAGCCTCTTTATATGATTGCATTGAAATAATTTAATAATGAAATTTATTATTGTGCACCCAGAATCCAAAGACCTCATTAAAATGATAATTAATATTTATATAGAAGTCATGAATCATTATGAAATTCATCATGTATTTCTCTGATGATGACAACTAGTTATAATAGACTTGATAATGTATTATTAGTGGGCGATTCGATGGCTAAAATAATGTTTGAATTTGATGTTTGTTGCTATAATATCAAATAATTTAATTAATCGTTCTCTTCAATCTGTCTGATATAATTAGACATGGCATTATCATTTGGACTGGATTAATAAAGTAAAATATCTTCTTTATAATGTGATAATACCAGTCCTATCAGTGAATAGTCCCAAGGGAGACAAACGTGGTGAGGAGATTGAAATGTATTCATCATAGACCTTGTCCCATCCTTTGTAATGAACAAGCATTTCCTTTTGGTTCCTGATATTGATTATCTATCCGACACACCAGATATGTTCAGTATCTAGAATATCTAAAGAGTCTCCTAATTTAAAATTGGTGAGTTTCTTTTTCTTTTTCCATTCTTTAAATTCCTTTTTTCGGTTGAGTATGGGTTAATTATTTTAAAGCAATTTGCTATTCTGAATAAATTAATCTATTGTCTTACAATAGATGAATTGTAAGCCTTTCAAAATGTTATGGCAACATGGGCATTTCTTAAATATACTAGAAACATACGTGAGATTTAAGTAAATGTTCAAATATGCAATAATAACAAAATGAATGCCCACATTAGGCAATTGTAAATTTAATGTAGTAATCTTTGCACAATTTACATTTTAATTCATTTTCATGAAATTCTTGGCTTAATTAAAATGCTTGCTTTTTATTTAAATATGTACGATTCTTTCTGATCTAATTATAAACTTCCAGACTTTGTTTTTTTCTAAATTTAGACAAGAATTTGTTTTTAATTTATTAATAACCTGCGAACCTTGCTTCTCGAAGTTCTTCTTCAATAGCTATATTTTATTATTTCATATTAAAAAGTTTGATATAATTATTATCTAAAATATTTTAAGGCATATTGATTTGCAAGTTCTCTGAATAAATATTACCACAAATGCGATTTATGTAATTCTTGGATAAGTAATTAGTTTTGATCAGAAATAATCACTTAATTTTTTAATTCAAAGTTGATTATTTCTTACGGATAAACAATTATTAATTTATTTAAATCTTACCTAAACCACTATATTGAAGACAATGAAATTGAACCATCATAGTAAGTCATGCTAAATAATTATAAATAAAAAAATAACCAACTTTGAAAATTAGGCAACTCAAAGGACTGCTGACACAACTCCAGATTCAATAAGCAGTGGTGAAGAGAACCTCAAAACAAATTACTTCATCAAAAAAATCTCTTCAGATTGCAAGTTGGCAAGAGAACTTCATGAAGCATCTCTTCAATCACACTGGTACATTGAATAGCCTAAGGAAACTGTGGATAAACGCCTAGTGAAATTAAAAAAATAACAGAAAAACCAAAAGGTTGTCGTTTTAGACCTTGATGAAACATTAATTTATCACAAGAACGATCAAACAAAGATAAGACCCTATTGTAAATAGTTTTTAGAGCGATTATCTAAGATTTGCACATTAGTACTTTTTACTGCAGCAAAAATAGAACACGCTACTAATGTAATTAAAATATGCTAAGACTTTAGATGTTGAAACTAATTGATCCAAATAAGCAGTATTTTAAATCAGTTTGCACACTCGACAACATGATCGGTAAAGTCAAAGACTTAAGAATTTTTTCGACTGACCTCAAGGATATTGTCATTGTAGACAATTCTCCACAAAATTTCATGTATCATATTGTACCATTATAGAGCTTAGATCAACAACGGACTGCCAATACTACCTTTCGAAGGATAGAATGACGACAACTAATTAGAAGAATTACTATCATATTTAGAAGATCTTCTATTAGTTGAAGATGTTAGAGTCGAATTAGCTAAAACCTTTAAACTTTAACAATTCTATAAATAGCTAAATGGAAAATAAGCTATAAATAAGTTGTACATATGATGTTTCTAACTTTAATCTATTTATACCATAATTTTTAATTCAAATTGTCATTCTTAAAATGAATTCGGAAATGCCCAGCATTCCTGGATTTAGGGTTCGAGAAGATCTTAGAACTTAGGGTTCAGAGAAAAGATTTAGATTTAAAGGAAAATAAATTATATTTATTAAATAAATGTCCAATAGACCACCCACATAATAACCAGGATAACCTGCCACTACAGCTCCATAATATTAACCATAATGGAACCCTACATTTTCACCTCCAAGAGCTTATTAGGCACCTGTCTAATTGTAAAGTCCTGCTTACATTCCTTAATATTACACTCAACCAGTTGCTCAATCATATGTTGCTCCTCCTGTCGTTCAATAACCTATTGTATACTAACAACCAGTCGTTACTCAATCAGTAGTAGCTTAACCAGTAGTGACTCAGCCAGTTGTCTAATAATAACCAATTATTAAGGGAGAAAGCAGAGTGGAGTATAAATTATGAAGATTATCCATTTAGATACATCCCATATGAGAAGAGCGTGATCGAATATGAAGAAGTCAGACAAAAAATTTAGGTTCCAAGGGAAAAATATGTGACTGAATACTAAGCCATCGAATATTAAACAGAATATGTTCCCCAAGTCTTTTATGATAAAGTTACAGGTACTATTAACATATTTAATATAAGAATATGTTCCCGTTGACAGATATTAGGAAAGAGTCGAATATTACCCAGTTGAAAGACAAGTCGTCCATTAACCTTAGATTCAAACTGTCGCTTAGCCTGTTGTTTAACAATCCTATGTTGCTTAACCTGTAGTCACCCAATCTTATGTTGCTTAACCAGTTGTTTAATAATCCTATGTGACTTAAACAGTTCCTGTCGTATCCTAACCAATTTAGTATGCCCAATACCCTCAATACGCTTAACCTGCCACTCAAACTATCTATGGTCCACCTGTTCCCATTGGAAATGGACCCATTCCTGCAAGTTAATTACCGGCTGCTGTTAAGACTGGATAATTCTAACAAACACCTTAAAAATGAGATATTATTCAAATAAAAATAATCACCCCATCGTTTCTTATTTTAATATACATTAATAATCTATTTTCAATGAGAACAACCATTCAACCACAATGCTATAATTGTTAGATATAGCAAGATTGTTCCTACATTTAATAATTTGTATTAAATCATACTACATAAAAATAAATTTGTTACTTGTTAAATGGGGGCTGCAAAATCCCATAATGATATAATAAAACTGCCACCAGATATATATATTATAAGTAACTGCGTTTGAAACATAGCAGAATAGCATGGAATAATCCGGTACTCTATTAATAGATACATTAGTATAGATACAATGATAAACCAAGGTACGTGCTTACTATAGACTGCAAACGGCAGGAAGACCAAAGTTATCACATGATGTGAGAAGAACGACATACTGCAACCTGATTCAAATGCTTTACCGCTTCCAACTTTAACAATAATGTCGAATAAGTAATAAATTGGCCCATAAAAAATGAAAGGTCGAATTAACTTATCTAAAGGGTTCATCGTATAATACCCTATAAAAGCGATGGAAATTGTTCCATTCTTTTCACGTCCTGCCAATATACCGGATATAAGATTTTGTAAATGATCATCACAATTTGTATTGGAATTCCATAATAACTATATGTCATCCAGACCTAGTCGTTTAATTCCTTTAGGTATTCCCATGATTCTAAAGATAAGCCCATTCAATTTTTATAAAATAATAATATTATCATTTTTTAATTTATGAATCTCAAATTACTCATGAATTATCTCTATGTTTTACAACCAATGATTTTAGATTATTTTTAATCAATTTTATTATCTACTTATAAGGTTTAATTCATAATTTATGTTCTTATATTAAAGGTATAACATCAATCAAAATCCATATATTTATATATTAATTGCATTCCATATTGCAAGTGTAATATTACTATATTTGTAGATCTTCCCATAAATGAATTTTAATGTTCCATTAATTATTATTCATATCATTTTCCTTTTATCGTTTATAACTAATTAAAAAATCGCCTTTAAGTCTTCAATCGATTTTTAAATTTAATTAAATTTTTCATAAGTATCTTCATGATTCTTATTCTAACATTATCTTTTCCTTCGTTAAAATCTCATTATTGAATTCTTTTTAGGTTGCTTATCCTTTGAAATCTAGCCAAGTATTCTTAACTAAGAAAATTCAAATAAGAATGAGAATATTATTATCATCAATTTATTAAATAGAGAGTCACATCCAGAGTTAAAGAAAAATAACAGGTAAACAATATTAAATCAACCTTCCACTCTAATTCTAATAGGATCAACCTTAAAACAATAATTTTTTTTTACATTCAATTATTTAACTATTTTCAATGACGATTATAACCCTACAAGCATCTTACATAAATATCTGAATTTACCATTCACTAGTTTTTCAGGGGAAAATAGTAGCACTTTTATAGAATCTATGACAACGGCAATATTCTTTTCAAATTAAAATCAAATATATCTATACCTTATTGATATAACTAATCATCAAATTTATATTATATTATCCATAAATTCAGTATAGATATTACTAAAAAACAAAACTAATACAATTTTATTATTTATTCATTATAGTTTAATTTGAGCTGAATAGAAAGAGGGCATGTATTATTAATTTTATTAATAAATGATAAGATAATCAAATTCATCTTCCAGACCAAGAAGCAACTTATTTCTTGAACATTATGATTACTTCATCAAGGATAGCATTTTCTTCTTATCTCTTTGCTTTGGCCTCAGCATAATCTGCTCTCTTTGATTCTAAATCAGCTTGAGCTTAATCGAGGGCATCTTGTGATTCTTGTAAGATAATCTTTGATTTAGCTTATTAAGCCAAAGCAGCTTAAATTTACTAACTTAAATTAATGAATTACAGTAGCAGTTCTGTCAGCAAACACTTATTTTCTTTCATATTCAACTTCCAATGATGAGATTTCAGCTTCTGACAATGAGACCCAACCAGCTAATTCCCATGAGGCATTAATTTCATTTTATTTCAAGTTCTCTAATGATGCAGACAATTCAGCTTCTAATCCTTCGAGGACTGCCAATACCTTTTCAGCTAAAGTTTATCCTCCAGTTGATGCTGTTTCCTTTGAATTGATATTTAATAATCTTACTTCTTATGAGTTAGCCAAAGCCAAAAATGATTTGATTTAGTGATCTTAGAATAGATTACTGTATTATTTTAATTTTTCAGCCACAGATTATGCTTTAACTTATGTGAATTCAAAAGAGTCACCATTAATGATGTAACCAGCAACGTCTTATTTCAAAAGTCTGATAACTTCAAGGGCTTCTTAGTTATGCTTGATTGATTTAACAAAGAGTTAATTGCTAAAGCATTGATTATCTTAAAGAGCGTCAATCTTTCTTGCAATTTCATCTCTTCTTGCTTCATTCCAAGCCAAATAATTTTTAGTTTATTTAAGCACCTCTTCATAGTTAGCTCTATTCTCGATGGCTTGATTGAAGAGTTTTTGATTAAGACTTTTGATCTTTGTGAATTATTCAATTGTCCTAATTCATTAACATTATATTTACTAAGCGCCAACCCATTCATCTGTTTCATTCTTTTGATCTGCAGCAAATTAAGCATCAATATTCGATTGTTTCAAATCATTGAGTAACCCAAAAACTGTATCAATAGCATCACTTGCTTTTGTTCCTGTCTATTATTTTTAATGATAATCACTACCTATAATAAGGCAAGGATTTAATCTTGTGTTTTTGAACCATAAGTTGTTGCTGCCAAAGCAAATAACACAACAATAATGAATTTCATTTAATAATTATTCAAAAACGTGCTCTAATAAAAACGATAAAAACTTATAAAAATGTATCCTTCATCCTGCTCTTAATACAAATTTTAATAATTATAATTCAATATTCATTCCTTTACTCTTCATTAAAATTGATTATCCCTAAATGAACTTCCATCAACTTAGGATTTGCTCTATAAATAGAATAAATAATATACATGACCAAGTTGTGATTTCCAATTTGTAGGTGGCACTCCTTGATTCATTTTAGAGAACAATATTCTCAATAGCTTTTCTTTTTCTTCTAAATCCAAATCATTTATATCAACCTTATTAGATTCGAGACTTTAAGATTTTTATGATATTTCTGGCAAACGACTATTTTTCTAATTTTTATTTTTCTTGTTTATTTCATTTTTCACTTAATCGATGGCTTAAAGGAAAAATTACTCAATATCAGATCGTTAATCTAGAATCATTTAACCCAAAGCCTTAACTGTTTTCAATTCCTTTGTTCTTTGATCGAGCAAATGTCTCAAATTACGCAGTTGCATTTCCAACTCTTAGACTTTGGTATTGCTTTAGTGTTTCATAATTTCAATTTCTTTTGTTTATTTAGTCACTTCCTAAGAAATTTTCAAATAAGTATTTACATTTGCGATGTATGTCTTAAGATACTCTATCTTCTCCTTCAACTATTTAATCTTAATAATTTATTAATGATTTAACATTTAATATCTAATTTGAAATAAATGCTTACTCTTTAGCTTATTCTTCTTTAATACTTAAATTTAATTTGTAATTGATATTTTCTTATTAAAACGTTTCTTTTTCCTTTTGGTATATAGATAGAGTTCTTTCATATTCTTGTAATTCGCTTTTAATCTTTTCATTTTCTTTTAGTATGCCATCATACTTAGCAGCTACTTTTTCTTCTGCTAATTTATTGGCATTCCTTTGCACATCTTCAATCTTAGCATTATTGACATTTGTTAGATTCTAAGTTTATTTTAGGAAGTTTTTGTTGGCTTTGCTTTGTTCATCTAAATGCGCATAATCTTTTTTATTCATCTCCTCCTTCAAATCATGGATTTCTCTAATCATATATTCTTTTTCTTCCTAATTTCTGTACATTCAATACCTTAAATGAACTCAACTTTTTCAATTCTTCATTGATTCTCTACAACTCATCCTTATGTCTCATTTCTAGATCTGCCTTTTCTTTTTCCAATTCTATTATAAATATGTAACTGAATTACATCGGATTTTTTCGTCCTTCCTCTAAATAGTAGATTCAATTTCTTCAGTTGTTTATTTTTTCAGGTCGTCATATTACTGTAAAAGAGCATTATAATCACTTTCTTTTCTGTTGATATCTGATTCCATCTTGAGAGTTAGAGCGAGCTTTACTATACGCTTAAATTCTTTACATTTTATTCATTTATTGTTCTTATGGTCTCATTCAAATCGTATACCTTTTTCTATAACTCCTCAATTCTATCCTTCAGAACCTATATATCGATTAACAGATTAGAATGATCTCTATTATTTAATAATACCAAAATAAATACAATTTCTCAAGTGCCTTCTTTTCTGCTTCTGTGAATTCAACTACTTCCTGCTGTTATTTTTTTTTAGGTGGCATTTAAAATAATTATAATTAATAAATAAAAATTAGTCCTGCTCGTATGATTTTGATGACTATCATATGTTCCAACTGAAAATACCAATTTAATAGACACCAATCTCACTTTATTCTTTCAATATTAAAATAAAAGCAAATAAATTTATAATTATGATCAACAACAACTCTTTAATTTTGGAGTACCACTTATATGATACCATTTAGTTGCTTAAGAATAATAAATACAAAAAATTTATCAATTTAAGCAGAAAATTAGTTTGCAATCCTTATTTGGCAAATGATACATTTTACATTCAATTAAATATCTAACTAATAAGGAGATTACTGTATTGTCAACTCAAAGTCATCAAGAAATATTTGTTGAATTTTAGTTCGAAACAATAAACTATTTAAGAAGTTTTAATAACTTGCATGAGTTTGTGTTAAAATTATTAAATTTTGCTTAATAAATATGAGACTTCTTTTGATGAGAAACAGATCAAGGAAACACAGATATCTAGAAAACTTAAATTCTTAAATGAATCAAATAAATTAACAATCAAATAATTTGCAAATTAATTTGATAAACTAGAACCAGACACCAAATCAACAATTTGGATTAAATATTAATGGTAGCAGCTCTTTTATTATTTTTAAAAGACCTTACTCTTTGATTATCTATATTGCAAGATGTCTTTATTAAAAGAGGCTTCACATTTTCTGTTCAAGCTCCAAAAGTTAAAGCCTATCTCGACATTTTAATCTTAATTTTTATATTTTGAAATTCTAACATTAAAGAATTCTGCCTAATTTGAATTATCCAACACCACAACCAATGATGTATTAGAGCATGGATTTCAAATGTTATTAAACTCTTTAAAGGAATACCATAAGCCAAAATCAGATTTAATTAATATATAAAAGTAATTGATAAAAGTAACAACAACAATATTGATTAATTTAGATATCTAGAGTAAATCACAAGAAATCAATGATAACCATTTGGATTGTATTCAATCTTTGAATTTGGCTCACTTTTTAGCCTCTCAAATTTTGAAACCTTTGAAAGTAAAGGCTGAATTTATTGAGTACATAGACTCAGAATTTGAATTTACAAATGAAAAATTCGAGTAAATTTTATTGGAAGAATAGGATCTTACTAAATTTACTTAATTTCTTTATGGACATCATGTCAATTAAAAATAGAATACAAAAATTATAGGCAATTCAAAACTCTAAGAAATGATTAAATCAAAACTCTAATAAAATGCATAGTTTTAAAAAGGCTTTAAAACGGTTAATAGTAATCAATGTATGTATGTTTCACACAGTCAAGATAAGCTGACAATGCAAGATTACTTACCTATTAAAATAAAATCGTATCATCACAAGGATTCAACTGCTTTTTCAAATCCTTATTCTTAAACTTCTATAAATCATACCATCTAAATGAATACACTTACTAAGGAATCCCCTTCAACAAAAAGAGAAAGGATAAACCAAAATGCTCATCCAAGTAGTTTCTTAAGTTTAAATAATGTGTCGGTTGTCAAGTAAAATCAAGAATAGCCTAAAAAACGTCATGTCTCAGTAAAATGTAAAAGAGTCAATACAAACTCAGATCATAAGAATAGTTACTTGAGTTAGTTGATTAATTTAAGATAAAAATCTAGTTTAACAATAAGAGACGAAATGAATGAATTAGAGAAAAATCATCAAAAATTATTAAACTAATTGAATAATCAATAGAAATCAACTAAAGTATCAACAATAGACGAATTCTTTAATAAAAAAATTGAAGCAATTGCATTTGAAGAGTGTCTGACTTTAGATCAAATTAAGGATACTGCAAAGAAGATCATTTAGACTGAATGGGAAATTCATAAGGAGATGCCAGTAACGAAAAGTTTGATGAAATCTATATCGGCATCTGACATCCAAAATGAACAGAAATAGGCAGCATACAATAAACTTTAAGAGTATAGAGAAATATAAAATGTGGATTATTACAATACAGAGAAGGATCGAGCATAAGATTAAATGTAATAAACAAAAGAAGTTAGAAAACTCAAAATGAATTAATAAAGATTTTCAATGAAACATAGAAGTAGCTAATAAAGTTTATTTAATTCTCAATAGATAAAATCTTTAGTTTTAAAAGATACTAAGATTTAAGAATAATTTAGTTAGTAGATCTTATAATAATAAAATTCAACTGATTAGAGGATTGAAGCCAAGGTGTCACCTAGGTTATCAAGAAAAAATAATTCCATGTTGTATAATTCAAATTTAGAGTAGGATAATCGTTAAAAGGGGTTTACTTTAGTAAAGGGATAGTTGATAGATTTAATGATAAAAAATCTTGAATATAGAGATGAATTAAACACTCAAGAGAAAGAATTAAAATAAGTAATAATTTTTAGAGTATTAATAGTTTGTATTACCTAGACAATTCAGAACAAAGGCGATATCTCCATAAGGTGGTGAATTCTCACTGAAATCTCAGAATATGAGCGATTTCAAATCGTTTGCTTATAGTACGAATTCTACTTAGATTACATAGCAGAATTTGGAAAATAAATTACATAAGACACAAAAATAAGGATGAGGCTTTTATTTAAGATTATATTATTTGTAAAATCGAAATATGTTAAATATAACATTATTTATTATTTTAATCAATAATATATAAAATATAGTTAATATGAGTCAAAGTATTATGAATGAGATATTTAAATTAGTATTGATTTATATTGATTAGGTATGTTTTGATGGTGTTTAACAAAAGAAATGGTCATAATGTAAAGATTTAGATAGTTAACTTTAATTTATTAGAGATGCAATTCCTTAAAAAATAAATGAGGCAACTAAAAATTATGATTATGAAGCCTTAGAAAAATAAGTTTAAAAATATGAACACGAGATTCGTAAACACATAAGAGTAAGGTGTTCATTTTAATTTGAATTAGATGGAATAATAAATAAAACTATATGCTGAATCGTTATAATAAAAATTAGAAGAACAAGAAGGTATTAATGACTGTTTGAGCAATACGAAGCAATTAGTGAATGTAATTATTCCTAATTTCTAGTCTTTAAAAAAAGAGAATCAATAATTGATTGAATAAGTTAAACGATTGTAAAGTGAAAATTACATGCTAAAAACTAAACTTATGGACGTCAACGAAAGAATAAACAGCCATCAAACATCACCTATATATGATAAAACAAAAAATCAAGATTCCTATCATATCAAAGTAATAATCTAAAGTATATTAAGAATAGCTAAAGATATCAGACTATAGATTTTGTGGCACCAAAATAGAAATTGAATTAGAAGAACGTTGAGGATTACAGCAAACAATATGCTGAAGTTAAAACCTAAATAAGCAACACTATTGATAGTTCCATTTTGAAAATGCTTTAAAACCGTAGGGATTCTTTGAAGTTGAATGACACTTATAAATCTTCAAGGGATTCTTCGACAATTGAAAAAAATGATTCGAATAAGATTAAATCTTGTATCAATCAACAAAGAGCAGCAAGTTAATAATAGAAAACATAGCATAAATAAATGATGGACCAAAGTGTTTAATAAGTCAAAACCACAACAGAAAATGTCAAATTCGATTTAAAAAACCAAAGCGATAACTTAAGGGCATTTTTGAATACTTAAAGTTTTCTTTGTAACAAGAAGAGTAAAACCAATTCCAGGCCTGAAAATAGATACAACAAAAGTCATAGCGAACATTAGAATGCTAACACAAATTAATAGGAAATATAAAAGTATTCATTAAATCATATATAAAGATCGAATAAAATCCAAAAAGAGTATTTATAGTTTTCATAGAATTATTAAAAATATTTAGATAATTAGCTATGATATCAAAAATTTTCCATTTTTTTTTCAAGTATATTATTTAATAAATTGTTTTTAACTATTTGTTTAGGAGCATTTTGTTTACGAATTTCTCAAATTGTAATTAAACTCAAAATTAGTTATTATTTATTTTATAACCATATATAAAATGGAGGAGGATTTTCAATGTAACATTTTATCCGATAACAGTTAAGATGATATTATATTGAAAAATAAATAAACTAATTAATTGACAATAGAAATTGAATAAAAAATATCATTAGCATAATAAGACTCATTAACAAAAAACAGCAAAATTTTGGATGATGAATTTGGAGTCGATATCATTTCATAGGACAGTTGGAAAAGTATTCCCATTATAGATCCATAAATGAGTAATATGAATAACTAATCAGGATTAAAAAAATAAAATTAAACCTGTGATTTTAGATAAACAATTCAATAAGAATAGAAAAAACCAGATATAACAAATCATTATCTAGAATAATAAGATGAATTTTCCAATTTTAATATTATGCCCTCAATAGAACCCAAAAAGTTTTCACATAAAAAAATAAAATAAAATATTTTATAAAAATCAAAAAGCAATAATAATGTGATTTAATAATTGAAATATATTGATAGTGATAACACAGATGAAGTGGATAGTGAAGATGATTAAAAAAACAAACCTTAAAATAATAATAATTAATTAAAGGATGAAATTTAAGATAAGAAATAGGAAGATTAAATTAAAAGCAAAGAATAAAAATAAGCATGGTTATTAAAAAATAAAAGAAAAATACATGAAAATTAGGTTGATAAGAAAGATAATGAAATTTGGGATTTCTTGGAGATTGTAAAGGATGAGCCAAATTAACCTAACCTATTTGAATAAGGTTTATTTAAAAGGAGTGATTATGGTATTTAAACTACTATAGAATAACTTAAATAACAAAAATTCAAAAAGGAACTGCACAAATCAGATTTAAAAAGACTATAACTTTCATCTACATTAATGATTCAGGAATAAAAGAAAAATGAAATTCTAGACTCTACTTTTATGGAGTTATAAGCTCAAAATAATAATAATGGAATTGAAGATTTTTCTGATCCAAAAGATTTAAAATAAAATTTTGAAGTTAGCAATGTCTTTAATAAAAGAGTTGAATCATAAAAGGTAAATCCGTGTGTTTAGAAACATATTATCAAAAATACAGAAAATAATCTTATTGAATCTTTGAAAATTCCTTAATAATTGCAGGCATCAGATTAATTTTAATAAATTATTAAAGGTTCAAATATGAGAACAATGCATGACCATCAATCCCAAAAGAATCTTTAAAATTAACCTCAATAAGTATTAAAAAAACCTAAAGGAAATGAAATTAATTTAATTTAATAAAATCAAAGTATTAAACAAGAGAAAAGGGACTTTATATAAAAATGTGATGATCCTTCTATTAGGCGCGATAAAAATGTTGATAAATCTCTTAAATTATCTGGAAGGGATTACTCAAACAATTAGAAATAACAAAAATAGTAGGAAGTTAAACAATCAAATATGGAATAATAATTATAAAAGTAATAAAGGTAATAGGAAAGATTTAAAAATAATCTCCAAAATTTAGATGCACAATAACAATATTGTAGTTTAACAGATAGAGAAAAGGGAAGGATGAAAAATGATATATAATCACATACCTTAGATAATCTCTTAGGTTAAAGGGGAATTGAAGAGTTGTTAAATGAAGATAATAATGAGTTTAGATCAATCAAAGTAGAATAGAAGAAGACGGGTGAATCTAAAAGATTATCTAAATTTAAAATGATGTTAGAAAGCAATACAGGACAATCATTTTAGACTGGAAGGCCTATTTTTGAATTTAATAGATTATTGAAGTATTTGTTTCTGAAAAATTATGAAATTCCAGATATAGCAGATTAAGAATAAAAGATAATTCCGAATAGATTTGAAAGTGCATTAGAATACTGTAAAATTTTTGAATACTTATTTTTAAATGAGGCTTGTGCTTAAATGAAATAGGAGTTAATAGAATTTTTGAAAAAAATAGAAAAGACTACCAAATATCGCAAAGCACAAATAAAAATAGATGAAAATGATCATGAATCAGAAGGATCTATCTTTGTCATGAGAGGACCTTAAACGATTTAATAAAAGGTACCTTAGGCAAAAAATAAATAGTAAACAGAATTAGAGGGAAATGATTAAGGCTATTAAGAAGATTAGCTATTTTGTTATGATAATATTAAAGATGGAGTTTGTGATTTAACTACTCACAAAAATTTTGTTGTCTTGATAACAAATAAACTAAAATTAAAGTTAAGATAGATTAATTAATTGCAAGGAGAAAATATGTGTTTTTTTGGTATTCTGATTGACCCATAAAAAGCCTAGTATTTGTAATAAATAAGAATTCAAACCTTTGTAAATAAATAAAATTTCAATGTAAATTAATGGCATAATGTATTTCTATTTCCATTTTCTAAACTTACTACTTTAATCCGTGAATATTAGATGATAACAAAGTTAAACTAAAAAACTCCTTTAGCAGGATTAATTTATAACCCCAGTACATAATAATAACAGATAGGTTCAGATATAGTAGGAAATGGAACAGATTAATTTAAAAATCAAATCTAAAATAAAGATTTGTTAGACTCCTTTTTTTAGTTAGTTGATGAAAAATACAATAAGAGCTAAGCAAATTCAATAAGAGAGATTATTTTAAAAGAAAAAGGAATATGTTTAGTATAAGGACCGGTATTTTTATATTATTTATTTTTTAGCCGGGTACAGGGAAAACGCATTTATTACTTGGACTATTGTCGGGTGCATATGAATATATGAAATTGACAAATAAATTTCCAAAAAAGAAAATATTAGTAATTACGTTAATTAATTTTAGATCTGTACACCATCTAATGCAGCAATAGATGAGATTATATTAAGAATAGTTTAAAAAGGAGGGTTATTCGATTCAAAAGGCAATTCTCGATAAGCGAATCTTATTCGAATTGGTTTACTTGACGAAGAAAACATTCATTCTGAAATAATAAAGAAGGTTTCTTTGGAAGACTTAGCATAACACAAATTATTTTCATCTAAAAAATTTAATGCTGAGCAGGATTAAAAAACTACTGCAGAATTAAGAATTGAATTATGCTAGATTTAGACTCATGTGAAGAAATTAGAAAAGAAATTGACTTAGCATGGCTTACCTTCTGATGAGAGAAAAATAATAAAGGAACAAATTATGTAATTTAATGATTTGAGAAAAACTAAGTAAGAGTACTTAGAGAAAACAAAGGATAGTAAAAGATTTCATAAAGAATTCTATAATTAATTTTGTGAAAAATTATTGAATGATGCTGAAATCATCTTTAGTACTCTAAGTTCTAGTGGGTCTGATAAATTATCTAAATACTTGGATTAAATAGAATTGTTGATAGTAGATGAAGCAGCCTAATGTACTGAACCTTCTAATATCATTCCTTTAAGATTAGGAATTAAAAAGATGATTTTGATTGGAGATCCTAAGCAGCTACCTGCTACAACATTTTCACCCGTTTCCCATTAAACATTATATAACAGGAGTCTATTTGAAAGGATTCTAGATAATAATGTTAAGCCTTATTTCTTAGATATATAATATAGAATGCACTCTGAAATCAGAATGTTTCCATCCGAGTATTTCTATTAGAATAAGTTAAAAGATCATGAATCAACAAATACAAGAAATTTACCATCAAAGTTCTTTAAAAATAGAGTTTTATTCTTAGATATACTTGATGGGTAAGAACAGAAGGATGGAACATCAAATATTAATGAATAAGAAGCAATAGTTATAGTTTAACTAATAAAATCAATAAAAGAAGAATTTCCAACTTAAACAATCGGTGTGATTTGTGCCTATAAATCATAAGTTAGATACATAAAAACGTTGCTTAAATAGAAATTCTAGGATGAAAACATTTTTGATGAGAATACAATAAGTATCAATACTGTTGATTCATTTTAAGTATTTCTACTATTCAATTATTAGGGTTAAGAAGAAGACATTATATTATTTAGTTGTGTTCGTTCTTCTCAAACAGGTGGAATAGGATTCTTGAATGATGGAAGAAGAATGAATGTAGCTTTAACAAGAGCTAAAAATGCACTTTTTATACTTGGAAATGCTATTACTGTATAACTATTTAATTTATTTAGTTATCAAAAAGTAATTTGTGGAGATCGATGTTGAAAAATATATAATAAAGAAAGCTGTATCGAAGGATAGAATCCTATAATTTTTAATTTGAATAAATCTTGAAAGACCAATGGAATTAGAATAATAAAACACTGTCTCAAAAACTTATTTGGTATCTCAATCAAACATCTCAAGGAAACCATGAAAAATCAACATATACTATATCAGATTTCCAAATTGAAGTTACTGGGAATCAAAAAACTAATCCAAATTAGAACCAAAAAATTATAAAGGATACAACTCAAGATGTCAAAAATTAATAAGAAAGTTCAATAAGTTATGACCATAACTATGGTGTAGATTGTAAAGAGAAAGAGAGAAGCACTTCAGAATATTAAATGTCTAAATTGGATATAAGGAATCAAAAAAGTCATAATATTTAACATTAAATTAAAAATTCAAATAATATTAATAATAAATTTCATATTTCAAAAGATAAAAAAGTCTAACAAAAAAGAAAAGTTTAGGCAGATGTTTAGTGGTAGAAGAACGAGTATCCAAATTAAGAAGACTTTGATATAATAAAAAGTCTAGACTTTTTTTGATAAATGAATATATTTTCTTTATTATTACCTTAACGCATTCTTGGAGTTCTTACCATTCAATAAATCTTAATGTTTCTATTAAATTATTTGAATTCATTTAAACACTATAATTTAAGTATCAATCAGATTATTAGTGTAATTTTTTTGACATTTGATAATCTAATTAGTAGAGGAGCATTTAGAAGAACAACTATTAAAAATAACTGATTTAATTTCAATATTAAGGAAAGCTAAAATATACTATAATTAAAATAGACTGTTCAAATTTTATTTTCTTTTAATAATAATACTAACACATTTAATTATAATAAAATATTAAAAACTATATCTTATTTTTTATAATAATGGAGTAGGTTTTATATTTTGAAATTGTGGGGACTTTTAATAAAATGGCTTAAAAGTTTTCTATAGATATTGTCCCAAATCTAGATGGTATTAGCATTGTACAAATATGTTTATATAATAATTATTAGATTTCTTCCACTGATTAGAAGTTATTTGAATTATCATTTTCTGATTAGAACATAAAATTCTAATGGGATGAATAAATTGAGCAACTAGCTTATCCCAATTTTGTTTTCTTATGGATAAAAAAGGAAACATATAAGATTTTTGGCAAGCCAGATAATCTACAATGGTTATATGATTTATGTAAAGGAAAGTATCTATATTTATCAAAGGCCAGGGCTAAATTAAGAACATTTATCAATCAAAATGAAACAGGAATAGTAAGTATAGAATAGTTTATTCTAGATTTATAAATTAGATGAATAATGTAATTCATTTGAGTTATGTTTTGAGAAAATTATAAACTAGAAGCAACAGAAATATAAATATGATTATGACATTCCAGAGGAAATAAAAATTCTTAAGTTAATTAATCAGAATAAATCTCCCTATTTAATAAGACTAGAAACTATTCAATACAATGGAAATGAATTTTCATATTGTTATAAAACAAATAGATCGGACACTCTGAAATCACTAATAAAAGAGTCTTAAAAATTGAAAATAAACTAAGTATTAGAAATTATCAGATAACTGTTATATGGTATTTAAGTATTTTAATATCAGTTACTAGTTACTTTGAATAGATAAAGTTAGTACATAACTAGTTAGACTTCGAAAATGTTTAATATTCAAAGATCGACAATATAATTTAAATCACTAACTTTTCCAACTCATATTTGGAACAAAGCAATACATATATATTGTAATTAAATATATTATTTAAAGTAAAGCTTAGACAAGTGGTCATGCTTCTCCAGAAAGTTATTCTTTTTAATATCCTCTGACTACTGCAACCAACATTTACTAGGTTGGCATTTTATTTTATATAATGTACACAATATAATATCAATTAGGGTATTTGGGTAGAATCCTTTTGGGCATAATTAGGAAGAGATTTAGAAAAATAATTTAATTGGAAAATTTTCTATACCACAATTCAATGGATTAATAATGGGAAAACATAAAAAAATATTTGAGTAAATTTTTGAGATGATATCATCTATGATGTCTGTTCTCCCTAAAAACAGGTAGACTTCTTCATATTATCTCTCATCAAAAATATTTTCTCCAAATTTTTAATAAAAACTTTCAAAAATGGAATTAAGTCTGAGCTCTTACTAAATACAAGAAGATGACACCATAAATGAAGAAAATAAGTTTCTTAATCCAATATATATTTTTAAGACAAAATTTTAATGATCTTTCTTAGAGCTAATGTGAAATTCATACATAATTTAAATAAACCTTACATAAAATAATTATTAAATTTTTATATCAAAATTATTAGAATAATTAAATTTTCTTTAATTTATTAAAAATTCGAAACAGCCTTGAAAGCTGTTAGTTTTTCATGGTGTTAGAAATTCATAAATGGAGCATAAATTAATAGTTGTTTATGAATTTTCTTTAACAAAAAGTCATCGAATCAGTATGAAGGGTCAAACGATATCAAAATCGCTACTTTTTGCTATCAAAATTAAAACTATAAAAATGTGAAAATTTATTATAAATTTTCTTTATTCAAATAAGTAGAGTGAGTTGGTTTTTGAAGAAAATTGAATTTTCATAAATATCATGGCAACAAAGAGATTAAACTTCTTTGATATTATTGATGATTTATTTTGAAATAAAATATATTTAATTTTTTTATTTATAATTACATTCATCAATTAAAATTAATAATTCTAATTAAATATAAACATTAAAATCAAGCTAAATTATATGTTGAAATACTAAAAAGTGGACCAAATTTATTGAGTTCTTTTTGAAACAAGTTTCTTTCTTCCTTTTTCCCTTTCTTCTTTTTATTATATTTTAACTTTTCATAAAAAAAAGTCACTTCATTCTCTGCTGCCAAAAAGAGAGTTCTTATATCTTGTAATATAGTTTAAACGAATGAACTAGCTTGACTGATTACTTCATTTGTGATTGGAGAGACTATAGTAATTTATAATTAATTATCTTCTTCATCCAATTCGAAAAAAGGACTAGATTAAGTTAGATCTTTACTCTTAATTAATTCCTTTATAATTGATCCCTGTTTTTTTGGTGTCAAATTCCATTCCATAAAATTGTAAGAATTTATAAGTAATAAATCCAATAGAGGAAGCTTATCCTTAATGATAGCAACTCTCCAGAAAGGCTAAGATCATTTAAATTATGCAGAAGGAAGAAATTCCTCCTTTATACTAGTCATTTAGTCCTCTCTTTTTTAATAAACTCTTGAATAATAAAACTATTGGCCTTAATTCGCTATAAAATGACAACCATTATAGAGTTTATTCTGTTGAGATTTATCCTAGATGCCAATTTTATTTAGATCCTTGATATTAAAAAAAGCTTATGTCTACACTAAATATACGGGAAGGACTTTCTTTATCATAACTATAAATAATACCATTTAATACTTTGTAATTAAATCAATTTAAGGTAATAGTATTTTATGAGAAGACTCTACAAAGGAGATTGAGGGATCAACTTGGAGTTTAATCAAAGGCATACTTGATGTGGTAATAGCCCTTAAGAATTCTGATTTAATGATACCTTATATTTGTGACCCATTTCATATTTTACAAAAATTCTATTATCTTTTAAATAGGTCCATTTAATTGATTTGATGGAAGTAATTCAAATCCTGTTATTCCAATATCAATATCGCTTTCTGGAAGAGCTAAGCCAGTAGCACAGGATCCAAATAGCCGGACAGTAGCATTGTATTCTATTTTTATATATATTTATTATCTAACCTCTAAAGAGTGAATTAATTACAAATTATATTCTATCATATATTAACCTCCTCATTTAAAGTATTTCTTAATTTTATGTTAAAATTAAATCATTAAATTCTCTGATATCCATATCAAGTTTTTTTATCATCAATGTTCTAGCTTAATTCATAATAATTGTATCAATATCTTCAGTGTTGTTAGTAAAATAAAGATCTAAATTATTCTAAGTTTGATTATTATTTTAACCACAACCATCTAACACTGATTCATCTTAACAAAGACTTAGCTCTTATATTTTTATTATTTGTTATAGCGGCTTAATTAATATGTTGTCATCTAATTTATGCATAATTGGATTTTCTAAAGATTTATTTATTTTCTTAATATCTATAATCACTGATTATGAAGATTTTGTCTCTTTTTTTTGAGGAGTCAAAGTTTATTAAGGAAATGTATTCTATGTATTTGCTTATAATCTATTTCTATTAGAAAAAGGTTGTTTGTCCTTACTTGAATCTTATATATCATTTTTTTAATTATTAAATTAATTTATTTTTACAGGTTTTCGCTTTTAAGGTGAAGTAATTTTGTTACATTAATTAGATTAATTGCATTAATTGTACGAATTAGACTCTTTGAATTGGAGATCTTGTGAACTATCAAATTTTCTTTAGGGTTTCTTTTTTTGTTTTTTTGGCTTTGTTATGAGAACCCAATTATCTTCGTCATCATTCTAAGCATTTTATTCATTTTGTTTGAGTTCCATATCTTAAATGATTTCTGTTATTTTGGATGGCACAATTTAATTAATATCTTATTTATCTAGATGAGCAGTTAAAGAATCGATTTGTTTATTATCTGAGTAAGGACTTAAAGTTAAAATATATGATACTTTGAATGTCTATTGCATTCACATTCAGTACAATGAAAATCATCTTTAGTTGAGTCTTATTTATCAATGATTTCAAAACTATTACAGTTATCTTAAGATATCATATTTTTTTAAGAATCCTTTTCATTTTTGATTTTTTACTTTTTCTGTTTTTTAGATTTCTTTTTTTAATCAATTCCTTTCTTTTTTTCCTTACACTCTATTTCTTAAAGATCTTTTACTAACTTTTCTTTGAATTAATCCCTTATCATTCGTAAAACTCTTTTTTCACAAAAGGATTGAAGTAAGGTAAATTTTTCTAAAGGCAGACAGTATATACCATCAAAATTGTTATTTTGAAATAATTAATTAATTTCTTCTTCGTTTATTTATTATTATTATAAAATAAGAGTATTTTTATCATTTTATCCTTCCTCTTGCAACTATGGCTTTCTCATTATTAATTATGCCCATAATATATCTTCCTATTTGGTATTTTTCTTTTTAGGTGCGTTCTTGAATTCTTTGCATATTTAAGGTATCTAATGAAGGATTTTATATTTAAAATCAACATTGTCCATCCAGTATATTTTAAGATCGTCGTTTTAAATTGGATAGTTATCCATTTAATTCCCTTATTGACTTTAATAGAATCTAAATTGCTAATAAAATTTACATCAAAGCTATGGCTTTTTCAAACTCATTTATTACCCAACCAGCACATGTCTAAAATGTTTTAGGATTAAACCAAATAGCATCGTTAACTATATATTATTTGGCTATTGTATTTAGTGTCACCTTTGGTTAGGAAGAAAATGCTAATCCATTGGAACATTCAATTAACAAATTTATAATTTCTTCTAATGACCCTTGTAAGCAAAATTTATCAAAGATATCGTCTTAATCAATGATACAAATTTTAGAAAGTAATTTCTGATCATTTTTATACTCAAATGAATACCTATTCTAAATGCAATTTCTCTTCTTCATGAGAACGCCTTTTACGAACTAAACACACAACCTTTATATCTTCGTTTATTGAAGGGAATCTTATCTTAGAATAGCTTTATACTTTGGATTTTCGTCTTTTAAAGCATAACTAGATCTTTCAACAAGCAAATCATGTAGATACATACGCATTATAAAGGTAGTTATCTTCTTTGAATTGACAGCAACCTCATTTATTTTTTATTTCTTAACCCTAAAAATTACCACAATTAATAAAATATATATATAGCGTAAGAACAAAAAGCAACACTTAAATTTTGCTGCTTCAAAAAGTGATTAAATTATAATAAATACCATTGAATAAGGTCATTTTTGTAAGTGTTTTCAAATGATTCAATCGTTTCACAACCATGATTGTTGTATTTCGCAGTCAAATATTTAGGAATGGTATAAAGCATGTATATTTGTAAATTTTATAATTTATTAATTATTGTACTCTTTAATTTATATAAAAAGGCATGTCTCATTGTAATAATGATTTTACCTTAACATTTAAATATCTTATTATTTGTATTTAAAATTTATTATATCAAAAACCAAATACATTTATTTCTGTTTTATTGTTATATGTTCTATTATATAAAATAATATTTAATAAATTTGAGTCCATTTCCTATCATTTTGCATGTAAATATACTTTTTAATCATTAATTCTGAGTTTATTTCAATTTAAATGCAGATATAGCTGTTAAATCTCATCTCTATTGATAAACAGGAAGAATCTTAAATTTGAATTTCAATGAATAGAAATCAAAAGTGATATTATATTGAAGGGGTTTTATAAATTTTATTATACAATAATTTTATTGTAACAAATTAATTCATAAATGTCATCCCTTATTAAAAAAGATTAAAAGAGAGCTCCAAATTAGTACTTAGATTTCGATTAATTGGTTCATAAGAAATATCACTATGATCAAAAGAAAGCTAATGACTAATCTGTTAAATAAGAATAGTATATTCTTGATCTTAAAAAAGCGTACTATACTTAAATAATTAGTTATGATTAACAAAAACTAGAGATCGAACCTTTATTCCAGAAAGTTGAGTTATTGTAAATAGAAAGAAAATAATTGATGGATGAAATCGAGCAATATAAAATGAGTTAAATGGAAATTCTTAAAAAATATGAATTCGAATACCAAGAGAAGGATAAATTAAACAAAGAATGTGCAAAGCTCAAATCATAAATTTAAGCCTAATAAAAGATGCAATTGCCAAAAGAGTCTTAAGAGAAAAAATGCCATGAATTAAAGGAATCGCTATTTGTGACTATTAAGCATATTCTGAATGACTTCTTAGACAACTACAATCATATTATGGGATTCAAAGACGAAAGTGAATGTATTATATAAATGGTAATTTTAAGTATCGAGCAATTTGTTGGAGGAATTACTTTAATAAATTGATGATTCAATTATAATGTTTGTAGACAACTTACCTGCTGAATCAAACAAATAATTACAATCTGAAGAGCTTCAACACTTGAAAGAGCAAATCGAAAAGACTCTTCAAACGGTTTCAAATTTGTAGGCCGAGAATTAAGATTTAAGTACAGCCTTGGACATTGAAAAATAACATAAAGAAAAAATAATCAATTAAAGAAACAATTAATAGCAAGTAATCAATCAATTAAATAATTAAATTGAAACAATCACTAATGAGAAGAAAAATCTTGAGTCTTAAATATAGGAAATATAAATGAAAAATCTAGAATTTTAGTAAGATATATGTAGAGTAAATGATTTCAAGGAAGAAGAAAACGAAAAACTAAAAAGTGAATTTATTGATTCAATTAACGAGCTTTAAAAATAAATCTCAAAGTTATAAATAGAAAATTCGAAATTGACTTCATTGGTTTAAAATAATACTTAACAATAAAGTAAGGACATAGAAATATTGAATAATAAGCTTAGAGAATTGGAAAGTAAGCTAAATTAGGAAGAAATTAAATATGAATAAAAATCTAGAGAGGTAATTTATATAATAATTAAAAGATGATAAGAATTGAAAAAGAAATGAATTAATATAAAGCTGAAGCAACAAAACTATTTGAAGAAAATAATTTATGCTAAAAGTAATTGGAAGTAATCAAAGAAAAAAGAAAGTAGGATAAAGAAGTTCTAGATTAATAAAAAGAAAAATTCAAGAAACTTAAATTACAATTGTAACAGTCAGAAAATGAATCGTAAACTAAAATAGTTTAATTAGAAGAATAAATAACATAACTGACCTAATAGTTGGAATAAGATAAATCTACTTAATAAAGCAATTAGAATACAGAAGTTTTAATGGAAAAAGAGTTAGAATTATCAAAGTTAGATTAACTTGTTTCGGAGTAATTATAAATCATATATTTAGATAAACTTAAAAAATCAATGACTAAAAGTAATATATTTTGGAAATGAAAATTCAGATCAATTCATTGGAATAAGAACTACAAGATTTAAGACTTACTAATCAATAGCATCAAGAAAGAAGGGCAGTAGCTTTTAGTGAAATTAATCGTTTAGAACAATAAAATTCTATTTTAAAATAAGTAATTTAACTATCACTATGTTAGCGTATCAATGATTAAGATCAAACCATAAAATAGCTACAATCTGAAGTTTAAGAACTTGTGAAGTAACCGAAAAGTAATTCTCAATAAAATCATACTCCCACTCATCATCAAAGTTATTCTAAAACCCTGATGAATGAAGCCACTACTTTAGACTCATCTAGACTATCTGATACAGACTCTTAAATATCGAAGACAGCCAAAGCTGCTTCTTTAATTTTGAATGGCTTAAATTATTTTAAACTCAGACCTTAAGTTACTAATTCATAAATTGAAGATCCTAATAGAAAAAATGCTGAAAAGGCTTTATAAAAGTAAGCAGCTGAGTTGAAATCCAATTTAGAGTAATTGTATAAGAGTTTCTTGTCCACTTTATTACTAAATTAAGTTAATGATGAGAAGTTTTTGAAGTTTGAGAGACAAATTAACGAATGCGTTAAAAAGACATAAGATTTAAATGATAATATAGAGGATTTTTTTTGATTTATTATTAATTTTTGTAGATTAATACTTTAATTAATTCTTATGAAAATAAAATAATAATTAGTATGAAATTATAAATATTTCTTGGAAAACTATTAACATGTCTAATTTTGATTTTCGAAGGAATGCAAATGATCGATTTACCTATAAAAGTGTTATCCAATTTTATAAATCATCACTAATTCATTTGGAGATTAGGCGAATAATTTTTTATCGAGAATTTCTCGGAAGATGTATGAAATTGAATGAAATATATAAAATAGAATAATCCTTTTTCTGGGGAATAAAATTATAAATTCTTTGTCATTACATTGATATAAGGTCTGGGGGGTTTGTAAATATTGTTGGCTACATTTATATTTTTTGGGAAATCTTGGGCTAGTGCTATTTAAATTGGAATAATTTTAATGAAATCATATTAAGGAATTGGAGAATATAGTATTTAAGAATTAATATATACGATGGGAAGAATAGGAAGTTTAATGATATGATTTTCTTAAAATAATATGCATGCATATATTAGTATAATATTAAAAACTATATAAGATGAGTTACTTTTCTTATATTTGTTGTTTTTCATTACTGCAGAAGTTAATAAATTAAAGGAACCACGATATGCTGCTGGATGTTTGGCTAATAGATATCCCTCTTTTTTATTGATACATGGAAGTCAGAGATTTAGAATATGTTTACCTTCCTTCTTTTTATTGGATTATTCTTTTGAGTCCTCATTTCATCAAGGACTATACTATTATTAATTAAGAATTGGTTTTGCTGAAATTTTATGCGGTTTCTTGGTCATCATGAATTTTAGATGTGCAGGATAATTATTTTCCTTTTTCACATTATTCTTTGTAACTGTTATTCACAATCTCTACCTTCATGCAGCAAAATAAGAGTCAATAAACAAAGATTGAAAAAAACTGATATCTTGTTATGATCGATCTAAGGGTATTGGACAATAGGTATGGTTATTCGGATATTCATCAGATGATATTCACGATTAATCAGTAGCAACAGCAGAGAAAAATCAAAAGTAATTCCAGCAAAAGCTGTCGGAATTGGGAAGGCCCAGACAAATTTAGTAATTTAATAAATTTATACGATTATAAGAGTATTTGGAATATTTTTTAAAAGTCAAATTAAATATTCAATGGGATTAGATATCAATTTATTAAGAGAAGACAAAGGTGGAAACCCAAATCTGGTGAAAGAATGGTGCTAAAAAAGATTTTAAGACCCGGCAATAGTTGATAAGGTTATAGCTCTTGATTAGGAATGGAGAAAAGGTACTCAATTTTTAAATGGCTTCTTAGCAAGATTTAATCTTGATCAACTTAACAAGGAGTATGGTATTGCCAACAAGAAGATTGCTGAAAAGAAGAAGGCCAATAAACAAGACCCATGTGTTGAAGAAGTTGAATTGGCTAAAACAATAGATCTTAAAATCAAAGAAGCTTAAAAGGTAGGACTCATTATCTAATTTGTAGATTGAATAAGAATAAGAGATTGTATTAACCTAAACACTCAACAAAATCGGAAATGTAGTCCATGAGTCAGTTCCAGTGTCCAAAGATGAAGCTGAAAATAGAATTGAAGTAACTTGGGGCTAAATCCCTGACATTCAAGTCAATAGCACTCCAGGCAGATGTCACCATCATGAAGTCTTATTTATGATTGATGGTGTTGACCTTAAGAGAGGTTCTAAGATAGCAGGCCATAGAGCCTATTTCCTTAAGGGACCGGGTCTCCTTTTGAATTAAGCTTTGGTAAGCTATGGAATTCAATTCCTAAATCAAAGAGGTTATACCCCAGTCTAAACACCCTTCTTCATGAAAAAAACCTGTATGGCTGAGACAGCCTAATTGTCTGATTTCGATGACCAATTGTACAAAGTATGAACAATTTTAGTATAAATTGATAGGTTACTGGTAACCCAGATGACGAAGATCTCTACCTTATTGCAACATCTGAATAACCTATTTCTGCTATGTATAGAAAAGAATGGCTTGAACCTAAGGATCTACCAATTAAATATGGTGGTAGTTCAACTTGTTTCAGAAAGGAAGCCGGAGCATATGGCAAAGATGTTTGGGGAATCTTCAGAGTCCATTAATTTGAAAAGATTGAGCAATTTGTCATTTGCTCTCCTGAAGAATCATGGAAATTCCACGATGAAATGATTACTGCTGGATAAGACTTCGTTAAATCTTTGGAATTACCTTACAGAGTAGTTAATATTGTTTCTGGAGCATTAAATGATGCTGCAGCCAAGAAATATGATTTGGAAGCTTGGTTCCCAGGATATAAGGATTATAGAGAATTGTAATCTTGTTCAAACTGTCTTGATTACTAATCCAGAGCTCTTGAAATCCGTTTTGGGGCTAAAAAGACTGACGAGAAGGAGAAGAAGTATGTTCATATGCTCAATGCAACATTGTGTGCAACAGAAAGAACTTTATGTTGTATTTTGGAGAATTATTAAACAGAAACTGGAGTTAAAGTCCCTGTCGTATTAGTAAGTGATTGAAATATTATGTTTAGTAACCATTTGTAGGCAAGGATTTCATTCCTTACGTAAAACCATTACCTAAGAAGGAAGATCTAGGTGCATGAATAACATTATATACAAAATAACATAATTCTATAAAATTCATATTCCATCATTAATCTAATGGTGCGTTATTAATAATATTGTTTAATTTATTGGCTTATTTTTGTTAATTCTTTTATTAATTAGTATTTCCTTTTTCACCTTTATTCTTTTATTATTTATTTGTATTTTAATTCTATTCCTAATTATTTGAATTTCCTTTTTGATTCTAAAAACTCTTTCTTTAAATTTCTTATTCTTATGGCACTTTCAACTTAACAGTTTGATACTTCAATTCTTAAATTACTTTAATACATACCATCCCCAAGTATTATAGGTATCTCACAAACACTCTCTTTCCTAAAAACATTCATTTGTTCTGTTATTTTCTATATTTTTTACTTAACATCCTCTGGCAATTCGATGTCCTTTTTAGTGAACAAATAAACACAATTTATTCTCTCTATCTTCATAATCTTCTACAAATGTGTCCTTATTATGCGATTAAATAGAAAATACCTAATCTCCTCTTTAGCCAGAATTATTTACTGATTGTATTTCCAAAATACGGTTGAAGCCTGTATTAAAATATCTGTGATGCTTGAAATAATATTGCATTTTACGATTAATCATAAATTAATATTAAAGCCAAAAAATTCGATTAATTCGCTCTTAGCTTTCTTATTGCACTCCTTATTCCCACCTTTGTCTACACATATTAGGACAATTCTTAGTCATTCTTAATCTATTGAATGCATTTGACCAAATCTTGAGAGGAGTATTGGTCCAAAGTTCTGAAGTTGTATTCGAAAGGTTGATGAAGACAAGTACGTATGGGTTACTTACGCTTTTCTTTAATTTGTTGTTTCATGGAAAAATTGCTTTTATATTAAATAAATATAAATTCATTTATTAGTTGAACTTGAACTTTAACCAGAGTTTTCTTGAAAGTTCCTACTCTGTTGTTTGAGAGTCATATAATCAGCCAGTATCAACTTGAGCCACTTCCAGGTCTGTTTGAGTGAAGGTTGTTCTCGAAATGAATTGTCTGGATGGCAACTAACCACCATATGCAAAAGAGATTCTATAAATTTATGTTCATGGGAATATTTAGATCTTCCTTAATATAATAGTACTTCAATATTTGCAATTCTTCCGACGTATCTTAATTTAATTTATTTGTTGTGATTACTTCTTATTCCAATTTTAATATGGTTTTTTTCAATTCGATGTTTATCTTCTGTAATTAGCCATTGTGCATTATTTCACTATGCAATTTATCAGACATTTGCTACAGTTCCTTATTTAATTCATCAATGTATTTCTAATTCCTATTCGAATTTTTAAATTGCTCCTCTAACTCAATTTTCAAATCCTAAACCTGATTGAGCAACAGCTATTCGACCTTCCTCAACTGCACAATGATATCGTTTAATTTCTATATTTCTTAATCCAAGTTTTGTTATTGTCTGGGTAATGATCTACTATAAGATTTTTTTTAAAGATCAGAATTTAGAGATTTCCTTGCTGTATATGAATCTGAAGACAAATTAGCTTCTGCATCAGTCTCCCGAATGGAATATAACATTGAAATTTTAACGAAATTTAATAATAAATATATTATATTTTGAAGGGAATTATTGGTGTTAATATCACTATCTAAATATGCCTCCCTTTTTTAAGGCATTTTCAGCATCCTTAATGGCTAATAACTCATTGTCGTATTATTAGATCAAGGTATTGTGTGATGCAGTTCTTAAATTCAAAGAATACGATACCTTTCAATCCATCTATTTTGAGTGGCAGAGAGATTGTCTTCAGCTTCAGACAAATTGAGTCTTGCATCATTCAAAATTGAATTGAGTGCCTTGATTTCTCCATCCTTGGTCTCAATTTCAGCTTACAACAATGGAATCAACACATCTCTAATTCCGGTGATCTTGGCCTAGATTTCTGATAGAATGTCTTATTGTAATTTAGACTATGCATCATATTGATTTTGTAATGAGGTTTGTCCATCAATCAAAGATTGTCTTAATTGATTCATATAGTTGATGACTTTGGTTTAAGTTCTCTTAATCGACATAATTGTTTTGAGCAATTTGTGTCAATGCCTTAACCAATGGTTAATAAAACACTCTCTTTGAAGATAATTATTTAAGACTAGAAATATAGAATGATGAATCATACTGGTTATGCATCTTTTAAGAAACATCCTTTATGTTTTCTGCCTTTTACAAGAGTGAAGTTTCGTCTTTGACTTCATTCAACAATGCAATAGCTTAATCTAAAACTGCAATGGTGTCAGCATATTCGTTGAACTATCTGGTGAAGACTGACTTGTCTGAATTGATTTAGGCCTCTTTGGCATTGAATAATTTGGTTGCATCGTATAGATCTTATTTAGCCTCTGTCAAAAGTTATTGTAATCTGCCTCTTTCATCTGTCAAGTCTTTAACGTCGACTTCCAATTAGGCAATCTGAATATATAGGTTGCCACTCTTACCTTGTTTTTGAAGTCTGTTATTTGATTTTAATAGTATTGAACATCTGCTTGATATTATTGATATTCTTATTCGTAGAATGCGTTTTCTTCGTTCTTTCTTGCCTTGAAGGATTCAGCCAATTCATCAAGAGCAACGAATAGTTATTGGAAATTGAAATCTTTCGATGCCACTTCTGATAAACCCACAATAACTGATTGGAATGCATGTACAGATTCTCCAGTTGCTGACAAAATTCCTTAGCTAGATGATCATGAGTCTTATATACTTGGCTAATGTCAAATACAAAAGAGACAATGTGATGAACGCTTTCATTTATTTAATTATATATCCGTTTTTATATGCATTGCGATTCACGATAATTTATTATTTAATCACTTTGATTTTTCATTCCTGTTAAGCATCATCTCTTAATCTACACTCATTATCAAATTAATCTACAATCAAATCACTTCTCTTACTTTCTATAAGTCAGAATAAAACATTCCTATAAAAAATGAATTCATCAAATATAAACTATATGACAGTGTAGAGTATATCTCGCTAACCATGTTTGCTATAAAATCTTCAGATGCACTCAAACCATCATTCAAACTTGGTTCTCCTTAAGCCATCGGCATTCCCATAAAAATACTAATGAAATTCACCGAAATAACTAAAATAGATTAAATATCTATTCAAATACAAGCAGTAAATAAAAAGCAAATTACAGTAAACAAAGCTGCCTTTATTTGTTAACTCAAAGAAAACGGTTATAACTGATTTCTGAGTTTGGATGGTTAAGAACCCTACTTGTAACACATGTAATAGCTTGTGAATAGAAAATTCATTATGAACGAAAATGTTAATAAAATTCTGTCTTCGGTATCTAAAGGGATATAGATGGGTATACATAAAAAGTTGGATTGGTTTTTGTATTCGATGGGAAGTAAAGCAAATGCTAGGAATGCTAGATGGGATAACACTCCACTTAAAAATATCTAAAATGAAAAGACTTTATGTGGAATCGATCGAGCTGAGTAGCGTTTCCTAATGGGTTTAGATTAATTGGCCTAATAAACCAAATAATATATAATAATTCCCATCAAACTTATTAAAGCATTTCCAATCTATAAAATATAATTTATTAAATATAATACAGTAAATAATTAATTCTTTTAAAAAGGCAACTCCAAAAACAAAGGGAATGTTTGAGCCCTTGCATATTAAAACTGACTCAAAATAGCTGCTGATAAAACTATCAGTGACATTGATAAATATATTGGTGGCAACATCTTGATTTGTTATTTCAAATTAGTTTGTGTTTGAAGTGTTAACTCTTTCTCATTTATGCTAATAAATGATTGTTGTTCGTCATCTCTTGAAATCTCATTCAATATCATAGCCAGCCTGAAAAAACGAATAAAATATATATAATAATTATATTAAAAAATCAAACCTTATAATTCTTATTTTAACTCTTAGCATGACGACTATAGTTTTCCAGATATTGGCTATCCAAAGTGAGATTCTTATGTCCAATAGAAATGTCCAATTTTTTACCCTTGATTGTAGACTCTCTCATTTTGGGTCTAGTTTATTAAGTAATCAATAGTAGATACCTGGAATTGGGCACGACCTAGTATTGTTATAAACTAATTTCTGGTTCATCCTGTTCAGTTTTGATCCTGATTTCCTGGAAATTCTTTTTCCCATTTACAACTATGCTATTATTAATATTTTAATTGATGTTGATGTAATTGTTGTTGACTTAAGGAGTTCTCTTATAGAAGGTTCCACCTATGCTATAAATCTACGATGGAATTACTTCTGATTGTTCATCTGTTTCTGTTGAGTGATCTTCAAGATTTGCTGAATATATTTGGATTTATTTTTCTTCTCAGACGACAATGTGGGAGTCGCCCTGAAGCCAAGATTCGATGAAGGTTTGGTAATGACACTTTCCCTGCCCTGACTTTGACTTGCTGCATTCACAGACAACTCTGTGGGCTTTGTAATTGAGGTGTTGGATATATTGGTTCCTCGTAACTTCTACATTCTAAATTATAAATTCCTTAAACCTGGAAGACTTCAAATTGGGCGCATAGTTGAACTGCTTAGTTTTAGGTTGTGTTTCTTCGACAATCTGATCTGTTAATTTCATTAATCGCTCATTGAGAGCCTTCATGAAATGGGGTTGAGTAGCATCGGTCAATCGATCCAGATTATCACAATTCAAGTTATAGGTTGTGACATCTTTTAGAGATTGCAACGATGTGTCCGATGAGGATTCATATTACTCTTTAGGAAATTTGAAGGTGTGGTTGATTTTGCAGGTTCTGAACCTAGAATTAAAATGAGTATGTAAATACTTCATTTCTATTTCGAGTTTGAAATCTTCAACTTCAGAATCTTCATCTGGTTATGTTTTCATAATCAATTCAGCTGGTACTTGTGGTTTGACAATTTTCTAAAAAATCAAATATTTCATTAGATCTTTATCAAAATTTTTGGGTTATTACACTTGTGGAACTTTTGGACTTCTTGTTTCTGTTGGACATAAATCTATAAATCTATATTTAAATAATAAAAATAAATTAAAAGACAAAATCAATATTAACTCCTGGTTCTCAATTTAGGCAGTTATCTTCTTCTCTCCAAATCCTTATTGGCATCTTCAATTACTTCTATTAAAATCGTTGATAATCACTTACTTGTCTTAAATTTCAACCAGTCCTTCTTCCTGGCAATGTCCATTTTGAATTGACTGAAATCAAGGTTCACCTCCTTCTTCACTTTTAGATCCAACTCAAACTTTAATAAAGATGATCTATTGATTTTGATTAATGAGCATTCTGAGATAGTTTTGACATTAAATTACATAGCTTTTGAATTGAGACACTCGTAAATGGCAAAATGTTTCCTATTCTAATTCAGAACCAACTCCACTCCTTCAGTGCTTTTGTATTATTACAATTATCCTTCCACAAGTATTATACAATCTGTTGGCACCACTCCTTAATGGAGCAGTATTCTATTATCATTCAACTTCACGAAGGAACTCTCCTTGATTATTTGTTTCAATTGATGATAACTCAAACCTTTGAAAACACTGATATCTAGGAGCATGTTGATGGAGGTCTCGATCCTTCTTTGCTTCTCTTCCTATTGAAAATACTCGACCAATCCTTTGTTTATGAGTATGACGTCGCTGTTCATTGATGCAATTATCTTACCTTCTCTTATTATGATGTCACCAAGCAATAATTTATAGTAATATAGATCGTCCATGTTTACAGTTTTATCTTTTTTGATTTCCATTAGTGTCGCTCTCTTAGATAGGAGTTCAATGGCAGCATCATTTTCGATGCCTTCTACAATTTTCAATTGTTTGAAGAGATTGGGATCGCAATGTCCGAATTTAATTTATTCTTTGAGCAATTATTTGCTCATTAATATTAATATTTTAGATATTGAAATGTTGAGTGGTTTATTGTACAGTCCTAATTGGACTTTTGTAGACAAAATCTTAAGAGACCCTCAATTAGTAGATCTTGAATACTTCGTTGGAGGTGGTCCAGGACATGATTGGTTAGCAAAGACAGTTAGAGTAGATCAATAAAAGTAATAATAGTAATGATTATAATAGATACTTGGGTCCAAGAGCTAAATTTGAGAGATAATTCAATGAAGAGCCAAAGACATGGGAAGTCGTAACAGACAACTTGTATCGTTTAACCTTACTTGCTGGAGTTGAGAGATTGCTCACTTTAAGACAAGCATATGGTGGTTTAAAGACAAGGTTCACTTTTGGAGATTCAAATACGTACGAAGTCATTTAATATATGAATATAGAGCATGTTTACAATAGATATTCAACCAAGGATTATTTAAGGGATATTTCAGAGGTGCTTTATTGAATGCTGCTCAATTTTTGACTGTTTGGGCTCATCCATTAGTATATAGTAGAGGTAATGGATACGCCTCTCATTATCTTTATTCTTCCTTATTTGAATTGATCACATATCCAATTGACACAATCAAGACCATCATCTATTCTGATGTTCAAGGCAGATATAAGGGAGCATTTGATGTCATTGAATAGGTTAAATCATAGTGATAAATAGGTTTATGCAAGAAATGGATTCAGTCATTTCTACAGAGGAATAGTATTTAAGTTGGCCTATCAATGGAACCCTCATCTATCACCTTAGAAATATCTATGAATAGGATTATATTCAATAAGTATGTGCAATTTAATTATGATAGTTAGTATCAGTTCCATTACTTGCTATTGGTTATGGATTTTTGACAATAAAGACTAGATTGTAATTGGCTAGCACTGATTTGAGTTTCTAAGAGACTCCATAAAAGGGAAGAATAGCTGCCAATCTATTTGCTTAAAAGACTCCATTCAGCATTTACAGAGGAGTAATTCCCTTCTTGTTGTTGACTGATTTCTTCCATTACAAATTATTTGCACTTTACTCATCGACTGCTCAATCAAGAACATTGGATGAATTCCTTGTTTAATACAAGCATCATATTGGAAGTCCCAAGGATGAAAATTTATGGCAATGATTATTAAATAATAAATAAAATAAAATGTTCTATATGAATTCAAAATATTTTACAACAACATCCACCTTCGTGTTTAATATTTTCATCTTTCTAAATATTATCTGTTTAATTCCCAGGTCTTTTGCCTAAATTTCCTTGTCCTATTTGAATTAAGACTCTCTATGTCAAATCTTCAATGACTAAATCAAAGTTTTATCCTGTCAAACAAGAAATCTCAAAATACGAAATATGCAATTCATCTGCCATTCTCTAAGCATCAGCCTAGGTTTCTCTGTAATCATTTAGGTCTGACAAATCGGATTTGTTCCCAACCAATATCAATTACGCATCTAAATAATAATTCAATATCTAATGATACATTAAGAAGACTGAGATGCAATCTAACTGAAATCAGCTCTCAAATTCTAAAGAGTTTGAGGTCTATATATCTCAAAATGAATTTTACCTCGTGAGATCGAAAATCAAAATAAAACCAAAAGCAAACTTATAAAATCCATAAGAAGCGAATCTCAAATTCACATCTCCAGGCTATTAATTTACATTTTATTATAGTGTACTGTGTCGAATATGCAAAGTTTATATTTACCACTATCATACAATTTAGATTTGAAATCAACACCTTTACTTTCTTCGTATTTGTCATTGAAATTATTATCACTAAATCTTGACAGAAATGCCGTCTTGCCAACCATATTTGATCCAATCAACATATATTTAATCACTTGCTATCCATTAGACATTTTGTTTATTTTAATATTATTATCGTAAATACTCTCATTTATTATTAATTTCTATCATATTTATAAAAGACACACCTTTAATTCACAAAATTTAAAATTTTAAATAATTTAAAAATGGAGCAAACCTACACATTTACAATTGAATCCAAAAAACAAAATATAGATGCCCTTACTGAAGAATAACAACAAGAATTCAAAACTCATGCAGACGAATGCCAAATTATAGTCTTAAAAGGCAATAGTTACTCAAAACAATTTTTCAATCAATTCTCAGAGTACATCACATCAGCCAAACAATTGCAAGTATTCTTAATTACTAAACATAGAAAATCAATGGAAATGATATCTTCGTTGGCAAAGGAAAAGATGAAATCCCTCAATCATTACAAGTATAATACAATCCAATATTGTAGATCCTAGGAAATAGTCTCATCGGATTAAACATCTTGAGTCTTGATCTATCCAACAATGCAGTCAACCCATTCGGTGCTGAGGCATTAAAACCCTTCCTTAAATAAGCCCACTAATTGCAAAAGCTATTCCTCAATAATTGTGGTCTAGGCATCAGAGGTGTCACTTAAATCTCAGAAGGATTATAAGAAGGAGAACACAATCTACAGATTTTGGCTATCGCAAGAAATAGAGCCGAATGCGACGGTGCCATTGAAATATCTAAAGCATTCCCAACATGCAAAAAACTATAAGAATTACACATCTATTAGAATGGCATCAAATAAAAAGGCATGATTGAATTGCTATCATCACTAAATAAAAACTGCACTGAATTAACAACCATTGATATTAGAGATAACTTTGTTCATGAAGCAACAACTTAAGTCTTAAGCGACCTCATAACTAATTGTTCTCATTTGACAGCTATCAACATATCAGATTGCAACATCTAAGGAAAATAAAATAAGCAAATCTTGGAGGCTTTAACTAAACTAGTCAAAATAGAAAGATTGGGTTACAATTATGCTGAATTAAATGATGTCTAGGGAAATGAACTATATGACATTATTGTTAAATAAGTTGAGAATGTTTCAGTAATAATTATTTAATATTTAAGAAATTGGAATTGAAAGGAAACGAGTTCAAGAAAACTACAAAATAAAAGTTTAAGGAATTATTCGCAACTAAGGAGAAGGTTCTTGGAGCATTCGATAGTGATGATGAAGATGAGGAAGAGGCAGATGAATTGTAAAAGTTATTTAGTCAGTTGGTTATTTGAAATTATGAATAATATGTTTAATAATATTATGTAATTAATGATTTCTTATATCATATGTTATTCATTTATAAGAAAATAATTCTTCTGTTTTTATTCTACTTTGGATAAGGCAATAACTACTATTAATTCATTTATATTGTTTTCTAAATATGGGATTAAAAATACTAGATAAAAATACGCTTATTTAATAGAATGAATTAATAAGAAATAATGGAACACTTAATAAGTAGAGACTTGAATTGAATACACAATAAAATTATAGTTACTTTGAATGATATGATTTCTGTAAACTTATAATCTGATTAGAATATAATATCAAAAAGTATAAAATAATTCATTCTCTAAATTTCTCAATAATTTTTCATAAAGTTCATAATTATGTGGTTAATGAGTCGGACCTTGTAAAGCGTAATCTTCTCTTTCATCTTAGGGATTCACACTGTAAAGATTTCTCTCCTAATATTTCTACTACTATCCAACATCTACATACTCCTTAAAAGCCTTAAGAAATCCTGGATTCAATTCTGCTTACTTTTAATATTCTGGTTTCAATTCAACTTTTCCTTATGATGCAATCCAACTTATACATGGAATTCCCATCACTTAATCTATTGCCTGCTGATACCAAATTGATTCCAATCCTCTAAAAGCATTAAATATTGGCATACTTTAATTCCTCTTCTACTGTTTTACCTTTCTTGTCATCATAAGAAACGAAGATAGTTTTATATCTATTGACTTTGGCTTTAAATTAAGGAAAACTAATGGATTCTTCAGTGTTTTCTATGACCTCGTTTGAGATCTTGAGAATCTTAGGGTTGATGATCACTTTGTATTCAGAGGGAATCATTTTGGAACTCTAAGGCAACATTATGAACAAATTCTATTCCAATCCAACTTAATTGGCTGCAAGAATTCTTATTCTCTTATCTACTGCAGCCAATTTCATTTGATTCACCTTTGAATAAAATCTTTTATTGAAGGCACCGTAATATATACACTTTGAAAATAAAGCATTGGACAATTTATCACCAAACACTATAATATTAGCCATAAATGAATATTATTAAAGTAACAAAATAATTCTTAAGTGGAAAACCAAAAGGCTTCTATTTGCAGCTTTTTGTTAAACCAAAATCGAAGGCAGAGATGCTTGAATTTTCAGAAGAATTCGTTATTGCAAAGACCAAAGCTCAACCTATTGACAATGAGGCCAATGAAGATGTAATAAGGATGTTGAGTGAAAAATTGTCTATTGATCAAAGTTCAATAAAAATAGTGAAAGGACAATAAAGCAAATATAAAACTGTGTTTATTGAAAACGAAATGCAAGCCTATAATAAATTAAGGAATTGAGATATACATATATATATTACTTACGTGTTATATTTTTATTATCTAGAAAATGCTCTTGATATTCACATTGTTATTCTCTCTAGGGCAGAGTGAATTGGTCTATCTTGGATACAAGAACTACACAATGGCAAAGAAGGAACACTAGCCTTTGATTGTCTTCTATTACGGAGATGACAAACAATCTAAAAAGTTTCTAGATGATTTCATAGCCATTGCCACAGGACAACACAGCCTCCAAAAAACAGGCTCATATCCAACAAATATCAATTTTGGACTCGTTAACTCTGTTGAAGAAAAAAAACTCATGGAAAAAACTTAGATCTAAGTCACTCCATCAATCTTTCTATTTTATGCCGACACTTAAAAATAAAAGTATTCTGGAGCCTATAATGCATAAGCCTTCCTAAACTGGCTAAAGAAGACTTACAGAGATTCTCCAGAATTAAGTATTTATACAATCTAATATTTAGATGAGTTTTACCCATCATCTCTCCTTCAAAAATGGGATCAATTTGTTAACAAAATTAACAGTTTCTAGTTAATTGCCTTCTTAGCCACTCCTGAATACAGAGTCTCCCCTTTGAAGGCTTTCGTCTAAGCAGCCAAACAATTACCATAAGGAGTAAATATTAAACAAAATCTCTTAGTATGTTTTTTGTCACATCTTCAATGCAGAGTTGTACTAACATTTAGGATTGAAAAAAGAGGAAAGTGGTCTTGTTATTTATAGTAAATTGGAAGATCTTGAAGATATCAGCGAAGAGAAGACTAAGAAATATCAAACTTATTTGCATAAATTTAAGGGAGACATTAAAAATACTGATGAAATCCTTCAATTTTTAAAGATCTATGCTTTTAAAAAAGGATTTGTCTATGTAGATGATACTAAATTCTAGAAGTTATCCAGAAGAGTAGACTTATTGCCATCAGTTATTTTATTATACAATAAAACAAGTATTATTTACTTATAAATTCTAATTAGATCCTGAACATGAGCAATATGTCTAAAAGATGCAAGATGCTAGATATCCCTTATTAAATAAAGCTATTGTAGGTGTTCTTGATGTTAATGGAGATTGCGAAGAAAGATTAGAGAGAGTTTATGAAATTAATGTCAATACAACTTAATTACCATAATTGATAGCCATGAAACCAATTGATGATAACAGATTCTACAAATATAAAAATGGACCAGCAGATCCAATTTAATTTTATGAACAAATTTCATCAGGATAAATAAAACCCTTCTATAGAGACGAAGGCATTTTATAAAATTTATATGATGGTGCAGGAATCTATAAGTTGACTAGATCTACTTATTATCCATTCATTAAAGAACAAAATGATAAAGGTGTAGATGTTATTGTTACATACACTGCTAAGAAATGTTAACCATGCAAAGATTTTAGACCAGATTATAATGAAGTGTTTAAGCAGGTAAATTTATCCATCTATTTAATTTAGCATAAATAAGCCATTGAAGGCAAAGTTATTTTTGCAAGATGCGACATTGAAAATAATGAGATTGATGATCTTCATATTGATAATTACCCTCACGTTAAACTATATGCAGCTGGAAAAGAACATCCATTTACATTACACTTATAAAAGACAGAAGAGAATTTGACTTAATGGTTAAGCGAATAAAGCAATTACGGAAGTATCTTCAAAGTTAAAGCTGATTTGTGAAATTAATTATAATTTATGTTAAAATAAATCATCAATTAATGTTAAATCAATTTCTAATAAATAATAATCTATTGTTATAAACAGTCTTATTTATTTGCATGTATTTTTAATATAATGATCTACATGAATAGAAAAAAACTATGGTAGAAGATATTATATAGATTTGATATTAGGATATAATTTTAAACTTATTAGATATATAATTATAGATTTAAAGATTAAAGAATCATAGACAAGAATACTCAAAATTCAAAATGAAATTCAAATAATCAATATAATTTACATAATATATAATTTTATATGATTATCTAGAATGAAATAAAAAAAAGATTACGTGTTAATTAAATAAATTCAATTATCAGAATCATTAGGAGGAGTAGCAGGGCTAGACTTTTTAGATCCTTCTAATTATCTTTTAGATTTAGTTTTCTATTGTATTTCAATAATTTTAAATTCGGCTGTTGGCTAAGCTTGCTAACTTATTTAATCCTGATAGGCTTATGGTAATAATCTCTTCTGCAATTTATCATTGATCTTTATAATATTAATTATTTACATCATCAATAACTACTAAACTTTCTTATAGATATTTTGGTGGAATGAGATTAGGAATAGACATTTCAATTCTCTTTTGATACCTTCTGTTGGTAAATTTCTATTGTCTTCTAAATGTTATTTTTTCCTTCATTTTATTTTAAACTATCTCATATCTATTGTTAATTTCTGTTTTAAAATCAGCCAAATTAGAAATCTAACCCTACATCCAGGGATGCTTCTTAATTTACTCCAAGGAGATTCTCTTTTATGGGTTTTCCTCTAATATTTTCTCGATGAGATCTTTAAATTGATGAGATATGTTATTGTTCAACTCTTAGAACACTTGCCAAAACTTTTGCTTGTCCTGTTTTAAAAGAGAATAATAAGGGTCTGTATTTTTGGAGGTTTTGAATGGAGCAGATCTCATTGCCATAGAAAACAGAATGACTCCAGATGCAAATACATCAGCGGATTCGGGGGTATAATATTTTTATTTACCAACTTGAGGTTATAAAAAATAATTTACTTGTATTTGAAAGTTCCGGTGGATTATACTCTGGAGATCCCAAGTATTGTTGAACCTCAAATTAGATTCTGGCTCCAGTTTGATCCACAGATTTGGCACTGAATCCAAAATCAGCTAGTTTCAAGATACCATTGCTAAATAAAATGTTTTCTGATTTTATGTCTCTATGAACTATTCCTCTTTCATGTAAATATTCAATGCCTAAACTAAGTTAAGTTGAATAAACTACCCTTAATCAACTGAGAAAATATTCCCCTTGAAAATTTCTCCGAGAATTAATGAGTTTATTCGAGCAATTCAAATAATTCCCCTTGATCTGCCAATTCCATTACGAAATAAGACACTTAACATAATCTTCCATCCACTTTCCTGTACTTCCCATTTATGCTGCACTATTATTTAAGATCTCAAATACTTAAATAATCTTTATTATATTATTATGTTCAAACTCAGCTTAATGAGATACCTCATTTATAAATTGTTATAGTTTGTTTTGATTTGCAGTGGGATCATTCTTCATAATTTTTATTGCGTACTTTTACTTATCTTATACATCGATGGCTAACTTTACTCTATGATAATCAACATTCTAAAATTACTTTGCGTATCTGCCAACTCCAATTGTATCAATAATAAAGTACTTGTCATCCAGAACTGAAGCATAATCCAAATAATCACTTTAAATATCTAAAGACATCATTTTTATAATGAAATATAATTTATTCTGATAATTTAAAGAAGTTATTAATTTAAATTTGCACCATCAGAACTTTAAAGGTGATCAAATAACATCCCAGTAAATACTCTTGTCTTTAAACTAAATTACAAAAGATTTACTGCACAAATGTGTTACTATCTTAAGCATAGTTAATTATAAATGAACAAAAATATAATAATAATCTAATTCGGATATGTATTTAGTAATTATATATTTTTATAATTATTATATGCCATATCATAATTCACTTCTAATGTGAGAGTTAGTTTCACGATTTTTCTTTAGTTTTATCGCATTATTTAAGGCTTATACTCTATATTTTTTCATTCTATCATCACGTATCTTTTCTTGAATGTCATTCTCCTTCTTTATAAAATTGTTGATTTGCTTTATTGTTTATTTTGTATTTTGGTTCTCACTTTTTGTGTCTTGAACAATCTATTCTAATCTATTGGCTGGCGAGTTGATTGGCGAACTTAATGTTGAAAATTGAGGAACTATGAGCATTCTATTGTTTTATTGAGATGTAGAGGCTCTTCTGCTTAAGAAACTCATTTCTTGAGATTAGGGCCTTAATCCTTAACTTTAATTTCGAGATGCCATTCTACTGTGTTTGGTTGAAAAGTCTTGGGTTTAATCTTCATTTTAGGATTTAAAATACGAAATCAAACTTTTATGTTGCATCTTAACTTCCTTGTTTGTATCACTTTTATGAGATTAGAGATTTTCAGAAAAAAAGGCAGATTCAATAATTTATTTCATTTCAGTAATTGATTGTTATTTTGGTTTTAATTTTTTGATAAAATACTCTTGAAAATTCATTATTTACTCTTCATAACTCATTTTGATTTTATTCATTTCCAATAGTTCTGACAATTCTTTCAATCTGGATTAATCATAAATTTGATTTCTCAATTTTTAAGACCATAATTCATTAGTATAAATGACTCCATTATTTTATTTAAATTGATGTTAATACGTATCGTGTACTTTGTTATTAGAGATTTAACTTAAAATATCCTTATAATCAGCTTTGGATGAGATAGATCTTGCAGCACCAGAAGAAGCTTTTTTTAATTATAAATAATATTGTTCTAGTTAAGAGTTTTTGGTAAAAATTTCATAGGTTTTCTTCCTCTATACTAATTTAGGATTATTTATTATTTAAGGGATTTAAAATAAGTACTTAAACTTAAATTTACTATCTCCAACAGCTTACTTAATTTAATCCTATAATTCATTTTTATTTTCTTAAGTTATAGCATTAAGCCAAGTTTAATCAAATGATTTATTATTTTTTCTTTACAATCTATTAACAAATTGTAGTTTCTTTTTTTAGTGATTCATATTTTCGAGTTCTTCCTCATCATCTTCCAATATCTAATTATCTTGGCATTTTATTAAATTTTTCATATAATAAATATTTATAAATCAACAGTATTCATATTCCTTTTATTTAAGAAACAAAGCAACCCCATTACTTTTTTTAAGACTAATTATTTGAAAAAGATAGTTTATATTAAATCCAAAATAATATAATAACTCCTTCTACAAATTTTCAAAGTAATCGCTTTTCTATAATTCTGTATAAATTATTTAATTTTAATGATAATTTTTCAATAAGTCTCAAATAATTCAATTATGCTCATTTTGACCTTAAATTGATACTTTCTTAGGTACAATTAATTAATTTTGAAAGAACCTAATTAGAAAAGAGTTATAAATCCTAATTTGGCACTAAATGTGAAAATAATTACTGAATTCAAATTAGAAAGAGCTGGTTTGAATTTGATTATAATATGTAAATTAATTTAGAATAAAATGACTTAATTATTAAAGAAGAATATCGAATCCTTATTTCCTTAGTTTAGTGTCCTTGAGATTTTGAGATAGAATGTATACAAGAAAACGATCCTTTTGAAAAGAGGCAACAAAAATTATGTTTTGAGATTATTTAATTTAGAAGGTATTAATAAGGAAAGGGTGATCTCAATTATAAAAATATTGAACAAACTGTCTAGAAAGAACAATCCTCATATTGTAAAATTTTATGAAGCCTCTCATGATATAGATAATACCTATTTAGGGTATGATATAAATATATTTCAAAGGGTTATCAGTGAATACATCGAATGTTAATATTAATGTCCCTTGGAAGAAAAGGATATACTAATAATTCTAATATAAGTATCAACGTAAAACTAAATTAGTTATGTTCGGCCCTCAGTTTATTTCATCCGAAAAGACCTCATGGAAAAATACTGTTATCAAATTTATTTTGTTTTGGTAAAAATGCAGTTTTGGGAGAGATGAACATCCTATTTTATTTGCATCCTGAGGAATATTTGGATATTTATCTATTGGCACCTGAATTTGCTAAATCTAAAACCTATGATTGTAAATCAGACATATGGATGCTTGGTTTTTTAATTTACTAATTCATGTTTAAAGAAGCTCCTTTCAAAGCCAATAACATCAATGTGTTGCATAAATAAATCCTGAAAGGGTTAAAATTTACATACAATCCCTAATATAGCTTGAATATGAATAACTTATTAAGGATTATGTTGTGTTATGATCCTGATCTAAGACCAACTTTAGAATCAATAAGATCATTCGCATAAACAGCCTTAGCAAGTTCTGAGAAAATAGATATATTCAAATTACTACCTAAATATAAATTAGAGTAAATAGCATTACACAAAAAAAGAGAAGACAAAAAACCACAATAAATTGATAATTAAATTTATTTAAATGAGGATACATCAAAATATCCTTCATTTCGACCTTCAAAAGTCTTGAAAACCTTTAAGAAAATACTATCCCCAAGTCCATCTCCAAAGCATATTGTTTTGAATTTAATCGAAAAGAATGAGAGCTTAATCAATAATCAAACTCAACCCTCATAAAATCACTTCTCATAATTAGAATAATTTGATAGCAAGAAGAATTTATCTACCACAGGCAAAAACTCGAATTAATCTTAAAAATTAATCAATTAATCACAAGGAATCTCAATTTCAAACCAATAAAGTTAACGAAATTCTCTGTATCCAGTGTAATTACCAAAAGTGTTATAATTTTAATTTAGCAAGATAAAATTTAGACACGAGATGACTCCAAAAAAGGAATTAGATGAATCTATGTAATTATTTGAGTTTACCAATTTAGTTAAGAATAACCAATGGCAAAATATGCCCAATTACCATAAAAGATTAATAATATCCCACTTAAGAAATCTCCTCCGAAGATGTTGTTTCATCAATACCAAGACACTGTTCTCAGATCTTTTAGCCAAAGATAATGAATATCTATAATCATGCCTACTTTAGAATTCTACAAAGCATTCTTTATAATTAAAAATCAAGAAATAAATTTAATATTATATAATAGACACATCACTTTTTACTGAATTTCGTTTACTTTATAGTTTATCCAGTTGATTAAGGTTATTTTTATAATAAAGGGGATTATTGAGGGGTAGGGGTTTTCTTTTGTGTTTACGTTAATTGTCTCGTAGATTATGGATGTTATTTAGCGAATTATTTGGAAAACTGAACATTATGTTGTTTATTCGTTGCTGATTATGATTGTTGTTAGACAGGTTAATTGTCACCCTCATCAATCTATTGCAGTTGAGTTTAGATTTTAGGTCTATGATAAATGTACAAATTACTTATTAGTAGCAGTGCTTAAGGTATTTTCATTAGTAACAAAAGGGTGGTTTAAGAGTTCGATCGAAGTAATTCTTTTCTTTGGTTCTGGTTCCAAGGCACGATACAAACAATCTAAACAATTTTGGGAGAGCTTGTTATTGTACTCATGAGGAATATTGAGTCTCCCCTCTGAAATTTAGGCGATAATCTCTTTGTTAGTATTACCGGCAAATGGTAATGTACCAAATAACATCCCATACAATATTATACCCATTGACCACACATCCACCAAGGGAGAGACTGCCTTATCCATTCCTAGTTATAATAGAGGAGTGAAGACTACCTTTGAGCAATTCAGGAGCCATGTATCTCAGACTGCCTGCATCTGCATTTTCTGGATTGTCGTTGGATGCAAAACCAGAAATACCAAAGTCAATACATTTGATTATGCCCGAATCTTTGCTTGTCAACAATAAGTTTTCTAATTTTAAATCTCTATGAATTATCTTCTTCTGATGACAGTATGATATCGCACTGACTAACTATTTAAAATAATGTCTAGCCTCACTCTCCTCAAATCTCCCTTTGGTTTACAAATACTACAGTAATTCGCCTCCCTCCAAATATTCCATGATATAAACAGTTTACAAGTTCTGTAAGAAGAAGGCATTGTAAATCTTTACGATATTATCATGCTTTAACGATTTGAGTGCCCTTGCCTCTCTGAAGATCATATCAACATCCTGATTATGATAAATTTATACTTAAGCATTTGTCATCATCTATTTCACCATCTTGATAGCCACCTTCTCGCCTGTTTGTTTGTGCCTTCCCAAGACTACCTTTCCAAATCCTCCTTCTCCGATATCTTACAATTGTTCATACTCTGCCAATTAAAAGCTTTCATCAAATTCTTCACCTTTAAATAACATAGTCATTTAGTTTTACCTTTGGATGCAAATAACACAGTTCCGTTTTTTATATAATCCAAATCGTCTTCAGTTATTTCTACTCCTTCCTAATTAAACAGTCTTAGTCTATTAAACTGAGTGTCCCATTTTTATTGCAAAGATTTACGTATTTCATTAAATTTAGTATTATCTCGGATTGTTAAGGTACAACATAAATTAGAATTGCCATTCCGATAGATTTTTATCTAGTTTTAATATTATTTGATTCTACGTCTTTGTTATTTGTAGTTGGCTAATAATCATCATAAAATTGATCCATATTTATAATTAGATTTTAATTGCATATATATTGAATTAAAATTCCTATTTCCCTCAGTGTTTTCACCTTTTGATATTTCAGACTTCTCCTCTCCATATCTCATTATTATAAATATATATTATTCTATGAGATATTTACTCAATATTTTATTAAATCATAAAAATGAAAGTGGATTTTTTAACGCGTTTTAAAGGGAGGACTTCTACAATGAACAAACGTGAAGGTGTCACTGGAATCATTAAATCAAATGGTACTCCAATTGAGAAAATGCCTGCCTCATACACTTTTAGTTCCTACATCTCCAATTAGCATGCCTATAACTATTCAGATGTTGAAAAACACTCACAATAATCAAATGATGTCACTCCTACAAGCAAAGACCCATAAGTTATCACCAACATTAAAACATTTAACAAAAATAGAAAATTATCACATGCCTCTCCTTTAAAACCCGGCACTAATATGTCAAACATGTATCGATCACAATTTGTTCCCGATAAGGAAATGTACTCGTTTCCTCTCTCGAAAACAGGATCAGTCAACCTAAACGATTACGAATTGATTGCTATACCAAAAAGTGTCTTGTGTATAACTATTTAAAAATATTAGAATTTGGTATTAGAGTAGAACATACTGACGGGGATTAACCTAGATAAACTGTCTTGCCAAACATCTCAAGACAGTTCCAATCTAAGTCATAATCCCTTGATTTACAACAAGATAGACCAATGATCAAATCAGAAATATTGAATTAAGGTTCTTATGCAAAGTAAAAAGAAAAAAGAAGCCTTCTTATAGCTGGAATGAATTCAATTAAATGATTGCCTTTTTTCTGATATTCTATATATATGTTTTTTTCATTTTCTATTCCCTTAATTTTTAGCAAACAAACCATTTTTTATTTTATAACATTAATGACTCTCATAAGATCAATAATTAAAAATTCAAGAACAGAATATCGTAATGTAATTATAAAACAATTTAATATATGTGTACTATTTTGCGCTTTTCATTTAATCACTCAAGCTTATAATTCTTAATCGATTCTTGCTTTTCCATCTTAGGTAAGTTGTAAACTGACAACCAACTTCACTCTCTTTCTTCCTTCAATATCAGCTGTGATTGAATTAATTTTAGTTATTGTGACCAAACCTTAATATAGATTTTAACTCATACCTTATCTCTATAAATTTTCAGCAACTCTAACACTGATCTTTGTAGCCTCACCTAATGCATGCAATTCAACATTTTGGAATTTCTTCAAAAATATTTTTGAAATGAATATGAAATCTCTTGCATTTTTCTTTGAAGAAATATGCAACTTATTATCTGTTGGATCAAGCTTTTACTTTTAACCTCTTTATTGCTATTAGGTGACTGTGCTCATTTTTATTTAAAAAATAAATATCTAATTTTAATATAAAAAGGAAATTATTTCATGTTATTTCAATTACTTTCAAAATTCATATAGATATACATTGCATATTTCTTAGCCCATCCCTTTTCATATAAATACATAAGTAACCATTCCCTCTTGATTGATCAACTTATTATTCTTTAATCATATTTCTTAATCTCCATTTTATTAAATCAGAAACTCATCTTAAACATTTTTATTTTGTAAAAAAACAATTTAAGCTCTATAATTAAAAGTGCGTATCTTCGTAGAATGATAAACTATTAAATTTATGGATCCAATGCATAAATGAGATCTAAAGTAAAGGCTAATTAATTCATATATGCGAAGGTCAATTAGAATCCACAATCAATTAATTTATCTTGATAAACAAACTTAAACAACGGTTTCCTATAATCTAGTCATCTCAAATTAAATATTTCTTTGATATTTCGTTAATTATGACTTAAAATTATCAATAAATTTAGTTCAAAGAAATACCTTTAATTGCAAATTCATTAAAGATATCTCATTAATCTTAAATATGTTGATAACCATCCCAATATTATGAATCTTTAATTCTCTGTTTACAAATTCTGTAATTAATTCTAACATTGAAAAATTAGTATTCCTCATAGTTATTAATAACATATGTTAATCTTAAAAGTGTAATCAATTTGAATTTGAATTCTGATAAATTTTTATTCTAATTTACAGCATTTTCATCATCTAATTAATATTATTAAAGAGTTACGAAACATATCAAATCAAATCTTATTAAGAAATTCAGATAAATTCTTTTAACCCCCTTTGGTTAAAAATATTTTTAATGAAATTTACCTCCTCTATAATTGGTATTGAAACTCAATAATTATTAACTAATAATCAATTTAACAATATAAGTTATTATATATATATACGTGTAATTATAAAGGCAATAAAATATTAATTAAAAAAAATATGGAGCAACCGAGCTTCGATCTCAGCGCCTCATGCATGCTAAGCATACGCTCTACCAAATGAGCTATTACCCCACGTTCGAAAATTAAGTGATCTATACCTATTTATTAACCCCTATGTGATTATTATCTGATAGTTATCAAATATTATTAACTCATTAAATAATTTCAAATCAATCAAACATTATTAAAGCAGATTTAGGGTCACTATGAGATAACTGAAGTTAATTTATATTAAATAATACACAAAATGAAAAAAAATAAATTTAATCCAAAACTAATATAAATAATATATATTATTTGTTTTTCTGTTTTAACAAAGAAACGTCAGAACTAAAGAGACAAATTTATAAAACATGTGTATAAAAGTAATAAGGGAAGTTGTGATACTAAGAGAGAGATTTTATATATAATTAAACAGTTCAAACTTATTTATAAGAATATTTTAATTTTATAAATTAATGAGATAGGTTACTTTTAGAGAAAAGACTTGATTTGATAGTGACTTAATAGCTAATTCAAGGAGTATTATTGTTTCTCTTGCAAACAAGATGAGGGCTGTGTAGATATATCTAAAGAGTAAGTAGAATAAGAGATGATGATGCTTTATTATTAATATTTTATTAATGATACTCATGATTACGATAAGATCAATGACACAATTAAACCATACAAGGCCAATGCTTCTGCGAAAATGAGGATTAAAATCAATCCTACGAATAACCTTTCTTATTATGCATTTCCCCTGACACCAACATCTCCAACAATTCCTATAGCAAATCCTGCTGCAATACAACTACATCCACAACATAATCCAGAGGCCATATGAGCAAAACCAGATTTATAAGAGTATTCTAAGGGATTTTTTACTATTTTTATAATCCAATTGGATTAATACCTTTTTACGATAGCAACACAGCCACGATCATACCATAGATACCCAAAATACCTGCCATAACTACAGGGATTAATGATTTCATGATAATTTCTGGTTTCCATATACCAATGGCTGCAATTCCAGCTCCAGCCTTAAATGTTCCATATCCTGCTCCCAAATCTATAATAAATATATCGATAATATGCCAATACTTGCTAATACCAATGCCATAGTGACTCCCATGAAACCAAAGAATGAGGATGCACTGATTGAAGTAGTATCAGAACTCACCATAGTATCAAGAATAAAAAGCATTTTATTTTATTTATTATTCAATATTTTATGGAGAGAAATGTTAAAAAAAGTATTATTAAGAAATATCAATATCAACAAATTAGAAATTATTTTTGATAATTAATCATCCTTCTTGTCCAAATTCAGCTGTCCAATCTTCGTATTTCTTAAGATCACCTTAAGAAACAGATGGTCTACACTTTGGAAGTACACTTAAGAAATCATCCTAAAAAATTCATAATTCTAATACATATTCAGTATTTGGTAAATGAATTTATCCCTTTTTGATATCGAACATTCGCATTTATTGACCTTAAGGATCAGAAGGAGAACAAGCTGTGTATTTCATTCCATCTGGAGTTTATATCTATTTAAAATGAGTAGCCCTTTCGGTTTTTCTTAAAGGTTCAAAACAAGCATCTCTTATTAAAGTATTCATATCAGACCCTGAATATCCCTCCAGCATCTTAGCAATGTCTTCAAATTCAGCTGGGGTTAGATTATTAGGAGTGCCTTACATTTTGTTTTTCAACAATGACAATCTCCCTTAAAACTCAGGCAGGGGAATGTAAATTCTCTTTTCAAATCTATAAATATCTTAGTGAATGATCATACCTTCTTCTAATGGCTGGATCCAAGGTCCATGGTAAGTTTGTGGCACCCAAAACAAGAACTGATTCATTGTTATTGCCAACTCCTTGCATTTCTACTAAGAATTGAGTCTTAACTCTAGATGAGGCTTCATTCCCACTTCCACTCTCTCTATTACCAGTCATTGAATCCACTTCATCGATGAATATAATTGTTGGTTTTGATTCTCTAGCCATATTAAATAACTCTTTGATTAATCTCTCTGATTCTCCCACAAACTTAGATATCAAATCTGCTGAAGATACAGAGAAGAATGTTCCATCACATTCTGTTGCACATGCTTTAGCTAAGAATGTTTTACCTGTTCCTGGAGGCTAAAATATTTCATTAATGTTGTACTCCATATAATAGGATCCCCATCCAAGGCTTACGTGCCCCTTAAAAGAGTTCTGGGAATCTCATTGGCGTTATTATAGCTTCTTTTAAGGCTTCCTTTGCTTTCTCTAATCCAGCAACATCATCCCATTTGACGTTCGGCTTCTCAGTGACTATAGCTGTTGATAGATTATTCCTAAGAGCTTATTATCCTTCAACAAGTCTAATATAATTCTTATATAATAAATTTTACTTTTATTTTCCTTAATCATCCTATTAGTTAGTACTTTTGTTCAATCCATTGTTACCATTTTAGGTTTTTGGTTATTAATAAGGTTAGGGATTTTATGAGAACTATTATTATTGTTACTATTATTAAGCAGGAAAAGAGTTTTACGCCTATAGACTTGCTCTATAATTATCTAGATAGGCTTTCATATTTTGCATCTCTGAAGTAAACTCATTTAATTTTTGACTTGTAATTTATAACAATTAAGGACTTGTTTCTTGTTTAGCATATTTTACTAATTCTTAACATCCCAATTTCATTTTATCATAACCTCCTTATTTGGCCTCAAGAGTAGCCCCTTTTAAGTATTCAGTTTTTCCTACATTCTATATTTTAAATACCTTCAACTATCAATTGAATTGCTTAATCCCTTAACTTGTTTAAATACGATTCTGACATAAAATAATTAATAATAAATTTTCAATTAAAAGCACCCCTGAAATTATCTGTAATCAAAATTTCACCTAGACACTCTAAATCTAATCATATGCACTGTTTTCTATTCTAAGATATACAACATCTTATTCTTATTTAAATTTTTCCATTCAGTATACATAAATAATCAATAATGTTACAAACTATTAATAAGTATGGTACATTCTATAATAATTTTTATTCAAATGTTTTGTTTTAAGTTTTTTGATTATTGATTGATTTATTCTATTAGATTTATTTGAGTTTGTTGATCCATCAAATATATTTTAGTATTATAATCAATGATTATAATTGTTATCATTATGATCTACATTATTAGAACGAACAATAAGCTAGTAAAAATAACTTTTTTAATTATTCTTATTAGTAATCAATATTTTTAGTTACATCTTGCAACGCAATTATATATGAGATACTGAAGATAATTTAAATCTGTCTTTGGAAATTTATGATTCAATTCTAATTGAATCATTCTTATCTATTATAAGATAAAAATTAGATGTATTTTAATATTATTTCAATTAATAATGTTGTAGATCAACTATTATTTAAATTGTATATAAAATGGGATTATCATTAAAAAGTCTATTAATTAAAGGGAAATCTTATATTATACATATTTAAGAAATCCAAATCTGAACTGAACCCAATTCATTTCAAATGAGAAATCCTTTATTGCAAATTTAAACAAAAGGAGAACTTGAGAATTTCATTTCGAGTGCCCTCTACCTTTAGTAATTATTAAATTCAATTTAATTGTATTTGGAAATTTAAAATATTATGACATTAAAGGGATTCTCAAAAATAATAAATAATATAAATTCTTCATTCTATCAAACTAAATAAAAATAAGGTCATATTTTTTATTAGTATTGGTAATGATTTAATAATAATATTACTATCTGGACAATTAAAACTTGGGCTACTAGAATTATATCAGAGAAGTATTGCTGATATCTAATGAATTTAACTTTTAAATTTTCACAGTTATCAAAATGAAACTTCATTAAAATTCCATAAACGATCTTATTTAAAAGTCAAAGACTCATTCCTAAAATTTTATGAATAAAAATAATGACTGACAATTATTTAATGATAATAGTTAATAAAATTTTATTGATATATTTAACTACTCCACATGATCTATTCTCAACATCCATATGATTAACCCATTAGGTAATCTCAAATTTTTATAATCAGTGCTTTTCCTTAAGGATACCCCATGTATTATTAGCATTATCAACCATACCCTGCATCATTTGAACCCTATCAAGTATTATCAAATGTGATACCTATCACTGAGCCATTACCATAAGCAATTATTTATCCACAGGAAACAGTAATTGAAAGATACCCTCCCTTATAAATGCCGAAGAAAGTTGAAGTGGAATATACTCAATAAGAAAAAAGAAAAAATTTATACAATTTAGATAACAATCCATATTTGTTTTCATCTGCAAGAGCCAGAAATTATTCGCAATAATTACCTCCATAAAGTTATTAATAATAACCTCATGAGGCACACTAAGTTTAATTTTAGACAAATAGAATGGAAAATACTTAAAGAATATTCGACCCCTAAATTTAATCAAACTAACAGAGAGATCTGAGAGTATCTGAATCAACAAGATAATTTTACCCACCTCAATAATAATCCATTAATGATTAAATTGATCAGAGACTTAGAAATACTTCACAATACCCAATATCAAATATTCAATAGTCCAAAATACTTGAATAAAAAGATTATTACATTCAATCATAGAACATACCTATTTAGGAATATGTACAACCAATTTAAACTTAAAGTTTGCATCCTTAGTATTAAATTACTGCATAATTTCAGCCCTTATAATCAAAAAGTCTAAATGATTAAACTGGAAGATAATTGAATGAATCAAAACCTCCTATTATTCAGTCAACAATTGTAATTTTGAAAATAATATAAATAGCAATACAATGCGCCAAAACAAAGACCCGGACTTAATCTAAACTTAAATCAATATAAATCAGCAAGTTAAAGCCTTTCACAATCTAAATTAAGAAGATCTAAAATTTTCGATTGACTATAATTAATGATGAATATATATTAATTACATTTTATTGTTTTGCCTTCTGAGACTTTGTGGATTATTAATAATGATATATGTTGCATATAAAAACTACATCCTGTATTCATTTAAAATTGTAAAAATGTGTATCATCATTAAAGTAAATTTGAAAAACCTCCATTATTAATGATTTATCTCTAAATTTCTAATTATAAAATTACAATTTAATTTTTCAGATTGGATTATTTTTAAGGTTTTTTTAATTTCATTTGTTCTTCTCAAAGAGAATCAATCGCTAAATTATATAATTCTTTGTAATTTGAAAGATGATGGAGATAAATTAAATTTTATTTCTATAATTAAGTATTATATTTGATAAATATTCAGTCAATTAAATTATTTCTCAATCCATTCTTTCTTATATCCTAAAAGTCTTACATTTCATTTTTAATTCATACTGTGGTTCCAACATAATTTCTTTAATGTAAAGTATCGTATCATAGATATTTCTTGCAGCTTAGAGCGCTAAAATGGAGTTTAATCAATAAAATTAATTTTCTATATTTAGTTTATATTATACAATATTAATTTTTTATAGTCAAAAGTGTCATTCTTCATCAGTTGTTTCTCTAATTAAGGCAAAATATTTCCTCATAATTTATTTACTCCTTAAAATTGGTTTGCTCTATACTTTTATTCTATTTTTGAAGCATTTCTTCTTGCTTTTCTTTATTAGTTAGTTGTAAGGGTTGAATTTTTAATGATGTGATCTAGATTTTTATTAAAAAATACCTGCATTGACTTGGTGATCTAGTTCCTATAATCTCACTCATTTTTTTAAATAATGGTTATCCTTTCTTGTATGAGCCGTCTGCACCTCTAACATTTTATAAAAATTCTAAATATATAGCATGCTCTTAGTCATCCCAATGACCTGTTCGTTATTATGAACAATTATTTGTTTCTTATTATTTTGAAGTATTTATAGTAGGATCAAGATAATCCTCACCTTGTTAGTCTGAGCCATCGAATTTCATTTCTAAATAAATCCTAAATTAAATTATGTAAGTCGAACAATTATTTTCTGATTTATATATCCCATACTGATTACAAATTACGAGCATTAGAATCTGTTTATTTATCTATCTAAGAGTCACTGAACTAATTCAAATATTTTTTAAAGCTCTATATTTTTATAGCAATTAGATATTTTACTATTGGTTAGTTTAATTGGATAAAAATTGTTTGCCTTAAATATAGGGAAGACTTAAAATTATAAAACCTCTAATCTTTTTTTATAACTCTATTTTTAAAGTACTTGTTATGATAAAATGGCTTATTTGGATAAGATGGGATATTTTTGTATCACTATTTATGGTATAAAATAAATGCAATTTCAACCCATTTTTAAATAATCAGGATTGACTATATTAGAATTCATATATATTCAAGAGATTATTGCTAATAGTTTCAAAGTTTTAATTAGAAGTATGATTTAGATTGAGAGTTAAAGAATATGAAAGTATTAACTAATGAGTCTACCCTAAGTCATATTTTGATAACTTATCCAAAAACTTATAATTAGATAAAAAAGCTGCTGAAAACGAATAAAATTTATGTATGAGCTCAACGACTAAAATACTGCGATAGCCCATTTTCGAACTGGGGACCTTCAGTGTGTAAAACTGACGTGATAACCACTACACCACAACTGCATTATAATTTCATAACTAAATTTCACCTTAATTTTTTTAATCATTAATAAAAATTGATAAACATCTTCTGGTTCTTACTTAAGATATCCATTAAAACTTAAAGTTAATTACAGCTTTAGAATGTTATAATGAAATTGAGAATCTATTTTAATATAAAAAGAAGATTTGAAAAAAATCCTTTATAATGAAAAAGAAATATATTTATAAATAAAAATGATTGAATTTTATTTTAATTGTTTTTGTTTATAATAACACTTATTATTGTATTAATCCTTTATTTATCTCTTGGAATTCTTCTTATTTATTACCTAAAAATATAATTTAAATATAAGCGATTATTAATTATATGTGTATATATATATATAATAATATATTTCAATAAAGCTGTTATTACTATTAAGATTAAATCTCCTTCAATTTTTAATCATAATGCCTTTAAGCATTATTATAGATTTATTAATATTATTATTTCTCCTCCTTTGATCTTTCTTAATCATGTATAATTTATTTGATAATGTCGCTTGCTCCCTACGTGTCTCCTTACTTCGCTTTGTCTTGTCCTTATTTTAAGAGATACAGAATTTGCTTAAAATTAAAAGTGCAAAGTACTTGCTATCCTGGAAAGATGTGCTCCATGTTGGTTAATATCATAATAAGTATCTGTTATGTAAGATCTGCCTGTAATTATTACTAGTTCATTTGTTTCATTTGTTATTACATCTATCTAATGGATATTCATATAGAAGCTTTACTAGTATTAACTTTATAAATATGGTATTGCATTTAATTCACTTTCCCCATGTGCAAAAGTACAAGTGGGCCCATTCTTGCATTGCCCTGTTTATGGATTGAAATGCTTGCATAATTATGCTAATTTCATTATCTTGATCATTTACTTTTGTAATTCACAACCATTGGGTTGATCCCTTGAACCTTATTGAAATTGTTGGCAGGTATAACTTATTCAACATATCCAGCTTATAAACTATTAGCTCTAAGTTCTTATGGTCCATGAGCAAACTAACATCTTAACCCCAAAGCGCAAACCCCATTTGATGCTATATTTTGAATCAAATTCTTACTAAAATGTCTACAGAGTTGTGTTTTGTACTTTTGATTCGGATACTGAGTTGCCTATTGGTACATAATTTTAAATAATATCTCAATTAAAAGAAATTAATTTATTCATTCTAATAAAAAAAAGATTATTAGATAATTCTTTTTGAGTGCAAAATTTCATGCTATAATTCTCTCTTCTTTAATACTAAATACTTGATCTTAGAATAAAGATCCTCAAGATTTCAGTTCTTTTTCCTTACAAAATAAATTTTGTGCCTTTTTTAATCATCACCAGCTTATCTAATTGAATATACTTTATAGCATTGAGTGGACTTTAATTCATTAGATTTATAAAATTGATAGAAAATTTAAAGATCATAATATAATAAAAATTTTATAATAAAAATTTTTGTTCCCATTAGTTCAATTTCAAATATTGACAAATGATGAACAATGTACATATCTATTTCTGGGTTTGAAAAACTATATTGTATTTAATTCATTATTAAATAGATGTCTATGCAGAATCAATTATTAGAATAATTAACAATCTTTAAGAAAGAACATGTCTTATTATTTATGGATTAGTTCTAGTTTAATGCAATATGAATAAAGTTAAAATGTTTACGTTTCTTTATTTTATATTATACTTATGTAATATATATCAGAATCTCAATTTTGAGAAAAGGAATCTTGATTGAGCTTTCTTGTCAGCCAAACTTCCAGCTGGTAATGTTCTATATTTTTCAGCTAAATATTTTCTCAAATTCTTTCTCAAGTCCTTTCTTTTTTCAACATTCTTCAATTCAGCCTCTTTTACTCTTTCAATTCTATCTCTGACTTCCTTTAAGGTTGATTCTTCTAATCTGTATCTAGAAACAATCTATATTTTTAATACCTTGTTGGCATAATGTGATTAAGATTTAATTATTTAATGAAGACTTTCAATGTTGTTCGCTTTCTGATTTACTTTTAACCCATTCTCTTGGTAACCTTTCTTGGATATCTTTAAATACCAACAACTAAACCATTTGGGAATTTTGCATCCTAAAAAAATCAAACTTTGATTTACTTTAGTTGATTCTTCATTTGCTTTAATCAAAATAGCCTTCTTTCCTGCTTATCTGCCAGCAAGCAAAACTACTAGACGACCTGGTTTCAAGCTAGCTATATTACTATTGCTTACAATTTTCCCATTTAAAAATACTAAATAAATCTTTTAATAATTTATTCCAAATTTTTTGTTACTAATAATCTAACTCATTGATTGAGCACACCTAAAATTATTAAAATTTAAAGGCTTTAGAAATACATTTTGAGTACTATAATAAACAACCTGATTAATGATTAATAATTAGAATGTTCGATATAATGAATAACAATTAAGAAGCTGATGATTTATCAAGGCTTAGAAATTTATAATCTTTTAAAAAAGAATTAGAGTTAATGTGATATATAATATTTTATATTGTACGATAAAATCTTTGAATAATCAAAAGACTAGGTCATGTGGTCTAGTTGTTTTGCCAATGCTGAAACGTGCACCAAGATATTGTTTCAAGAGTGGTGTTTTCTTAACAGCTGCAATCAATGCATCATCAATTGATTTTTAAGTCTTTCTTTTGCCATCCAATCTTGTTTTTTCTGCTGTTTATTATTCAGCTGTGAGCTATACATTATATAGTAATTTACTTCTCCTCTCTTGGCCCAGAATCCCTATTCATTTTTACGTCTTTAAGCTTATGTTCTCTTGAAATATTCGTCATCGACTTAACCAGCATTCACTCCATTAACATCTACTTTAGTGGATGTTGGAATGACATATGCTGAGTTGACTCTCTTGAGTGGGACACCATTAATTTTGAATGGACCTGTAACAAGCAACAATCCTGATTTAAGCTACTTCAAGAATACTACTCTCTTTCCTTAGAATCTTCCAGCCAACAAGATTAATACTTGTCCTGGAACAATCTTTCTCAACTTAGCTGGTCTTGGAGCCTTTTTTGATTTTATTTCACTATACTTTTCTCTTTCTAACGAAATGAACGTTTTCATCATCACTCTTATACCAATTACCAATTCTCACAGTTCTCTTTTTAGCAGGCATTGATTATATTTAATTAATTTTAAATCTAATTTTAAAATTTAATTATCCTTAATCACTCGTCTCTTTTCCCTATCCATTAATCAAATATTGTAATTGAATCAAGATTTAATGAGAGCAACCTACGAATACAATATTAATTATATAATGTGATTAAATATATTCCTTAGTTTATAAGGACAGCTAATTCTAGGCAAATTCATCTATTTTTCATCATACTTTAAGGTAGTACAATTTTGATGGTAAATAATAGAAAAATCTTATGGATTTGAAAATAAAATATGATTTTAAAATTATGTATAAAAAATCATTAAAATTAATTATATTAAAACCTAATTCTATTATGGCTTTATTTCACAAAAAAACAAAACGATGATCATAAGGAATTTTAACTATCGAAAAGGGTTATCTAAAGGCTAATGCAAGGCGGATCATGAAAATATTTTCTATTTATAATTTTAATTGTGAAATATATTAATTTTATTAAATTAAAATGAAAGGGTGGAATAATTTTTACAAAGTCTCATAAAGAGTGAAGAGATAAGAAAACTACATTACAGATATAACTAATTTCGAAAATAATAACTATTTAATAAATTAGAAAATAGATGAGTATCTTGATTATGAATTTCCTTAAAATGAATGTTTTAGTTTGGCTTAGTTAATAGAATCAATGGTATTTTATATTATTATGTTAAGAAATGCAATTGCATAAAGATTTATAAAGGATAGGTTTTAATTATTATTTTATAAGTATTAAAACATCTTTAATAATTACATTAAAAGAGATTATCACATGGAAGATTAAAGCCTTAAAACATTTTTATTTAATTAAAAAATGAAAAAGATAATAAATTAACAATTATATAATCATTTATTACAATACAATAGATCTATTTTATAAATTATAGATATATTGATGATGTTGAATATGAAATTAATTACTCTTAAGATGTTTATGATATTATTGATTGTTGTATCGAATTAATATAAGCATATTCAAATACACTTTGTGAATTATTGCTATTAATTATTAATAATTTAAATTAGTATAAAAATAATATAGTGGAAGGGGATATATATAAAGTACTTGAGTTTATTGATTTATTAATTAAAGAGTATTTAATATTATTATTTTAGATGTGTTGATTAAGAAAACTAAAAAGTAAAAAAAACTAAAATTTATCCTTCTAAATTAAATGAATAAACTACTTCAACTATTTAATGTTAGGAAGGGGAAGAATATAATATGATATCAAAAAGATGGAGAATTTCAACTATTTTTATTACAAAGTTTTTGGATGTAATTTGTTCTTAATCAGTTGATTGTGAATTAGGATTGTAAAATGATTCTATAGAAAATAGAATTGATCAATATGTTCAATATATTGATACAAATCTATTGATATAAGAAGAATTACAGATCTATTAAATTGTAGAATCAATAATAAGATAATAAATGATGAAAATAATTTGGAAGAACTATGGGGAATTCTTAGAATCTTGGTAATAAGAACATGATTCAAAATGTGAGGAAATAGTTAAAATCATAAATAAAAGAAATAAATATATCTTAAATAATCACTTAATTTTTATTCTTAATGAATATAACAATGTTAAAAAAATAAATGATGAAATACAAGAAGATATTGAAAAGAATTACAAGTTTAATATCGTTTATGATGAATAAAAAGCGAAAGATCAATTTATTTTAGAACTTAAGGTTTAGGCATAAAATTAAGATTTTAATAATATTCAAGCATTTATTGACAATATCAAAACCTAAGTTAAATAAGAATTATAAGAATATTACAATCAAATTTTAGAACTTGAAATATTAACTTTAATACATGATTTAATTTGATTTTCTTTAATAAAATATTAAAATGGAAATTTTATCATTTTGGAGACTATAATATATCACTTTTAACTTATAGCTTTTGATCACTTTTAACATCTTACTAATTTACTGATTCTCCGTTTGATCCGATTTCTAATTCTTAATGTTCTCCCTTTTCATGATGCTTTTTAGCTCCATGATGATGACCTTGATTTAAAGAGTGTTTTATAATTATTAAATCTAAAATTAATGTAATAGCAAAGATGACTAAATTAGCTAGATTATATGACCAAGCGAATCTAGTTAAATCATTTTCTAGATTGGTGAAGAAGTAATCGCTTACAGGATCTGAAACACAATTATTATCATTGACATCTTTAATTACAAGTCTTTTGGTATCAATGATAGCGAATGAAACACAAATAACAATGATTTCTGCTATTTACAAAGCTATCTTAAAGCCAATTTCAATCAAAAATATATAATTATATTAAGAATCAGGACGAGCTAAATAATATTTAATTCTTATTACTTGCCATACAAGACCAAACAAAATTACAAGCTGTCATAATTCCAACAATATTAAATATAAGACCAATAACAATAAAATATGTTATTGTGACACCCAATTAAACTCTTAAGGATATATATACAAATGATAATGTACTTCCCTCATGAATTACATCATCAAATAATTACCCTCTGCAATTTGGAGCCCAAGGAATGTAAGTCTTAGAATGCATAGTCCAATTATATCTGGTATCTATGTTAAAATACGGTAATTTTTCCTTAAGATAAATTACATTATTGGATAAATAAAATTATTCTTCATCTATCGAATGAATTAATTTAAATAAGGGATCTGTATTTTCGCATTATTTTCTTCTATCTGTCATAAGAGGATAATCAATTCTGTTTGGAGAGATATTCTAATTTTAATTCCTTCTGCACACCTTATCACTTTCTGTAACTCTAAATTCAATAAGAGGTAAATTTGATGTATTCTTTAAGTAATAAAAATAAAACCCCTTTCCTAAATCATAAATAAATCCAATATTAGTATCATTTAATTTTGATAAATTTTAGTAATTAGAATTAGTTGTAAACCCAATATCTGAAATTGGACAACTCATATCGGGTGGAACACAAAATTTATTGTCTCCTGTTCCGCATATAGTTTTATTTTCTGATTCACAATAACTTTAATTTGTTTATAAACTAATTCCTGTTTTTCTTCTAGCGCATAGAACAAAGGCTAAAATAACAATGTTTCATTTACGTCTTCCATAAGAACCATCGTTCCAAGAGTTAAAGACCTTAGGTTATTACTCATCTACCGTTTCACAACTTTTCGTTGTCATATCTTAACTACAAACTCTTCCAAGCATAAAAGATTATTTAAAGAAGCCCTCTACATTTTCTGTGTTTTAATTGTTCAATGAATTAAAATTAAACCCCTAGCTACAATCACATCCAATCATTGTTCCAGGCCAATAATATTCATATAATGAAGAATACTAAATTTTTTCAAATTATTATTACTTCACTTCCAAATTAAGTCTTACAATTTTTATTTGTATAAGTATATTGAATATCGTCTATTACATATGAACCCATGTTATCTAAAAATTGTTTATAATCTCCTTCATATACTGTCTGATCTCTATATGATAAAATACTTAATGCTAATACAGTTAGACTTACTAAAAAAAAATAAGCTTAATATGCCAATCTCACTTTATCAACTGGTTTTTTACGCAATAATCGTTTTAGTCTTCTTGCTGAAATCAATTTTTATTCTTTTTATTGTTTCTTTTTTTTTTTTATTATATCTCTTCTCATCATTTTAGGATCTTCCTCAATATAAATTTGATTTAACACGCTACCCATTTGATTTCCTTCACTGTATTTTTGTGTTTACTACTGTCCCTCCTAATCTAAATTTTGATTATTATCTAAGTCTTGTTTTAAAGGTTATTGATCTTAGTCTGGGTGATATTCCTAAGGTTCTAAGTTTTAGTCTTATTCAGCCATTAATTAATTAATATATTCAAAAATATGAAAGGTGTGGCTTAGAATAATACATCATTAGAATATATAAAGAATTAAATCTCATATTTTATTCTTCCCAACAGTGATATCATTAAATCATTTATTACAACACGACTTATTCATCTATTTCATTCTGTCTTTATATTTTATATTAAGATTATTTGGAATTATTAATATGTAACAGAAATTATTGTAAATGGATTTTTTAATAATATTAAGCTATCCTTTTATTTGATATTAATAATATTTTAACTCAAATTACTTTGATGTAATGGTTATTTCTATTGTTTATAGTATTAAATCAATCTTGATTAGAAATACATTATAATTTAGTGTAATAATTTCACTTATTTTTTATTATCAAAAGCTAATTTCTTTTGTTATAAGTTATTATAATAATTTTGTTGCAAAATGATGATTTCAAAGAATCTGATAATGATCATATGTCAATATTAGTATATAATTGAATTAAAACTCATGATAAGAGAAGAAGCCTACTACTTCGAAAAATAAATTGGAAGTATCTCCTTTCATCCTACTGAAAAGATCTTGGATAAACTAACATGGAGGATGTAAACAAATCCTTTTTCATCAATAAGTGCAAATCAGTAAATCAATTGAAATTGATTGAATTATATTTATTTTTTATCTTCTTTATCTCAATTCTTAATAAAACTTGATATTTAGGTGAAAAAGTCCAAAATTTCTTTATTTATTTAAATAGTATAAATTTAACAACACCGATGAACATCTTGGAATCATCGTTGCTTTAGTATTTATTAGAAATTCTAAGTCAGTATTTTGAATACAGAATCGAAATTATTGGAATCTTTAAGGTCATCGAAGAATAGTTGTTGCTAATTCTTAAATAGAGGATCAAACTTTAACATGTAGTATTAAAATTTTATAATCTTTACTCTATTTAATAAATTTGAAGGTTAATAAGTTCTTTAGAAATAAAGATTATTCTATTAAAAATACAATTAATAAGAGCATCTTCGAGATTTAGTTAATGATAATTTGATATCATTAAAATCTTATGATAAATCATAAAAAAACAAAAATTATTATTAAACAAAATCAAAAATTTATAGTAATATAAACTAAGAAATAAATTTTATAAAAGCATATTAAGAAATTAAAGCAGTTTTACTCAAAATTGAACTCTGATAAAGTTTTTGATTTTTGATGATAATTATTTACTAAATTACTTACCAACATAATCATTATAACATTTATTCAATAATAATTTACATCTTTCATAAGAATCAATAATCAAATAATTGGTAAGTAAATTGGCTATTAAACTTGTCAGATTTCAATCTTAATCCGATGATGTTGAAAATTTATTAGAAATTTATTACATTTATTGTAATTATAATTGGTGTTTATATTAAATTTAATTAATAAAACGTGTTAAATAATTAAATTAAAAGATGAGTTAAGTATCATAAAGATAAAGAAGTCCTTCCCCTTAATCTCCAGAAAAGGTTGCATAAAGAGAAAAGGCAGCATAAGCAATGAAAAGACGAAACCAAACATAACCAAGCTTTTTTGATAAATATGCTTACCATTTGGTAATTGGTGCATTTGGATTTGTTTGTGTTTATGCTTTATATTCTATACTAACACGTTCAAGCAAGAAGCTGACCACAGCGCCTGTAATAGATGAAGAAGAAATTGCAGGTCATAATTCTTTAGGATCTTATTTACAAGGGCCAAATGATTTCTTTAAAGATTGGAAATTTAGTGATGCTAAATTCATCTTTAACAATCATTTGACATTCAAAGGAAAAATCCCATAATGCCCAGAGAGTGGAGTCATTATTCCAGAGAGTTACAATTTTAGAGAAGTTTAACCTGAATGTGCTTAACCAATCTATAATCAAGGTAATCTATTGATCAATCGATAGGAAATTGCTCATCCAGTTATTCTATAGCTGCTGTTTCAGCTACAAGTGATAGATTATGTAAAGTCAGAAATGGTGAATTTTAAGATTAATTATCACCATAATCACCAATCTCATGTGACAATAAAAATTATAGATGTGGAGGAGGAAGTGTTACTAGAGTATTAGAAGTCGGCAAAAAGCAAGGATTTGTTACAACCTCTTGTTTACCATATACTGGAACTGAAGATGCAAAAGATAATTGTGATGCTCTCTTTACTAATTGTGAAAAATATAAGATCTAAGATTATTGTGTTATCTCCAGCGAGGAAAACATTAAAAGAGAAATCTTAAACAATGGGCCTGTTGTTGCAGTTATATAAGTATTCAAAGACTTCCTTGTTTATAAAGGTGGAATCTATGAGGTCGTGGAAGGAAGCTCAAAGTATAATTAAATTGTATTAATTAGATTCCAATATGGACATGCTGTCAAGGTTATTGGTTGGGGTAAACAAGACGGAGTTAATTATTGGGTTATCGAAAATTCATGGGGAGATTCATGGGGTCTTAAAGGTTTAGCCTATGTTGCTGTTGGTATTTAAATCATATTATGTCAAGGTTAAAATTAATTGCAATTAGAAGCATATTCAGTAGCACCTATTGTAGCAGCTCCACAAGAAAAGGCTGAATGATTGTATCATATTATATCATTGTACCTTTTATTTCTAATATTAATTTCTTAATTGCCTAAATTAAACTAAAATTATATACTTAAAAATTATATAGGTATGCATATTTATGATAAAAAAATTAAATCAATTTCATATTAAATCATCATCAAGGTGTAACATTTCAAGTTCTAAAATTTGATTGTAATATTCTTATAACTCATATTTAACTTAGTTTTTGATATTGTTAATAAATGCTTGAATATTATTAAAATCATAATTTTATGCCTAAACCTTAAGTTCTAAAATAAATTGATCTTTCGCTTTTTATTCATCATAAACGATATTAAACTTGTAATTCTATTCAATATCTTCTTTTATTTCATCATTTATATTTTTAATATTGTTATATTCATTAAGAATACAAATTAAGTGATTATCTAAGATATATTTATTTCTTTTATTTATGATTTTAACTATTTCCTCACATTTTGAATCATGTTCTTATTACCGAGATTCTAAGAATTCTCCATAGTTCTTCCAAATTATTTTCATCATTTATTATCTTATTATTGATTCAAAAATCTTAAAGATCGGTAATTCTTCTTATTTCAATAGATTTGTATCAATATATTGAACATATTGATCAATTCTATTTTCTTTAGAATCATTTTACAATCCTAATTCACAATCAACTGATTAAGAACAAATTACATCCAAAAACTTTGTAATAAAAATAGTCGAATATCTCGATCTTTTTGATATCATATTATATTCTTCCCCTTCCTAACATTAAATAGTAGAAGTAGTTTATGCATTGAACTTCGAACAATAAAATTTTAGTTTTTTTTACTTTTTAGTTTTCTTAATCAACACATCTAAAATAATAATATTAAATACTCTTTAATTAATAAATCAATAAACTAAAGTACTTTATATATATCCCCTTCCACTATATTATTTTTATACTAATTTAAATTATTAATAATTAATAGCAATAATTCACAAAGTGTATTTGAATATGCTTATATTAATTCGATACAACAATCAATAATATCATAAACATCTTAAGAGTAATTAATTTCATATTCAACATCATCAATAATTCTATAATTTATAAAATAGACCTTTTATATTGTAATGAGTGATTATATAATTGTTAATTTATTATCTTTTTCATTTTTTAATTAAATAAAAATGTTTTAAGGCTTTAATTTTCCATGTGATAATCTCTTTTAATGTAATTATTAAAGATGTTTTAATACTTCTAAAATGATAATTAAAACCTATCCTTTATAAATCTTTATGAAACCACATTTCTTAACATAATAATATAAAATACCATTGATTCTATTAACTAAGCCAAACTAAAACATTCATTTTAATGAAATTCATAATCAAGATTTTCATCGATTTTCTAATTTATCAAATAGTTATTATTTTCGAAATTAGTTATATCTCTAATGTAGTTTTCTTATCTTTTCACTCTTTATGAGACTTTGTACCAATTATTCCACCCTTTCATTTAAGAAAAACTTCAAAATATTATATTTATTAATAATTTTTAATAGAATAATAAGCTTTTATATATAACCCTTGTTTTTATTTACAAATACAGAATATTATTACTCTCCTTGATGGATTTATAAGGAATAATATTTTATTGTTTTAAAATAGTGTTTTAAGTTTGCAAGATAATTTTATTCAATTTTAATTAATTATAGGAGAAGAAAATAAAATGTAGGAATCTAGTATTAAAATATAATGGAAACGGATTGAATATTATATAATAGCTTAGATGCGATTGAACACACGTTATAAATGCTCTTCTGATAATAACACTTAACAATTGATTTCGAAAAATGGTGATAGGTTTTGCTGTTGTAAAGAAAAAATGAAAGTATTTATTTCAACAATTCAGAAGTATGAAAATAACTTAAAAACTTGCATGAAAAATCGATTGTGGAAAACTAAACAATAAGAAATTGTTAATGGTATAAAATTAAAAGCTCATTATAAAAGCTAAATCTTAAGCCATTTAGTAGCAATATGATTTATTAAATTAATCCTTCTTTAGAAGTTTCTTTGAATAGCTTTTATTAAAACTAAATTTATAAATGTGATGAAGAGAAAAAGAGACTTTAAGTAGTGATCATTCATTTCTATTTATTTTATATTTTTTATCAGATATTTATACAATTGGGTATTATAGCAATTAATTTATTTTTTAAGGATTATTAATATTTTAATCACATAATCAAAAATGGGAAATGGTCAAGGAATGGAGGAATAAATGGGGACATTCTAACCTCAAGAGATTAAAAGGCTTTATAAGAGATTTCAATTCTTAGATAAGGATGGCTCTGGCCAATTAGAACCATCTGAATTGTTTGATGTACCAGAGCTATCTCAAAATCCACTAGTGAAAAGGGTGTTTTAAATATTTGATAAGGATAATGATGGTAAGATAAGTTTTGCTGAATTTATCACTGGACTTTCTAGTTTGTATGGTAATGATGAAGAAGAGAAGTTAAAATTTATGTTTAAAATTTATGACATAGATCAAGATGGATTCATTACAAACGGAGAGTTATTCAAAGTGCTTTAAATGATGGTTGGAAATAATTTAACAGATGTTTAATTACAACAGTTAGTTGATAGAACCATAATCAAGGCAGATGAAGACTTTGATTCTAAAATATCCTTTGCAGAATTTAAAAAAATGGTTAAAGACTTAGATGTTGCCTCTAAACTCTAAATGTAAGGAGTTTGATAGATATATATACAAAATATATTACATTCATTATAATCTTCATTCAAGAATTTGGCGACAAAATATTCAAACCTATTCTAATCAATAGTGGAACTTTATTAAAGAGGCAAATTATTCTTCGCATTGGAATAAGGTTATATTGTAAGACTATTGATTAATGCAATATTGTTATTAACAAATAAAATATCTACTGATTTTAGAAAACGAATATTAGTTATTCTAATCTCTTATATATTTTAGAGTGAAATTACTAAGCACGGAGTTTCTAATCTTTTACAATTAATATTTCAAGTTATCTAAATCTTATATTAAATATATGAATTAATATTTGAAGACAATTACTCTAATTATAAAAATTGTAATTCTAAAAAATGAAATAACAATTCATATCAAACAAAGTTTTAACTATTAATTCATCAATTAATACTTACATTTATCATGTTATTCTTCCTCTAAATCTCAATTCTAATTTAGATGTTATAAGATTATGGTCCTGTTCGGATGATCAGTGGTTTGATCAGGATAATTAAATCAATTGAGAAAAATTAAATCAAAGATAAGAATGAAACTCAAAATAAGAATAGATAAAAAAAACAATAAAATTAAATTCTAACTCTATAACATATATACTATTTACTAATAAAACACACAGATAACTAGTGATCATTTTAATTTCATTTTTTGTTAATAGTTAAAATACTAGCCCGAACCTATTTCATATGACGTAGCTAGCTGATTTCGTTGGCTATAAAACTCTTTTTGGGTCCCTTATTTCCAGGCACTTCAAGCTTTATAGGATCTTTGATGGATTATCTCGGAATAATCGGTTTTAAGACTGATTATCTTTATGCTTCTTTCGGAGGTGGTTTAGGTCCTTCATCTGCTCTTCTTGCTGTTAATGGTGTACTCTTCATCATCTATCTTTTCTTTAAGGCTTCTTATCTCTTTGCTCTTTCTTCCCTTTACAACTTCTCTAATTTTTATCTTAAAATTTGTCTGAATATTTTCAATATCTTATCTCCAAATTTATCTGAAGGATCTTTGGGATTTTCACCATAAAATTATGCGCACATTTTATACTCCTCTTCTAAAAGATTTATCTTCTTGTCAAGTTCTTCAATGTCTTTTGTGATAGATTCATATCCATCCTTAAACTTCTATTATACTAAATCTTGAGGATCATCTGTTTATGATTCCATCGCTTTTTTTATAAAGCTACAACCTTTTTTGATGTCTCCCAAATCAACTACTAATTAATGGACTGGCACTCTCTAAAGAACCTCAAATGTTTTCATTTCTATATATTAATTTCAATATTACTTTCTTCAGAAATAATTTCACATCCTATTATTTACTCAGTTTTCTCTATTATGTACAATAATAAATTATTATTTTGATTGTCTGATGTTTTAATTTCTGCACATATGTCAAGAGCTTCTATTTTAAAGCCCAAAGCTCTGCCTCTAGGAGTTTTGGCTGAAATATTAAATATAATCTTATACCATTTAAAAAGTTTCCAATATTCAAAGTTATTAATAACATTTTCTATAATCCTTTTAAATTTCTTATCTCTTAAAATCTTGATGTTAAAATGCCCAATTTATCAATTAAGTCTTATTTGTAATCATCATAGACTGATCTAAATTTTAGTGATCTGATTCTAAATTAAAACCCATTAACTTATCTAATAGTATCAATAAAGGTTTCAACAACTCCAAGCAAATCTCTCTGGCCCTAGAATTCACTAACCTTACATAAATTATAAAAATAATACAATTTTAATTTCCTCATCAGTTGGGATTATTGTGTCTAAAGAATCTATTGCAGAATCAGTAAGTATGTTTAAGTCAATCGATAACAATGATTTCATAATCAAAGCATTTGGTATCTTTATTTTTCCCAATACTAACTCAATATTTTTGGATCTGTCAGTTGCTATTAGTTGTATCTTGGTCTATACTACTTTCTTAACAATCTAATTTTCATTAGTTTGCTATTAAGTGGATGGTGCTGATTAAATTTTATAAAAGTAGGTTTCTAAATATTTTGGATCTATTTCATAGGATTCCTAATAAATCTACTCATAAATTGTATTTTTCATATTTTATGGTTATATCAAAATCCAATTTATAGGTTTAGTAGGAACAGATGGAATAAGTTCAGTTTTATTGAAGGGAAATAGAATATCTTATGGTTTAGGTGCTTATTAGGCTCCTTTCATAGGAGGAGGAGGTGGTGGAGGAGGGCCACCTGGTTTTAGACTAGGAGGTGGTGGTGGAGGAGGAGGTGGAGCTACCTTTACTGTTGGTGGTTCAGGAGGTGGGTTAGCCTTTTAATCCTTCTGTACTTAAGCTGCTACTTAAGTTTAAGGGTTAGGTGGAAATTCAAAAGTAGTTTAGGCTTCTTTTGTTTGATATATTTTCTCATTTGTTTATGTTTCAGAGTCAACCATTAGTTTTTTCACAGTAATAGTCTCTTTTACATTCTCTTATTATTTTAATTGGTCTGTATCAGATTTGACTACTTCTTAATTTAAATTTTAATCTATTATGTTGTTCTCAATTTAAAGAGTTTGATTTTATTCTTATTGTTCAGTTTTTTGAACCTACTAATTTTCACTTGATTTTTCTAATGTTGAATCATCCTTCGATTTATCCTCTGCTTCAATTGGTTATTCTATTAATTTTTAGGAATCGTTGTTATCTTTAATATCCTTAATAACTTGTGATTCACCTTCAGATTTTTAGACTTCATTTAATTTCTCGTCATTTTTATCTGATATCGATGAAATAGGCATTGATGCGTATTAATCAATATATCGCTAGAGTAAATCAATCTATTATTTCTGGGTTTACACTTTTGTACTTTCGATTTAAATTTAATTGATTAACTAATTTTCAATTAAAGTTTAATTCTGTGTTTACTCTTTCAGTTTAGTTAATTCTTCTGACAATTAAGTGATTTGAATGAGATGCTATTATTTCAGAAATTCTATTTATTCTTAAACTAATGTTTAAATTTAATCTTAGTTTTCACTTGTAGAATGATATAGCAATTTTTCATTTTATTCTTCGAGCTTTTTGACTTTTTACTGTTCATCAATTAATTAGAGAGATAATTCCCGACATTATTTTTCAGTTTCCTCATATTTAGAGAATAGAATTTAATGTTTTTCCTCTAGTGAATTGTACTCCTATTGTAAATTAGCATTAGCATATTTGATCATATTTCCTTGGTTTCTAAACTAATCATTATTCCTTATTTTTGAAAAACTGACTAATCTATTATCGTAATCATCTTCCTCTTCTTCATCTACTTCAGCCAAAGTTTACATTTCATTGAAGACATTATTTGGATTTGAAACAATTTCCGTTTGATCGACATCATCATTTTCAATTTATATTAAAATGGAATCTATGTTTAAGATACCATCCATAAGTTCAAAAATTTGAACTTTGAGAATGCTAAAAAGCTTAATATCGTGTTATTCAAAGTAAAAACAATTTTCGAATTTAATTCTTCCTGTTTCTTCAAGATCAAACTCAATGTTCGGTTTAATAGCATCCTTTGGAGGTTTATCTGTAATTGTTTTAAATCTCTACATGGAGAAAAAGTCATTCTCTTGAGATTATTTTTCAACAAGAGGATGTTAGAATTAAGCTAGTTTTTATCTCACACCTTAATATGTGCATTCTTCAATTTAATAGTAATCTTTGACAATTCTAATTTTCACTTATTGAAACACTTCGTCAATCCTTTTACCATTTATTACTGTTTCTAATAATTCCTTATGCAAAATATCAGATTCTGGTTTTTCAACTGAAAACAGAAAGTTAAACAAAAACTAAAGAAGATGATAGATAGTGATTAAATTCTTTGTATAGTAAATGCTTCGAATTATTACATCAAATCTATAGTTGTTATAAATATCTATGTTACTTAGTTTATAATCTGTGATTATTTTAAAATTCAGTCATGGCATCAAGGATGTTATCCAAGCATTCTGGTTGCCAACATAAACCAGACTTGCCGCCTAAAACCTAAAGCATCAACCCTGTGATTTCTGGTTCAACTGGGTGAAAAGTACTAAACATAATTTGGAAAAAATTAGAAGTGTCACATAATAATTATACCCCTATTCAATCATTTACTCATTATGTTTACCTGATTCGTGATGCAATAGCTTTTCAAAAATTTTGATAATGACAATTTAGTCCCTAAAATTTTTGGAATGTCTTGATAACAATTCTTGAGTTTTCAATTCTACAACTAATTTGGCAATGAGATCTGCTTTAACTAATAAAGTGATTTTGTGTTCTAGTAGCTCATCATTTGTTAAATTTCTTGATAAAGCTTATAATGTGGAATATTAGATGTACCTTCTAATGAAACAACGTCTTGTTGAGATAATACTTTTTAAATTAGTTTATCTGTTTCCTGCATTACTTTCTATTTATATTATTCCCCTTTAGTTATCTCTTAAATGATTTAGTCATGTTTGTAACATAATCTAAATTTGTATTTCAGAGGAATTCCTTTCAATTTTTCTTTTTCCCTTCTTCCAATCACAATCTGATATCATTATAAAATAGTTTACTTTGCTTAGCCATTTTTGAAACATAATTTCAACATCTTTTTCTCTTGAAGGCACTTTAGGAAAATTTTACTTTCCCTTTAACTCTTTAAACGGAAGTAGGATCTCCTATCCTTGAATGGTCTAATAAGACAACGTTTGACTAATCTCTATAGAATTTCCCATAATATTTTCAGTCTATTCAATTTCGAGATTGATAAATAAATTAATGTATATACATTTAATTGAGAATAAAAATTTACTTAATTCTGATAATATATAATTGATAGTGTCTGATTATCACAATTCAAGTTAATTTATATATTCATTTTGTTATTTTAATAAATCTGATAACTTAATTTTCAATATAAGGTTATTTAATCAAATTTAAAATTCTACAAATTATCACATTCCTAACTTGCCCAGATAATGGTAAAATTCGCCATCTAAAATAACATAATAAAATTACTTTATTCACAACTTATCACGTATCGATGTAAGGTCCCATCCATCAAGCTTATTATAAAGACTAAAGATTCACTCTCAATAACTAATAATTATGTGATTGAAAGTACATGATGAGAACGTTACTATTCCAATATTGGATGTATTTTGATATAAGTGGAAAAAGATGGGAGGCTAATCAGGCAAACTGGCGATATCTTAAATTAGGAGTATCTCCCCCCTTAGAGTTGATACCAATAAATGTGATTGTAAAAACGAACTTATCTGGGTTATGTTGCCAATATTCTTATAAAGATACCTCTATATAATCAAACCATTCACACTAATAATAATAAGTCATAAGAGATACCTTGTTGCTAGAATTTAATTTTGGTTAGTGTATACTACTATTAGTCCATTGCCATTGGTTACAATATTTTTTACTTTTTCACTTTGCGCTAAATACAGTTTAAAATCCTAAAGAAATAATCCAGAAATTATAGAGTGAATTTGCAGCTTCCCAATTTTATCAACACTTAAAACAACCTACAAAGCATCATCAATATGAACACATTTGATGGTTTTATCATGACCATACAGGATTAAGGATGGAGTGGATTAAAATGAAATTAATTTTTCATTACCCTGAATTGCATTCCATATAGTAACTCTATTGTCTTTTGCTCCCAAACACAATATTTTCAATTTAGATGAATATGATAAGCAAGTAACTCTTTTCTTATGTAGTTTAATCTTATGGCAGATCTAGGCCTATTAAGATTTATCAGTTAGTAAATTATAGATATAAACTGCTCCACTTAAATATCCACAAACAAACAAGACATGATCATCAAATTAAAATTACAATCCTTTGGAATGCAGTTTCTCATTTCCCCTAATAGAAAATGTTAATGCATTAGTCAATTTCTCTTCACTATCCCTTCTCTCCTAATTATTGTACTATCTAAATTGTTTTATATCAAATATATACTTTATTTTGTAAACTTATTTATCATTCAGTAGAACATGTAAGTTTTCACTCTCTCTATAGATTTATATAACAAACTTTTTATCAAATTTCTTTATTCTTTTAGAATTAATGTACTTTTTTTCACTCAACAATTTGATTAAATTAGTTGGTGAAAACAGATTTAACTACAACTTTTGTTTTGGCCAATGTGGTTTAACAAATAATTGAAAAGGGACCTAACCAAACTATTATATTTAGGCTAAATATCCCAATTTCTCTTAACTTGACATTTTTTCTAAATAAACTAAGCATGAATCATAAGTTAACCAATGATATAAATTATCTCTTTTTTTTGCTTCCTCCCCTTAAGCATAAGGTCCAAAAATTAAATTAATCCAATTATGTAATTTCTCACTTACATAACTAGATTCAAGTGCCTGTCTATTAATTTCAATAAACTCTTCACAACTAGAAGCCCATGGAGGTAATATAACATCATCTACCAATTCTTAATTTTATCTTTCACCAAATTATATTTTATTGATATTCTTCAGAAATTCTGGCAAGTAAAAATACTCAGGAATTAGTTCTCTATAATCTTAATTGTCATTTTAGCAAGATTACCAAATGTTTGAAACAGAAAAAAATATTCTGTCAGGTTAATCTAATTTGCCATCTTACAATTCACATGATAAAGTTGTAAACGGTTCCAATCTCACAAGAGTATTAATTATTTATGCAGCTACACTATAATGAGATCCAAATAAAAAATATTCATTCTAAGTCTGTCTCAAAGATTCAGCTCTAATCTTACAGTTTTTTAATCTCTCCTCATTTGAAGCACTAATCATCTTTTCCAAATCTCTGTATGTCTCTCTTTTGGTCTATCATATAAATAATTAAATTTACTAAATCAATACTCTTGCTTGTATAATCGCCTATAACCCATGGGAATATTGGATATTGATTCAGATCATTAAAAGATCTACCAGAATATTTATTGATTAACATTAGGTACTCAAAATTAGACAATTTTCCTTTCACCCATTTCTTTGTATATTCTTTTGCTAAAAATTCTAAAATTCATCAAACATTTTACCTGCCCTTTTATCTACCACAACAGTGAATAAGTTGTTCTATTTAATTTGATTCAAGAATTATGTCCTTCTATCTTAATCGTATAAAACAAAAAAGTAAGACTTTGTGTTTTTACAGAATATTTCGATAGCAATTTCTTTGTGCGAATATCTCCTTGTTTAAATTTCTAATATTTAAGAGGAGTTTATTATTTTGGTTTTCTTCAATTTCTTTAAATTATAAGGCTAATAATATTATGTATTTCAATACTATTGTTCCATAGATGTAGAAATCCTAATCAGGACGTTCTGAACCATCACTTTGAAATTAAATGATTTTGCCTTTTTCTAATATTTTTAATTCTCCATAGATTTACATCTTTACCCTAATCCACTCACAATGATACAAATTAGAATCAATAATTATTGACTCACTATTTTATTGATTCCAATTGATATTTTTGTCACTCTATATTTCAGCTACATTTTTTAGATTCTAATTCATTTGAAATGCTTTTGTTGCTGATATATTACATGTTTAGTTTCTTGTGTTTTTTCTCCCTACAAAATAAGATTACACCTTTCTATCTATGTTAAACTGCTCAAGAGTAAACTTCTCCTTGGGAATTATCTAACTTGGAACTTCTAAATTTGGGACTTCTCCTGGAGAACTCTACTTCTATTCAGATTAATTGGATTTCATAACGAAAGGTGATTATAATTCTTAGGAGAAAGTGCTTTACACTTATGTAATCGGAATATTGAATAATGAAGTTTGGTCTAATTAATCGATATTCTTTTATGAAGCAGCCTAAAATTACGAAGCTAATGATATTGAATTTGTATTTGAATTAGAACTATTCTAATCCAACTAGATAAAGTTTTATCTTTATTACAAAGGAGATTCACCTTATGATATCATCGAACTATTTTATTTCTTTAGATTCAATTGATATTGTTGGCAGTTAATATAATCATCTCTGCATTTCCTCAAATCTTTTACTAAAAATAATTATCGTGATTGAGAGTCAAAATGATTAGTTCTTTTAAAAACACCTTTGCTAGATGTAGATCCATTTTGCAAAACCTCTTTAACACTTCTTAGTTTACAAGATCTCCTTTCTTAGGGTTCAATCTCAAAATAAGTTTAGGTTGTAATGGATATGATGAATAGAATGATTTCAATATTCTCTAGACTTAAGAATACTTCAGCCAAACTTGTATCTTCAATAATGTTGGCACCTTAATAGAATACTTTAGCTTCCTAATTCTATTCATAACTTATCTTATGCTATATTTGTTTCTTTAGCATATTCATTAGGAAATTTTAATCTTATACATTCTAGGCTCTTGTAATCTTCAAAACATCTTTAATCTCTACAATTTAAAAGCTAGACTTAAATTTATCGAATTCTAAGTACTACATTTCCCTACCTAATGGGATAAATAATAATTATACTTTGAATTTCATCACCAAAATTCATTGTTTCCTCTTCTACAGCGGTTACTAAATTTTTTTATGCTCTTGAAAAGATTGCTGCAATCTGTTTTTCCACTAAGATGTTTTCAACTAGAATAAAATTATTAATGATTCCCTAAAATGTTCTTTAAAACTATTAGTTTTAATAGTAAGCACCAATATTCACACTAAGAGGATGTTTATCAGCATGCTTTTTTATGTATTCTGATAGGAATGGTTTCACTGAAAAAGTCTGTTTCTTCTAATTTTAAATATAAACTATAAATTCTCCTTTCCTTCTATCATCAAACATAAAAATAAGTAATATAGTTTCATCCTTTTATTACTATGTGTAACTTATTGTAAATTCTTATACTTATAATTCTGAATTGAGTATTGCAATTTTTATGAGATTATCAAGATGGTTTTTATTTTATTCTTCCGACAGTAAATTTTAATTGATCAATGAAACTGTGATTAAATCAACTTAGACAATATTTTATTTTTAAGATGTTCCTTGGTGACCACCTTTCTCTTGTCTTTCTAAGTGTCCAGTGTATGCAAAGAGTATCTATTCTTTCTTATAGATATCATCAAGTGTCTTAGCATTTGAATTGATGAAGTGGAAGCCTTCTCTTTTGAATTCCATTAAAATTGAAAAAGATTTCCATGATTTACTCACGCATAAATCCTTATAATTTCGAATAATGATTCCGCTATCATTTCCTAATAATTAGAAATATCTTTTAAATTTAGTTTCAGAACCACTATTTGATAGATTTTCTAAAGTAGTTCCCACATATTAAGAAAATGCAGATTATTTGAATACTTTGTTTTTTTATGTTTCTATAGGAGCATTCTAAATTAATTTTTGTATTTATTCATCCCTTATAAACGATAATGATCTTTTTAAAACTTCTTCCATAGATAATTATAAACTCTTATTCTTCTAATTTCTCATACACAATAAGAAGTTCTAAATAATATAAAATATCTCATACTGATAATCGAATGGCTTCCCTAAATATCATTTTATTATAATCATTCATAGATATCAGAATACCTAAGAATTGGAGGCACTTAAGCCTTAACTATTCTGAGGGAGATGTGTTAAATAAGAAGGTTTCAACAAGAACCTAATAATTGAAAATTATTATACTTTCAAACAGAATTCATTTTAAATCATAACTTCACCATATTATTCAGCAGTATTAGATACGTTCGTTTGCCTAATAAATCTGCTTATCATAGAAACAGAACAATCAAAAAGAAGCTCAATTAGCTCTCTCATTTAATCATCTGTAAATAAGGATAATTTTTATTCTAGGAATTAAACAAAATCGTCTGCAAAATCTACCTAACATAATTTGAGTCCTTCAGTTAATAACCATAATAATTTAATAAACTCTTTTAATTATTAGACTAAATTATTAGGATTGATTGTGGCAGAAATAAGATTTATTATTTAATTGTAATAATTATTAACTTGAAAGAATTCTTAGAAGCTTCGCTTAATTTTAAATTACTTTAATTTCAAGCAATTAGCATTTGAATCATTTTAAGAGAATATTTCTTCTATATTAATTGGAGCATTCTCAAGACAAAGATATTGGCAAATTTATAGAAGTGCAAGGAATTTTTAAGGATGAACAATCCTCTTGTGACTTTGCATTTCTAAAATAGATATAAAAAAACTATTTCTAGTTCCTAACATTTGATCTTCATTCTCTAAATATAAAGTTACCACCATTTATAATACTTCCAAATAAAATCGATTTTCAGGTATCAATTTAGTCCAAATATATTGAAATATATTTTTTTTTTATTGAGGACTGATAAATTGAACTTATTTTAAGACTTTCTAAATAGTTATCATGATTTCTTTATTTTCAGACAGGATTGGATCAACTAGGTATTCAATAGATGATTTAATTAATTTTTACAACAATGGATTTTATTTAATTAGAATTTGATCTAAAGGGTAAATTTGATCAATGAAATGAAACAAAATAGTTGTTGATGAAATGTACTTTTTAATATTGTGATGATCATGTAAGATAAGATACAAACCAGCACATTCTTTTATATTTTTTGCTTCTTTGGAATTAGGAGTTAAGGGATTTAGGAGTAAGTTTAATTTATGGATGTAATTTAACCAAAATTCGGTCTTTTAATCCTCGAGTTGATTATTGGTTTGTTATTCTAGAGTTATCCATAATATATGAAAGATTTATATTAAAATTTTTTGCAATTCTTCAGTAAAATTTACGTTGTCTTACAATATCTAAGATTAAATATATGCTACAATATATTAATATTAATTACTCAATATTTCAAATGATATCTTGATACATTATTCATTGTATTCGAAGCTAAAATTCGCATTCTCAAAAGTATTTTCTAAAAATGATAGTATTTATTAAAAGACGGTTTGGTTTTTAGAATTCAACCATATCTTAATAGCTTTAAGGGATAATATAGTTTAATCATTTAATTTCTATAAATTATTAAATATTTGTTAAGATATTTTACCCTATCTTTCATAATTTGATAGAAACGTCTGTTTAATTATTGATCTTGTATTAAGAATTGCTTTATCTGAACAAGTAATATATTCTTCCATTAATTCAATTATGAACTTTGTATCATTCAATAAGATATTAGTTGCTTGGTCCTGTTGTATCTTTGCATAAATCTCTTCGCTCAGAAATAATTAATTAATGAATATCGTGATCAATATTTGACCTTGATTGTAGCATTTAAACAACGCCCCCTTCATCTAATCAACTAGATGTATGTAAGCCTACTTATAAAATAATTTGCTTTCTGGAATATTATTGAAATCATCTACATAATCTTCCATTTGGTTTTATTCAGTCGTTTCTAGTAATTGGTTTGATTGATGAAGAAGCATTATAATACATTCGAGCAAAATTGATTTGCAAATAGGATGCTGAGGTTCTATGATCTATTACAGATGTTCTAAACTTTTTATTTCAATTCTGTCAATTGCGTTGATGAACTTCTTGAAGAAAATGTAACAAAATAGTTATTTTTCGATATAAGTGATATAATATCCGTAAATAAAGAGGGTGAGTATATTAATTTTTTAATTCGTCGTCTCCAACTTAGCTAACTGTTCCTGATCGATTTTGATTCTTCCTTTGCTTTGGTCTATAAAATTTACGAAATCATTCTGGCATTCAATTGATTGAGCTTAACTCAAATAATTTAACCTTATCCATTAACTGCCCAAAAACGACATAAAATCATCAAACTAAATGAGTGGTTGCCTTTATGAAATCAGCATTAATATATTATTCGATTATTTAATATTCACTCAGATAATCTTAACATCCTTAATTGATAAAAAAATGTTAAATAAAGTCACAAAACGAATTTGAACTTATGACAAGAATAATTGAATCAATTGTTGAACCAATAAGATTGTTTATCAATATCTAATTTTTTATGATTCATATCAGAGCAATCATGATTTTATGATAAATTAAAATTATGATTATTTAAGTAGGTATATTTTGAAACAAGGGTTTTGATGAAAATACGTTGAGAATGAATGCACATAGGATTTGATTTCAAGGATTTAGAAAGGTTTCTAAATCTATTTTAAATAATTTTGTTTTTAATAATTAAAAGCCCACAGATTTTAAAAAATAAGTGGTTTGTGTTAGAGCGCCAAGAGTATAGGAAATGGGTTGACGTATTGAAGTAACTCTTTCGCATGAACACAATAACATTGACAATTAAATTATATATTTCATAAAATCATATTATTATATTTCTTATGGGTTAATTTCTAATTCGCTAGATTGATCAAAATTCAATAAAATATTTAATTATCAGATCAATTCTTAAGTTGACCATATGTATCCATCAATTTAACAAAAAGGTATATATATTAGAATAGGTTAGGGTATCGCTATTATCAGCAGGATTTTATTTGAAATATTGTGATAATAAAATAAATAGTTTTAGAACTTACCTTAATATATAATGACAAAGGAAGAAATAGGAATTAAATTCAGAGGTTTATAAATTTTTGTTCTATATTTTTATAAATAAAATTAATGAATACCTAAAAACTATGATATACTTATTTAGTATCAATATAATTATTTTGTTTTATATCAATACTCATTTATATAAATGTTAAAAGATCAAGGTTTCTAGATAATCTTATCTTTCTGATTTATAGAGTTCCATATTTCTAATAATATTAAATGATATTGTTAGGTTATTTATAAAACTAGAATAGTACAGATCTTCCAAAATGATCAATTGAATATTCAAGTATTTTTGTTCAGATTAAAAAGACCGATACCTTAAATTTAACAGTAACATTATATTCTTCTAATATCTATTATTGTATTGTATTTCAATATATAATAATCTTATAAAAATGTAAGTGAATATATATATTGAAATAACTGATTTAGTGCATAAAATAACAAGATTAAACCATAATTCTAAGATATATTAAAATTATTTTACTAAAAATAATAAAATTTAAAATTAATTTTAATCAATACAGGATTCCTTAAAAATAGTATTAATATTTGTCATACCAATTGGCTCTCCAATTTCCCCTACTCAAATCTATCAATCTATTATAATTAATATAAATAGATACTTTTGACATTGCACATAGAGTTATGTGTCAGACAGATCATTTTATAAGAATCTCCTTTCTAAATCAGCTTATGTTTTCTCTTTGAAACAATTCAAATTTGAATTCTCCATCATTTTCACTAACAAGAGAATTTTATCTTTGTGTCTTCTAATTGCTTTAAAACCTTCAAAGAACATTTTTCTAAATCTCTTAAACAAATTTGAATCGTATCCTCCCAAAATCTCTACATATTCCTCAGTCAATTTAAATGGGACTTCTTTCTCTAAGTTACCTTTTGGTGCACTCGATAAGAAAAATCCAAAGTCTATATGAACAATGTTACCATCCCGATGTAATAATATATTTCCATTATGTCTGTCCTTAATTTATAAGAAATAACACACGAGACTATAAGCAACCAAACTATTTAAGAAATTGGATATCATTGCCTGAGATGAATTCATTCTAAAATATTGACTCAAACACTTGATTTTTAAGATATCATTCAACTTCTTTTTAAAAGAATCAATGGATAGGGCATCTCTTACTACCTCTATTAAACCATAGCCTGGTCCTAAAGATATAACTTCATAAGTTGTTAATTGCAATTTTAACTACTCAATTTTGAAGATCTGATCAAATGTTGATATTAATTGCATAGCAAATTGTTCTTATCTCAAATCATCTCCAGACTTAACAATAAGATGTACTAATTTCCAAGTTTTGAAATTTCTAAAAGGAGAGCTGTTCCTTATCTTTTCTGAAGTGTCAGTACCATAAATTGCATCAGTCAATTCCTTCTTAGACATTTTCTTTAATTATTGTCCTGAAACATTCTATATTGATACTAAATTATTTAAATCCTCATAATATGAATGTGTGACATCGTTATCCCTTAATATATTACTGAATTGACTCAAATCTTCCTTACCTTCTTCAGCATCCTCTTCAGCTTCTACAATTTTGCATAGGTATGTAGGTCTATTTCTTGTACAATCCTATGTTTCATTATTTTCACTGCTATTTTTATTATCCATTTTCCCAACAGTTTTTGGAACAGACAAGCGACTGTTTCTGAGTGGATTAGGAATTAGTTCTGCTTCTTCTTCTGGCCTGTAGATTTCAAAGCACAAATAAAATGGGGATCTGCATTTTGTTGAAAATACTCTGCATTCATCAACGACTATATTGAGTACAACGTAATTTCTAACTCCCTAAAACGGTATATAAACTGCAGCTGGTAAACCTCTGTTGATTTTTTGAATATCGGCCTTTAGGGATATTATTTTTGGATCTGCCAGATGCAAACTATGAATCTTAATAAGGTTAATACTTTTATGAAATGTATATGATGTCATCCCAAAAATCAATAGTCGAACAAAATCCTGAAGGTTGAGCTTATCTGAAAATTGATTCATAATTTGCTAGATGTAGTGTATCATTAAAGACATGATTAGAGTAAAATAAGGTACCGTATTCTTGAATTCGGTCAGGTAACTTATTAACCTATTAAACGATAGGAACCCCTTTAGAAACTTGTTACTCAATGCCATCATTAAATTGATGGTTCTCAAGACAAGCAGCGATTAACATAGTCTTTTTATAGACTCTATCTAGTGTTGATAAAAAGAGTCTTAAATAATTTTCGATTTCTGGATTGTTATCATTTACAATGGATCTCCAGGCAAAAAAGAATGTGTGAGCAAAGAAAAAGTCTACTTCAGCAGCCTTCAGGATAAAATTAAGCACATATTCCAGCTATTTATATAATATTTGGTTGATTAGTTGTGGAACAAAGTACTCTAAATCATCTCTAAATTAAAGTAAGACTAAGTTGGGATTGAGTCTACAACGAGAGAGTGCTATTTGAGCATTCTAGCCTCTGTATATCATTTCCATAATGATTGATGCAGATACAATCTCATCATCCACTTCGATGTGAGAGAACTTCATCCTAAAATCAAATCCATATTATACATATTTTTTTATTTGGAACTACCCAAACAGCCGCATCCACTTTGAGAAGATGTAGGTTGATCTTTAAACTTAGACATAATTTATTTTAATTATTAGATGAATAATTCATCAAATTCTAATTCTAGATAATCTGCTCAAAACATCATCAACAAATACGAACAAAATAATAATGAGGATAGATTCACATTTTAAGTTAGACCCAATTCACCCAGAGAGACTTTTGGAAAACAAACATAAGCCAGGAATAGCCAAGTTCAAATCCTAAGAGAAATTGATTAGGCCAATCTTTCTAAGATGCTTAGTGATTTCTCCATTGTTTCAGAATAAGAAGAATCCATCTGCCAAAATCAATTCAATAATCCAATTGGAATAGGTACTTGTCTATCTCCATCCTTAGTTTAACCTACTCAAGTGATCCAATAAAAACAATAAGAGCAAGTCTAAGAAAATCAGAGTTATCGTGGAACCTTTGGCAAGAATCCCTTCTTTCAACCTAAATCAGAAGTTACCGAAATCATCGAAAAAAGTTATTTAGAAGAAGAACTATACGATGACATGTCCGTTTTAAAAGACAAAGTCATGGGATTGCTATAGGCCTATGCAGACGATCTAAGAAAATCAAATAATGATCCTAACATCAAATCTAAAATCCATGTTGATGCTAAACAAGTCTTAAAAGAGTATTCCCAAATCATCGAGAAAGTTAATCAATCTGAAATTTCCTAATTAAATGTTTCCCAAAATCCCGGAAAAAAAGTATGATTATCTCCTTTACAATAATTAAGGAACAAGAATTAAACTTGATGTCCAATTTGGTGACTGAATTCTTGAACAAATTTGATATGCAAAAACAACCAGTCCTCAATGTCTCATAAGTTTTAGAATAAAAATTAGCCAAATCAAGAGTCAGATCTTCCAATCAGCAATTAGACCTCACTGTTATGCATTAAATTCCCTGTGATGAAACATTCTATCAACATGATTAATATAATGATGATAAGTTGGAGGGAAAAATTCAAAAACTTAAACAAATGCTCTAAGATGAACTTGATAAGTAATAATTAGTTTATTCCAAAAAAATATTATCTGATATGATTTCAAATTTGAATTAAATCTTAATTGCAAATGATACTCAAACTGTTAAAACTATAGTCTATAAAATCGAGAATATGATAAAGTAATTGCCATAAGAGGATTGTGGATCAATCTAACTTTATGATTACATGTCAAAAGCAATGAAGGCTACCAAAAGAAGAATGAAATAAATGGATCCATAAAATCAACAATAAGAAAAAACACTCAAAAGAAAGTTTTTCGATCTTGCCACTTAATTAAAGAATAAATTACCCTAAGACCATCCTGGTAGGAATGAAATGATTTCAGTTCTTTATGATCTATATTGTTAGGCCAACAAACCAGTAGAAATGGAGGACTTTATTATAAATCAATTGAATTTAGTATAATGATATTATTATTTATATGAACCAGGAATTTTAATCTCATCAAGGCAAATAGTAAATTAAAATCTAATCTTTACTAAAAGGAAAAGCAATTAAAGCAAAAAAACTGAACAATAGCTTTCTCCTTCAGAATTTGAGAACGATAGCGTTACTCAATAATGGAATGCTTGTATACTATTCAAAATGCTTCAAATCCATATAATTAGAAGGTGATCTTATTAAGTAAAAACCTAAATATGGAGTCTATTTCAATAATGTGTTTTATTCTTGTGTCTAAATATCTGAAAAAGAAGTTGAATTAATTGTAAAGTTTAAGAAATCCTAATTATTCAACTTTGATGATAATTTATTTAGTTATTTGATGGATCCCAAGTCCTAAGACATTGTACTTTGGATCTTTACTATCCCAATAGATGTTTATATCAATAAATAACATTCCGATCTTTTTAAAGGATGTGACAGTTTAAATTCTTTAAATAATCTCCAAGTTTCTCAAATAGAAGTAAAATCACAAAAATGTAACAATTAAATGGCTTAAAAGGAAAAAATATCAATTGAATATGTAAATAATACAACAAAAACCAAGAGTAAAAAAAGGGTTCAATGGCTTGATATTTGGACTCAAAAATAAATTCCAGAATCAAACATTTAATATTTAAATTCAGAATAGACAACTTACAATAGTAAATCAATTTAATAAGATGATTAATTAGAAACCTATGAAGAAAAAACAGATCTCAAGATCAAAAACATTGAAATTAGAAGGCTGTCTCTCACATGAAATAGATGTAATAATCTGGAGTGAATACTTATTTGTATTTAAACTGATTATAGAATTTAATTTTATTTAATATTTCAAATCAAAGAATTAATTATGTTGATAACAATAGTGATTTTATGTAATTTCATTCAAAAAACAATTCTTTAAATGAGAATATGATTAGATTGAATATGATATTTTCACTAAAATAAACTTATGACTGTAATACTTTTTTGATAAGATAAGAAATAAATGAATTTAATATTTTAAATTAAATAAATGATTTAAAAATGAATAAGCAATAATAAAAGTAAGAATTTAATTAAAATTTATTAATTATTATATATATAAATGAGAACTAGCTTTTAATACATTAACTAGAAATAATTCCATTATTTGTAAACTACATAAGCCTATCATGAACTCATATAAAATTTTTTCATATATGAAATGTATTTTTTATTGAGATTTATAGAATTCATTAGTAATGAATTATAAAATTATTAAAAAAGAAATTTTTTGCTTGAACCATAGCAAATTTAAATAATACAATGATTGCTAATTAAGTCAATCCTTAGAATTTCTATTTAAAAAAAAAATGTGATTTGACTATTTACAATATAAATAGATCAATTATCCTGAAATTAGTTTACAATAAATGATGTTATCGATAACAAAGAATCAGTTATAAGAAGTGAACCCTTATATATCGATTGCTTAAAATGATAATCCTGAAATTATTTAAAATAATTAGGAATTGTTTTTTCAGAGTATTGTACAGTCTCAGATAAAATTAAATAAATTAATATAGGTTTAGTTTAAATCCGTTAAAATGAATCCACTCTAATAATTCTAACTCCTATTGACCAACAAAGCTTCTAATACTAAAATGTTTTTGACTAGATAACAAATTATCGATAAAGTTAAAAAAGAAAAAGAACTTTAACAAATTTAAAATAACAGAATTCAAAACAAAAAAATTTCTAAACCATAATCCGTAATGAAAGTGTCTATAGCTAAATCATCTACTTAAAAATTGACTCAGCAAAAAAAAACATTTAGTTGCTCCAAGTTTTAAATTAATGAATTAGTTCCTGATTATGAACTAATTTGCAAAAACACAAATAAAACATAATAAAATTCATAATCAACTTTAAATACAGACTATTTTAACTTCGTAAACACAAAATCTAAAGCCATAAAAGACATTTAAGACAGAAAAGATGAATTTTAGTAAAGTGAAATTAATTCCTCTCAAGTTTTATAAGGATTAGGATAGTATTAATAAATGAAGAATGAATTGTTAAAATCCTTTTTAGATATAGAACAAATGTTATTAAGAAAATCACATTGACTAATAATAATTAATATTGTTTAATATTATACTTGATTAACATTCTTGTTAGTTTATGTTCAATATTTTATATTTTATCGTTTTCTATTATTGTCAATTGATTTAAATATGATAGAAACATATCATATTGTCATATATATATATAATTATAATGTTAATATATGTAGTAATTACTAGTAACTATGAAATATTATTCTAAAATCACAAAAATAGATCTAAACTAAAATTAATTGTTGAAACATGATTATAATGAGAGTGCTAATACTTTTTGATTAGAGATGGAAATGGTTGATTAACTTCATCAAGAAACCAAGTTTAAATTAACTCTTTTGCTAATTTATTGGTTTGATTAGAATCTACCTAAGAGCTAAATTTTATTGTATTACCTTTAACATTGAGGTATCAATCTTTTTGTTAGAGATTTTTCCAACAATGTTTAGAATAGTGGCCACTATTTAAATGGGATCTCCATTAGCAAATCCATAACTAAATGATGCCAACTATATCAGATATCAACTAATTAAATTTATATAATCAACCTGATTTAATCATCTACTTCAACTACATGTTCAAATATTCGAAGTGGTGAAATGAAAGATAAATTAAAGTTGATATTTTATAGTATTTGCCCTTCTGCCTTCAATATATCTTCTTTGCTATAAATTTCATCGCACAACTTTGATAATTGACCACTTTTTGGTACACCATAAACTTCTTGATATTTTGATGCAATGAATAAACAAGCAATTCCAAATAATTAAAATCTATTCTTTTATACTAAATTAGTTTCAATAAATCTTATTTATTCTTAATACTTACTTGTCGAGTAACCATATAGTCAGCAAGAGAGTTTCCAATTGCAACTTTAATTTATGATGAACTTCAAAGAGCCAATTTATTAGTACATTTCTCATTTTGAGATTAATCTAACTTTATGAATAAAAAGCATTATATGAGATAGCATTTTACTATTGTTACTTTTAATTAAGTTCTTCAAGATAGTTATAAATATCTTGTTTGTAGATTGTAACTAATTGTGGATTCCCATTGTTTTCTGTTGATTAAAATTTATCTAATCCTCTTGTAACTAAATCTAGAAATACATAAATGTTGCTTACATTTGTTGGTATTAGGTAATGAAATTGAAGCATTATTATTGTGATTATTATTCTAAGCTTAATTAATGATTGAAATTTGGATGTTAGTTAGACTTCTATTTTTTAAAGTTCTTTACATATGCTAATATTAATCAGTTTTTTATCTGGGCATTTCATAACTAATATGTCTATGATCCTCTCTCTTCATATTATCTCTGATATTTTATGACTTATTCCATTTAGAGACTCTTATAATTCTTGGTTTTATATTTTATTGAGAAAACTCATCTTTTATGAACAAAGTAGATTGAACTCTGTTTTATCTATTTTAAGCAGGTTAAAAGTTTCTATTTTCTTTATTCGCTTCAAGCATTTTCAAAATATTCACGGATTTCATCGTTGATATTTTAACGACTATATAAATTATAATTAATAAAAATTGGCGAAATATAAAATTTGTAAGCTTAATGTATTTAAATATTACAAAAGCAAAGAGAATACTATTATTTGACTTATATTGTGGATAAGTAAACAACAATACACTAGAATAATTATAATAATATTAATGCACTCACTAAAAACTGGAAGTAAATTGCATGAATGATTTTAGCTGTTATTATAAAGTAAAATGTAATTATAATATCATATTTAATACTGGTTTTGTAATTTAGAGTATAAAGAGAATTAAAATATTTAAATTTGGTTCTATTTAATGAATCCCATAATAAATTGAATGTTGCAAAGGAAGGCTTAATTGGAATATTGTTAATAGTATATCAAGGTCATGCTAGTGAGTTACTTCATTAAAAATCATTTCCTAAAGTTTTGAAAAAGACAGTAGAAAACAGAAACTAGAAAAAAACAAACCCCAACTCACGGCGCTCTACCTCAAATCCTTTTTCTATTACAAATTTAATCAATTTTTCTAGAAAGTGAACTAAAAGTTGATCTGAAAAGTCCATAATTATTGGAGTTAATAAATGGGTTCACAGCATCATAGTTAGTGAATATAAGAGAATTTGGTCAATCTAAATTTATATCTTCTTATTGTAGAGAGTTTTATATTAATATATGTATAATTTATAATATTTGTATTAGAATTAATTAATTTAAATTTTAGGAAATCAGAATATTCATTTTAAATGTAAGTTTATTTTAAACCTGTTACAGAACAGTTTGCAAACATAAATAAAACAATATATGATATAATCAAGTCGAGTTTGTTCTTTCTCTATTATTAGATATTATCTTTTCAATAAATTCTTGGCCAAATTAATCAAAGAGAGGGAGACCTGTAGCTTCTTATGAGAATGTCATCTCAGGCCAACTATTGATTTCCAAAACAACAATTCCGTTCTTTCTAGAATCCAAAATATCGACTCCTCCAATTGTTAAATGGGGATCAATAGCTGCACATGCCCTTTCAGCAAATTTAAAATACTCTTATTTTTTATCTGAATCCATCTTTGATTCGATTCTAAAGTCATCGCTGTATCCATTGGACTTGAAATCCTAGATTTAGATGATTATAATTACCACATTGTCTTAGAATTCAGTGACAGAAACTGCTTTACCTCCGATAACTAGAACTCTAATTGATCTTCCGACAGTATCATCAACGAAGTCTTAAATGATGGCTTATTCACCATTCCACATGGACTTGCAGAACAGTTCTGTGCTTTGGTTATGGTTTACTGAGAGTTTAACACCAGTGCCTTCATATCCTTCGACTTCTTTGATGATGGCTTTATCATTGAATCTTCTTAGGTTTTATTTGAAAGTATTGAGTGAGAAGGAGGCTCCACATCTGGGAATGGGGACTTGGTTTTCGCTAAATTTGAGATATTGAAGCAATTTATTTTAGAGAATGCTCTCAGTGGAGGGGTGATGAAGGGTGATTTTTCCAGCAGAATGGACAGCGAAATTGAAATACATGTAATCCTAATAGTGCTTTGGAGCCATATATCCGTAAGCTAAAAATGCATCAAAGTGGATTGGTTCTCCCTTTCTGTAGAATGTTATTTCCTATATTGATTTATGATCAATGAATTACGTTTCCAACGATAACACTCAATTCCTCAAGTTCTGTGACAATTACATTTACTTTTAATCTTTAAAAGGTTTCAATTATTAATTGATCCATCATGCCATAAAAAATGGGGTCTGGATTGATCATAAAGAGAATAGTCAATTGTTCGTCCGACATAGTAACTAAGGGTATGCAATTTAATTGGATATTATTTTTTTTCTTATTTCTTATCTAAATTCAGATTTTATGAATAAATAATTCATGAATCACTTATAAGAATTTATTATAACAAATGAAAAAATCACCATTGTTTATTTATACTACGAGAATGGGGTCTTACTATCACTTAACCCCATTCAATCAGCAAACGCTTAACTTGGATACATGCTTATTGAGTGCTGGTGACTTTTTACATATGGAAAACACACTGAAACTACTTCAATCAGAAACCAATATTAGTTTTCGCCAATACATTAATCAAGAGAATAAAATCCTTTACATGACTTCAATTGATTCTTATAAGATGAAATGTGTTGAAGGATCATCCAATAAAGATGGAGTTAAAATCGCTTAATTAGAAGGAATCAAACCCATGACCAATTAGTAATATATTGAATTGGCAAAAACCATTAATCCAGAAATGCTGGTCTCCTTAACTGAAAAACTAGAAATCTAAGCAGGCCAAAAATCTACAAAGAGATCTTCTGCAAAATCAGCCAAATTTTTAAAAGAAAGCTTGGATTAACTAAAAGACACTCAAATAAGCATTTACGGTGCCATCTAAGGAGGGTTGGACACTGTGTCAAAAATCATTGCAGCAGAAGAACAAAAGTTTGCCATTGATTATCCAAATTTTAAAGGTTTTACTCTCTTTGGATTCAATCAAGGCAGCACTTGGCAAGAAAAGGAAGATGCCCTCTCTGTAGTATAATCAGTCTTTGATGGATACAATGTATAATACATTTTGGCAGGATATGGAGATATCTTATCAATTCTTTGGGGTTTGAGTTGGGGAATAGAAGGTTTTGAAATAGAAGAGCCTTTTAGATTTGCACAAGATCTCAAAGTACTTTTACCACCTAAGTTTGATGCAAAAGATAGTGAACTAGAATAGTTTTCTGATGATAAAATTAATTTTTATGAATTAGAGGGCAAAAAGATTAATTATTTGAACTTCCCCATAAATTCAGACGTTAAAGAAAATGTATATTTTTGATTATATGTCATAGGTACCACTGAACCCAGAGTGTCAATGTTTTTCCTGTCAAAATCATACCAAATTGTACATATCCCATCTTGTCGAATGCAAGGAGATGAATGCTTAAGTATTGTTAACAATTCACAACACTTATCAATATTAAAAACTGTAGTAGAAATTATAGGAGATGTAAAATAAAAAGCAATTGAATCAATGGATTAGATGGTATTTATAATTTCTGTGATATAAAATACCAAAAATAGCATTACAATTATTTTAATCAATATAATGACTTTCTCGCATAAAACAATATGTATGGACTACTACTGCCATCAGTATCATATCTTTGTTGTTTAACATCAATCTCTCTAACATCGGAATCGTTATATCGATACCATTTTAAATTAAATGGATTCAAACTGTCACTTTATTAATATATAAATAATAAATACGCTGTGTAGTGGCCTCCATAGAGAGTTCCACTATGATTTACTATTCCACACAAGGAATATTAACAATTTTTGGTAGACTAGTCAACTAAAATTAAGAATGTCTTACGTGAATCCTAGATGAATTTAGTCATATCTAATTCCAAAGGGAACTTGACTCGATGATTTAATTTGTCACTGGAAAATCTTCTGTAATCAAATCTTTTGATATGAAACATCAAAATGTGAGGCAATCTCCAAATTGTAAATTTGCGTTTTACTTTCTAATGCTTTTTGCTTCAACATACAATAACGATAAATTAAATACCATTTTGAACAATAATAGTCATCAATCGTTTCTTCGATTACATATTTATCTAATAGTCTATCTAGATCCATATCTTCTAATATTTTAAATGCTCTTGTAAATGCTAAAGACGTATCTAAGAAAGTGTCGAATGCATATGAATTATGGTTACAATAGGAGCATTTGATTGTGTGTAGCAATTACCCCTAGAAATAATCTAGAACCAAACTGTTTTCTCTGCTTTTTGAGTATTCCCACCACTCTTTGCTCTAAAAATGAAAATGTAAGTTACTAAATCTTGTAATGTCCTTCCATTGAGATTGTCATTCATTTCTTTATAGGTTGATTTGCTTTTCACTCTATTCAAGCCAAGACTGAGGCCATCTAGAAGTGCAACCAAAAATTCTTGGGCATCTTATTGAGCATAGCCTCTGAAACAGGGCATAACATTTTCTAATAGAAAATACTAATAAGCACAAAGAAATTACCAACTGCTGATTTGATTCCGTATGGAGCAACGGATTGAAAATTTGGAGTGCTTCTGATAGTGGAAACTAGTTTGCTGTACTCGTTTGGAACGGAGCTGTTTTTGGAATTCATGTCCTTTAGGTAATCTCCATTAAAAAAGTGTTCATTGAAGGCAGGAAGGTTGAGTAAGCATTACAGAACTGAATTCCTGAATATAATTAAATACAATTACATGAAACAGGTATTGCCAATATTTCTCAATCCGCATATGCCTTTGCTGACATTTGACATATATTTCGATGGTTGTTATTATTCTGGTTGAGACTGTGTCATGGATGAAATTGTTGAATTGGTCTTTTGAGTAGTCGATAGTGAAGTTGTCATACCACTTGATGATTGTTATTAATTGATTTAATATGGATTTAGTTTTTAGCCGTATTATTCGTAAGGTCTCGTCTACTCGAATAAATAATGAAAACTAACGTATTGTGGTTGGGTGCTCAGTGTGGATGTCCCATATGAGGAGTATGTATAACCAGATTTGATCTCCTGAGATGATGGTGTGGATTAGGTTTTATTAAGTAATAATGGATAATTGGGTAATCCTTGTGCTTGCATTTTATCCTTGGTCGTACTTGGAGGTCTTTGATTACTACTATACATATTTGGTTTCATTATTTAATTAATAATAATAAATGGATTTAGATTTTGAGCAATTCCAGCGATACATACAATCGGAACACCACCATGGTTAGAAGCACGATTCGAAGTTGAATGAAAAGGAGAAGGAAAGGGGACACGAGAAAAATAAAGACAAACATAATAATCGAGAGAGTCATAAGGAAAGAGAGAGGGAGAGAGAAAGGGACAAGAGTGCGGAAAAAAAGAAAAAGAAGAAGGATGAGAAAAAAGATAAGAAAAAGTAAATAACTTATTTTTAAGGAGGTAGAAGATCAAGATCAGCGTCGAAATCGTCTAAGAAAAAAAAGAGTAAAAAAGACAAGGACAGAGAAAAGGATAAGGAATAACAACAACAAACAATTACAACTTAGATATTAATGACTAATGACATTCAAAAGAAAAGGGAGATTGCTAAACAAAGGAAAATTGAAATCATGGAAGCAGAAATAAGAGAGTTAGAAAGGAAAATTGTTGAAGTGGAAAGAGAACTAGAAGAAGCTCATAGATAAGATCTAACTGTTCTAATGTATTGTTTGCCATTAAAGGCTAAAGAAAAGCACATCTATTAATTTTTCCAAACTGTAAATTATTTCATGACTTTTTTAAGTTCAATTGTGGCAAGATCAGAGACATCAGAATCATAAGAGATCAAAAATCAGGCAGATCCAGAGGTGTAGCATATGTTGAGTTTTATCAAGAAGAATCCATCCCCATGGCTCTAGCTTTAAATGATAGATTGTTTATTATGGATGGTCAATAAGTAGGCACAATTCCAGTTAAAATTTAATTGAGTTAAGCTGAGAAAAACAGAGCTGCTAGAGATCAAAAGAATATGCAAATTAAATAAAATAAACTATAATCCATCTAAGACTTGCAAAACATGAATGGTCCTGCAAGAGTTCAAATTACAGGGATGGCTGAGCAACTCTAAAAAATTAATGAAGAAGACATAAGAGAAGCTTTTGTGCCCTTCGGTACTATTGACACTGTAGAAATCCCCAAGGATGAACAAGGAAGGATGACAGGAGTTCTTTATGTTACCTATGAAAAAGCAGAATCAGCGAGAAATATGATTGAAGTTATCAACAATCAGCAATTTTTATTAAATGGAAAACCCATAAAAGTTCAATTGGTTTCTGGAGCCAATAATTATATGGACTTATAATTGGATGATGATTTGGTTTAAAATCCTGTGATGAGAATTACATTAATGAAGAAGTTAATGGATGACAACTTAATTGATAATGTAAGTGAAATATATTATATGAATAGATCAATTTACCTCCTTTGATGACATAATTAGGTTTAACTGTTCAAAGAATCTTAAACATTATACAATCTCCTAATCCCTCTTTAGGTTGTATATCTGGTTGGATGCCTCTTAAACATAATCCACCGGCATGTCCATGTATCACCAAGGTCATTGTATTGACTAACATGTGGACTGAATTGGAAATCTCTAATCAAGCTGCCATCGTAGAACTGAAAGAAGAAGTAGAAAGTATTTTAATTATTTATTATATCATAGATGAATGCAAGAAGTATGGAGATGTGGAGATGGTGTGGGTTGATAAAAAGAATGAAGGAAACGTTATTGTTGTATTCAAATAATGGGAAGCTGCTAAATAAGTAAATGTATTAATGAACAACAGAAAATTCGGCAATAAAGTTGTTTAAAGTTATTTCATTACAGAAAGTCAATTCATGAGCATCATCAAATGATATAGTAATATATAATAATAAACATACATAGTAAAGAGTTCATTTTTATAGTTTGATTATGTCTAAGGTTGCATTTTTGTTGAACTTCTTTAAGTTTTCTAGATTTGGAAATAGTTTATCAAAATTCTTGGCTAAGTTTAATACTTTATTTGATAATTCTACTGTTTCATCCTTATCAACATTAAGCACTTGTAAAGTTTAAGAGATCTAATTAATAATAGTATTAGATTATTACAATTTCATCGCTCGATTCTTGACACAACAGATTGCATCCAATTATTACACATGCTGCTGACAATGATGAATAATTATATTAACTAATTAGTTCATAATCGTATAAAACTATTTTAGCTAAGTAGGTAACAAATTAATGCAATTTCTAATACTAATTGATTAATTGTAAAGTCATTGAAATGATTTCTGAAAGAGTTGTCCCAACAAAATTGAAATCTAGAGCTTATGCTATTTAGGATTCTTTGTCCTTAATTTCATCTTTAGATAGTTTCTTGTGGGCTATCTTTTCATGCACTATCTACAATTTTACAGGATAGATTTCTTCGAACTTACTAGCAATGAACATACAAGTCACACCAACTAGATGCAAATCTTGAGGAGCATGCTATTTTGTAGTGTGATGTAGAAATGTGTCCATCAATCTCACAGCCATGAAAAAGGTCTGATCCTTACATTTGTATGATGTTAAGACTTCAATCATCCAATCAACCATTTTAGCTCTCAAATTAGTGGTAATGGAATGCTTTTTTAAAAAGTCAAACTTTTAGATGGAATCTTAAGCTTGGTAATTTGTGAGTATGTTGTCTCCATAAAGATAAGTTAATTTATTTTATGGATTCTTCTGTTCTTTATTTAAATAGTTTTGGTTGGATTAACTAATAGAGGTGGTCTATCTCACAGTGATTGGTGAATACTACAATTAATAGAATAGCTTACAATTTATTCAGTTGTGGAAATGGTTGTCTTTTACTTTATTTCTGGACGATAATGTAGACTTGATACATTAGGGTTCCTTTAAGTTAAGTAGTTCAATTGTTGAGGCTATTACTTGATATCGATGCTCTTGAACTCGATTTCTGAAAAAATATTGATAATATATTACTTGGTTATCTATTTAATAGATTTAATGAAACTAATTAGGTGAATGATTTTTAATTAGTCCGTTTGTCCATATTATTAGAAACTTCAGCTTGGTTCTCCTTCTCAAATATGCGTCTGGTAGTATCTTTCATTGTTGTATAATTATGTTTAACAGATAAATAATTAATGAAATTTATTAATAAACTTATTTTAGTATTTATTATTAAAGGAAATAATTTATATAATATTTTGAGTGCAAAAATTTAATATTTTTTGAATTGGGTTCAATTATTACTTTATAAAATTGTTTTGTGTCACTTAATTTGTAATACACGATGTTGAATCATCTACCATAAAATTTAGTGGAAAATGATGCTAATAAATTTTTCATATAATTTATATATTCGTCATAATGTCCACTTATTAAAATCTATAATTTTTTTCTACAAATGAATGATAATGAGAAACAGGAATAATCATAAAAGTTGATTAGTAATAATTAAAAATCCTGGCATAATACCAATGTTAGATGGATAGCATTGATATTGGCATGTCTTTTTTAATTTGGAAGTTATTTCAGCACAGATTATCCTTCAGTTTTGGCAGAAGAAATTAAAGATAGCTTCGACAAAAGTTAGTCAGATGTGAATCTCCTCTATACTTATTACTCAATGCCCAATGTGATTTTGCCTCTATTAGGAGGATTATTCATTGATGCAATTGGAATCAGACTTGCTATGGTTGGTTTCTTTGCTATCCTAATAGTGGGTTAATGTACTTAATTATCTTAATTTTAATAAGTTCTTTGCTATATTTCAGCAGTCTCTGGTAACTTTACAGTAATGCTAATTGGTAGATTAGTCTTTGGATTAGGCGGTGAAAACTGTGTTGTAGCTTAATCATATATTGTGAGTAAATGGTTTTTTGGAAGTGAATTAGCATTTGCATTGGGGTAAGTAGAGTATTTTTATAATTTAGTTTGAATATTACATTTGCAAGACTCGGGTCTGTGTTAGGAGCAATTTTGTTAGGAAAAACATATATTTGGTTTGGAGATAGTTTGTCTGCATCTATGTTTTTTTGTTTGGCTCTGCTAATCTTGGCATGGGTGGATGCTATCATTCTCGCTTTACTAGATAAATATTCTGATAAAAGAGACAAAGTGGAAGCCAAAATTGAAGGAGATAAAATAAAATTAAGTGATATCAAAGAATTTAAGTTGGATTTTCATCTTCTAACTCTCAGTTGTCTCACTTGCTACTCGGCATTCTTTTTATTTTAATACAATAATGTTGAAATGTTCAAACATATGTAAAAGTTGCTATCTAATTTAGATATCATATGAGCTCAAATTAAGCCAATAATGTCTATAGTATCCCATACTACTCAGCTGCAATCTTAACTCCCATATTTGGATATGTAATTGACAAATTTGGTAGAAGAACTCATCTATTAGTTTTATGTGGTGGCTTATTAGTGTTAGTAAATCTTATATTTGTGTCAATCGTTTGCGATGAACAAGAAGTTTGTCTTACTGCACCAATTTTAGGATAAATCCTAAATGGAATCTATTACTCCTTATATGCTGCAGTGATGTGGCCTTGTGTTCCTTTATGTGTACCTGAAAGAGCTGTGGGAACAGCATTTGGAGTTGTGAATGCTGTCTAGAACATTGGTTTAACAGTGTTCCCAGTTATAGTCGGTCATTTGATTTCAGATGAAACCCCAGCAGCCTACAGACATATGATGTTATTCTTGGGCAGTACTGCCATTATTGGGTTGATTAGTAACATTGGATTGTGGTTTGTTGATAAATAAAACGGAGGTAAGATGGCCAAACCTAGTCTCAAAGATAATACCGAAGTCTAAGATTTAAACATTCAACAACAGGAAAGTGATACTCCAAATTCTGAACCTAAAGTAGATTGATTTATATTTTAATACACAATATTAATTATATCTCAAAGATTCCTCAATGATTAAGATAGCTGTAATTTATGCTAACTAACTACCTGTCGATTCAACTCTTGAAACCATTCTTCTAGCAATGCTTGTGAAGTCACATTAAAAACGTACTCGCAATCTCGATATTTTATCTTAAGGCAGTTCGGCTTACACTTCAACGGATTTTTTATTATTATTGCATCTGCACATGGGACGAATAGGATTGGATGCATATCACCAGCTTACTTAAATAATAACAATCCCACGTCTGTCATTAATGCAAATACTTCAACCCAATCCTAAAAGCCAAAGAGTGTTTTCTATTGCATCTGCAGGAACCCTTACTTTTAAGACACTTTGAAGGCTGCCTACTTTCCACTTCCATCATATAATCCATTACCAATCTCATTAAGATTTTTAGGATGTGTGTAATTTTTAAATTAGATCAGAAAATTTTGTTAGTAAGATATTTAAATTTGAGAATTAAGAGTTTCATTTAAGAATTCAATGAAATCCTTTAGTTTAAAGGTTTCAATCAAATAATCATCATTTTACCCCTTAATTTTCAAACAGCACAGAATTGGGTTAAACTCACAACATATTAATTATTACACCTTAGATATAGGGAATTACCTAGTAATTTTAATGTTTTAATTATGTTCTTCAAAAAAATAAAATGTACTTTCCGTTATAAACATAATCCTCTTAGATTTCTCTCCTCTAATATTTATTCTGAATATGAAATCACTAAAACAAAAAATATAATCTTTTTTCATATTTTCCCTATCCTTTTTTATAATTTCTTTAATATATCGATTATCTTTCAACCCACAATATTCTTTTTTAAAATAAGTAAATTCATCAACTTATTCGGTATTATTGGTTTCAGTATTATCTGTATTCTAAATTATACTTTGAAACTCAGATTGAATGGTTTCATTCACCTTCTAATATAAATCCTCTTGATTTACTAAATCCTCCACTAAAGAGAATGACATTCTGCTCTAAAGAGTGCTTTGTTATTGCTATTGAAGGAAATCTAATTTAAGTTCATATTCTACAATCTTTTATTTCAATTATTCTACTAATATGTCATGTGATTACGCTATTATTTTGTTAGCATGAATCTAATTTTGCACTTCTTATTTTAAACAATCAAGTTGTTTTTAATCATTACTCATCCTTTGTATCAATGCTTCATGATCATCAATAATCTTTAGTAACTATTAATTATTTTCATTTAATCTCTTATTCTCTTAAATTAGCCATGCATTATGATTGTTTAAGGAATCTTATTCTAATTATAACGTATTAATGTGAGATTCTAATTATGAGAGGTGTTAACTATGATATTTCTCAGAATCTAGCTCTTTCTATATGGAATTATAATTGTTTTATAATTCATATATTTGTGAACTATACTTATGATTCTCAATTATTAATTACTATTTATGAATGCATAGGCTATCAATTTATTCCTGTAAATCCTTGCAGAGTGTTTCTACATCACTTAGAGCGGCTTATTATTCTTTAATTAATTGTGATTATGATAGCAATAGCCTTCCAATTTGCATTATATTCTCCTATTCTGTGTATTCTTCTAGCTACAATAGAATTTTCATTGACATTTCAATTTCCTTATTGTGACTTAATAACTATTCTTCAAATAATATACTCATTTAATATAAGATATAATTATTAATATTTTTAAAGTGATTGTTATTCTAAAATTTCCTAGCATTTTGATAACAATAGTCGAACATAGGTTGTATCATCATTTAATGTTTCATTCAATTATAATTAAAAAATATTTATGAACAACAATTACATTTTGCTTTATGGAAGTCTATCAGGTTTTTTTTCTGAAATTGTAGGAAACTTATTAAATTTTTGGACATATACAGGGTATTATCATTCTTGTAATCCCTTTTTGACAAACAGATTATTTGAGAAATGGGATGAGAAAAAAAAGTAAAATATCAATTTGTTCATAGATTTATTCGAATTAGTTTTCTAAAAGAATAAGGCCTCAAAAGATTAATAACTAAACTGTTAAATGATGCAAAGTGGAGCGCAATAGCATGGGGTTCTAGATTTTATATAACAGAAAGCTTAAGGATAAACATAACTAAAGAAAATTCAAATCTTACGCATTTAAGGTATTTTACATATAAAGAAGTTAATTTCTACATTCTTTTATATTTGGAAGCGCTGCACAACTTTGCTTCTCATCAATATTATAAATACGGAATTTTCTTCAAAGTAAATCATTCACTAGGTTCTACTTTACCTCTTGCTAAACAATATTTTTTGGAACATTTATTGGGTATTTACTTTCTGATTTAAATAGAACTCATGATATGCTCTAAAGGATTTTTAAAAAGGATGATGACAAAAAAATTTAAATGGTTTAAAACTATTGCATTGCTTAATTTTCATTTTTTATGGGTAGTTCTTCATATTCACTATTATACTATATTTTAAAGAAATAAAGGTTAAATGAAATTTATATAGAACGACTATTATTTTCTAAAGAAGGGGCAGCTCTATTTCTTTTGATTGGCTTTCTTCAAGAGATGGGAAAGCGTGATTTAATTTTTATTCTAACAATTAATATTTAAACAATGTAGTTGAAATATTAAATCGATTATCATTATTAATTGTTAAAGAAAATTTTTAAATATATAATATTTATTTTAAGGACAATTACTTCTAATTAAATTAAAGATTCAAAAGCAAATTGTTTACAATCCCGTTTAAATTGAATGAATTTATCTTCAAATTAGCGAAACACTCAAGATATCAACCTGTAATAATTTTACCAAACGATTTAGCTTCTAATTATAACATAACTTGATATTTAATAATTTGTCCTTAAATTTGTTGATTCGTCAAATTTGAAATTAGCTTAATACTTTTAGACTAAGAAATATGTATTAATTGAAATTTTATACATATTTCTCAAGTTGGATTCTCATCAGAATAACTTGATTTGACATTTTTCTAATAATATCTTTACTAATCTAACAGCACAAATTATCTATTCAAATATTATATTTCTAATGACATTGGGTTTAGAATGATCAACCATGAAGATATGCATCCTATAAAGATGGTACTTAAACAGGAGATCTTGATATTAAAAAGTCAATTAATGTTCTCAAAATTGTACTTATTTAGCCAGAGATATATAATTACTGAATTATTTGAGACTTAATTTTATTACTGTATTTAAATTAAACTAAGAATATAACTAATCAGCTGAAAGAAAAGTAGAATTTGATCACAATAAATATGAATCTATTTGATGTATGCGATTTAATAATCTTTATTCTAATTCAGAAGGTGGTAAAAAAGATGATGATGAAAAGGAAAGTTATTAAGAGCTCAAAGGGTATAGGGGGTACCTAATAATGAATTTTATGTTTATATTATATTATATTGTCACTAAAACAAAGAAATAAACCAAAAATTAAGAACAATTAAGACATATAGTCAATTTAGAATAAGATATTAAGAAGTTAGGTGATGTTTATAAAAAAGTAAATATAAAATTAAATCTTATGTGCAGTTTCAAGGAATTAATTGAAATAATGACCCATACTATCCTAGATGAACCGAACCTACTTAAGTAAAAATCAGATGAAAATCTATGGAGAAAAATTATCTATGATTTTTCAGAGTAATTAATTAGATATGATGGTAGAATAATCTTTATTTAAAATTGATTCTATTTATTTATTCATATAATCATGAATTGCCTCTAATATCTTGGGTTAAAATCTTAAGAGTCTCGATTGATCAGCAGAAAATGCTAACTTGTTGAGAGAAAGATAAAAAATGAGAAGAATGGAAAATTGAGCAGCCACTTAATTCAAAATATTATTAGCTTAGCTTTGAAGTATATGTTTATCATTTTCAACATACTTTGTTTAATTTTGACAGACTTATGATTTTGATAACTTTAAATTTAAAGTGAATTATATTGTAACAATAAATATTATATTATTAAATTTGAAATATGTTTAATAACAATAATGCTTAAAGCTAAAGACTTAAAGTTCTTAATAATGAGAATAGGAATACTTAAGAAGGCTACTTTAAATAAGATAAAGAAAATTATTATAAGCAATGGGAATAGAATTTGAATTAGAGGGAATCTTAGGTATTTAAATCAGTCATATATAGTTTAGTTAGAATAAAAGTATAAGGAATTGAAAAATTACTCAAAAAAATTAAAGGTTAAAAGTGATGAAATTGTAAAATAAAAGTTAGAATTGGGAGAAAAAATAGAGAGATATAATAGACTATTGGAATAGATAATCTAAGTTTAATTTTCAGAAAGACAAGTCAATAGAGCTGGTTCATTAACACCGAATACTAGTAAGACAAGAATAAATAAAAGTGGAATCAACGAATGTTAACAAAGAGTGGCAAATTTATTGTAAAAAATTAGACACACAAGCAAGACTAATTTAAAAACTCAATAATTTTCTTACTTTGGAAATAATTCTGATTATGAGGAAATCCTCTTTAGTAAAAGACAAAACCATTCTACTTCTTTCACAGGAATTATGAATGTAAGTGCGCAAGATTAAACAAATTAATAGCATCAATAATAATAATTATAAAATGAAACTTAGTAATAAGAAGATAAAAACTAAAAATAAAGTATGCTTTCTTGTGAAAATGAGTTATTGAATCATTAAACCTAATTATAGCAAATGGAATAGAACTAAAAGCATTTTTATTCAAAGGTTTATGAAGAGATGAATAAATTAAAATAATAACTTTGATTGAATAAATACAAATAATATATATTATAAACAATGCTATATTACTTTTCCATGTTTTCATATTAAATATAAAGCTAGTTATTATGTACATCCTTAATTTTTCATAATGAGTTTAGATATCCTTTACTGATTATGAAAAACTGATGTCACAATACGAAATGATATTCGAATTTCATAAGATTTATTAAAAATGAAGAGAGTTTTAAATTGACTTTGATTTGAAATAAGAAGTATTAGAGTAATTGTTTTTATTACTCTAAATAAAGTTGATTATATTTAATTAAAGATGCATTATGTTAAATTAAATTGTTAAAAGAAATCAATATCAACCTATAATAGTTGATAGCATGTTTTAAACAACATTGCGAAACTAACACTATAAGGATTTGTAAAACTAATCACACTATTAAGAGTGTAATTAATATATAAAAATATAAAATAATATAAATAAGGATGATTAAAAGTAAGTGAAAATCAAAAATAAGAGGTTATTGAAAAAATAATAAATATTAATAGTTATTGGAAATGGAGGATTAACAACAAATAAAAATTAAGAATAGATATTTTAAATAAATATAAAACCTTATAGATATTAAAATATCTTCGTAGATTATAGCATTAAGGCATAATCATTAGTAATGTTGTTAGACTCATATTTTATATTAATGAATTATGATGATGATATTTTGATTGATGCTCAATGATGATGTGATCCATGTCCTTTCTTAACATACTATAAGCCACAATATTTGCAAGTTTAAGGTGTTCCTTCAGTTCTTGTGTCTAATTTGATGTAAACTTGGGGATGTCCTGCATTAATATGAGTGCCACCCTTAAATAATAAATTAGTGGAATACCAAGCATCTCACAACATCTTAATCTACTTCAATAACTGGAATTTTATGAATAAATTCTTCAGCTCTGCTTTTATGAGTTTGGAGTGATTTCTTGATATAATTCATAATACTTTATGGGTTTGATCATAATCCAACCATTTGTGTTATGCTAAACTAGTGTAAGATTTCACAACCTATGAAAATTGGGCAGTCTTTGCCAATTGCATGCATCGTTGCAGCATATTATAATTAAATATTTATATATAAATAACTCAATTTATTGGCAAATACCAATATACTTTGTGAGTCACTTAATTTATTTATAATCACTAGATTTATTACTAATGATCTTTTAATTTTTGAGATTATCCAACTCAGCTTATAAAGCCATCAATTCTTCCTATTTTTCATGAAATTCCCTAAAAAATCTATTGAGTATAACTTACTTATTTTATTCTATAAACTTTCTCCTCCAAGTGTTTACTTCATCAACTAAATATTTCTATTTCTCCTCTAAATTAATAGTTTAGTCCTCCAATTATGCATGAAGTTCAGATATATATAGATTGGCATTTTCTAATTCTTTATCCTTTTCAGCTAATTGTTTATCATAGCCATCAATTATGCTTTATTTAGTCTCTGCTTTCTCTTCCAACTATTAAATTTCCTCTTACAATATTTTTATGGTATTAACCAACTATTAAATCTAACTATAAGCTTGAGATAATTCACTCTCTACATCCTCATCTTATTATTTCAATTATTATTCTTCTTCTAGAATTTTAATCTTCCTTTATAATTCTTAAACTTTTATTCTCCAAGGTTCCTCAATTTTTTACAAATCCACAAGATTCATTTATTTTTTATGAGTAATGTTAGATTGAGATGTATGGAATCTTTAACGTGTAGGTTGATCCCAAATTGGACGACACACACTTCCATTGTTATTTATTGGAAAAATAGTTCTATTTTATTACTATGAAAAACTAGTTTATAACTATTGTTAAAATGGTTGTTAAACATTTGGTTGAATTTAATTTTAGAATGATTGTTGAGAAACTATCTTTATTGTTGGCTATGAAATTTATTATAATTAAGTTGAAAATCCTACTCCATATGTGGGTTAATAAATTTATTATCTCATATATATTAAAAATAATTAAATACTAAATATGTGAATTTTTCAAAAAATTTTTGAGGTAGAGTGCCGTGAGTTATGGCTGGTAATTTGTTGTTCACTTGAGTATTACTTTACTTTATTTGTAATACATTTTGAACAGGCTGCTCTTCTTCTTCGTCAAATTTTTATTTTTTATTTTATTTTTTTTTATTGTTTTTTTCAAAGCTTTAGGATATTTTGGTTACTGAAGTAACTCACTAGCAAGACCTCGATATACTATTAAAAATATTCCAATTAAACCTTTCTTTACAACATTCAATTTATTATGGGATTCATTAAATAGAACCAAATTTAAATGTTTTAATTCTCTTTATACTCTAAATTACAAAACCAATATTAAATAATATACTATAATTATATATACTCTAATACGTAAGATAACTTTTATTGATCTTATGATAATTCTAAATATACTCGAATTCTACATGAGCATTCAAAATGCTTTAAATACTTTAAATAAGAAATATATTTGATTAATTCATTTTATATATTTATTTATATCATAATTAATCAATATTCCTTTTCTGAATATAATTCATAAAAATCAGGTGTAAAAATTAAATAATATTTATATATTTTCAAATCAATGAGCTTTTAAGTATAAATAAACCAATAAATTAGACAACCGATTCAAAAAAAGAAGAATTCAGAAAGTACTTAGAAAAAGCAGGAGTCATTGATCAATTGACAAGAGTTTTAGTAGGATTATATGAAGAACCTGAAAAACCTAATAATGCCATTGAGTAAATTTTAGAATTACATTTAGCTATGTCAAAAAGTATTTAGGATCTCCAGTCGATATCGACGTTGACAAGTTGAAATTAGAATATGAGAAATTGAAAGATGAAAACATTAGATTAAAGAGAGAAGTTGCTGAATTAAAAAAAGAAGTAATTAAGATCAAAATATCTAGTTATAAGCAGCCTAACAAGAATAAAATTGATGAATTATACAAAATATTTAATTATTTCGCTAATCAGTTTCCATATTTTATTATTTTAAATCCTTTATTATTCATATATTAAAAAACAATGAAAATTTATTTTTGATAAGTTTACTCTAATAATCATTTTAAAAGAGGACCAACAATAGGTTTGTAGTCATACAGTAACTTTATTTCTCCATCAAAAATGCCACATTATTCTAGAGTCTTTTTTGGATCCAAAACCTAAAATGAGATTAAGTTTTACATCTTCAGGACTAAATCTATCACGACAAACTGATATTCCAGAAATAGCACCTTAATGCATTTTTGAAATTTCTTCATGAATTTGTTCAACTCTTGTTGTTATAGGCACCTATCGATGAAAACTAATAATACTCTGATTTTCAAAGTGAATAGATCGGTTACAGGATGTACCAACTTTATTATCAAGTCTACTTTCGGAGTAACAATATCTGGATTCTCATACTATGGAATATTGAAGATAGAGGGTAAATATTCCTCTTTCTTCTTTGACTTTTTCGATTTTTTTGATTTTTTCTTTTTAGGTGGCATTGTTAATTAAATTATAAAATAAATATTAAGAAATTTAAAACCTGAAATACATCTCAAGAACAGTGATATGTTAAATTATGATATTTTATATTTGTTACTTTGATAAATTTCTCTATAATATTTAAGATCTAAATAAATTCCTTCATTTTGGTATTATTTTAACTAATTTATTAAGTTCTTATAAGCATCTATTTAGGATTTTTATATACTGTATCAATATATATATAAAATATTAGAGATTTATATAACAATTTAATACTTATCTAAAAGATACAATTTAATATTAATTATTTAAAGATGATCTTAAAGGGAAATACAAATTTTTATGTATAATCTTCAATTTTTTATAATAATAAAATGATATTGTTAATCTTTATAATAATAGTAATGTAAAAAAGGTATAATAAAACGAAAAATATAGATGAATCAAAGCATTTTCCAACTATTTTTGCCTTAAAAAGTTTATGATATATTTTATAATGAATTAGAGGAATCTTGATCTTTTGATATTCCAGGAGAAGAGTTCCTTACCTTCTATCTTACATTAGCTGAATTATTTGGTTTATTTTTTGTTTCATCTAAATATTAGTATAAAAACATACTTTTAATGGCAGGTGAAAAAGTCCTTGTGTTTACAGTGGATGGTTTTTAGACCAACGTAAAACTGGTGGATGAAATATTGTCTTTTGCTTTCCTAATAATTAAATTATAAAGATTACACTTATTTTTATGATTATGTTTTCTCAGTTAGTTCTTATAAAACTCGTATTGGTTAATTTTTAACAAACTAAGCTTGACTTTTTGTTAAATTTTAAGGAGATATGAGCTTTTTAAATTGATTTAAATCTGAAACTACCCCTTTAGTTGACTATTTCTAATCAGCTTCAATTGCAGAATTGCTATTGTTATTAAAACTACTATTATTTTGAACTTGGTTTGCACTTTAGTTCAAATATTTATCCTAAAAGGAATTATTTGGTTTCTATTAATTTCTTAATGTTGATGCAGCCTATCTTCTACATTAAACATTTCTTAAATAAATTTGAGAGCTTGATTGTGGTAAAGGGGGACCTTACTAAGTTACTTTTTTGACTGCATCCTTTTAAAATGGAGATAAGCTATCCTTTTTTGTTTAATTTATTGCTCTGAACCCATCTTTAACTTCAGCACTATTTGGTCTATTTTTGAAATCTGCATTACCTTAATTTTTAGTTAAGGAAGTGCTTCTTTCTTAAACTTTTACTAAATTCAATCCAGAAGGATTGGCAACAACAGATACATCATTAATTTAAGCATTTTATTTTTAAATGCATGATTAGGATTATGATGATTTTATCTAATTCTTTTATTACAATTATTAAAACTTCTGATAACTAGATTGCAATTAAGATATTGATTAAGTGAGTGTTTTTTATATTTCAGAATGTTTTGTAGAATTCATTTACTAAATCATTGTAGGACTAATTAATTATTCTAATTTACTCTTTTATTGGGCATTATTTTATTATAAGAATAACTGTTATTAAGTTGTATTTGATTATGCTGTTAATTGAGTAGTTTATGATTATAATGACTATTTGTCCATATTTGAGATTGTCTCTTATTATTTATTAAAATAATTAAGTGATTGTTAAACTTAATTTTTGAACTCTTAAAAATTCGTTAAAATAGAAGGTTAATTGTCCTTTTATTTAACTGAGCTTGGTCGATTGTTAGTATTGTTTTCTGCTTAATTTTTTTTGTCTTCATTCTATTACAAAGAATTGCTTCTGATTCCAGTTGCAGGATTAGCCTATGCTTGAAATTACAGCAAATTAGTTGCAATTTAAGAAATTGCTTAGGTGTTTTGATTTTCAATTTAAGGTTTAACTAAATTATTAATTAAAGGGTTTTTCTTAGCATTTTGTTCTTATTATTATTGAGGAGTTCTCGTTTTCATTGCACAATGCATCAATAGATTTTAAAATGAAGGATTATTTGTAAGATTTGCAGATGTAATGTTAGAATTCAATTACAAATCACTTTAATCTTATTATTAAGATTTACTACTAGCGGATCTTACTTAAGGTGCAGTATTTGAACTCTTTGGAAAATTGGACTAAATTTATGGTTATTTGGGTGGTTATACTAGAGATTAGTTCTTTTATGCTCCCTAATTAAAGTTTAACATTTACTTTTAGAATTGATGGTGTGGTTGGATCGATTTTTAAATTGATTTCAGAAACAGGTACAAAATCAGGAGAGCCAGAGTATACAATGGTTGCTAATGATATATTTTCTTTATTGATTTGATCTTTCCATTTTATTTTCTGATTAGTAGCTTTTCCTAAGACTCCCTTGAAAATACAAAATGAGTTTATACTTGTTTTGCTTAGAGATTTGTATATATTTCATCCACAGGTCCATTGTGTGAATTTAGGAATGTATTTCTAATGATTAATTCATCCTGCACTTGGGAAGGGTTCTATTCATCAGTAGTTAACTCATTCCAAGAGGCTGTTCTTTTTGGTCCTTATTTGGTCATCCTATTTTCTAATGCATTCAGCTGATAAAAGAATGATGCTCTGATTTCAAGATCTGGCCTCCTTGAATTCAAATATTCAAGAGTTTTATACAGTGTCCATGAATACCTATTAAATTTAAATATTTAACGAACTTTTTCATAAAATATGCAGCAAGTACACAACAAGCTCTACTCTGTCCTCTAACTGAATGGACCAAGCAACTCTCTCCCTATTGAAAACATTCTTCTATGAATGTAAATATTTTATTAACATTTTCACTTCTTTCATCAAATAAAACCTAGATATATCATTTTTAATGAATACCTCATTATCTTACTCCAACCAATTAAATGTTAAATACTTTGCACCCATCAATGTCCATTTATTTTATACTTCCGTTCCAGCACAATTTATTATATGAGTGACTTTATTTGTCATAATGAATTCACGATCCTTTATTGAATCAAATACCAAACCTAAGATGCATATTCATCTCCAATAAACAACCCATCCTTTATTTTTATAGCTCCTACTATTTGGTTCTATGCCATATTAAAAAATTTAAATTATTATTATTAAACTTAACTCTTCTCAAGAGATCAATAAAATTTATTTTTACATTCCTTTTTTTAAATCAATTTTCAAAAGAAATCATTGATTTTAAATAAAATAGGATAATTCTCCAATCCATCACAACTACAATTCTTTTGGTCTATTATCAAATAAGTTGGATCACAAAAACATTTATACAAAGACTAGCTTAATTTTAATTAAATAAAAGTGTTGTAAAATTTATCATAGGTAAAATATCTAAATAACATAAAATGAAATATTCTGAATGACTGGTCAAATATATTATTTTTTAAAGTAAGAATCTGTTTAGATAAATCAATTTAAGTATTCATTTCTAATTTAAATTTAGTCGACAAGTAGAAAGCCTTATCCCACAATATCATATAATAAAGAAAAGTGTTCTTAATTAAATTATGTATATCATAAGAAAAAGGATAATTGTATTATATATATATTGATTCAATAAAAATTAATTAAAATCAGAATGATTGTAAAATTTCACAAAAAAACTGAGAGGATTAAAGGGTTGTCTTTTCATCCAAAGTAACCATGGCTTTTGGTTGGTCTTCATTCAGGGGAAATTCAAATGATTGATTACAGATTTGGAAGAGTATTTATAGATTACTATAAATTAGACAATAAATGAATTCTACGAACATGAAGGCCCTGTTAGATCAGTTTAATTCCATTAATCTTTGTGTTTATTCATTTCAGGATCAGATGATTTTACTGTAAGAGTGTGGAATTATAAAACAAAAAAATGTCAATTTGTATTGCGTGGTCACTTGGATTTTGTTAGATGCGTTAATTTTCACCCAGAATTGCCATGGTGTGTTTCAGGATCTGATGATCAAACATCTAGAATTTGGAATTATTAATCTAGGTAGATGATAGCTACTGTTACAGGACATAGTCATTATGTAATGCATTGTGAGTTTCATCCATCTAAAGATTTTATGATTACATGTTCATTGGATTAGACAATAAGATTGTGGTCAATAGCTCAACTTAAAAAGAAATTTACATCAAAAAGTGTAATCAATTACTTATAATTAGATCTAATTGGGGGAATAGGCTAGCGAATTAGAATTGGTTTAGATTTTGGAAGGACACAGTTAGGGTGTGAATTGGTGTTCATTCAATCCAAAAGACAATACTATATTATCTTCTTCAGATGATAAGAAGATCAAAGTTTGGAAATACTTTGATACTAGAGGATATGAAGTCGATTAATATTGTGGACATACAGTAATGAATAGATTATATGGTAGAACAATGTCAGTTGTGCTATGTTTCATCCCTTTGGAGAGTACTTCATCTCTAATTCAGAGGACAAAACTCTAAGATTGTGGGATATGAAAAAGAAGGTTGAAGTAGATTGCTTTACCAATCATGAATTAGATAGATTTTGGATATGTGCTGTTCATTAGAGTAACAATTATTTTGCAGGTGGTAGTGATTCTGCCTTATATATATTCACATTATTTAAAAATAGGCCTGCCATTGATTTAGTAAATAATAACTTTGTATATTTTGGGAATCGAAAAGTGATTAAGATTTTGGATTTATAAAATGGATCAGAAAAGACTATTAAAAATCTGTAAGAGTTATCATGCGTCTCTGATAATTTGCTTTAAGACAATGCTGAATAAGTTCTACATAATATTTATGAAAATCAGAAATCTCAAATCTTAGTGAGGTTAAGAAATCATATTCATAATAAATCTAAAGGAGTTTCAAAATATCTTGTATTTGAATAACAAACTAATTTGTCCTAATTCTTCTTAGCCAAATCTGCTATTTTTATAGGCAAATCTAAAATATTGAGATCGAAAGAGAATTCTGAAATCGAAATTTATAATTTTGAAACAGACTCTCACATTCTATTAGGACATAAAACTGATCGTCTATTCACTTTTACTGGTGGAAAAGCCATTTATTATTCGGAGTCTATGATAAATGTGCTAGATCCAATTGCTAATAAAATAATAAATCAGATTGCTTGTACTAATGAATTTCAGAATATCAGATAAGTCAAAGTGAATGATTATTGTATTTTAATTCAAACTAAAAATGGAATATACATATTTACAAAAGAGTTTCAAACTATTACACATATTTCGGAAAAAATCAATATTAAATCAGTGTTGTTTTTAAGTGATTAAATAAATATTATACTTTATTCAACAAAAATGCATTTAAAGTATCTTTTATTAAATGGAGATACTGGAATTATTTGCAGCATGGAGACAGTGCCATATTTAGTTTCATTTTAGAACATCTCAGAAAAACCTGGATTTTAGTATAAATTATTTTATATGGATAATATGGACAAATTACTAAACATCACTGTTGAATGTTCTGAAATATTCTTCAAATATGCCTTAATTGAAAAAAATCTCTAATTTGTTTAGAATTTTATAAAAAATCACCAAAAACTAGGAGATCTAATAATAGCCTATTTATTCTAAAAAGGATATTCAATACTTGCCCATTAATTAGTAACTGATAAAAGAGCCAAGTTTCAATTGGCTCTTTCTTCAAATAATTTAGAAATAGCCTATAGAACGTGTGAAGACCTTAAAAATCCAAAATGCTATTAGATGTTACTAGAAGAAGCCATGAGATAGGGAAACCATAATATTTATGAAGTTTGTTAATAGAAGTTAAGAGCATCCTAAGAATTGGCATTTCTCTACATAATTACAGGCTAATTAGAAAAAATTAATATCATAAGCAATATTGCACAGGAACAAAATAACTTAGATCTAAGATTCTAAACCTTATTAACTATGGATAGTTTGAAACAAAGAATTTCATTCTTAAAAGGTTGTAGTCTGGAAAAATTAGCAAATCTTAGTTAAATGGCTCATGGATTAGAATTTGAAGCTAATAAGAATTGTGCTGAGGATATTGAATGGATATAATCATTAAAACCTGAAGCAATAATCACTCCATAGCCTATAATAAAATCAAGCTAACATCCATTATTCTCAATGAATTGGCCTCACAATTTTGTAGATGAAGATGAAGTATTCAAATTATCAGGGGATGATTCCAAAGTTGCAAATCAAAGTAAAGCAGAGATTACTAATACAATAACTGCTCATCATTAGAATCCATTTGATAAAAATACACAAGCAAAACAAAAAATAAATTAAAATATAGATAAAACAGAAGAGAATGATGAATAATTCCAAGATTGTTAATGGGATTTAGATGAAGTAGAGCTATTAGAAAATAATGAACAAAGTCAGGCTACTTTGGATTAGAAAGCTATATTATATGGATATCCAGATTATAAAAAAGGTATGAGATTGAATTTTAATTTAAGCATTACAGCCAGTGGAATATTTAATTACAGAGTAGTATCAACAAAGTCTTTAAGTTCTTCAATAAAATTATAATTTTGTGAGCCTAACACCTTGCTAAGATTATTTAAAGTAGTTAGCTTTGAGGTCTGTCGTAGAAATACCTTAAATACCGTTTTTATTGCCTTCTCCTTTAATTGTTTCATCATCGCAAGATAAGATCTATGTGAATAAATCCTTTAATGAATTACTCAAAGTAGGATATAAACACACAAGTGATGGAAAATTCTAAGATGCTTTAAATACATTCAAATCCATTTTAAAATAAGCCATATTCTAGAGTCTAAATAATGATGTGGTTCCTATTTGTTTAAACTACATAATGGCTATGAAATGTGAACTTGCAAAGAAAGATAAAGAAATTTCAAGACAAATAGAATTATCATGTTATATGGCAATGTGTGATTTGCAGCCCGTTCATCGCTCATTAACTCTGAGAGCTGCAATGAGTTTGTCATATAAAAATAAGAATTACTTAACTGGATCTCAAGTGGCATAACAATTAATAAAATTACTAGAATAAGCACCTAAAGGGGCTGCATATTCTAAACCAGAAGTGTTAGAAAATGTCAAAAAAGTAATACATTCTTAAATTTGTTTAGATATATAATAATTGCCAATAGAATCCTAAGAATGAATATAATATCAACTTTGAACCATTTTATTTAAAAGAAGGAGTAAAGAATTTATGTGCTGATACACTCACTTATAACGATGATGTATAATAAATATACTTTTGTTCATTCGATAAGAGTAGACATTCATCAAAAGGAATCTTATGCCAAGTGTGTGAGTTGTGTAAAATCAATTGAGTTTGTTAAATAATTAAAATTTTAAATCGGTTATAATTTAATAATGAATTCAAATGAGACACTCGTAGAATAAGAGAAATAGATTCTTGAAAATACAGAAAACATAGACACCACCAATACTGAACAATTACTTGATTTCACAACTATGTTTAAGAATCAATAAGCTACTAAACCTAAATTGCTAAATAGATAATAATAATAATAAACCTAATCTACAGATGAGTTAACTCATAAATAACTTCAAAATACTGTTCCAAGAAATCTCACTATTACTTAAGAACTAATGAGTTAAAGAAGATGTTTAGATGTTCGTAGATGGTATAGTTTGAGTAGACCATAATACAAGAAAAGTTGCGGTATTTCATCTGTTGTTACTTGCTGGAATTACCTATTTTCTACTTTAGGAGTAGGAACCTTAAATCCACTTTCTTAAGAGGAAGTAATTGTCTCTTTGGGGTAATAATAATATATAACTATTTTAGTCTGAGTCCTGAAGTAGGACCACACTTTAATGAAGTAGAATTCGGGAGCTTTAGTGGAAATATGTCTTTAATATCTTGGTTTAAGAATTTATGTAGATTATAAAAAGTATAAGGAAGAGCTTATTTTCTATGGAAAAATGAAGGAGATTTTTCGACTCCAGGAGTTGATAGAGATGTAGCTCTCTCGAAATTAACCTCTGGATTAAAGTCTGATAAAATCTCCTACATTTATCATGCTTATAATCATTATTTCTGTCCTATTGGATTTGAATGCACACCTAATAAATAAGTAGAAGCCTTTGCTGATGAAATAGATTAAAATGATTGCCAGTATTGGATTATTATAGCAGAACCTGCTAAACCTTACCCAATGTTCACAGTCAGAAAGTGGGTAGATATTGCTTAAGATTTGGAATTAAAATACCCTCAATACATGAAAATTAGAAAAATGAATGAAGGAATAAAAAGATATAAAAATGAAAAAGGAGTTAGTTAACATTGTATTATGGCATTTGAAAGAATTGATCCTAAACCAAAAAAAATGATAGAGAAAAAAGAGAAACCTATTACAAATGAAGCATTATAAACAATAAAAAAGAATAATTTGGTTGATTAACAAGTAGAGTAAATATCTGCCAATAATACTATTCCCTAAAGTCTTGTTAGCGATGATAATTTGAAATAAAATGAATAATAATGAAGAACAGTAAATCTTTGATAATTAATATTTTATATGATATCTTATATATAATAACTTTTACTTAACTCATTTTTAACTAACAGTATATTAATCTTAGTTGTGTAGATGATAGAACATTTTGTTATTTAAAATATTCAATTCTCTAAAAATATATTCAAATGTTTAAGAAATTTGTATTTTGATTATTTCTATATTATTAATTTAAAGATTATATATTGTTGATATATCTATACATATATTTGATTTAAAATTGAATTAGATCAATCAAATACAATAAATAGTTTATGCATTTAAACATTATTGTAATCAATTTTATTATAAATATTTTTAATGTAAAAAAACGTTGCTAAAATAGTGTCTTTAAATTTCAAAAATAGTATAATGGGTGGTTTTGTTAACTCAAAAATTTAAAAGGTAAAAGGAGAAGAGCATTTTTTTTCAGAGTATGATAAAACATTTTTGATGTCGGATTTTATTTAAACATGTATTAAATAGGAACAGCTCATTATTCCAGTTGATTTTTCGAAGAATAGTAGATTTGATGAGTTTGCTGAAGATCACTTTGATTTTGGAAGCATTAAAAATGAACAATGAGTTAGAAGAAGACTTGACACATTTATATAAATTTTCAATATTTTTTATTATATGTTGATAATACTGTATCATTAACTTGTCTTCTTAAGTTCTTCAATTTCAAAAGCCTTCTTTATTGCCTCTTATTGATGTCTTGACTTGATTCCCACTTATCCACCACCAATAGTTCTCAACAATTCATGGTTTTCGTTGTAGTGTTATCTTAAATCACGAGCCTTTAATTAATTTTATTTTATACTAAGTTATCAAATTCAGCTTGATCTTCTTTTCTTACGTCTGTCAAAGCGACACAAGTAGCTGTTTTTTAGTGAACCAAAGCTCCTAATCTAGCCTTGTCTAAACATATAGATTGATTGAATTACTTTTGACAAAGGCGAATGGGACTTCTTGACGTCTGCACAATTGTGGGAGCCATACGACTAATTCAATTGGATCAACGTCGTAAGCAATCAAAACTAATTTAGCTTTCTTAGTTTCAACCAATGTAGTAACGTGATTCAATCCGAATTTGAGGACTGTCACTTTCTTACTATCTGTCTTTTAATTTTAGGCCTTTGATTCAGCAGCCTTGACTAATCTTTGTTTCTTTTCTGTTTTGGTTTCAGGGGCATATTTCTTTAATAAAGAATAGACCTTTGAGCCTTAAATTAAAATTTACGATATACTTTGATTCTTGTCAAGTGTTTTGCTGAATTAATGAATAGCTGCTGGCACCTTGATTCTTTGCAATAAAATCTTTTTTTGTCTGTGCAAAAGAATGTAACGAGGCCATCTGACATATCTTGATAAATCTCTCTTTGGTTGGACATCATTTCCAATTCTGAAGTTTTTAGCATCCTTAACAAAGAGTGGATTCTTCTTTCTGTCTGCTACTTTCTTTTAAACCTTCTTAGCTTTAGATGTCTTTGGAGCTTTTGGCTAAAGGAATAATCACAATCAAATTTACCATAGTTAATGAAAATCTTTTAATATATTTTTTGAAAATAAAAGAAAAAAATAGGTATTAATCATCACCCAAAATAATTTATTCAAATTCAGATATATCACTGAAAATATCTATCCAAACCATATAAATTATGATTAGATGAGGAATAAAACTGTAGTATCTATGGAATAATGATGGATTTCTCTTTTTTGAAATGAAAATAATTGATGAATAGATATATAAAAATTAGATATTAATTACTCTTTTTTAAAATTTTGATTATAATTTTCAAGTTCTATGTAATCAACTATCATATATGAGAATTTATACATAGTTTATGTAATGGTTCATTTGTAATCTATTTACATAAATTCATTTTTGTTGGAATATCAATATAATTTTTATATGACATTTTTCAATTGACTTCGATAGTATATATTTATTTGTTGAACTACTTTGTAGAAATTAGAATTGATACAAATTAAGAGCATCATAAATAACAAACATTATTATTAAATAAATTACTAACACAGTCATAATGTTTATAAGAATAAAAATACATTCTCTTCAACATTCTCGGTTAAGTGAGACTATAAGAATAATTTTTTTTTAAGGCTCAAATATTTTGGATCGTAATTACCTTATTTTCCAGTTTATTTACATAAAGTTGAAATTAATTTTCTTATTTCCAAATCTGTTTAATGTACAATGTTTTCTTAGTTTTGTTTAATTTAATTCTCTTTTTCATTTACAATTTAATCTTCATTCAAATATTCATTTTAATGTCTGATGTCCATATCAATAACTTATTAATTCAATAGTTCAAATGTATTATATTTACTGTCAATGATTATTGTATTTTTTAAACTTTTGGATTCAAATTTATTAAAAAGGAGTTCTACAATTTCATCATTTAATTTCTTTTTGACATCTCTGGTTGAATTTCTGTTTAAAAGATCTTGTAAATTTAAATTAATTAAAATTTCAATGTAACTCGCCTTAAATTTTTGACATATGTGTAAGATTTGTTTCCTCTAACTCATTAATAGAAAATCATCATCAATTATTATTGTTTAAAATTTCTTTTCCTATAAATATTCTTCTAATATTTATCTGACTTAGAATCGAGATTTCTTCCAATCATCTGGATTAAATTAATGTTCTTATTATAAAGAATCAGCCTCTATTATAATGTCAGCATTGAGCAATTTAGATAAGGTAGTCTTACCTGATCCTGGACAACCAAAGATTATTATTACTTTCATTAAATAATATTAATTAAATACTCAATCATCAAACAACTTTCTTGAACAAGGCTCAAAACATCTTTGAATTTCCTCTAAGTCAACCTATTCTATAGTTTTAGGATTAAATTTAGGCTCGTAGGATGTGTCAACAAGTAAACTTCTTAAGCCTTCAACAAAATCGGGTCTCGCAGCAACTTTGTCCAAAATGGACTATTCCATCTTGAGATTATCCTTAAGGGATAATTTTGCCTTCTTGTTTCTCATAAATAATTCATAGAATGCATAAACACTAAAAGCACTATTTTTTCTAATTTGAGCAGCTTATTCTGGGAATTGTGCTTCCATAGCAGACATTATGGATGGCAAAGAAGATAAACTCAATACATTTAAAAATTATTTAGGCACTTCAAATTCTGTTTAATTTAAATAACAATATCTTTGGAGTAAGAACTCTTTTATAGATTCTTCATCTCTTAAGTAATGAGCTTGTTCAATTTCCATCTCAATTTCAGGGATGCATTCACTATCAATTAGATAGTCAGCAATACCTAAATGAGCCATCTTTAAGCCATCAAGTTATTCCCCACTCATACCTAAATACATACCGTAGTTTTTGTAAATTTTACTAAATTTTAAGGCACTTCCTCCATCAGGTACCATACCTAATTTACAATGAGGCATAACAAAAGTTGTATTTTCTGTTGCTATTTTCAAACGAGAATTAATTCCGAATGCAGCACCTATTCCCGATGTAGGTCCATTCATAATGGAAATTGTAATACTCTTATTTGAGCCTATAGCATGAACAGCTTTTTTCTATTAATCTCCAAAGAGGCTAAATTTAGATACATCTCTTAATTGACCATTAGTGGATAAATTTGATAAGTCATTTGTATTTTGAGGGACATTCAATATATGTCTAGTGTTATTTAATAAAGTACTCATAGTCTGCTCCTGAGGCAAAGGTATTGCCAACCCCTTTCAGAATAGTCACCACAGCGTGTTCATTCCAGAATTTACTACTTTCAAGAATGTCTTCGCACATTTCAAGATTGACAGCGTTAAGTTTATCTAGTCTATTAAAATAAGTAGTGGACAGCCCATCCTTGATTTTATTTATTATGCAATTATTTTTGGCGATATGTCTCATTAAACTTAAAATAGGTTTTCCTCCTAAAATAAAAATTATTAAATAAATAAATTTGGTATCATTTATTAATAACTCACATAAAAGTGTTAAGCTAAAATATCAGAACAAATGAGTATTGATTAAGATATTGTTAGGTGATGAATATTTAAGATTTTTATAACTCTAAAATAATTTGAGATTCAAAAGAATTGACATAAATCTTATATATAAATTTGTTTAATTATTTAAATGTTTTAAATTGGAAACATATGAAATAAATATAAATTGAATCATAAAATAAAATGGATTAATATTATCATTGTTTATCAGGCATCATTTTCACAAAAGTATACACTTTTTAATTGCTTTGGATATTTACATTTATATTAAGGGTTCTTTGGATGATAAGAATGGAATGTTGAGTGAAAACAGTTAAAATTTTAGTTTAAAGCTGACATAATAAATTTGGAGATATCTGAAATTGAATTGGAAAATGGAGGATGGTTGATGTTTATTTAATTGTATGTACTTCATCATCAAATAATCGATTTTGGATTTAAGAATAAACATCTTTAAATCTTTTCTGATTAATACTGTATTTGGTTATATAAGAAGTACCATAATTAAAGCTTATTAAATAAAACCTTTAATAATGAGAAAATTCTTAAAATACTCGCTTGGATTAGGATTAGGAGCCTTTGGTTATGATGAGTATAATGAAAGGTATTTATGTATTTAAAGGAATTTAGTAAAATAATTAGAAGAAATGCGAATACCATTCGTTGTGGATTGAATATTCTATACTAATACAAAATCAGATTTAATGCAGAGAATGCAAACGATGTTCATGAAACAGTGGCTAAGGATATCTATGAAACTTGTATAAGGAATGATGGATTATATGTTAAATTTGGATAGGGAATTGCTGCATCTGAACATTTGTTGCCTCCTCCTTATTTCAAATGGATGAGTTTACTTCAAGACAAAGCAAAAGCAGTTAGTTTTAAGAGAGTTAGAGAGATATTGGAAGAAGAAACTGGGAGAAAAATTGAAGAGATTTTTGATGAATTTGATGAAATTCCTATTGCATCTGCCAGCATAGCTTAGGTTCACAAGGCAAAGTTAAAGAATGGAGATGTTGTTGCAGTAAAGGTTTAGAAACCAAACATAAAGAAGCAATTTGGAAGTGATATGTTTATGCATCATGTAATTTGTGGAGTATTGTAATATGCATTTGACATGCCCTTATTACAATTTCAAGAATCAATTCAATCTAATTTGAAAAAAGAAATAGACTTTAGGATTGAATTAGAGAATGGAGAAATCAGCAGAAGGGCATTACAAATAATAGGGAGAAAAGATGTTCACATTCCAAAATTTTATGAGGAATTGAATACATAAAGAATTCTGGTTTCTGAGTGGATTGATGGAATCAAAATATCGAAGCAAGATGAAATTCAAAAGCTTGGTTTCAACACAAAATAAATTATGGATACAGTGATAAGTGCTTTTGCTGAGTAAATATTTATCTCAGGATTTGTTCATTGCGATCCTCATCCAGGAAACATTTTTATTAGACCTAAGCCTGGAAACAACAAGCAATATGAAGTTGTGTTGTTGGATTTTGGATTATGCATCAAATTAGAAAATTAATTCAGAATGGATTATTCAGAGTTTTGGACTTCATTATTCTTACAAGATTTTACTAAACTTAAATAAATAGTAACAAAATGGGGAATTGGCAATGAGGAGATGTTTGCATCTATGTAATTAATGAAACCTTATCAAATGAAACAACCAGTTCATTGTCATCAAGTAACTAAAGAGGATGTTATGAAATTATAATTAAAAATGAAAGATGAAATCAGAGAAATGATGAAATAAACTGATCTATTTCCAAAGGATTTGCTTTTTGTTAATAGAAATATGAATCTTGTTAGATCTGTCAATAAAAGATGTGGTAGTCTTGTAAATAGAATCAATATTATGGCAAGATATGCTTAACAAGGTACCTAATAATTTAATGATATTCTTGAATCTTAAAAATTCAACAGAAAATATCACTCAAGTATCATGTTTGAACTCAGATTATGGGTCTCTGGATTAGTCTATTCATTACTCTCGATCTGGCTCAAGTGGAAGAAAAATCAAAAGGTTGAAGATTTCTTAGAGCAAAAGTAAAAAGAATAATTTTAAGGAATACACGAATAATATGGTTTTAAAACTCCTGATGAAAAAACTTTTGATGCTTGATTGTCCTTTTTATGTTTATATCTATATATATTTTGGATATATTATTATATAATATAATCTATAATAGATTATGATTATGACATATCTAATATTTTCAATCCAAATATGCTTGAATTATTCACGATTCCTCCCCTCCCCCATGAAAATAGAATAATCATACAGTAAAACAAAGTTTAATTTGAATAGTTTAATAATTATAATAAGTAATTTATATGGCTGGAAACTTTTTTAAAGGAACTTCAACAGATTAAGATTCTCGATTTGGTGATAAGGAGCGTAAACTTATTATGAACAAGTAATGGCCAGAAGTTTTCAATCGCAAGCTGAATATGAAAAATGTATAATTTATGTATATCGACTAGATTGATTTATCAGTGATAAAGCCTTGGATTGAAAAGAAAATGATATAGTATATTGGAATAGAAGATGAAGTAGTTTAGAGATAAATAATTAATTACTTAGAGCAATAGAGCGAAGATATTAGGGGACCTGATCCAAAAGTTCTAAGTATTCAAATAATGGGGTATTTTGAAAAAAATACATTGCCATTTATGACTGAACTATGGAATTTATTGGTGGATGCAGAGGGACAGGATTCAGGAATTGTAAGATGATTAAATGTTTATTTGAGCCTAACCAATTGTTGGATAGCAAGAAGTTAGAGTATGAGGAGAAGAAGAAGGAATTGCAAAGATTGTTGGAGAGACAAAAGTTACTATATCAAGCCATTGAATACGCAGAGAAAAGCAGAAAAAAAACAAAAACTGAACAATAATGAATTTAAAATATTGAATAAGTATTAAACATTCTAAATATCTCTAAATGAGTGATGCTTCGATGGATGGATTCTAGGGGGTAAACATATTGTGTCTGGGGAGAACGATATCAATAGAGAGTTCGCAATATGAAATGCAAAGTCAAACTATATTATAAATGTACTATTGTAATTGATTTCAATCAAACAAACCTCCCATATCAACATCTTCTTCAGGCTCTGGGTCCTTTGGTTTTTCAACTGCTTTTGGTGCTTCAGCTGGTTTAGCAGCAGCCTAAGTGGTTTAAGCAGCTGGGGCTGAGCCTTGTCCTCCTCCGACGGAGAGTAAACTGAGGATGTCCTTACCCTCGAAAGCTTTAACGAATGCGGCTGCCAATTATTTTGGAACATTGACTCCTGCCTGTAAATCATTTCAAATATGTGAAATACTTTTTTGGTCAATTTCTCAACATTGTCAGCTGTTAATGGAGTATTTGAACCTGCCAATAGAAGTGCTGCATATGCTACTGCCTATGGTTATTGAGCCATTATGTTTATAATTATATTTTTAAATTAAAAGATTTCCTTGTTTAATTAAATGCAAACACTTCTTATGTAAATAATATGAAAACTCACGTATTAATGTCCATTTAAAGTCCAATGCTATCTTTACCATGGCGGCATATTAATTTATATGTTGAGTAGTAATTGGCGCAATGGTATCCAAACAGCCTTGACATTTGACGATGTTCTTATGGTTCCTCAATATTCAACAATTGAGAGTAGAACTAATTGCATAGTTGAAACTCACTGTAGTTAAAATATCAAACTCAAAATCCCTTTTATAAGCAGTCCAATGGACACAGTTACTGAAACTGAAATGGCAATTCACATGGCAGCAAATGGTGGATTGGGTGTAATTCATAGATTCATGACGGCAAATGAATAAGTCGAATAAATCAAAAAGGTTAAGAGATCAGAGGCATACATTAAGAATAGACCTTTTGTAGTCGGTTTAAATTACACACTCAAGAAAGTCTTAATTTTAGCTGAAGAATGGAAATGTAAAACATTTTTAGTCACTGACGATAATTTAATTGAAAACAACGAAGATTACGAAGAAACTGATGAAACTGGATCTCCTCGTTATAAATCCTTACCTCTTTTGGGAATTATCACTAACAGAGATTGTTATGAACAACCATTAACTAAATTAGTAAAAGAATTGATGACCCCTAGAGAAAAGCTAGTGACTCTTCATTATTTAGATGTCAGCAAAGAAAATGCAAGATAAATGATGTTATCTCATAAATTAGAGAAATTACCTGTGGTTGATGATAAAAATAATATAAAAGGATTGATTAATTTAAAAGATTTAAAATTAGATTCCGAGTTGAAAGTTCTTGATTAAATGGGAAGATTAATAGTTGGAGGAGCTGTTGGTGCAAATGATGATGAAATCACCAGAGCAAAGAGATTAGTCAATAGTGGCTGTGATGTTATTGTGTTGGATGTGGCTAATGGACACTCATAATTGGCAATAAGAACAGTTGAATAATTAAAAAAGGAAGTTTCCGTAGATGTGATAGCTGGTTCTATTGCAACAGGAGATGGTGCCAGAAGATTGATATAAGCAGGGGCAGATGGTATTAGATGTGGAATTGGTAATGGTTCCATTTGCATAACAAGAGTTGTCTCTGGTTGTGGTGTCCCATAATTTAGTGCATTAATGGATGTGGCTCCTGTTTGTAAAGAGTATAAAATACCATTGATGTCTGATGGTGGTAATAAGAACAGTGGAAATATGTGTAAGGCTTTGGCTGTTGGAGCAGATTGCATTATGCTTGGTAGACTGTTGGCTGGGTGTTAAGAATCCCCATCCAAAGAAATATACAGAGAAGGAAAGATCTTAAAGGTTTACAGAGGAATGGCTGGTTTTGGTGCCAATGTTTCTAAAGCCTAGAGAACTGGTAAGGATGAACCTTCAAGCACAACATTTGCACCTGAAGGAGTCGAGGGATACATTCCATTTGCAGGGGTAATATATGATCATTATAACTATAGAAAGTATCTATTGTATTAGAACAATTTAAAAAGGGAATCTAATCTGGTATGAGTTATTGTGGGGCTTCAAATATTGAGGAATTATAGAAGAATGTTTAATTTATCCAGATGACAAATGCAGGTTTTGTAGAGAGTGGTGTACATGGAATTACAAAAATATGATTTGGTTTTTTAAGACATTAATAATATAATTATTAAACATTTAAATAAACTAGTGTAATCTTCATAGTAATATTAATTTAATAAGAATGATATCATTATTAATTTCAAAATATTAAATTCAAAGAATGTAAGATTTTACGTACAAATTGCATCCAAATATCATATCTCATTTTTGGAGTTTTCATTTTTGGTAATGGCAAAAACGTTGTTACTTTTTCATACAACTTTTCTGCTTTTCTAAATTTTTCTAATCTGCAAGTTCTTTTAATCTATTGATATTCCGTATTCTATTTCTTCATATCCTCAGCAATGGTTGATAATCTTTTGATAATTACCATCTTGTTTTTTATTTTGAACTAATCTGTTTCAATCGAGAATACTACTGGTGGAAGATAAGTCACTTCTCCGATGCCTCCAAAGCAAAAGATATTTGAGGCAAACACGCAACTACAATGACTCCATCTTTTGGTCATTAACCCTTATCTCTTTACTTGAATCCATTGACTTAAAATCAAATTGAATAACACAATTTCATTTTAATACTCCTATATTGCTTATGATCTACCTCCAATCAAAATCAAACTATCATTTATACACGCCATAGTATGATTATACCTCCCTTAAGGAGCTACTCCAATTCCCTAGACTCTCTCCCAACTTTACGGAGCTTATCCAGAGAAAACCAACCTCATCAAAGGAAATGAACCCAAAGATTTAGTTTTACCACCAAACAAATAAATAGTGTCTACATTTCTCTTAAAATCGAAGGCTTCACAAATGGCATGCTATGCTATTCCCTCATCAAAATATATCTTAGATCCTAACCACCTTCTGGAATCCAAAGAATACATCAGTGTATCATTTAATAATTATTCACCAGAATCTAAACCACCTGTTATGATCATATATTTCCCCATATACAAAGCAGCCTTATGCTCTCTTCTGGGTTCAACAGATTCTAATGTGATTGACCATTGATTGATTTGAGTATTAAAATAAGCAAGAGTTGAATAAACTTACCGTATTTTCATCTTATGGTCATAATAGCCACTTCCCCCAAAGACAATCAGCATGTGTTTCCAGGCTATCATAGAATGATTCGTAACTTTCAAATTGATGTCTGATTGATGTAACTGCCATTCTTATTTTTCTAAATTGATAAACCTATGTATTACTTATATCATAAGACCACAAATCACTGCTTAAACCTGCCCCACTCATTCCTCCGAAAACATAAACCTTATCTCTGATAACAGCTATTTGTGCTGACTCTCTTCTGCTAGGAATTGCATATGAATAAGCATTTAAAGCCTCTTCAAAAAAAGAGATGTTAGTTTCTTGTTTGTTTTTTGTTTAAGCTGGCATTTATTAAAGGTACATCAAATTTGAATAATCTTCTAAATTACTGCCCATTTGCCTCTCTAGATTTCTGACAGTGTATTGTTCTTTATTTGCTATTACCCTTTGATGACAATTAAATTTATTCCTCATATTGCTCATATCTCTCATTGTTATTGACATTTTAGTTTATTCTAATTCCAAAAAACTCTGCTAGATAAATTCCAATTAGTATTTGTTAACTTAAAGTTTGTCTACTTTTTTCTCGGGAGATTTACTCGAAGTAACACACTTACTGAAATGCAGTGAAATATCTTCGAGAGTACTATTTTCTATAGAAGGTAACAATAATTTGTTTTTTCTATTATCATGAATTCTTTGTTGACTATGGTATTCATCTCTTCTTAATTTGTTCAGAGTAACCTATTCAAAGTAAGGAGAATAGTTTGCTTCTGTCCTTTTAGAATCGTAATTCATAAATTAAATTCATTCATTTTATATGATGATTACAATATTGTTCATTGAATTAATTTCCAATCCTCTCCCCTGATACATGCCTCTACTTATGCTATGGATCTTGGCACCAGATTTAGTATTTCAGGACCATTGGCTGTCAAAGCAATGTCATCTTCCAATCTAACTCCACCCACATACATGAATTCTGAAATCTTTTCTTAATTCAAGAACCTGGCTTTGGTTTCATCTTTAAATGCCTCCTAAATTATGAAATCAACAAAGTAGATGCCAGGTTCATTTGAAAATACCATTCCAACCTCTAAGTCTCTCCTAAATCTCAAAGATTACAACTCTATATTCATATATATATACTTAATACCTGGAATTCTAGGAGGACATCCTTTGTTATATCCACCAACATCATGGGTTCTCATTCCCAACAAATGACCCAATCCATGACAGAAGAAGATCTTGCCAATTCTATTTTGCATTAATTCCTCTATTGTTCCTACCAATAAACCAGCATCCAATAGATGTTAAACAATTACTCTTTCAGCTAAAAAGTGCATGTCTCCCCAATTGACTCCCACTTTAAGAGATGCAAACACTTGTCTCTAAGCATCCAGTACTGCATTATAAATAATTGATTATTTCTCATCAAATTTGCCATTACTTGGAAATGTGACAGTGATATCACTGTTATATCCATAATATCTTGCACCCATGTCTGTCAATATTAATTATTTGTCTTCAATTGTTTTGTCATTCTCAATGTAATGTAATGTAGATCCTCCTGTTCCTGAGGCACAAATACATTCGTATGGTGTGAATCTACATCCACTGTAAACAAAATTGTGATATTTGAATAGAGCCTCCATTTGATACTCCTTATTTCCAACTCTGATTTTACGCATCACGTTCTCATGCGATTCACTTGCCAACAGAGCCACATATCTGAGTATTTCAATCTCTTAATCAGTCTTCGTTACTCTACACTCATTCAATGTCCAATACAACTCTTCCTCGTCCACCTTGTACTTTGAGAGATATGGGAATTAAGGATACGATGATATCAATTTAGAGTCAGAATCTTATCCCTTGTATATGAATAATTTTGATGGTGCTCTTTTCTCAATCCATTATTCCAATTAATCAACGTACAACACATCGTCTAATCTGTATTTTTCTTTGATTTCTTCGTTACTGAAAACGACCATCCACATTTTATATGATTCAGGATATTTAGGTACAAAAACTGTCACTTTTCCTGATTCCACTTCCAATATTCCATAACAATCCAGCAAGTCACATCCAAAGATATACTTGAAATTACTCTCTTGTTCCACTCGATATTATTAATCTAAAAGTTATTATTACAATATTTTTACCATCATCATGTTTATCAATTGACTCCGCCCCTTTGAGAAATACAATACTGTTGTTTGCTTACTCTCCTAATTGTTTTTTGAAGAAATCTAGAAATTTCTTTCTGAGGTTTGAATGAAAATCATGGGGAACAGGGTACTCTTTTGGCAATGGGATTGGATTCTAGTCCATATTTTAATATTATTTTTAATAATACATCATTGATTATTAATTCTTTCTCAAATTTAATTTCCTATTGTAACAAATCCTTTAATTAATTTAAGGAATTATCGAATCTAAATATCGTGTATCTTTCTCGCTTTTAATTTGGTTTAAAGGGGGCTCAACCTATTGTTTGTACATTACTTCGAGGTCGATATCTTCAAAAAAATGTCGAAGGATTTCGGCAGCTCGCTTAAACCCTAGACAATTTTAAACATGAATGAAACTCTCTATTATGAAAGCCATTTTCAGTTAATCTTTCTATCAAGTCAACTGCCTTTTAACTCAACATTTAAAAAATTCAAAACTAAAACAGTCTCTTATCTGCTGCTAATACAAATGGAACACAATGGGTCCACATATATCTAATTAATTAGAATTCCCTATGTAATTTTAGACACTTATTTAAAATGAATATCAAACTACACAATCATAGGGCCTTTGTGAGATTAATATTTCAGGTGCAATATACTCTGGCTTTTTCAAAAGCTGTATAAGAATAATAAATGACTATTCTGCTTCTCTATAATCTAACCAAATTTATATTGAATAAACCAAAGTCTGCCAATTTGATATGTCCAAATTAATCCAATAAAATAATTATTCTAGTTCTAAATCTCAATATATAATTCTTTTTTCCTGCAGATAATTTGAATGCTAAAATTAATTCATCTGCATAAAATCTGCTCTTTCTTTTGAAAACTACACATTTCCCTTCAATGCAAAAAAAGTCAACCATCATTAAAGAATTCTGTTCAAAAAAAACATAATTTTATTTTCAAAAGTAAAATAATGTTTTATTCAAAAAGGACTTTGTGTTTACTACAAAATCATAATTTTCTAATTCTTTTTGTCAATATTTATTTATTGGAAAATACCACTTCTTTATGATGGGTTCTGCTAATAAGACTTTCCATAATGCTCCTGCAACAAATACCTAATGATACAAATTAGTACTACTTTGTTAAATGTGAAATTTTCAAGTTAGTAAGTTATTTCCTCTTCCTTTTTTCCCTCAGATGCTTAATCTTGTATTGGACTAGCATTCCTTATATTGTCTTCCTATTTATCTTCTTCTAAAATCCCAAAACATATACCCATTTTTAATTAATTAAATAATAAATACATATGAATCCAGATCCTAAAAGTCTTAATGTCCCCAAGGGAAGACATTCGTTTTAATGCGGAGGTATTTATAACAGACAATTTCTAGGGCAAACCTTTGTAGTCGATTAAAAATATGAATATATAAAACAGATTGGACATGGAGCCTACGGTGTTGTTTGCTCTGCTCAAAATAAGAGAACTGGGCTAAAGGTAGCAATAAAAAAAGTAATGCAATTGATTTATGAAGGTCGCAAATGCATTCGATGATTTGATTGATGGCAAAAGGATAGTTAGAGAAATCAAATTACTAAGTACATTTTAAATTATATAAAGAATTTTTTAAACATGAGAATATCATATCACTTCTTGATGTTCACAAGCCTGAAGCAAAAACAGGATTTAATGATATTTACATTGTAACGGAATTTATGGAAACAGATTTGCATAGAGTTATATATTCTAGGCAAGAACTGACGGATGAACACATCTAATACTTTGTTTACTAGATTCTTAGAGGATTACTTTACATGCATTCAGCCAACGTAATTCATCGTGATCTCAAACCTGGCAATATTTTGGTTAACAAAAATTGCGATTTAAAAATATGCGATTTGGGTTTAGCAAGAGGATATGAAAATGAGGAAGACTTCAAAACAGAGTAATTTGATAACACTATTCCACTAGATACGTCGTTACTCGGTGGTATAGAGCTCCTGAAGTTATTTTGAATGCATCAGAATATAGTAAGGCCGTTGACATTTACTCTGTTGGTTGTATCTTGGCAGAATTATTGGGGAGAACTCCTTTGTTCCCAGGCGAAAACTACTTAGATTAAGTTTAAAGAATCATTGCAGTCTTAGGGACTCCGACTGCTGACGATATGAAATATATAGGAAACAATAACGCAATTAAATACATTAAAAGTCTTCCAAAAAGATCCAAATAGAAGTGGGAAGCCCTATTTCCAAAGGTATGAAATCCCATGCTTATTTTAGGCCAATAATAAAGCCTTGGACTTATTGGGAAAGATGATCACTTTTAATCCTGAACAACGTTATACTGTTGAGTAATGTCTCCAACACCCCTATTTCGATGAGTTGCATAATCCTGATGAAGAACCTCTTAGTGGTAAAGCCTTTGATTGGAGTTGGGACAATTTCGAACCAACCAAAGAACTACTTTAAAATATGATATATTAGGAGTCCCTCTCATTTAACGATGAAGTGCCTGAAAGGAAAAAAAAGTCAAATTAATTCTAATTGAAAGCTTGAATTTATATAGATCTATCAAGAATAATTATAAATAACTTTATTTTCCACTAATATTTTTACCTATTTTTAACAAAACCAATAAATTTGAATTGAACTGTTTAATTAATTGTTTCGTTTTGAATTTAGAGAACTGTATTTATATTAATAGAATCTAAATATCAACTTTTAGAGAATTCATCTCACTTTTGATGACACCTTTGAGAACCCGTAAAGATTTGCAGAATTTCTTGCTATTACAACGTTACTTTTTTCATTTTTAAAATAATTTAATGTAATTGAGAATGTTTTCTTTTCATTGGCTTTTGTCGTACTTGAGTTTAAAAAATCAAAAGCTGACAATCTTCCAGTGCTATTTCTACAACTGTTCGCATTTTTGGTGTTGATAGTTGGTTTTTCTAATGCATACAATAATTCTTAATTAATGTATAATGTTACTTTAAGAGATATCAAATTGATTTTCACTTACTTGTTTTTCTGATTTAGATGAGACTTCCTCCACATCATTAGTGATTGGCTTCAAAGCTAGATTTAACAATTATGGTTTTTTAATCATAAATTTATTAAATAAAAACTATAAACTTTTACCGAAAGAATAGTTATAATAAAATTCATTGTTAATATAGCATTTGTCTTAATCTTTAGATTTCTTCGTTTTTTTATCTTAGTTAATCTTGTGATTCTAATAATTCATCATTCAAGAATAAATTATGTTCAATTAGTAGTTTGTTCTCTCTTTTGTAATTTTCAAGAATTATTTTAGTTTTCGCTAAAACCTTCTTTAAATCAGAAGATGTAAATGATTATTTCTTCTGCTAATGACCTTTTAATAGAAAGGCTAGATTTTATGATTCCTTCATCTTTTGGTTTTGTTTATTCATCTATTGAAGCTTCTCAGCCAACCTTTTAGTTTTGCACACAACATCAACTAAGAGGATTATTATGTTTTATACTAATGTATTTGTCCTTAATTGGTTTTTTATCGACTTCATCAGTCAACACACTTTGGCCATCTGCTGTCTAAGATCGGACCTAACTTGAGTCATTTTTGTTTGGAAAGTAGGAATTGTTGGCCTTTTAATTTAAAATGCTATTTGAACTATTGATGGTTGTGAGATATGACTTTAATCCTTTAGAACTACGTATTAATAATAATACATTACACTACCTCTTATCCAAGTTGAAATTATCGAGAGAAAACCTATGTACACCGACATCATTTTTTTTATTTAAATAATGCAGGGAAGTAGACTGTTGTAAAGGGCTTCGAGCTTCATCCATTTAATGAGACCTTTTTCTTCCCTGACAATTCAAATATTTTTCGTAAAGATTCAAAAAATTATCCTATCGAAGAGGTGTTCGTTATTAGTAGGAATCTTTGTATGAATATTTCGATGCAGCTCTTCATTATCAAATTGAATTTACTTAGGAGTGTTTTATTGGCTCACTTAAGTCTTCATTAAATAATGAAATTAATGAATTGTAAATCAAATTAATAAGCACATCATTTATTCCTAAAATTACACTAGGTAATACTGCTTTATTCTTGTTTCAATACTATGCAACTATACGATTCTATCAGAAAAATACAATATGCCTCTATTCCATTTAATGCAGAAATAGTTAATCTAAAGATGTGAATATCAAATAAATGATTGATTGAAAGATTAGACGAGATTTGATATAAATCCTTTAGTTGATTATATTAAGAAAGTTAAAGGATTTATTCATATATATAAAACTAACAGGAATATTATCTGAAAATAATTATAAGCTTATGATTAAATGTTGATTATTATCTAAATCTTATAAGAAATAACAATACTATTATTTAGGAGAGTCAAAGTAGAAGGATCAAACCTTAACTGTTATTGAGTGCTAAATCTTCAAAAAAAAAGTAACGCTAATATTGTGATAATAAATGGAACATCTATCATTTAACTAACCTATCAAATAATCATATTATATATCGTATGTAGGAATCAAAGAATCAAGGAGACAAATGATAGAGTAATTACAATAGCACATTCGCATTTATCTATAGTACTGTAATAATTTATTGATTGATGATAAATATATTTGAAAGTGTATCGAATAATAAAATCTTCTTAATAATAATTTTGTCTTTATGAAGTATCATCTAAAGATAAATAACAAATTATTAATAATTTGTTCTGTAATTTTTGTTAAACATATATATTATTAATTATGATTTAAAATGATGAGAAGGTAGAATATCCTTGGGATTGTGTACTTTGTAGTTAATAAAATGCTTACTTTCTGAGAAAGTGTTAACATTGTGGAACCGTGAAGTAGCAATTCTGTCAATAAATGAAATTTGATTGTATTTACTAAATATAATTTAAGATCTATAAAATGATAATTAAGCATTTTCAGAGATCAATATCATAGATTTTGAATGTAATCGAGTAGAAGATAGAAGAGAAATCTTGGAATTGCTTATATGTAAATTAAAGCTATCAGAGTCTGATTACAAAGTTGTCTTCTCCAAGCAACTAATTATTAAGCCGTATTTGATACCTCTTATCCAAAACCCAGAGTATAGCTCTATTACATAGGAATAAGCTGATTAAGGTGTTCCATTTTAACAAACCTTTTAATATTTGTCTGGAGATATATATATATTTGAGAATAATGAGAAGGCTAAGATCTATTAAGAATAATGTTAATATCTCAATTTGTAGTGCCCAATAACAAAATACATCGAGCTTAGAAGAGTGTTCCCTAATTCTAATGGGTTATTAACATTAAATGCCATGATGAAAGAATTGAAAATACCATATTAATGTATAAATCTTTTAAAATTACTTAGCTGATTGTTTTGCTTTGGCAGAGGTTGTAAGTGAACTACTGGAGAGAGCCTATAAATTTGAGTTAAATATGTTGCAGACTTTGAAATTTCCAATACCAGAAGAGGAAGCTAGACTCTAAGGGTTTGATAATATCATCATCCTTGATTTTGAAGCTACATGTGTCAGAGAATCAGATAAGAAATACCTGTAAGAAATAATAGAGTTTCCAGCACAAGTTTATAATGTTTAAGAAAGAAAAGTTAAAAAAGAGTTTTAGAAGTATATAAAACCAGTTGAAAACCCTATTTTAAGTGATTTTTGCACAGAACTAACAGGCATAACTTAATAATAAGTAGATGAAGGAATTCTACTTGATTAAGCAATTAATGAATTTATTGAATTTAAATAAGGATTGTAAAAATGCTGTATATTAACTTGTGGAGATTATGATTTGCATTTACTTAAAAAAGAGGCAGCTAGAAAAGGAATCCCTATTTCAAGAGAATTACAATATTATATAAATATAAAAAAGGGTAAAATATTTATTTATTAAAAGTATTTCCTAAAAGCTTGAGAAATCCAAAAGATCCAAAGGATCCCTGTATGGTAGAAATGTTAAAACTTTGTGGACTAGATTTGTTAGGGAGACATCATAGTGGAATTGATGATGTGAAGAATATCACAAGAATTGTTCACTATTTAATAAATGAAAAGAACTTTTAATTCGACGAGAGGATGGTATCTTATACTTTCAAACTCTGATCTTGACAATTTATATTGTTTATTACAAGTTTATTACAATTTTAAACCATACTTTATAATTGTAATATTAGTTAGTCTTTATAATCTCTAAAATAGAGTATCAATTTGAAGAGCAATTGAATATGATTGCATTTTCATCATTTAGGAAATGGCTTCTTCTCTATAAATCTAAGGGGAGAGATATAGCTAAATATACTATTCCAAAATAAAGTATAATTCAATTATTTTAATTCTTAATATTTGTTATAAGGAATAATATTTTAATAGCTATTGAAATGCAATCTACTCAAGGAACAATTGATTAAATGCTAAAAAATAAAAACATTCCATTGCATGTCCAAATTCTAAATGTTTTAGAATGTGAAAGATTTGATAAATTTATTTTATAAAAATGTGAAATACATGATGGGATTAAGTCTTTAAATATTTATCTAATATTAAATGAATGTTTAAGCTAATAGGAAGTTAAAGACTAAAAGCCTATTATTGAAATTGAGGATTATAGATTGTAAAATGGTTTTGTAGTGGTTGGGAAATATAAGGAAGGTATGAATAATAATGTTTATGATCTTAGTTACATGCTTACCCTACAAATAATCAGGTATCAAATTTGAAGAAGGGGCTCAAGATTTGATGGAATTGAACAAATTTTCAGATTTAATCAAAGATAATTGTTATAATATAAAAGCTACTTTATAAGATTAAGCTGAGAATCTATCTTTTGATGGTACAAAATACTTAATTTTAACATTAAATGATTCTTTAAGTCCCAAATCAATCAAAGGCCTAATATTTATTAATGTAGTAGGAATGGATGCTTATTCAGAATTTAAAAGTTTGCTTGTAAATTAAGTAGAATATATTTTTGAGAACGTGAGAGTTGGCCTATATAAAAATCAAAATAGAATATATTTTAATAACACAACTAAAATAAAAGTCATACCTTCTTCAATTTAATGGATTAAGTTCAATGATATTAAATTTCAAATGATTGGAAAAAATTGTAATTTAGTAGGTTATATTTACAAGATTGATCAATTAAAATAAATCTCTGCTAACCTTAAAATGAGGAAACTTACTATTTTTGATATGGATAAAAACAAAGTAAAGATAGTTGTATGGGGTTAATTAGCTGAAAAGTTGGATTTACAAGAAAAAACAACCTTAGGGTTTCTGAATTTGGTTGTTAAAGAATATTAAAACAAAATTCAGCTCCAGTTAAATTATAAAACAAGAATCATTTCTAATATAACTAGTTATATTTAAATATAGAATTTTAGTGAATAAATTGATTCAATTGATAAGAAATCCAATTTTTATAAGATGCCCGTTTCAGATCTAAAGAGCATTCAAAGTGAATTTAAATAAAATTCTGATCTTAATTTTATTAAATACTATAGAATTACAAGCTCTATTTTCAGCATTTAAGAGGTTGATTCAATCGTAGCTGGAAACAAAAATTTATAGCTTCAACTGATCCTAGGAGACGAACTTCAAATTGATTTGGTAGTAAGAGTTAGTGAGAACAAATTCATAAAAAGGATTTTAAGTAAATATATTCAAAAAAGTTAGGTTTGAATAATGACGATCTAAAAGTATTGGAAGAGAACACTTAGAAATTTGACAAAAACAAATTATTAAAGAAGCTTAGAATAAAGTTTTTGATTTCATTATAATTGGACAGAATGTCGAAGTAAAAAATGAAATAAAACCAATATTTAAAATGGTTAAGATTATGTCAAATGAAGATAAGATCGTTGATGAAATTTAAAAAAAGATTAAGCTAAATTGATATATTTAATTTCAAAATATATATTAATAAATATTTCGATTACCTATTAAGAAATTGATAACTTGATTTTAATTATTAATTTATATTAAAATAAAATGTATGCGAACAACGAAGAATTTATTACTCTTCAAAAAATTGAAAAAGAGTTATAAGGCGACCATGTATTATTTAATATTTGTAAGTAAATCGTATAATAAAATTCAAGTAAAATATCTTTAAAGTAGATATACGATTATTGTAATTCTTCTTTGAATTTTTTAAAATACTTCTATCAAATTCATACTTAAAGGATGTGACACAAAAAGCAATCAAAATTTTTAATGCCTTCATTTAAAAATCAAAACAGAGAAATAAAGATGCTTAAATCAGTGATTTAAGTCATTATATCAATCAGAAGTATTTCGATATATTAGGTACCATGTATTATATATAAAGCTAATTACTACGAAAAGGCAGTGTTAGGAGGAATAGAAGAAGCAAATAAGCATATCAATTACATTTATTTTAAAAAAATTGTTAAGGATTATATTGATTAGCCTTAAAATTAAAATCAATAATCCGCTAAATCTATACTAACCTTAATTGAACAAACCTATAAAAATTTCTAAGGTACCACACCCTCAGATTTTGAAATATAACTATATGAAAGCTTAAATTCAGAAGAATAAGAATTATTTGCTTAGATTGTCTCTGATGATCAAAATAAAGTAGCTAAAAAGTAAGAAAGCTTATTCGATAAATTTTTATTAACCTTCCCAAACGACCTCCAAGATAGATATAAAACTTAAAACTGTAGTACTGTTTATGAATTCTATAAGTGTTTACAAAAATAAAAGGTTGGGGTAGAAAAAGTCTTAGGTTTCATTTTTTAAGAAAAATTGAATTATTATGTGAATTAATAATATTTGAATATCCAAACTTAGAAGGCAAAAGCGAGAAAAAATGATCTACAAAATACATTAAGTGAACTAGAGAAGAATATTTTAGAATAAAATAAAGATTATTTTAGTTTTGTGGAAATTTCATATGTGAAATACTTTTACAAAAGTATCAAAGCAAAAAAGTGTTAATAAAGTCTTTAGTAAAATTTTTCATTTCGAAGGAAATTATTGGAGTTTATAAAACAAGAAATAAATGCTGCCCAAACACCAAAGTAGTGGAAACCATTCCCTTAAAATATATGGTAAGAGATTTATTAAGAGCTTTATTCAAATTTAAATGACATAAATAATTAAGAGGATGCCAATTTATAATTTAAAATCATCTAATCAATACAACAATTGATAATTTACTTCTTCCGTTTTAGATGGAATTATTTATTTTTATTTTGTGTAATTATTGTCGAAGCCAATTTTAGTAATGATGAATTAGATAATATGATTAACATTGCTTATGATATGATGACTTCTACAACAAGGAGTAATTTGAATATTCCTTTTGGAAAAATCTTAAGTATGTTTAATGAAAAAGCTAAAACCTAAATAACCTCTGTATACTTTGAACGACAAGGCTAAAATTTGGGTTACGATTCATTACTTTTAGTCGAGAGCTAATTAAAGTTTATTAACAATAAACTTATCAAACTAATTCTGCAAACTAGTTCATTTTAAAATAAAGTGAAAATTTATGGGGAATTAAAACATTTTGAATTGAAGTTGATGAGTGATTGCAGAGAGCATTTAAAAAATTATAAAAAAGTTTTTGAATAATTGGCAGATTGTATTTTGGAGGGAGAAAAAGAAGAGAAAGAATGGAAAGCTTATTTTTATAAGAGTCTAACAGGTTCTTATTTTTAAAAGTGGTATTCCATTTATAGGGAAAAACAAAACTTGGAAAAAAATAATATGTAATAATTCTGGCTATATGCTTTGTCTATTTAAACATTGAAATAGGATTACTAAAATAAATAATTAGGGTTGTATTAGGATGTTTTTGAAAGGGAGGAAAAAATATGTAATATTTGCATTCAGTTTATCTAAAGAGACGTTGAAAAAATCTACATGTAATTTTAATAATTGCAACCTGCTTAATAGCAAAACTTAGAAGGTTATAAGGAACTCATGTAGAATTTCATAGATATTTTTCTTAAGGATAATCCCTTTATTATCTTTTTGCCTTCATTGTTAAGAGGAATTCCTTAGAATAGATCGAAATCTCTTAACATAGAGAAGATCGAAAGGGATTAAGTTTCTAGCTGTTGCTTTCAAGGATAAGAGTTAAAGTGAGGTCTAAAAATTATTTGATTCTCTCAATTTACCTAAGGATTAGAATAATTTTGAATGGCTATATAAGATTTCTTAATAAGTCTTTAACTTCTATCTCTAATTGAATATACCACCTAATGATCTCTAATAATTCAAGCCATTGAATGATCCTTTTCCGAATTTCAATTCAATGAAATCTCTTGCAGATTACAACACTACATATTATAATGCGATTTGCATATTTACAAGTAAATTTTTTTCTTTGGACATTAAATTTCATATAAAAAATGAGGATGTCATGAAGGCTGACTTTTTAAAAAAGATATATTCATTAATGAACGATAAATCTAATTTTGAAAGTTAAAGTGCAGATTAATTAATGGTATAGATGACATAAAACTTTATGGAATTCAAAAATTACAAGTCGTAATTAATTAAGGAAGCTAATTCAAATAGTGGGGATCAAGCTTTTAACAGCAAATGCTTTGAGCTTTTTTAAAAGTGTTTTTATAAGAAGACTATTGTTTTAGAAATGTTGGATTACAAAAAACTTAATAAGATTGCCTTAAATGAAACAGAAAATCATTTATTTGTACAATAACTTTTGACTATTGCCTATAATTAGGAAAGCAAGCATGTAGATTAACTAAACAAGAAAAAAGTAGATGATTACTTCAAACAATTGAGTTTAATTTCTCCTTAGCAGGCTATTGATAAAATGCAAAAAGACTTGGTACAACAATAGGACACTTATCTCAAAGAATTACTTAAAAGAAACTTATAAAAATTTAAAGAAGAATAAGATAAATATATCAATAAACCCCAGTAACAGGTATCTTAAGGTAAATAGTCAATTCTACAGACGGCAGTTGTAGCAAAGAAACTCTAATAATTAAGAAATTAATATAAGGAATTTCAAGTTGAAGATCAATAAGTTTTGGCTTTCTTAAGTGATTAATTTAGTTTTTATATGAAGAATTTGTTGGGAAAAGTCATTTAATCAGTTCTAATTTAAAAGCCTGGGTATGAATTTAAATTGTACTAAAATAAAGGTGCATCTGCTATTGATACATAATCAGTAAAATACAAATAATAGATGGAGATGTAAAAAAAATATGGTCCTCAAAAGAATCAATTTATTGATTAATCTTTATTAGTTGGCACTGAAAATAAACTTTCATTAACCTACGAACTCTGTGACTACACTCCTATTTAAAGGTAGGTGGAATTTAGAAATTTTCTGTCTGAAATAGAACCTCATTAGGAAGACAAACTAAAAAATAAAATTAGAAAAAACAAATGGAAAGAAGAGCATCCAGAATTGGAGGAAATATTAAAAAAGAGAATTAAGAGAGGGGCTGAACTATGGAATCAAGTGTAGGATTTCCTGTGTAAAAGAGAAAATAATGATTATATAGGAGATTCAGAGGAGGAATCTGATAAGGTGAAGGAACAGCAACAATAACTTACTGATAATATTGATGATGATTAATTGGATTTGAAAATACAAGATATTTAAAGAAATTCAGAACGTCTTTTGATTGCTGGGAAAACACATATAAAAACTAGGTTAATATTTGCATTAGATTTTTAGATTGAATAATATGGAAAGCGATAATCCGTTGTTGACTCAAAAGGTGATTACTGTAAAAACTGTTTAATTTGTGCTAGAATAGCATCCATACTTTAGTAGAAGTAGAATATTATATAAATCTTATATCTTATGAGAATAATGATTTGATTATTATAAAAATAAAGAAGTTTAATTTTCAATTTATGAAGTAAATTTTGCAAAGCCGTGTGGAAATATTGCAATAAAAAAGGCTATTTCATTCTAAACTATTGTTATATTTTATTTTAATAAATAATGAATAATGTTACAGCTTCTCTAAAGGATTTATTACCCTCGAATTAAAAGGCTGTAATAAAGTTCAAAATAACCCCTGGTAAGAAAATAGACTCAATCTGCCAATGCAATTTAAAAACTTGCATGATATGTTCTCGTAAAAGATCATCATCTATGCTTTCTTTAAAATCAATAAAAAACTCAGTTGTCGTTGATGAGAACTCTCCAGGTCTCAAAAGAACAGATAATAAAAACAATTTTGTAATACAATCTAGCCTTCTTTCTAAGTAACTATCAAGATAAGTATCTAACCATCAAATCCAAAATTAATTTTACAATGGAAAAATTAATCAGGAATCAAAAGGCAGCACAAACTCGACTACTTGGATAATGACAAACTCTCATTCTCGAAAAATATCAGTAGATAGTCCAATAAAGGAAGTCTAATAATAAACTTTAAATCCAATGGGAATAGGAAGACATTCTTTTAAATTTCTATATGTAGTTGGTAAGGGAGGGTTTGGTAAGGTGTGGAGAGTAGAAATGAAAGCGAATCGATAAGAATATGCTTTAAAAGAGATGTTGAAAACAAAGTAATAATATCTAAATATATAGAATCATATCTAAGAGATCAGTAAATTCAGTTATGAATGAGAAATTCCTTCTCGAACACTTAAAGCATCCTTTTATAGTGAACATGCATTATGCATTTTAAGACAGAGAAAATTTATATTTAGTTTTAGATTTACTAAGAGGAGGCGATTTAAGATATCATTTAGGTAGAATGAAAAAATTCTCGGAAGAATAAACAAGTATGAATAAATGATAAAGTTTAGAATTTTTCGCTTGTTGCATTTTATTGTCTTTGCAATATTTACATCAGCACGGAATCATCCACAGGGATGTCAAACCTGAGAATTTAGTGTTTGATAAGGATGGGTTCTTAAGATTAACAGATTTAGGAGTAGCTAGATTAAATAAGGATAGTGTTGCCAATGATACTTCAGGTACTCCTGGATACATGGCACCTGAAGTTATGTGTAGGATGGAACACTCCTTCCCAGTTGACTATTATGCTCTGGGTGTGATTGTTTATGAACTTTTACTTGGCAAAAGACCATATAATGGAAAGAATCGATAAGAAATTAGAGAGTAAATATTAGCTAAATAAATGCAAATCAAAGAAAACACTCCAGGGATAAGCAATAAGGCAATCGATTTTGTCAATAAAGTATTTATTAAATTTATTATTAGTTGCTCATTAGAAAACCATAATAAAGACTGGGATTTAATGGAATTGATGAAATCTTTAGTCATTCTTGGTTATATAATTTTCCTTGGGGAAAACTATTAAACAAAGAAATCAGATCTCTATATGTACCTGGTGTAAGTTAACTAAATTATGTAGAGCATTGATGGCAACTATGATTTTTAAAGTTAGATCTCAGGCGACAGTGAGCCTTAAGAGGATAGTTCTATGGTGCTAAGAAGGAAGAGCGTATAAGGGTTATTTGAAGGATACAAATTCCAATGAGATAAATCATTTATCCTTCTCCATTTTATAATTTTGTTATTAATATATCATTCTTAAAACATCTTTATGAATAATCAATATTATATGATCCTAATAGATGGAGTTTCTTCATGCAAAAAGAAATTATGGAGTAAATCTGTAGAATAATAATTAAATGCTATGGAGCTCTAAAACTTTAATAGTAAGAAGCTGAAGCCTAAAGATGGCAATGTATTATTGAGATTGGCTAACAAACTCACAAAGATTCAGTCAATTTTTATTATCATTTTTATATTATATTACCTCTAATTATATTATAATCATATGACGTATGTGAAAAGATAGATTAATTTTGAAATATATTTAGAATTAAAGAATTATCACTAAGAACACATAAATCATCACTCTATGTATAATAATAATAAAATCTTTTATGAACTTTAATCAAGGACTGAAATTCAAATAAATTATAATCAAAGTGTGATAGTCAATTTAATTCCTTTAATTTAAATTTTGTTCTTTTTTTACTCAATCTTATGGTTTCTTTTTATATTTATTCTGCACTTTTAATCAAAAAAGATTTATCCCTTTGTCTATGAGAGAGCTCTTCTTAGAGATTGCCAATAGTTACAATCACTATATCAGGACAATAATGTATAAAAGATTAGGATTAGTCGTATAATAATCTATTTAAACTTATATCATATATTCTGTTTTTTTTAGTTACAGTTAACAAATCTTGATATGAATGCACAGTATTAGAGGAATTACTATTAGAAATAGTTATTTAAGTAATAAAGAAAGATGGATGATGTTATGTAGTAAAAAAATTGCCAGGAGGTTAATCAAAATAGTTTGAGTTCAATAAATATGAAACAAATTAAGCAGCATTATTAACAACTATAACAGTTATAGTTCTATTTTTATTTTGAACAATTACTCGTTTCAACTATTATGCTTTATTTTTTAGAGATTAATGCTGATCATATTTAAAATGAATAGTCTATAATAAACTAATGATAGTGGATTAATGATAATGATTCTTTGTTTAAAGCATAGCATGTTGATATTTTCTTGATGATTACTCTTATTATTATACTTAAAATATTTCCTCCATTTCCAAAGAAGGTAAATCAGTTTAACTACTAGCATTATTGTACTATTTAGATTCTTCTTAAATTCCACTGTTTTGTTGTTTTTAATATTGGGAGTTCATTTTTCTAGGATGCTATTAGAGTGATAGATTATTTAATCTTCCTGTTTTTGGTTGATTATTAGGTGATAACGATAACTATGCCTTATTTTATAATCTATATGTCAAGGGATCTATCTTCTGACTCCAGGGAGAAAAATGTAGCATTTATTATTATATATAAATAATAATTTTTGAATTGTAATAAATGTAAGTCTCAACAGAAATAAAATTATTCAAATTCCACTTTAACTCACAATCAAGAATAACCATTTTTATGAAACTCATCAATATAAATTTTAATATGTGCATTATTACTCTAAAAATATGAAATCTGAAAAAATTAGTTCTTAGTCTTATAGAACTAGAACTCAACCAAACAAGGAGGTACTTATATAAAAAATAACAATTATAAATTGATAAAAATATATTGTCAATAAAATATCCTTTAAAAATTTGTTGAATATTTTTCCTTCTTTAAATTTATTAATTGAATTGTAGAGATCTTCAAATAGAGAATCATTTATTTAATGACTGTTATAAAAAGTAAAATCTTCCCTTATTGAATTAGATTAGTATATTTTGTTAATATTTTTTGATTATAAGTAGATTTGCTCTATAAAAAGTAAATAAATTTAAAATTCCAACACAACAAGCAGTTATAGAATAAATGATATCCTTGAACTAGGATAATATTTAAAAAAAAGTAAAAATTAAATCAAATCATCTGTTTCTAATAAGTAAAATATGTGAAAATAATATGAATCGACTTGAAAGTATATGAAAGATATTGATATCATATAATTGATTAATAAAGTGCTAATAAGATATGAGTAATGATCTGTTAATTCAATTAAAAATCTATAGAGTTATCCAAATTTATTTTTTTATTAATTTTACATTACAATAATTAGTTTAGTTTAAAATAATAAAATACTTTATGATTATTTGAAAGATAGATTTAGCATTCAATTTCTTAAAGATATTTTCTTCCTAAAAAACATATTATTTTTGCATTTTATCATTTTTAGATTATCAAATAACTTTATAAATATTCAACTACCTTCATGTTTTTTATTAAGAGTTACAGATATTCTTTTGATTACTTAATTAATATTTAAACTTTTGCTTGGCTTTATGAGGCTTAACATTTTAAATTTGTTTGAATTAAGAAAGATATTTAATTATGAGTTGAGTCCACATATGATTAAATGATATTTATCTTTTAGACTTATTTAAACTGCTTAAATTTTAAGAGTTTAATGTTCTATAAATGGGAACAAAAATTTTAATATAATGAACATAGCACAAAAATAACTAATTTAATTGAAGATTATTTATAAATAATATTTCTAGAACTTAAAAATAGTGTTTACTCCATTCAAAAGATGGGATTAACCTTAATTAAACCAAAATATAATTTATAGTATTGTTTCACTTGAATAGTATAATATAAGTTTGGATAATAAAAAATTTAATTTTGAGTGAACTAGTGTTTATGATGAATTTAAAGGACAAGATTAGTGTAAGATTAAATTGAAGAATTGAGTTGAACAAAATTGAATATGGAATGCATCAAACATATAGTTATATAAGAGTAAAATAATCTATTATTTGTAGGAATATTTACAATTCATAGAATGAGGTCTTTTTGAGTAAAAAATACTTTAGTTGTCTTCCTCCAAAAAAGACAATTTACATTCTTGGTTTTGTATACTTTTAATTTTATGTTATTGCAATCAAATTATTCATTTTTGAAAGTTACACCAATTTATATATTTATATTAAAAATAGAAAAAGATATTAGATGAATAGCCAAGTTAATGCAATTAGAAAAAAGTGAGAGAGTGATATGGAATCTAAGAATGTTTAATTAAAGGATGCCATTTTTGGATGATTCAAGACAATGTTTATTTATAAATAATTAAGGAAATATTTATTTCCAATATATAATTGCATATTAATTTGAAAAGGCTGAAACGTTGTTATTTAATTGCGAAATAGGGACCGAGTTTTAAAAAGCATTGAAGAGGGCAAGCAAGTCTTTAATGATTATCCGAAATTATAAGGTAGAGCCAATCAAATTTGAGTTTATCGATTCTTAAACAGAGTATATATTAGTTTTTAAAGCTTAAAATAAATTAGCATCAAAATGGTAATATATGCATAATATAGTATAGAGTGGCATTGCAAAGAGCGCTAAAGGAGGAAAAGGTGGAAAAGGCGGAAAAGGAGGAAAATTTGGTCAAGGAAAGAATAAGAAAGCCCCATAATCCAGGTCTTTGAAAGCAGGGCTTTAAGTAGTGAATTTGACAATAATAAGTTCCCTGTGGGTCGTATTCATAGATATTTGAAGCAAAGAGTATCAGCCAAGAACAGAGTAGGAACAACATCAGCCGTATACACATCAGCAATTTTAGAGTATTTGACAGCTGAAGTGCTCGAATTAGCTGGAAATGCTTCAAAAGACTTCAAAGGTATTGTAATTATAATTAATTTCTTCTTTAGTCAGAAGAATCACACCAAGACATCTTTAATTAGCAATTAGAGGTGATGAGGAACTCGACATTCTTATCAGAGCAACCATTGCAGGAGGTGGTGTTATTCCACATATTCACAAGGCTTTATTAGGAAAATAAACACCAGAAGGAGGAATTCCAAAGGAATGACATATATTATATTAATTCATAGAAAATATTAATGTTAAAGAGCTTCGCTAATAGTGATTCTTCTAGAAGGCTCTAACTAAATCATCCTGTCGATTAAATCAGCTCCTTCATACCCAATCTTGGAGAGTAACTTTTCTGTATACAAATACTTGGTTGGATAAAATCGAGGAAATGCTGCAGCCTCTTGATGAATTAAATAGAGTTACATTGAACAAAGGTAAGTTACAAAGAGAGGGTGCAATAAAGTCACTGGGAGTACCTAATTTAGAGAATATCTTGAATAGCATTTCGATTTAAGCGTCTCCATTAAAGAGAATTTCTTTCATAACTACTTAATAGAATACGCAACCCAATGACCATACATCCACAGACACTTGATACTTGCAAGATTATAATACAATTTACATTTTAGCAACCCAGTAAATTTTCAGGTGGTCTGAAGTGCAAAGTGATGACATCAGAAGAATGTTTTTCACAATTAGAATTGAAATTTCTACATTGTCCGAAATTCATTCTGGCTATACCGAAGTCACTTATAAACACATTTTGGTTTTCATCAACAAGAATATTCAAAGGTTTCAAATCTCTATGCATGAAGCCTAATTTGTGGATGTTGTGAACTCCAAGCAAAAGTTGCTTGAAAACCTTTTTATAATCGATTTCATCATTCTTTTTAATGTGTTCATAAAGATTGTAAGGATAAAATGGTAAAACTATATAAACACATCCATTTTCAAAGATTACTTTTTACAAAGGAACTATGTGATTTTGCCCCTTTAAAGAGCTGAGGGCAGCTATTTCCCTATAACTAAATATACAACAATTACCTGAAGGTGGATTACTCAATCTATTAAGACCTTCCAGAGAAAATTCTTTTGATAGCGAAGATTTCATCTAATGATATTAAAATTGATGTGTTTACTTGTATTTTCATCGACTGCTTTATAAACAACTCCGAATGCTCCTTAACCTACTTTCTCTTTAAGAAGAAATTATTGGACTTTTTTATTATCCTACATTATCAAACAAAATTTACAAAAAAAGCAAATTAAATAATGAAAATTAACTCTCAACCATCTCTTTAACTATAAATCGTCAAAATTATGAAAAAAAGATTTTTCATATTAGATATATTTATCATTTAATATTATTTTTAATTATATTAAAATTTAGAGGAATCATGTTTACATAATTGCTTATAGAGAAAACAGATATAAAATTATGAGGAAACTAACTCATTTAAATTTGCAGTTTTTGTAATAGTCACATGACTTTAGTTTACAACTTGAGAGAAACTTCTTTCATTACTCGAATTTACAATGAGTTAATAAAGATGATTTATGGATATGAAATAATAATTGAGAAGGTGTAAATTATCAAGAATATTGGTATATAAATTAAAAAAGAAGTGTGAGTTGAGAATTCATTAATAATACTAAAGATTATGTTCTTTAAAATAGATTTTATATATTCACAGTTGAAATTTCTTAACAATAGATGAAAGGATAAGAAGTAAAGGATTTTTCTAATTTTGATATAATCTAAATGCAGATTAACTAATGTAAATTTATTATCTTTTAAGATAAATGATTATGTTATAAAATTTTGTATTAACTAATTGTGCGAGTAATGTATACCCCTAGCTTACTTTAAACTATGAAACTTCAATTTAAAGACTATGTTTAACTTAATTTGATTTAATTATAATATTTCATATTAATATTATGTTTTTAGATATTTTTTGTAATAAAATATTAAAAATTTGTTAACTTGAATATTATTTTATAATGTTTATAATTGATCTTATTCAATTAAAGCTCAATTATTTGTCATTTGTCTCATTATATGAAGGCAATTCAACAGATTACTTAAACATCTCAAAAGAATTTGCATAATTTGTTGACAAGTCTTCAATTTGATTGACCTAATTAACCCTTTGATAACTTTAAAAGAAGTTTACAGTTTCTTACTTCAAACCTAAATGGAAAGGAGTGATGGGATCAATGATCAAATAATCGTCCTGATCATCATCCATTTGATTTTCTGAAGATTCTTCACAGTCGTTAGAATTTTAATATGTTTTATTAATTTCTAAATTTTCTTTGGTACACAAAATTTCTTGTTCTTTTTGATTCTAAATGGCGACTGTCTCATTTCCAGGAGAATTCTATCTTGATAGTATAGCGGAAACAATAGTAGAAACTATTGTCTCCTTAATTCTTCGTTGACAAGAAAATTTTCGACCTTTAGGTATCAATAATCTAAATTCATTATTCTTTTTTGATGACAGGATTTGATTTATGGAAACTCTGACTTTCTTTGCTAATTTTTTGATATTCTAATATACTAATTATGATTACATCATATATAACTTTATCCTTAAAAATCTTCAATCCGTATGAAATCATGGACTATTTAAAATCTTTGTATTCGGATTTCCTCTCTTCACTGTTAACAGATTCAATAGATTTTTATTTTTTGTTCATAATGGTTGCTATCTCCTTGGCCTTCTTTCCTTATCTCTTTAACTCCATAATCCGTTTTCTTTCCTCCTGGGAGTTGAGATTATAAACCATTCCTTTCCTATTAGAATTTGTATTTTTTTTCGGCATTAAATCTAATTAATAAATTTAATTGTCAATAGATCAAGACTAGTAAAGGATTTGTGTTTTGAATAATTTATCCCTAATATCATCACTTTTTGGAACCCAAAGGAGACTGTAACACCTCACAGAAGATTTGTATTAAAATTCATATAAGTTTTATTTAGATCAAAGTACTCACAATAATAAATCAAATCAAAGCATTAGAGATGGCATCCTTAAATTTGAGAAATTAAGACACATTTTAAGCTTCTTTATAGGGGGTTATCTTGAATTTACACTTCTTTAATAAACTAGTGAGTAATTAAATTTAAATATATAATATCAATTTTTGAGATCATTCTATTGTATACTTTATTATATAAATTAGGTATATGCATAAAACATTTGCAAAACCGTAAGTTAACCAAAATCTAAAAACCCATTATTTTAATCCTCAGGCTCTTCTTACTTGGTTATAATTTTCTCTTAATTAGTTGTCTCTAGAGTTTCTTATAGATTTTTGGAGGTGAGTACTCTTTAAATAATAGAATCCACGATTTGCTGAATTATTCTTCTTTTACTTGATAATTTCTTGTGTACTGGTATTAATTGTTAAAATTTCGAAGTATTTGAGGTCATCTATTCTTTGATTAGTCTATTTAAATTTTTTGCTAGTTTTCTAGTATTTTCTATCTAGAAATTATCAAAAAGAATTACATTAAAATGTTTATTTTGAATCACCCAATCATAACCAAACTCAATTAAGGCTTTTTTCAATTATCCGTACTCAGATCTTTTTTCAATTGATTTAATTGACTAGATAGTTTTAATATTTTTTTTTAAGGAGTCACTGATTTCTTTGCATGTTGCTCCATTTTCTTTCATTTAAATTATCATGGCTCTTTCCTCACTCGTTGTTTTATCATATCTTTTGCTCCTGTTGTTTTTGAAGACCTTGAAATCCATATAGTGTTTGTCTGTTTATTAAAACAAGATTATTATATTAATGAGTGGGAAATAACTGATTTGAGATTATAGTGCAGATATTTACTATTCTATGATTACAATAAATATATATTCACACTTTCTTATGATCTAAACAGAACTACTTAATTCTTTAACAAGCTTCCTCTATAATTTCTAAGTCACAGCAAATGACCAATCTAACAAACTTTTCACCATAGAACAACTCGCCAGGAAAAACAAGGACATTCTGCTCCTATTGAAGTTTCTTGGCGAAATCAATGGAAGAATTAATTTCTGAAAATTCTTCTGTATTGATAATCAAAGTTGCATACATAGCCCCCTTGGTTTCTCCAACACTAATTCCATAAGCATCATGGAGTCCATGATGCAATGCCTTGTATCTGGCATGAAGTTCCTCCATTTTTTCAGGGATAATATCTAAACTCTTTTTATAGACCTCACAAAGTGCTACCTAACATATAGTATTGGGCATCAATAAAATGTTGGTAATGTTTCTCAAGGCCTATTTAACCTATTTGAAGGCGTCTCCCTCCCCATATAGGGCCAACCAGCCCAATCTCCATCCGGGGACGAGACATTTTTTAGTCAGACCAGAACATCTCAACACAGGCACTGTTTTCGTATAATCAGAAATAAATTTAAACTCTCTCTTCTCAAAAATCATGTTCTCATAGATTTCATCACTCACTATTGGAAGATTATTGTGTCTTTCACAAACTAAAGATATTGTATGATTATATTACAGTTAACAATTTCAGTCAAAGCTATTGGACTTAATTCACTTCCCATAGGATTGCTTGGAGAATTCACTAATATAAATTTGATATCTGGGTTCTACTCGTAGATGTATTCCAATTCTATGATATTGACTTACCAAGTTCCTGGGTTTAAATCATAAAACACAACTTAAATGCCATAGAAATCAGCAAAGGCCTTTACCAATGGAAATGTTGGTCTGGGCATTAATATCTTGTCTCCAGGATTAGCCAAAGCCAAAGTGGCGTAAAAGAGAGCTCCACTGCCCCCACTAGCTAGAATGATGTCATCTGCCTCCAGTTTTCTATGATGAGATGATAGCACTTCTGCCAATTGAGTTCTCACATTGAAGTCACCAAAGAAATCTGTATAACCATCTATTTTTCCAACAGAATTGGCTACTATCTCCTTATATTCATTTGGAGTTTAGAATTTAGGGTAAGCTGTTGGATCGCCTAGAAGGAAAACAATCTTTTTTTCTGGTCTGCCTTCCTTTTTTCCTTCCTTTTCCACTTGAGGTACCACTTGTTCAACCCAATTCCTTATTGGATTCAATGATACTTATGCTCTAGCAGAAGGTTTAAGCATATCCCATGATCTTTCTACCTATTGCATATTATTTTATTAATGTGATGCAATATATGATCAAATATTTTTATATCCAGATTTAAGAAATTTATTTGTTTATTCTGCTTCTGGAACTGTATTGCCAAGAAAATTAAAAGGGAGCTTCAATTAAAATAATTATAAACAAAATTCATGAGATCTATTGAGGAAGAGAATTAAAACGAATTCGAGGAATATAAACTATTCGAATATTAAACTGTCACCTAATATTGGATTAGCACAGTCATATTTATAAGCAGTTTAACTATCTTCATTGGAGGAGTGTTACTGTCATATCTTTTTGAACCTGAGATTCAAGATTGTAATATTTGCATTCATCATTTATCTAGCAGTCTAATGTATCGATATGAAAGACCAATTATTTTATTATTCCATCATCCTTATCTTCATCAGCATTAGTGAAATGTATGTCCCTCATCTATTATAGAATTATTTTTTTATTCGGTTTTGGAATGCAACATGCTGATTAAATAAAGTTTTTTGGATAAATATAAAAATATTAAAGAATTGAATAAATAGTGATCCTCTTCACGTTTGTTATCATAGAAGCATACATCTATCAAAATAGAAGAATATGTAAAATAAATAAAACATACTATTCTTTATACGCTTTTTACTTTTGGCAATTGTTTTGGTGTGCATTTGTTTATAATTTTGAAAATCTTACATGACATAAATTATAGTTATCAAATTATGATTTCATCATCATCATCATCATTATCATCCCCATCTTTTTCAATTTATTACTAATCCCCCTCATTTCCTTACACTAAAGTCTCCTCCTACTACAGATTTTGATTCTATACAACCTACTAACTCTCCTTTTCTTAAAAGCTATCCTTTCTTTGGTTCTATTCCACTACCTCTTCCACCTGCTCGAGTTTCTATATTGCTTATGGATGTTCTGGTAAGTAATTTATTATGTCATTTTCTTGGAACAATTGCAATTTCACATTTAAACTCATCATCTAACATGTGTCCAATAACTATTTTATCATCTGATAGCCTTCTTACTATTGCTAATCATAGTTTAACTTGTCAGAATCATGCAAATTTTTGTTTTCATGTCCTCTCAGATATACAATATCGATATAAAAGTCGTCATCAAAAGATTATTGAAAATCTAAATCGCCTGCTTAGAAACGAATAATGTTTTTGAATAAGAATCCAGTATGGATCTAAAATCTAAATATTGGAATCAAATCATTTTCTGGTGTAATATGTTTACATCGAAATACTATATCATTGCTTATCTATAAGTTTGGGAGAATAAATATGCATTGTTCATCTTTCTGTATAACTTGACTTTTCTCTTCATACAATATCCCTCGCCTATCTAATATTTAAAAATAAGGTTTGAATTGTTCTAATTACTTTGGAATCCCACTCAAAATCACTGATTTCACTTTGATTGTTTGAGTATTTAATTATTCATTTGAGAGCAAATGTGTTAGGTATTTATGAATGTACATGAGTTGAGATTTTAATGGAGATGTGAGTCCCAAAGCTTTTGCTATGATGTAAAAACTCTCCTGGATACTTGTTTTAAAAACAAGGGACCAAAAAATTGAAAGAAGTATGGCACTCCTCCCTTTATTTTGTTAACAATGGACAATTGCAATGTTACCCTCATGTTGTATCCATTCTAAAATGCATTTACATATTAATAGTAATTCATAAAGAGGTGGACATGCAAATCCAATGTAAGAGTGCATTGAAACCTAATTCTAAAATAACTCTCTTGTATAATCATGTTCACTCAAATTCCAAATATAATAATGATGTCCATATTTTCTATTTAAATACTAAGAGACCTACACAATGTATTCTTGCTTTGGAAAAGGCATCCAAAATACATTATCTGTAATTTAATATAAAGTTTTCATAAAATATTAATTTATGGATTATCAGAAACATCTAAAGATACTGAAAGAGACCCTGGAATAACATAAGATTACTCCAGAAAACTTAAGAGAAAAAAGAAAGTCCTTCAAAGAGTTTCCAAAACAAATAAACAATAGAGTAGTTGATGCCTTTTAATCATTTGCTCCTTTTGATAGAGCACCTGTTTGGATGATGAGGTACCATCTATGAACTATTTAAATCATAGGCAAGCAGGTAGATATCTACCAGAATATAGAGAAATTAAGGCTGAAATGGATTTTTTTGCTACTTGCCAAAATCCATTTATTGCTGCTGAAATCACCTTATAACCAACAAAACAATTTGATATCGACGCAGCAATCATTTTTTCAGATATTCTGGTTTTGCCTAAAATGATGGGAATGGAAGTAACAATAATCCTAAGAATAAGATCACAATCGAAGAAAAGAAAGGACCAGTCATTGCAAATCCATTGGTTACTCCAGACGATATTCAAAAGCTTCATCCTCCCAACCCAGAGCATTTAGAACACGTTTATGATGCACTATTCTTGACCAGATTGGCATTACAAGGAAAATGTAATCTAATAGGATTCTGTGGTGCTCCTTGGACTGTCTTTGCATACATGGTAGAAGGAGGATCTAGCAAATTATTCTCAAAAGTTAAGAAATGGCTCTATTTATATACAGAGGGATCCTTATAGGTTTTAGAATTACTAGCAAAAGAAAGTGCCAAATATTTAATCAATCAAGTTAAATAAGGTGGTGCTTAAGTTGTTTAGATATTTGACTCTTGGGCAGGGTATGCATTTACATATATTCTAGTCAAATTCCAGCTTTGGATTACATAGAATTTATTATTCCTTCTTTAAGAATTTTGTTTGAAGATTTCAAGAAAGAATGTCCTGATACTCCTTTGATAATGTTCTCCAAGGATTAAAATGATAAAAAGGTTATTATTGAATTTTTAAAATTGACTTATAACGACAAACCATTGGTTGATGGATTTCAATTAGATTCTAATGTAAGTGATGAAACACTTATTAAAATCATAGAAGGAAATAGAACCATATAAGGAAATTTAGAACCAGGAGTAATTTTTATCTATAATCTTCTTAGGTGTTATTTGGAAATCCTGTTATTATAAAGAAAAGAATTTCACAAATGATTGAGAAGTTATAGACTACAAGAAGGTACATTGTAAATTTGGCACATGGACTTACTCCAGATCATGAAGTTGAAAAAGTCAGGTTGTTCGTATAAGAATCGTAGCGTCAATCCAAATTATATAAAGCCAAGGAAATTTTGGAATGAATTTTCGATTCAATCAGTCATCTATTCAGTTTATAATTTATATCATATCTATCACTATTCTACTGTTATTCCATTCAATCGATTTCAATTTCTAATTCATCATTACCAGATGTTGGTTATTTGAATATACCAATTATATAACAAATTTTTATTAAAAAAAGACTAAAAATTCAGTAAGTAATATTCCACACTTTCAATTTCAAAACAGAAATTTAAGTAACCATGAAACTTTGGAGTAAAAGGTTCCTCGAAAAAACAAAACAAAAATTAATCCCCCTCTTCACATAGACCATCTGATTTCTCCTCATTACAGAATTCAAAAACTTAAAGCAAAATCTATGAAATAGTAAGTTAGTAAGTTCATGAGAGCATATTATCCTTTTTCTAATGAATAATTAACTAGTGAATAAAACTCTTTTAATACAGTTGCTAATATCTGCGATAATACTCAATTTACATTTTTTAATTTTATTATATCTTGCTTAGATTTGTTTTATATATAGAACAAAAATTATTTCTACCTCTGAAATGCATTTAGCCTTCTTCAGATTGATGATTTCATATTTCACCATTTTATTTAAAAATCACTTTTTTTATTTTTAAATGAATAATTTTTTTATATATCCCTACAATGTAAATAAAATAACAAAAATACTACTTTATAAGAAAATTCTTGGTATTTAAATATTCAGTACTAATTGATTTTATTAAAAGTAACAAAAAAATAATATTTGCTTGTAAAATTCAAAATGGGTTGTTGTTCAACTAAAGGAAGACGAAAAGGCTCTCTTTCTATTCCAAAAATTAGTATTTTGAAAAAAACAAACCCCACTCAACAAGTTTAAAAAGAATTAGTCAACACAAAAAAGAAAACACTCAGTTTTTAAATGCTATCCTTAAATTCCTAAGAAGCGAATAGAAGAAGCCTTCATACCAGACAAATTATTTCAGACTGAAATAAATGAAGAATAATGATTATATTTTTTATATATGTTCTAAATTATTGTTATGTAATTAGCAATGATTATTCTTAATGTAAGTTTCAATGCTCCATCTAGAAGATAATTTGGCTGTATTTCTAAATGTTTAACAGGTAAATACTTGTGATTAGTATATTAACAGTAATGCTTACTTAAATAGATATGGTGAGGTTACATTTTATATTAAATGAGTTATTATTATAAAAAAAATTAGTGTTGTGAAGTTCAATAGCAAAAGGAACGATGTTGACACTTAGTTGATGTCTTTTAACACCTGATCGATTTTTAAAGAAATTTATAATATATTTTATAAATTATAGTATTATAAATTTAAATTAAATTATTAAAATTTCACTTCATAAAATGAACTACAAAGCAACACAATATTGCTAGGAATTAGAATAATAAAATATTTAGAATTTATGAGTTGGGGATAACCTGAAGAAGTACCTTAGCAAGCATAATCTTGGGGTAATGCAGAATCAACATGGGGCAATACTGGAGATCAATAATAATAGGATAATAAGCCAGCATGGGGTGATTCAAATAATGGTTAGGAGAATAAGGAGTTTAGAGGAAGAGGTGGACGCGGAGGTAGAGGCGGAAGAGGAGATAGAGGAGGAAGAGGAAGAGGAGGAGGAGATAGAGGCGGACGAGGAGGCAGAGGTAGAGGAAGAGGCAACAATGAAAACAGGGAAGAAGGAGAAATTAAGCCTTAAAATGAAGGCGGAGGCTGGGGATAATAGACATCAGAGGGATGGGGTTAAACTTAGTAAGAGAATAAAGAACCTGCTCAAGGGTAATCTGATGGCAATAATTGGGGTGGAGGAGCACCTACCGAGAATGCTGGAGGATGGGGATCATCAAATAATGAAGCTCAAGGCTGGGGTGGAAATTAAGAAAATAACAATAATCAAGATGGTTAATAAGAATAGTAGAAGGGTAAAGGGAAAGGAAGGAAGAGAGATTCACCTCCTCCTGCTAAAAGAGTAAGACCGAATCCAATAGTAATCACAGTAGAAGATGAAGAGGATAGTGAAACTTAGCATGTTATAATTAATGAATATCCAGTGTTGCAAAATAAGTAGAAGGGACTGATCAAGAGTGAGGAATAGTAAGTATGCTTTGAAGGTAATATTAAAATAGATGAAAACAATATGAATGCGTAATTCATTAGTTTTGATACAGAAATAAAAGTCAAAATTGATTAAATTGAAGATTACACCATAGAGAATTCTAAAGACTTACTGAAGACCATTGGAGATTAAATTATCTTTGGAATAGTTCAAGGAGTAGATAAGGATAATCAGAAGGCTATAAACAAATTAGCAGATAATCTGTTGGACAAATAATAATCAATTCACTTCAAAGATGTCAGTTTGTTTAGTATCAAATAATTGTACAAGGGCGAAAGTGTTTCAAGATTGGCATTCGTTAAGTAGATTTAAGTTTGAAGATTATGGATATTATTAAATATAGATATAAATGTATGCTTCATTATTTCATTGGGTGTTCATGATTCCATTCTTCATAAGACCCATCGAATAAAAGTAATCTAATATATAGAAATTGTTATTACTCTTTTTTCTTAAGAATTTCTTATGCCAACAGTGCGATGCAACTTAATTTTCCAGTTTGACAAGTGTTAACGATTTTCTTTGAAATATCAATTTAATGATTTTTGTATAACTTTTGTAAATTTTCTGTAGATTTCATAGTGTGATCATCATTCAAGTATTCTGAATAAGGTAAATTATAAGATCCAGGAATAGATCCCTTTTTAAATCTTGGTGGATCTCTGGCATCCAAAAGTAGCCAATCCTCACCTTTTGCGTCCTTGTGTTGTTTGAGATAGGAAATCACAGATACATCCTTTGTTGATAGAGAAGTAACTTAATCCTTTGGTTGATCCTCTTTAAATAAACATTAATCATACACAAATTCAAATCCTCATAAACTTTGCTATCATTTTTATCAAAGTCATGTTGATGGTGCCATTTGTTAAATCCGCCATCTAAGACATAAACCCTTTTGAATCCAAAATATCTAAATGTAAACCAAGCTCTAGCAGCGAAATGAATATGCTCATCAAAAAATACAATTGGAGTCAGATGATCATATTAATTCTCCTAAATATATTTCTCAAAAGTCTTTTGGGTTGGTAATTTACGAGCTACTGGTATGGGAGTTGCAGTAATATCGATCAAATTGAGTGTTGATTAATCCAGAGTAATTCTGTGAGCATGAGCAAATTTATTGTTTTCCTCTTTGTTATGATGGTGATCTGTCATTATTACATTGACAATTTTTATTCTGGATTTATTTTTGACTAGATAATGCAAATATGGAGCAGATATTAATGATCCACGCATCTTAATATAAAATTCATTAATTTTTCATGAATTACCATTAAATATACTGCTATACTAAAATTATTTATAGAGAAATTGAAATCAATAAGACAGTTGAATTTGCAGAATAGGGTAAATATAATAAATTATCTGGGCTATAATAATTATGAATTTATATTATATTTATTAAATTTTTGATCTAACTTTTTTATTACTTTTATCACAATATGTTATAGCCTAATTGAGGATAAGAATCGAAGGGTAAAAACAAAAGAAGGATTAATGTTGATAAAATAAAGTAATGTAGCCTTGGATAATTTAATTTTAATATGATAATTAGACATATAGCTATATCAAAGGAATGATTGGAACAATAATATAGATTCATAACAGCAATACTCTAATAACATTAAAAATTTGTTTTTAAACCTATATTAAAATTAAATGTTAAAAAAATTAAGTCACTTTGCACGTCTTGACAATCGAAGCATCGTTTCTATCAAAGGAAGAGAAGTCTGTGAAATTCTGTAGGGAATAACCACAAATGACCTTCGCTAAATCCAGCAATCACAAAGTACATTATTCCTTAATACAAATGGGAGAGTCATTTGTGAAGCAATTTTGCATCGACCTTAAATGTAAGTAATCGTATTATTAGTCAAAAGAATGACGAGTGGTAATATTGTAATGATGAAATTTGGATGGACATAGATAAAGAAATCAAAAGCTCTTTAATAAACCATATTAAGAAATTCTTGATTAGGAAAAAAGTCTAAATTACAGATTATGAAGATCAACTGCATGTCTTCTAAGTTTATGTATTCTTTATACGTTTAAACTTAAGGGGCCACAAGTTAAATTAAGTAATAAGGAAGGTGAAGCAATTACAGATCCGAATAATGATTTATCTGATGAAGGGGATTATAGAAACTTAGTTGCTGTTGATCCAAGATCTTCTTCTATTGGAATCAGAATGGTTACTAATGAGATGCCAGATTTAAAAGAAAATGATATTTAAGTTTAGGATTTAGCCCATTTTGAAATCTCAAGATTGACAGAAGCTATTTTTGAAGGAAAAGAAGTTGTCAATAAAATACCCTTCTAAGTTAATTTTGATTTCTGGAATTCTATCAACTTAACTAAAGGTTGCTATGTAGGTTAAGAATTAACAGCAAGAACCTATCACACTGGTGTTATTAGGAAGAGACTGCTACCTTTTAAAGTAGTCTCCAATAATAATACCACTAATTTGGAAGACTAAATAATCAATAATGGTGAATAGGAAGTAGGCAAAGTTGTGAAGAGTTCAAACAATTTTGGGATTGCTAATGTTAATTACTTAGATATAGATTTGGAGAAAGAGTATTAAGTAGGCAACTAAATAATTTCATTTATATTATAAGAGAAACTTAGGAGTAATTTGATTAAGTACATTGAATTAATTTAATAGAGAAAATGATAATTATTAATTAATTTATCTAAATTGATATTTAAATAGTTTCACATCAATATAAAAATACCCATTCATGTTATACCATAGATTCTAAAATTTTAAGCATTCATTTCATTATACTCATAACTAGAAAATCTAATCAATCAAGATATCAGAACTTTTGAGATTCCATTTTATGATTATCTTTTTAAGTTAACATCTAAAAGCAGAAAATAAAATATAAATAACTATGTTCAAAAGAAGAGAAATATAATATGAAATGTGCATTTTTAAGTCTTCAATATATCAGATATCAGATATAATTAATTGTATTAGTATTTGAGATTTATTCTTAATAAGTTATTATTATAGTTTATATTAGTTTATTTTATGAAACAAATCACTCAGAAGGCTTATAATTGGCTTTTAATTGTTTGGGTTTTTCATCAGAATTGATATCCTAATTTTCATTATAATTTAATACTTTTAAAATAGATGAATAGAAGATTGTGTTTGTATTTTAATTGTTATTTACTTTTTATAGTAACTAAATAAACTTTGTATTATTATTAACTAATTTGATATATCAATTAGAATACCTTAATCTGATAATTAACCTGTTTTTGCTACCGAATTTTCAAGTAAATCATTAAATAGTTTCGATAATTTTTTCTTGAAGTTTAAATCTCTCATCTTTTTTGTAAAAGTGTTATTGTCCCCTTATAAAGGAAGTTATTTGTCTATTTTTAAATATAAGATTATACATTATTCTTAGATTTCAAATAAAGTATTCTCAAAGGTTTTTAATTTTTCACTATATTTATTAATGATAATTTTAAAAGGAGCCACATCCATCTAAGTTATAATATTATCAACATTCTCCATAATGTCTTTCTTTATATTTTGAAGATCATTAATTTATTAAGTAACAACTGATTTAAAGCTATTAAAATTAATTTACTGAGGAAGATCATTGGATATGCATAAAGAACCTTGACTTTTGCTTTATTATTTATCAAATAAATCATTAAGAAGAGCCTTACTCATTATTTATAGTTCATCTAATATTTTATTAACTTATTGTTTTGAATTATCATATGTCAGAGATTATTATTGAATAACTTTTAGAAATTACATATTCTAACTGATAACATCTCCAACCTTAACAATAAAATCCTTTAACTCTTTCTTTTTAATGATACCGTCAGATTAGGTATGTATATTTGAAATGTATTAAAGTTCTTTTGATGTGTTTTAAGTAAAAGTCTGAAATTCTTCATGTTCTTCATCTTATCCAAATGTGAGCATTTTTCTGTCTAAATCATTATATCGAATGGGTACTCCAAATTAGATGGCATAATCAATTGCACATCTACTACACATTTATTATTAATTGATTTCATATTTCAATTTCTTTTTGTGCATTTAACAAGAGTTCAATTTTATTTCAGTTTGCTACTCCTCTTATTTCTATTTTAGAAACAAGCTTATAACGCTACCTTTGGCAACATTTGGAGTTATATTTCTATCTTATTTGATTAAATGATTTTGGAGAGTTGCTTTAAGATATGATGGTTTAACAACATTTTCTTTATTTGCTCTATTCGGAGATGGGTCTGTTGTGTATCTCAAATCCTTGATTTGGGATGAGCAACTGAACTCAGTTTTTAAATAACTATTAGATGGCTTACGAGTATTAGTATTTTGAATTTGATTCTTATGCATATATGTTAAAAATTAATTTAGAAAAAAATGTGTTTAATCTACCAATAATGAAAATATATCTATATACATAAAGTATCACTTCTTTTTTTATTTGATCTTTCTTCCCCTAGTATTTAAGGATTCTGATTCGTCGTCTTCATTTTCTTAGTTCTTTTTTTTATTTTTCTGAGTTTCATCATCGGCATCTAATTCTTGTAATAGTTTATCCACTTCCTTTTGATTTAATCTAGTCTAAGCATTATCAACAACTTCGTATTTTCCTTTTGAGTTCACTTTGAAATTAATCTATTAATATTCATCAGCTATTAACTTCATTTCTTCAAATGATTTGTGTTTAAGTTCTTCAGGTAATTATTATTTGCTTCCATCTTGTGTTATTACATATCGATAGCAGCCTTCATCTTATTCATCGTCAGTAAATTCATCTGGTTTTGATTCTTTTTTTGGTAATTTGGCAAATGATAACTTCTTTGTTAAGGGTTGAAATGTCAGTCCTGAAACAACCTTAGCTGCTTTTTCTATCTATAAATTTTATATGTATGGGAGCATCATGTCTTTTAAATTACCAGGGAATTTCATTGGATATCCTAAGAGAGCATTGGCTTCCAAAAGGATTTTTAAGTAATTTCTCATATCTTCCTTTGAATACATTTCTTTTCCTATGTTTTGCATAGATTTTATGATATCCTTTTAATTTATCCCTTGCATCATTCTTGTTTGGATTATTTTACTGATCTATCGTTTAAATAGGTCTTGCAAGACCAATCCTTATTTCATTTAAGAGTTTTGCATAATCTCAAATTGATATTTAAAAGTCTAAGACTTTTCCTTGAATTTTTTTACAGATTCCTAAAATGAAAGATATTGACTCTTTTAGGAATCCTTAAACATTGATGCTTAAATTGTAAAATTCTAAAAGTCATAGAGTTAATCAGCATAAAAGTTGTGAAGTTCTAAATATTTTGGAATATCATCTTAATTCAAATATTTATTGAATTTAGTATTTTCAAATGGATTTTATCCATTCATAGCACGAACTCTTAATACATAATCAACCATATAACCAGCGATGACAATCTTCTCCAAAAGTTCATCTTTGCTCTTTTAATCAAATTTCTCTTCTAAATAAAATGTATTATAATCAAAGAACTTTTCTTTGCTGACCTTAACTACTTGATCTGCCAAAAACTGATTTGTAAATAGAAAACATTTATCCATAACTCTTGAGGATTTTTATAAAAGAGCTGCTTAGTAATTAACATAAGTTTCGAATATGTATGAGTGATTTTTTAAAATGGTATTCCTGAATATAAATATAATATCTGTAAATGAGTCTGATGAATCTGCTTAAGGTTTCAAAATTGCAACTTTCATTTTTTCAATGGTATCCAAAAATGCATTTTTTAGGTCTTCCAAAGTAAAATTGTTTACTATATCCTCAATTTATAAAACTTCATCAGGTTTTGATATCATAATCATCATCTTAGGGTCATTACATGCATAATATGCAACTGATAATTAATCCTAAAACTCAATCTGCCTATTCTTAACATAATAAACATATGTGCCATTATCGTGCATTGTAAAGAATTCCCTTTATTTAGGAAATACCTTAAGAAATAATTGAGTATATTTGTTTTTGCCTAATAATTATTACTCTTATGTCTCTACAGTTGAATCCTGAATCCATTATTTTAAGACTCGATTGGAAAGAGTATCAAGCAAAACACACTATCTAGATCATCATTTAGAATTACTTTTGGAGTAAATTGTTCAACTAAAGTCAAATTCTGTTTTAGAGCTTCAAAAGATTTATCAGAGGAAGATGCCACATAAACTTGATTGCCATTCAAAATGTACTTGGACATATTGTTTTAAAAAGGAGCATTTTGAACTCTTTCAATATATTCAATCAATTTACTTATAACTGTTATGTACTTTCATATCTGTCTATTTTATGAGAGTCAAGCTTCCTTTTTTCTTTATAGCCTTTTATAAAGTTTTCATAAAAATTAAATTATGTCTTAAAATTTAACTTATAAATCACCAGACGACATCAAATTTGATGAAGATTTAGAAAGAATATTAGATAAGTTCATAATTAAATTGTGTTGCGCTTTATTTATGGACTTTGTAGGGCTATTGCTGATGTTTTTGGTGTTCGATTTTTCTTTTTCAACTTACATTTTTGGATTCAGTTTAGTAAATACAATATTTGAATTTCTGAAAATCAACGATATCAGATATCCTTTAAGGGCAATAGTAGGAGTTGCTTGTATTGTTTTGGCAATCATTGGGTTCAATATAATTGGTTCAGTTTTAGCTGGAATCAAAAATAGAAAAAATCCTTATATTTACCTAAAGGGTGCATTCAATAGATATGTGGGGAAAATTAGAGAGGCCAAGTTTAAGAGAAATTGATATAGTAATTATTTAGAGCTTTATAAAATGATTGTATTTTTTGTTGATGTTACATAATCAATTTGTAATTTTGGATTAAACATCTCTCTTATATGAGGTACTTTGAGAACCTACTTGGCTTGAGTAAATTCTGTAAACATCCTCAAAAGTATTTTATTCCTCTTGAAGAGTTTCACTAACTGATTTGAAGTGAGCTTCTGCATTTGTCAAATCCTAATTGTATTTATGGTACACATACTTCATTAGCCAAATCAATAGAATTTTAGATTTTCTTCAATCTGTCCTTGCAGGCAGCTGTGGCTTATAAAATAGTGATCAATTGGTTTTGTAATTTTTCCTAATGAATGAATACTTAAATTGAATACCAAATTGACATCTTCAGCAGCTAAATGTCCTCTGAATGTTTCATTCTCCTTAGTTATCAAACCTTTAAAGTCACTATATCCCATGGCTGAGTTGACTTGATTGTCTTATTTCTTTCCAAATGATCCTCTGACCTCGTCCTCCAAGATATCCAAAAAGTTTAACAACTCTTATTATGCAACTGTGAATTAAGAGTAATCCTTTCCAGATCCACCTTAAGCGGGAGCCTTCTATCCCTTCTCAATGATTTTATTAAAAGCTGCAGCTTCCTTTGCTAATTGTTCATAAGTAGCCTTCTCTTCAGCCTCCAAAGGATGTTCAGGTACTGCTTGTTCTGGTTCATCTGTTTATTATGCTTCCTCTATTTCATGATCAGCTGCTTCTACTCCTTCTTCTGGGGCGGCAGAAGTTACTTCCTATTCAGCTTCTTCAGTTTCAGTTACTGATGTTTCTTCTGGAGTCTCAGTAACTTCATCGTATACGTGGGGAGGCTCATTGTCATCGGAGGTCAATTCTGGTTCTTCTCCATCGTCAGCCAAGAAGGATTTGAGTTGGATGAATTAAGCAGATTACAATAGAGTGGGTAAATCAGTCTTATATTGCATAATGATGTACTTCTTTTGCATTTTTCAACAGCCCTTCTAAGGAAAGCTATTAAATTAAGAGTTTTCTTTGAATTCTTGATATCGTTAATGAAATTAGCATTCGATTCACATCTGTTCACATCCAATCTTTAAAGTCTTTCATTATTCTCTTTGATTCTCTTCTCAAGCCAATTAATATAGCTAAGTGTTATTCTAATGTCACGCTCTTTATTTGCCCATTCTTAATCTCTTCTATTGCATTCACCCCTTTGAGTCGATGCTGAACGTTATAAATCATTAACAATGTCTTGCTTTTGCTGATCGAAAGTCATATTATACACATTACATATTTGGTTGCTTCCCAATCACTCTCCAATTCTTATAATTGCTTGATTGTGCCATTTTTTAAATCCCCAAGCATCTTCAACACAACATCTATTTCGTTTGATTGAGAGTATGCTGTTATTAGCAACAAAGCCATTATAGCAAAAACCTTCATTTTATTAAATTATCACACAAAAACGGTACATTTTTTAGTTTTAATTTATATAATATAAAATTTTCAACTCTTCTTCCTGCAATTTTTAGTGTTAAATCTATGAATTAAGTAATTATTTAACATTAAAATATTATCATCGAATCTAAATATCATAGAGAAAATGTTTAGTACTCTCTAAGTTGATAAAGTGGTTACATTTTGTTATATAGCCTCTATTTAATTATAGCTTGGCCTGAATCCAAGGTACCATAAGGAATTGTTTTATTTTATTATGAGAAATATATAGATCAGCATAATAACTTGGATTATTATCTATAGAATAAATTTTAATTAATGCTCAACACAGTTTTATCTATTTGTTTTACTTATAAGTTTAATGATGAACAAAAACTAACCTATAATCAGAATAATCGAGAGTACTTAGTTACAATTCTCTTATCTTTGAAACATTTCTTACTTCTTTTACCCCATTTAAATAACCGTAATCATTTTTTCACTGAATGTTAGTTTTAATTTCCAATTTCATAAGGTGTGTAATACGATATGCATAGGATCATATATATTTAGATTTAAAAATTATAGCTCAAAAAGGATAAAGATCAAAATAAAACTCTATTTCTGATACTTATATATAAAACAAACAGCTCTAAATCATTCAAGAAAATTCATTATTTGAGAATGACTTCCTGGGTTTTCCTAAATCAATTTACCTTTTATTTTCTTCTCATCATCAACGTACTCGATGAAATATGTTCTAGTTTAAAGGAATATCTATAAAAGAGACTCTTCTTCTTCTTAATCTGATTTTTCTGCTCAACAATACATTTATTTTATTCCATTTAATCAGCCTTAACTTATTTCATGATTGAGCACCCCATTTGATTAATTTTTTGGATTTATTTTTTTGTAATCTAAAACTTGAGACTGGAATTAATCGCGAAGGCATATTATAATATATTAGTATATATAGACAAGATACAATAAATTTTTAAATTGAAAGCTAATTCTTTTTGCCCAATCACCCTTTTTAACTTGTATATGCAATAAAAAAAATGTTAACATATGTATCAAATGTACTCCCTCGTATAAATTAAATATATTGAATCAACCAAAATAAAAATGTGATTGTTTATTTTATCTAAAAATAGATCAATTCAATTAAAAATACAAATATTGTCAAATTCAAAATATTTTAACTTTGGAATCTCTATTTCTGATGTACATTCGTTTGATGTATATAAAATTAAGTTATAAAATATTTTTGAGAATAATTTTCTAATTATGTTAAATTTATAAAGTAGTATTTACATTTTCAATAACAAATATATTTAATAAATTAAAATATTTTAAGAGATCTTCATTGTTATAATGTATCTTTAGAACATGAAGAACTCAATAATTTACTCTAAAATGATAATTAATACAATTACATTTGATAAATATTAGTAATCTAACAAACTGGAATATAAACCAGCAGTGTATATAGTAGATTAATTAATATTCTTATAAATCTATTGTAATTACTGTTTGCTCTTTCGATTTGTAATAGATGATTTAATACTTGGTGCAACCTACTCTAGTAAAATATTTTACATCATATTCATCTGATTAATTGGTTCTATGAAGTCGAAGATCAGGCATCTGATATTCATCATTAATTAAATTTAAAAGTTTTCTATTAGTCGATAATTAGCTTTCATTATTAATTTGCACTTTATAAATGGGCGTTTGCAGAGGACTTGTATAACTTTGTTTTTTTAATCCTTTATTGTGTTATTTTTTTGATGTTTTGGTAATTAACTATCGTTAAAAGTCTGTCAAATTTTTCACTTGCTGCTACAAACCTACTATTAATTGATTTTTTTCTGCTAAGTCCCTTTAGAATTGCAAGATTTAATTTTAATACTTCTAAATATTATCGTTAGTAGATGAAGAGTTATTTTAAAAGCTTTATGATTATTACCGAGAATTTTAAGATTACTTTGATCTATTCAAGTTGAACTCGCCTTGCTAATCCAAATCTTTTCTGCTGGATAATCCTTAACCAACGAGTACATTCTAAGTTTCAGTAGTATTAAATTGCTCCTTGTAGAATGAATTTTCTTCATTCATTTTAGTCAACGTAGAATTAAGCTAATTTTATAGCACAAATAAACTACTTTCTATACAGAAATCTTTAATTATGTAATATCCCTCATATATTAAACTCCATTTTCTTAAGCCTACTTTAATTCGCTTTCTTTTAGTGAAATTCTATTTTGAAATAGTTTTAACTCATTTTATAATTTTTTATTTTATGCTTCTGATTTGTTATAAAGACTTTAAAGATCTACATTATTCTAAATTAATTATTAATGATATCGAGATAGATTTTGATTGTTTTATTCAGAATAATGTAATGCCTATTGTAATTAAAAATTAGATTAATAAGTAGTGTTTTATTGATTTGTTTTCAAAAGCTTTTCGGAATTGTAAATCTACTCAAATTAATCAACATTCTTAGTAGAAACAACCTTCTTTCTCTCCTAACTCGAGGCTGAAGTCTAAGATGATCTGAGATTTAGTAAATCTAAAATTTATACTTAAGTGATGTTGGTGTAATATAATAGTTATTGGAATGAATGACTTCTGATGGCAGTTTTTTATGAGACTATCTCTATTACATTATTATTTATTTATTTTTATAAAAAAAACTATAACATAAATCAAACTAATAGATGATCAAATTATTTATTATTTTAAATAAAAGTTCTTACTTCATGCAATTCATTAAATTACTATTTCTTTAAAAGGGATTTTGCTAATGACATCAAATTTTTGTATAAAAAAAATGAAAATTCTTTATGTCGATTTTTTACAGATTTTTAAGCCCATTTATCAAATTCACTTAGGGAATCATCAATATCGTAATTTGACAATTTGGATACATAATTATTCCTTAATGTTGGTTCTCCAGGGAATGTGAGAATGAGGTGCATGAGTAACACTCCCAAAGCTTGAAGACTTTGTTATTTATATTGCGGTTAATCTTGTTTGAATTATTTTTGCATATCTTCGAAATAAGAGTATGAATGATTCAAGTCTGCCAACATTACCTCATTTATAGAAGAATAGGCTTACTTAGATTTCCCCAGTGATACTCGTAGTAACCATAATGCTTTCTGGCTTGAGATCTCCATGGATTATTTGCTTTTGCTGCAAATACTCCAAGCCACTTATAATTTGGCACATTATTTCAATTATTAATTTGCTCTTCTATTCTGATGGCATTGGATTCATATAAAAATAAGAATAACTCAATAGGTTTTTAGTTTGCGAGATATATCCTGGATAGATGCAATATTCAATTTGAGTGTAGAGGAATAGTTGTTAATTTTTTGATTCAAGCCACCAATCATAATGTCTGATGATGTTTGGATGTGAAATACGTTATAGAATACGTGCTTCTTGAATTGTTAAGTAATCTTAATTAGAACTTTTTGTATTAAAAATATCTTGAAATGTAACATTAATAGGAATGCCTTACAATTAAATCTATAATTAGGTTGTTTTTTACTCGTTTAACAAAATAAATTTAATCATCCATTGGCTTATAGACATGAAAAGTTGTGGATTATTTCTGTTGATCCAATTCTTCATTTAAGACAATAAATTCATTTTTGAATTTATTGTTTCTTAAAAATTAGTTTTTAAAATCTTATTACACATTTAATTCTTTCTAAATGTTGATATTGAAAAAAGAGAGAGTCAATCTTACTCGCTCATTTTTTTGTTCAATTGATATTTTTTTATTCATAAAACTATCAGCTATTGATTTATTGAGAAAGATGAATGCTGTAGACTTTATTTGTAGTGTGGATGTGATGAATCCAATGTTTATATCTTAATAAAAGATTTTAAAGAGAGTTGATTATTAATTCTCTATTAGAAAACATGAATCTTACTTTATATTCTTAAACTGATTAGAAGTAATTAGTGTCCTAAGTAAGCCTTTTCTTAATGGCTTTTTTGATAGCCTTGACAACCATCGTAATATGTCTGAAAAATGGATCATCACTAGAAAAATTGATTGTAATCAATGAAATAACAAGCAATTATTGAAACTAATTAAAATCTTCTGAAAGTAGGAAATCATTCTTTTCTTTTAGATTTTCTTCCTTTTTATATAGAAGATATACATTACAAGTGTTAACATGATTTTGTTTTTATCTGTATTTGGTATGTCCAACTTTTCATTTTGAATCTCATCGAATACCTCTTCAATATAAAACTTGCTACTCATCAATTCATCAAATTGCTAGATAAGATTGTAAGCATTAATTTACTTCAATGCTGCTATACTATTACATTTTAGATTATAATTATTATTTTAATATATATAAAAATACATGAATTAATTCAGATGCTCATTAAACTTCTTCTACTATTGTTGTTATTCATGCTATCAACAGAAAATTAATCAGGAATCCAAAGTACTAAATTTCTACAGCCACTAGCCATCAAAAAGTGAGTAGGACAGAATTTAACAACTTTACATCTTTTTTGATGTCCATCTAATTTTGCTATTTAATTTCCATTTGGAAGACTCCAAATATGAATAGTTCCTGTTTCACTTCCACTTATTACGTAATTGCAATCAGGAGTAAAACCAGCCTCTATCATGGATCCCTGGTTGTTAAAATCACTTAATTCACAAATCTATTTATAAACTCAATTATTTACTGTATCTAATGTATAAGCATCTAAAATAAGTATTGTGCCATCTCCAGTAGAACATAAAATATATTTGTTGTTATTACTAAACTTAATACACTTTACTTAACTACAATTAATCTTTTTGGATTAAAATGATCCAGAATGATATTTTTTAAAATCATATAAGTATAACCAATTATTTGATATACAATAATATTATTCCAAAAACACTACTGCAAATACTTATCCTGATGGATCAAATGCAGCTACACAAAATGTTTTTTTAGCAGATAAATCTAATAAGCCATCGGATGTTTAGTATTCTGATGCTAAATTCCACAATCTTAATGTTCCATCCATACTACAACTTAAAAAATCATCTGAGACAGGAGATAAATCTAACCAATGTATTCTATCAGAAAGGTAACTCAATTTAATTTTACATATTAGTGTGTCCAGTGAACTTTTTCAATATTTAATTATCGTGTAGTGACCAATAGTAGATATCATAAGGCTCTTTTTTTGTAACACATAAAACACATGAATTATGATGTGTAAATCTCACAAGATCTATTTCCTTCACCTTATTATAGAGTGTTCTCATTTTTCTATTGATTAGGAATTTATATACTTTCCTTAATGAACATCATACACGTTAAGAGCTTAATCATCACAAGAGACCAAATATTATCCATCTTTTGAAAAATCGATAGCATTTATATCTTTTTGCTAAATTTTAGAATCCTAAGCTTACGTGGTCTTTGAAGATTTTGCACATCTTCAATGATTGCAATTATTCAGTCGTTATTTCTGCTTCTTGCTCTTCGTGCATCATTAAATAATATAAATTATTATTATATGTATGATATATGTTTTCAGATATAGAAATTGTTAATCATTAATCTCATATAATGAGATTCCATAATTCATCAACTTGATAAATATTAATATTATAGATATATCAGATATTGCCACATTAGCATCAACAACAATCAGACGGTAATTCCATCAAAATTTATTTTCATCACAAAATAAAAAGTCAATTAAATAAATATATGAAAATATCAATCCATTAATCTGGTCATATACATAAAAATATTTAAAAAAACAAAAAAGAATTAAAAATTACATCAGCAACAACCACTACTATTATTCCTATTCTAGGATTAATTCTATTATTATTAAGATAAATTATTATTCTGATTGTAAGGCTATTACTATTTCATGTTCATGACCTACTCACAAATTGAAATGAATAATTTATCCACATTATCAGATGTTTTAGCAGATGTTTCAAGAAATCGTGCATTAAATTATTTCGCTTTCTCCAACCCTTCCTATAGGCTAATTTTTCTTTTATTCGGTATATCAGCTTTATTTCCGACTATTAATTTTTAAACAGATTTTCTCCCATACCTTTATTTAATGGCTTAAGTAAATCATTACTTATCAATATCCTCAATCCAGCTATCCACTGCATCAAATGTAGATCTTTCAGTCACATCATAAACAATGACGACTCCATGAGCATCCCTATAATAATTATTAGTCAATGCTTTAAATCTTTCCTGTCCTGCTGTATCCCACTGAATTTACTTAAAAAAAATACAATTTGCAATTTCACATTTAAATGCCCTATTTTAATCACTCTAGTTTTCTCTAAATAAGATCTATAAATACAAAGTCTACACCAATAGTATTGTAATATTAAGATGTAAAATAGTTTTCAGAATATCTCATTAAAATGCAAGATTTTCCGACATTGCAGTTCCCTACTATCACAACCTTTATTAGAGTATCGCTATTAATCTTAATAAGTATTACTAAGCATTAGTGTTTTTATTCATATAATATATATTAGAAAATTAAAAATTAATTAACCTTCCAAAATAACCATTTTATATAAATTATTAAACAAGATCTTATCTTAATAGTCAAGTTATCAATTAAATAAATTTCTTAAAATTTAAATAAAAAACAGACACAAAGTATGGTTTTGGTTTTATATAGTTCTAAAAAATTTGCTTTTTATAATAAATTCAACTAAAATACTTACAGAATATTTCATATACCTGAAAGTAAGATGTCAAGAAAGTAATACACTGATTTAATCTGATATCAATCCTATATAAATTCTTTTGATTAAAACTTATTCATAAATCGATTAACAATTCCGTTAACTCTTACTCTTGAATATAATAAGAGATATCATGGTGAGAAAAGGCTATAATTAATTAAATAACAAAATTCAATATCGAAATATGATTTTTATAAATTTATAGAATATTATGCTATAAGAGTAAAATAAAAAAAAGTAATTACACTTATCCATTTAATCTGTTATCTGTTTTTATAAATTTACATAAGATCCAAAAATAAGATAATCTCAAGATAATATCTCCAATATATTTATAAAATGCACAAAATCTTTTCTCAAATTATTGGAAGTCCACAAAATATTGATTTGTATTAACATGATTATGCAGGTATATTCTGATTTTATTAAATTTCTAATAAGTTATTTCCAATTAGAAATAAAATATACCTAAATGTGAATAGCCTTTGTTGTTATATATAATTCTTTTATTTATTTAAATTCAAATATGAACATGAACGACAGTTTCTTTGACAATATAGAAGTTTTAAACTAAAATGTAACTACATATAGTAAACCATAAACTATTTGCAAATCTTTAGAGCGTTCATTCGCAATTTGCAGTAATCCACCTAAGTATGTATGAATTGAAATTTATACTTTCAGCAAAAATATTCATCAACAAAGTTAATCACACAAAGACGTTTCTATATAAAGACATTAATCATACAAATTAGATTACTTTTTAAAATAATAAGTGAAGAATTCTTAAAACAATACTTAATCTAAAAGCTTTAGAAGTATAAAATAATAAGATTATAACACAAACAATTTGACATAAAACCCTTAAAGTAATGAGTAATATCTATTTAGAATCCTATTTAAAGCAATAGATGAGATTAAAAATAAACTTGGAGAATGATGCTTATTAATCTAATTTGAGACACAAAACCTCATCTTCACACAATACAACTAATCCTTATTAATCATCTTTAGCAACTTTAATGAAATAACAAGTAAGATTATTAAGTTTAATGAATTAAGATGCAGAAATAATAATAAAGTTATGCCAACATATGCAAGACTTTGAACGATGAATCTAAACCAAGAATTTCTTCAACACATAGGCAATCTATAGTTCCTTAAAAATTAACTTAAAGATAAGATTCTGTCAATATAAGAAAGAGCAATTCAGTCTATATGCAAGAATTTAGAAAAATGTTTAGCAAAAGCAAATATAGCATGCACAACAATATTTGAATTAAAGATATCTCTATTTCAATAATAAAGTTATAATTTAAATCAATATTTAATACATTATTAATAATTGCTAATTTTTCACTATTTTTATTTAAATTTATCAAACAATGAATTTTAGTCTCCTCATCAAATTAATTTATTAATTATTTGAAGAAATCCTTCTTAATCAAAGTTATGTAAATAAATTAATATCTTGAAGATTAATTTTTCAATACTCCGTTTCAATCTGTTAATATTAATTACGTTATTTGATAATTTCAAATCTTAAAAAATAAACTATAACTTTTCACAATTATCACTATTGATTATAAAAAGTTAATATAGTTTTATCATTTAAATTTTTTCCAACTCATAATTCTTTAAAAAATTCAGAAGGAAGCAATATTTCACTTTCAAAAAGGGGATATAACTTTATAATAATTCATTATTTCCTTAAATCTAAACAGATTTCTAAACTATAAATTCAACTATTTTGTTATTTTTTTAGATTATCTCATATAATAATATTAATATCAAAATATAATTTTCTTATATTGAAAGTATCAAATCAACTTTGTATTTGAGTTTATTTAAAAGAAGTAAATAGAGCCTATTATATTTCTGTTGAAGATAAAAGATTTTTGAAATTTTATAAAAATAAATAATGTAAAACTAATAAATGAATAATTTTACATTAATATAAACTAAATAATGAAGAGATAGAAGAAATCAACAACAACAGTTGATATATATTATATGGAATGCCAAATAAACAAACTTATTCGTTCAAACACAAATAATTCCATTCATCCTCAATCTCTTAAACATCATGTTGATACTCAATTAAATATTCCTAAGCGATCTACTTTACGTAAGTATGATTCTAAATAGATTTAGATAAACATAACCCAGTATTAATTGAAAACAAAATATAAGCGAGTACCATGTATTAAAAGAAGTCTCTACATATTCATGCAAGGCCGATTTCGGAAGACTAGACTCGAAAATTTCATCCAATAAATATGGAAGAGCTGATATTACCATAGAGAAGCAATTTAATAAGACAAATAAAGAATTAGATGATGTTTCCTAGATAATAATGGAGTAAACAAGAGAACATAGAAAATAGAAAATACCCGGAGATATTTAATCCTCTAAAAATATCAAGGAAACCAATAAAAACATTTTCTATCAATCTAAAGTCATCTTTTAAATAAGTTTCGAATACTAGTAGATTGAATACGGGATTGAATCTCAGTAATTAAAGAAATTTCTCTCCCATGAGAACTATGACCGAAAGACCTAATGTCGATTTAACTGGATGGCAAACAACAGAAGATGTAGAATGGGTGTGATTTCTTTTTTTTCATTTTGTTTATAAATGTTTATTATCAGCAGTAATTCATTGATAAAATTTTAATATTGACAATAAAAATACCATCAGATAGGGCTTAGGCTCAAAATTATATATCTAATTATTTCATAATTTAATGAGGCATAGATAAGTACTAGTTTAGAGAATATTAAAAAAATGTGTCGTTAATCTTGTCATAAATGGAAGGGGGAGAGAAATTATACATTCGACTTAAAGAAGAAAGAAATAAAGGCATATTGATTAGAATTTTCGATATTCAATCTGATATTAAACTATCTACAGAAGTTTAGAGGAGGATTATTCTATAATAAAGAAAGTTTATCTATTATAAAATTTCATAGTTAGCTATAAAATTGAAGTTTAAACGGAGAGAATAAGTTAAGATATACTACAAATTGAAGAAGGATTAAATTTTGACGTCATGAAATTAAATTAAAAAATTAATATTTTCCTTGAATATCTAGATTGCATAAAAGTAAAAGAAATAAGTAAACTATGCTATTTAATTTTAGATAAAAATTCTTTTTAGTAATCCAAATTCTAGGATTCAAATTATTTTTGATGCTGACTAAATTACTCGCCCACATGATTATTAATTGTAATTTTACCCAATGAATTCATATGGTTAATGAATATCTTTCAATTTTCAATGAAGAACTTATATAATCAAGTATTTTTCCATAAGATTTGGTATATTCATATTAAAAATTAGTGTCCATTGAGTATAAACATATCAGAATATTTTTATTTAGATCATATACTTGTCTTAATCTGGTTTGATTACCTGTTTCATTTATTCAAAGAGGCTCCATTTTACTCTATTTTAAGTTCATTATTACTATACCTTTCATCGAAATATTAAGTTCAGTAGAGAATTAAACTTTAAAGACTCGCTATAATGAAACAAATTCGAATTCTTCTAAAACTTTGTAATACAATTTTTAGGCTTCCTTGAATTACTTTTTAAATTTTTTATAAGCAACAGGGTAGATCTAATGAATTAGAAATCAGAAGGCAGTTTAAAAGGGAATAAAGATTAAAATGATCTATAAAAATCACTAGAATTAATGGCATTAATAATTAATAAAAGATAAGTCCATAATATATTATTTAATTAAATTGATGTTCTATTTGGTCTGATAAGGGATTCAAAAATATTATATTTTTTGATTATTAAATTATATTATCAAAGGCTACTAACTTTTTATATAATATTTGAAAACAACAATAATTCGGAGTTAGTGTAGGTTGAGTCAAGAAATACTGGGATTCCCTCCTGAAGATAGTAATTATGATATTTGTTAAAAAAGTAGTATCAAAAAAATAAATATTATTAAGAAATATGAAATCATAACATCTGCCAATCAAATCTTGTGTTTGAAATAAATTACTCATTCTAAGTGAAGTAATAATAACATAATAAATTAACTATACCTCCTCAACAATTATAAGTAAATTTAATAAAATCTCTAAATATGATTTTCCTTTGCAAAATTTCAATCAATCCCTTCATAAAGTAATTTTCAATTAAATATTGTGATTTCTGCAAATTTCAATAATTAAACAACAACTATAAATTATAGAAATAAAAAATTCAAGGAAAATTAGTATAATTAAAGATGATTATAAATATAATTAAAATATAATTATTTTAATCCGTTTTTGAGTTTGAGAAATTCTGATTTCAATTTATTAATAATATAAATAATCGTTACATATCACAATCTATAGTTTTTTGTCACTTCATGAAAAGCCATAGACACGTACTTGATGTTAGCATCATTCAATCCAGCTATCGATATTCCACCATTATGTAATAAATAGATGTGATACTTTTCCATGAGTTCTTTTATTTGGACTTGCCCAAAACCCTTATAAAATATTGATATATATTACTGTTAATGAATACATTCCAAATTATTTTGAGAGATGAGACCAATCATGAGGAGAACCTAAGTCTTTTAAGGCTTTTGTAAAACTTTATCTTATATTTTTTAATCTTAATGCCATTTGTTTGACTTCATTCAACCACAATTAATATATTTCAGGATTGTTGAGTATAGTTTCTGCAATTCTGGCACCATGAACTGGAGGGCAAGACCAAAGTGATCTGGCTAACAAATTTAGTTATGAAACAACCATTTCCTTTTCTCTTTCATTAGAACAGACTATACTGAGACACCCAGTTCTTTAGCCTGCCAACCCCATGTTTTTATCAAATGATTAACCTAACATGATGGGAACTCCTGCTTCTGTAAACATTCTAATGGCTTAAGCATCTTAGTCCATATCTCCACTTGTAAATCCCTAGTATGTCATATCAAAAAATGGTAGAATGCCTTTTTATTTTGTTAAATCCAATAATTGTTTCCATTAATCTAAATCAAGATCACATCCAGTTGGATTGTGTGAGCAAGCATGGAATAATACGATTGATCCATTTGGGACAATTTATAAGTCTTCAAAAAGTCCAGAAAAATCTACTTGTCTGGTAATTGGATTAAAATAGCGATACTCTTTAGACTATAATCCTGCCATCTAGGCTATAGTCGAATGAAGAGTTTTAGTCGGATTTGGAACAAAAACTTATGTTCCCGGAGAAACAAACTTATTTAATAGTTCAAAACCTAATCTTACAGCCCCTGTTCCACTGAGAACTTGGCACCCAGCAATGTATTTACCGTTTCTTTCGTAGTACTTCTCACCATATCCAAGTTTTATCGTTGCTTAGATGAAAGATTAGAGTCCTTCTATGGGAGGGTATTCATTATCTAAATTTTTTTCTCTAACAATTTACAAAGCCTAATTGAAGAAAAATTTTACTTCTTGTACAGACTCCAGAAGTACAGGATTTCCTTAGTTATCTCTATAAGTATTTACTCCCAAATTTACTTTTTAGTAATAGTTATCTGCATCATATTATGCAACTAGATTAACTGAAGGATCTAATGAACCATAAGGCACTTTAGACCACAGAGTTATGCATCTTAATACTTTGAAGCAACGCATATGTGATTTGGATAAGATATTTTTAATATTATCATCATCTTGCGAAAGACAGCATTTATATACACTGCGATTTCGTAATCGTTAAAGATACTGATTAAATATTTGTTTAAATTTTATATATCAATTAAATTATATTGCTTGATATAATAATTGGAATAATATTCGCAGCCGATACTTTTATAAAATACATTATTGCTTAAAAAATCTATAACATTAAAATATATGGAAAATATTGCTATTTATGTAAAAACCTTTCTCTTAAGTTAAAGATCCAGGTTTCATTATAACTTCTAATTTCTGCCCTTCAGGAAAAATATTATTATTTTTCAAAATAAAATTAAGAATAAAATTTTATTTATTTAAAATAAATGTTTTTTATCAGCTTTAGTTTGTTATTTCGAGGAAGGAACTTCCATTTTTTGGAAAGAACAACATCTATCTTCTAAAAAGGGTGAAATAGTAAAAAAAACAGGATTCTCAAAATATAATCAAAAAATTAATTTTATTATTCGGACAAACATCATCTGTGTTAGCAATTAATAAATTTTTGGAAGTTTTTTTTTTAACAGGATAAATATACTTTAGTTGGTTAACGTTAAAAGGAAAAAAAATATTTTGAAATTATAGGTCGCCAAAAATATATATGTAAAACGAATTTTTTTATTTCCTAAATGAATTAATTGAATAATAAATAAATTATATAATAATCTTTGAGATTTGGTGCTGGTAATAACCATGCTGCTAAAATAATGATAACTAACTTTCTAACTTTGCATACATATTAAAAAACGTAGAATCGTTTTTCACTCAAAATTGAAACCGATTTCAGATTTATATAATATAGAATTATTTACAGGTTGATAATACTTAATTAATAAATTAAATTATCAATATAAGATGGAAGAAGAAAAAGAAAATAAAATTGGCTATGTTGATGCATAATTTAATGGAAGGTTTATTAAGTGCTTATTTCAATTAAAGCCAAAAATTGAATCACATAATGATTATATGGTACTTATATACATAGATTGGTCTTTGTTTATAGATTAAGATTTGGAATTTGTTTAGAGAAATAGAATCCCTTTGATGTAGATGAGAGGTTAAGATTTTTATATTTTCCTTGAAAATCAAAGGAAATATAATTATTGTTGATACCAAGTTTTTAGGGAGAATTGTTGGAATTGATAAATTTTGATGTGTTTTAAAACAGTCCAAATGGATTACAAACCAATTCATCAAAAAACAGCGATAAAATTATTGAGCAAGAAAATATTTATGTTCAAGATAGTATATTATGATTCTGATTGTACAAAGTTATATTTTTAAGCAAATTTCTTTGATTCTTTAAGTGAAGCAATGAATAATTGCAATCATTTTAGAGATGTGTAAACTTAACGATTTTTGAAGAAAGAATTTTGTTTTAAACAAAGTAAGATTGATGTTAAATAAGGACTCCTTTATCATAGGATTTAAGATGATTTATGTAGATTCTATGAATAATGTAATATATAATTTGAATTTTTTATGCATATTAATAATTGAGACTATAGGAAATCATGTTTTAGTCGATTGAAATCATTTTAAGAAAAGTTATGTACAAAATTAATCCAAATTGTCATTTAAGAAAATGAGCATTTAATATAATATATAAAGGATTTTATATTATTATCAGCATCATTTAGGAGAAAATAATAATTAGAATTATTCTTAGAGACTAAGTAAATGAGTTTCTATGTACACGTGTATATAAGAGAGTGTAAAATTATTCTAGAATATTTTATTGATTTTTATTAATGATTAAATACTTACTCATTTGCCTCCTAGCTATCGTTACCAATGGTACAGTATTGGGAATTGATTTCGGATCTGAATTCATCAAGGCAGTTTTAATAAGTCCAGGCAAGTCTTTCACAATCATTGAGAATACTACAAGCAAACGAAAAACAGAAAATGCTGTATGATCAATTATCTATGCTTAAGATTGCATTTTACAATAAGGAACGTTTGTATGAAAGTGATGGTGTTTCCAAGAAATCCAAATCTCCTAAGAATACATTTACATTCTTAAACAAATTTTTAGGAGCATTAGCGAATGACGAAAAACTCGTAGAAATTTCCAGACAGTCCTATGAAGACTTTAAAATAGAGATTGAAGAGGTAAAGATGCTAAACTTATGATTTTAGAGAGAAGGAACATTTGCCTTTGAAGTTGATGGTGTATAAGTAGAAGGAAAGGATACCATGATAGTGAAGGTCGAAGAATTGGCAGGAATGGTTCTTAAATTTATAGCTAAGTTAGTGGATTTCAATCATTAGATCTAAATTAAAGATGTTGTATTGACAGTACCAAGCGAATGGAATATAAGTCAGAGATCGTAATTTAAAATTAAATATTTTATGTAGTGCATTAAAATCAGCCGCTTAATTAGCAGAATTAGAAGTTTTAGGAATCATCAATGAAAATACAGCAGCTGCTCTATATTATGCCCTTGAACGTTCAGATGAAAACAAACACACTGCTCTATTCTATAACATAGGTTCATATAATATTCAAGTGTCTTTGGTTGAATTCTAGGCTGTAGATGCTCAAAAGAAAAAGGTTGAAACATTAAGAGTTCTAGCTGACTATTCCATCCCAAATGCGGGTGGCTAATCTTTAGATCTCTTACTAGCAAATCATTTTGCAAGGGAATTCGATAATCAACCATCCAGAAAAGGAAAGAAGTCTATTTTTACAAACTCTAAAGCAATGAATAAACTATTGAAGGCAGCAAATAAATACAAGGAAATATTATCAGCAAACAAAGAGACTTAGGTTTATTTGGAAGGTTTGATTGATGGTGAGGATTACACTACATCAATTTAGAGATCAACTTTTGAATCATTATTCGAAAATAAACTTTAATAATTAACAGAACCAATTAATTACGTTTTAGAAAAATGCAACAAAACTAAAGAGGACATCAATATCGTTGAATTAATAGGTGGAGGCATTAGAGTTCCTAAGATCTAATAGGAGTTAGCTAATTACTTTGGAAGTGTAGAAGTTGGAACACATTTAAATGGTGATGAGTCTATGGCATTTGGTGCTGCATTCCATGCTGCTAATCTATCTCATTCATTCAAAGTTAGACCAGTTTAATTGACTGACGGTTTTAGTTTCAGCAGTTCTATTGAAATTAATGGTGTTAATGATGACGATTATCATAAAGAATTCTCTTTGTTTGGATACAAGAAGAAATATGGAAGTACTAGATCTTTGGAATTCACTTATGATAAGAATTTAAGATTAGATATCTATGTGGAAAAAGATGGTTAGAAATCTAAATTAATGTCCTATCATTTAACTAATATTACTAATGCCACAGAACTTAATTTCAGTAAACCAGAAATCTCACTTACTTTTAAATCCACATCAAATGAATTTATAAAGTTAGAAAGTGCTGAAATGAAAGTTGAGGAAATTAAATTAATTGAAATCAAACCTAATGTTACTACCACTAATACAACATCATCATAAGATAAAGATAAACCAACAAATAAAACTGAAACAAATGATAATGAAAACACTGAAGAAGGTGATCTTTCTGAAGAAACTGAAAAGCAACAAGACGAACATCAATAATCAGAAGAACAACCAAAAGTTACTGAATAAGTCGTTTAAGAACCTTAATTCAAAAAGTAGAAATTTATTCATACTTTCCCCATCAATTATACAATTACTCATCATGTAGTGTTAGGATTAAATCAATAAGAGATTGATGATTCAAAAAAAATTATTAAATAATTTGAAACTGCTGAAGAAAATAGTAGAAAGTTAAGTGAAATTAAAAATAAATTGGAATCACTTATTTATACAGTCAGAGAAGTCAAAGATGCTGAATATTTCTAAAAGGCTTCAACTGAAACAGAAAGAGCTGAAATCTTAAAGACAATCGAAGAACACTCTGAATATCTTGATAGTGATGAGGCATGGACAGCTGATTTTGAAAAATTCAACACTAAGTTTACTTAATTGAATAATTTGTACTTATTATTACTAATTTAAATAGGTTAAAACCAATCCAAGTTAGATTAGATGAAGCTAAGGCTAGACCCTAGTTCATTAATGAAACAATCACAAAGTTGACTGATTTCCACAAGAAGGCCAATAATCTTAACTAAACTATGCCTTGGGTTCCTGAAGAGAAGAAAGTCAAATTCTTAGGACATCTTGCAAATACAACTGATTGGTTGAAATCCAAATTAGAAGAACAAGAGAAGAGGGAATTGCACTAAGATCCAGCATTCTTAATTGAAGAATTGAAGAAAAAGATAGATAAAGTGAGCGAAGAGTACACTAAAATTAAAGCCATAACTAAACCTAGAAAAGTATATAATATTATTATTATACAAGACTTAGGAATAAAAGGAGGAAGAGAAAAAGAAGAAGGAGGAGAAAAAGCAAACTAAAAAAGATGCAGAATCTGATTCAAAAAAGGGCTCAAAACAATAAGAATAAAGTTAACAAGATGAAAAAGAAGAATAATAAAACTAGCAATAATAATAAGATGAAAATTTTTAAGATTAATAGGATAGTCAGACCTAAGGAGACGGCGATCCAACAATTGAGGATTTGTGATATAGATAATTCAGATATATTATAAATATATTATAAATCATATAAAAATAAATGATCAGAAATTACTTTCAATCTCTTAACTGCTATCCAAATTTTTAAGCATAGATTTTGTTACTTTTAGCAGGGTCAATACTCTATGGCATCAACAAATTAAAAATTTGCCTTAAAATTGAAGAAGCGGTTTGGCATAATTAATTTATAAATTACCGTTAATTGTTCATTGTTTTCTCGTTGAAATGAAAAAATCATGAATTGTCATAATTCATTATTTTTCACCATTTTTAGACTTAATTTAGCTATATTCATGCTAATACTTCCTTCAGCAGTATTAAAAGACGATTTATTTAATGATTAAGAGATATCCTCAATCAATTTTTGCCTTTATTACTTATTATTTCTAGCAATAGTCATATTATTTACCGTTGAATTCAATTATGCTTAAGAATTTTAAGAATTAATTCCCTTATAAGCTTTTTAGTATTTTTTAATGATTTGCACTTTATTTTAAAATCATATCCTATCTTATGTAATATAATCTTAAAATAGTTATTTCGACAGGTTTTAGTAAACTATTTAAAGATCAACATTATTGAATTTATTTTATCTCAATAAATAAATATGAAAATATTAAAAAAACATCAATTCAGAATAGGTGGATACTTTTTATACTTTCTTTTGCATTAGTTTATTAGCTTTTCTTTTACGCTAGTAATTTCCTATTAAAATTGTTGTTTGAATTAAGTTAAATGTAATTTTAAGGGTTTTTATTAGTTTGATTTAAATTCACTTTATTCTGTATATAATCTTTAAATTTTTTTTGTGGCTTTTTCTTAAGAACCATATCTATCTTTCTTAATCGGTAAATTTATTTATTGTTGATAATAATTATCAATTATTTAGTAGAAATTGAATGGGTTTTCTGGGCTTATCTCTTAATCTATTGACTAATTTATTTTTTGAGTTATTTTCTTTAAATGTGAAGAACTTGATGAAGCAGTAGTAGACTTTTACCTATCAGATATATCTTCATATATAATTAATGGTTATGGTTTTTTATGATTTTTCTCATCCTCACCAAAAACTAATTTCTAGGAATCTAAAATTGGATATAAGGATGAGGACTCCCCCTTGGATTAGGATTTCAAGAAAATTCTAAGTTTGAAGTTATTTGAGTTAGAAGCTTAGTTATTCGTTTTCATTGATAGATTATTAATAATAATTTCATTTAATTTATCGGCGCTTTTTTCTTCACAATTACGTAAGCCCGAATAGTGATATTTGAATTGCTGTAGAAAAATATTATGAAAATTTCAAAATTTACAAATATTTATTGTTGATGAATGCAGAAAATTATATAAATTTCTAAAATGCTATTAGTATTAAATAATTAGAATTATATTAGGGTAAGGAGATTATTCATGAAAGAAGATTATTAAAAGAAAATAAATGAATAATTAATTAATAAAATATGATAATTTGATTACTATAATTTACATAGTTAATTACATTTTTATTTAACTCATTTATTTTTTTTCGGTTGTTATTTCTTTAATTGCTTCTCTTTTTATTTCATTTAAAGCATTCCAACTCCTGTTAATTTAACTCCTGGCAACATTGTTTGAACAATTTCTTCATCTGTTATCATTTTTAATAGTTGTTTCTCTTGATTGGTTATATCCTTATTGACCTAGAAGAAATTTAAGATTTCTTTTCCAGCTGAAAAATTTCATATGAAAAATTACCTTTTCCTTTTTTTAAAGAACCAGGCGCAATTTTAATCTTGAATTTATAATTTCCTAACACTGAATATGGAGCTACCATAGGAATAAGACTTAAATATTTATCTAATAAATAAGCATAAAATTAATACCATCAGCATAGAGATAAGAGACAAGTTTTTACATTTCAGAATACTCGATATTCTCATCCTCTTATTCAGGTTATTTTTCTTATTTTTCATCATCACTATCTACCTCTTCTTATTTATTATCTGCATTTTCTGGGTCTTTTTATTATAAAACCTCTTGTTGTTCTTATTATTATTATTGTTCTAATTATTATTATTATTATTATTATTGTTCTAATTATTATTATTATTGTTATTATTATTATTGTTGTTATTGTTCTTCATTTAATTTAATAGCTTCTTATGATTATTGATCAGGATTAGTTTCTTTTGTAACTTCTATACCTTATTACTTCAGCAATTTTACTGTAATAGACTCTTATTTTAATTATTATTTTTTATAGTATTCTTTATCTTTTGGTTATCCATCCTACTATTGTGTTTACTCCTATTCTTATTTTTTTGGCTCATTTTTATCTTTCTTTTTTTTTTCAGGTCTTGCTTCATTTTTCATATAAGTTGCTCCCATTAACTTTTATCTTAATTCTCTCTCTTCATCAGATTAGTCAGCATATTTTTCTTTCACTTTTTTCATTTTATTTTTTTTGCCTCTTACTTGTTATGTTTTTGGATTTTTCTAATTTTTTTTATCATCCTCAGAACTCTCAGCTTCAACCTCTTTAACATTTTATTTTTGCTACTGTTATTTAGGAGGTTATTATTATTTTGTTTATTATTATTATTATTATTTTGGTTATTGTTTAGGTTATTATTATTAGGTTTATTGTTTTTGCTATTATTCTTTTTCTTTCTATTTTTTATCGTTTCTTTATTAAATCATTCTTGCATTAGGATTGACTTCAACAATAGTATATTCCTTATCTCCTTATTAAATAGTCTGAACAGAGTTAGTTTTTTCTAGATCAATTAAATCTACTTTATTATCATCTTCATTATTGTCTTCATTATCATCATTATCAGAATCTAGTATATTTTTCTCAGTAATTTCACTTTCATTTTATTCAGATTCATCAACCTAAGATTGTTCTTCTCTTAATTTCTTCTTTCTTTCCTCTTCATGTCTCTTAATACTATCTTAATCCAATTGATATAAAATTGTGCAACCCATTTCTAATCTAGGAGGATAAATAAAATTCTTTTTTCCATAAATCATAAATGAACCAGCTGGTATATTCATACCTGTAGGTGCACTTTTACTAACTTAAGACGCATGAACCCACCAAGCAGATACAACTATCTTAGCATCCCAAGATTTTGATCTACAGATTGTTGCTGTAGCTGCTTACATTATTGTTGCCTCAGGAATAGGGCCTTCACTAGGATTCTTTACAATAGTTGAAGCTGATCCATAAATATCAGCATGCATGTAGATATCATCCTTATTCATATATCTTTTAACAATCATTTCATTCTATTGTACATCCTTACCACTTATTACCAAATATCCATCTGAAGAAATAAACCAAAAGAATTTTTCAAACCAATACTTTTTTCTTTAATTTTACACTTTTTATATTTTATTTTTCTCTCTCTCTATTTCCTTCAAAGCAGTTTTCTCAGCTTATTTCAATGCTTGCTCTACTGCCTCCTTTGTTTTTATTTCCTTATCTCTATTTTTCTTCTTGCTTTCATAATACTTTCTGGCATTTTGATAAGCAGATTAAGTTATATCAATTTCTATTTAAATCAAGTCTGAATATTCATCATCTTTATTACCTAATAATATTGTCACTTTGTTTTATTTCTAATCAAATAAATATATATAAATACCAAATTCATTCCACCTATCATATTTGAAAGTGGGTTTCCTTCTTTTTTGCTATCATTAATCATTCTTTGTATCTTATCCCAAGGAATACCATTTTCAATCATTTTCTGAATAATATCTATAATTGCTTAGACATCATTAATATTTTCTTAAATGAGTCCTGCCTTCATTATATATTCGTCCTGTTCCTCCTGTAATTTCTGAATTCTACTCATTTAATCCTATTTAATATTTTCAAACTTCTTCCAAGCTATATCCTCAATAGACTGCTTATTTTCTTCCTGCCTATCAACAACTAGAAAGTATTGATGCACAGCCTAATTGAAAGTAGGTGTTTCTACGACATATTTTCCCTAATAATAAGCAGGTTAATCAGCAGCGAAATCAAAAAATTTAGGTTTCTATTCAGCATCTTTTGGTGCTTCCTTTGCACATAAATATCCTTTATATTGAGTCTAAGCACGATATTTATTTATATAATCCATTGCAAAATCCACTACTTTCTTTACACTATCAAATTGATTCACAATCTTTTCATTTTAATTCATATTCAACTATTATATTATATCATCTGTTAATGATTAATGTAAACAGGGAACTAACTTAAATACTACTTCCTTTAACTTTTGCCCTTATTTTTCGCTTATCACCTTTTGAATTCTTTCCATTGATGTATCAAACTTCTCGAGATAATTAGTTGCTGTGTATTCAAAAGGATAAATCTCATTAGGAGCAACTCTTATAATGTATTACATTAATACTTCACATTTTCAGAAAACTCATGTTGTCTAGTCAATTAAATAATCCTGTAATCTTTGTCCGCTAGTATGATATTTCCTTAAGAGTATAATTCCAGTATTAGATAGTAAGTATGATCTTCTCTACCAAAAGTAAACACAACCACTCTTTCAACTCCAATTTATTCAATGCTTTCTAATCTTCTACTCCTAAGAAACTTTCTAAATTTCATTGTGAAACCTGAAGGTACTTTATTTTTCTCTATTGTATCAGAAAGATTAAATCTCAACCCATTTTCTATAACCAGATAAGATTTCGATTCCTGAAGAGAAAATTTGAAAACATACGTTTTAGCATCAATATTGTAAATATTTGAAAGCCTTTTTATTAATTAAGTACATACCTAGTGCCTATTAGCTTTTACTTTAGTTCTGTCACTAGCGCCATTATGTCTAGAGCTGTAAGCCTTATTTTGTTTTTCATCATAATTATAAATAAATTATTAAAGAATTTTAATTATCATTTTTCATTTATTGGCATTCTGATTTTTCTTCAATAACCTATTAGTTAATTGATTTAAATTTAGTCTCAAATAGATTCTATTAAAATATAATGAGATTATTGTAAAATAATTGCTATTGATTAAAATTAAGAATTAATTCATGCTTATCTCACCAAGTTTTAAATAATGCAATACTTCTGTTGAGAAAATTAAGTGAAATCAGATTTTATATGCTATAATAAGATCAATTATTATTATTTTCATTGGATTCCATCATTTAATGACAAGTTAATTACCTGCTATTACCTGCTATTATACTAAGAAAAATATACTCTATTCTATAGTTATGTCAAATTTTTTGTCAAAATAAAAAGGCATAAATCTAAATAAGCATTTCGACTTTAATTATTTAATATATAGCTATTTATAAAAATGTGTTTGATTGAACAATTTTTAAGAATATGGCTTATTCAAAAGAAATAATTTTTTATTTAATAGATTATACAGAAGAGTTAAGAATATTCTAGAACATAAAAATAGAGTTATTTCCATTCTTTTTTTATGAGGATTGTGTTAATGCAAGAAGATAATGATATCATGATAAACAATAGTCAATAGGAGCATATAATTGATTTTAGCGCAAATTTGGTTTAAAAAATTTTAAAATAAATTTTAAAAAATTAGTTCGTGAATGCAAACCTAAGACTTGGGATATTTAATCAATGCCTTATAGTTAACATATGGAACATCATAAGAGAGTGTAAATAATGGAGAGGCTCTTTTAAAATAAGCATCTTTACAACCATTGTAATTAAAATCCTCCAAATTTTTAGATATGCCATTTCATTATTAAGGATAGTGGATGATTAAACACAGCCAGAATTATTGAGACAAAGTGCTGTTGTCAACTTGAAAACATTTTTAGAAAAGCATTGGGCTGATAAGAAAGAACCAGGCCACTTTGTTGTAAGTGGAGAAGAAAAAAGTGTGATTCGAGCAACCATTATTGACGCTTTAGCAAGGTAGCTTAATAATTTAATGTAGGTGTATCTAAGTCAAGAAGTTAAGATCATAATATGAAGATCTGATATACAAATTGGTAGCTATAGACTTTCCTAATGATTGGCCTTAATTAGTACAATAATTAGTAATTAAATTACAAAACTTCACCTCATATGAAGACCTTTGGAGTGCATTGCTTACATTAAGACGTGCATGCGAAGTCCATTAATTTTTATTGGAAAATGATCGTAAACCATTGGAACCATTAGTTGCTTCAACATTTCCTATTTTGGAAACTCTGATTCAAAAGTTTTTAGAAGGGTACAATGAATAGAGTGGATAACTCGTAAAGGTGATTTTGAAGATATTCCATCACGCAACTCATTTAGTGATGCCTATATATATGAGAGATTACAATGCAGTAGCTAAATGGATGCTTTATTTCAAGACAATTATACAAGCACCTCCCCCTCCTGAGTTATCAACTTTAACTTAAGATTCTGAAGAAGAAACCAGAAGAGAAAAAACATATATATGGACAAATAAGAAATGGGCAAGCAGAATCATATTGAGATTCATTTAGAAATTTGCCAATAAAAAAATGGTCGAATCAAATATGGCTGAGTTTGCAGAACACATTAAATCAACTTATGCCATAGGGTTTATGGAAATATTTTATAAGATTTTAACAGATAACACTTAATTCTAGGGACCTAGAACTTGCTTGTTTGCTCTCAAATATTTATTCTACTCTTTAAAATTAGACAATACAAAGGAATTACTCAAGCCTCATTATGACAAACTTCTATATCACATTGCTATTCCAAAAATGCAATTGACTCCAAGAGATGATTAATTGTGGAAAAATGACCCTGAAGAATATATCAAAAGATTAGACGATTTCTCTCTTTCAACTTACAATATCAAGAACCCTGCCAATGATATTCTTTAAGAAGTTTGTCAATAAAAAGATGTAAATGGCAATTTGATGTTGATTTCATTTCTTAATTATTGTTAAACTGCCTTTAGCACTAATATTGATCCATTAACAAATCAACCTTTAGATCTTCTCAAAAAGGAAGCATTATTATCGGGTATTGAAAGTTTGGTTCACTAAATCTCAAAAATCAACTCCATTCAGGGTGGTTTAGAATAAATCTTAGAGAAGTTCATTCTATAAGAGTTCTCAAACCCAGTTGGATTTTTAAGGGCTAGAGCATGCCATTTATTCAATGAATATGGCTCTATTGAATTCAAAAATAAACAAAACATATAATTGGCAGTATAGGGAATATCGAAATGTATATTAGATAAAGAATTACCAGTCAGAGTTGCTGCAGCTATAGCATTTAGTTCAATTCTTAAACACAAGGAAGCTTAAGATTTGATAAGGCCTTAATTAAGTTAGGTGTTGGAAATATATATTAAATTGATGGAATTGATTGATAATGAAAAGATTGTAAGATCACTAGAAGAAATAGTTAAGAATTTTACAAATGAAATCACTCCTTATGCTCATTAATTATCTGCTCATATTGCTACTATCTTCTAAAAGTATTGCAACAAATAGAATTAAGGAGATGGTGATTCTGATGACGACGGTGAAGCTGAATTAGCTGCATCAGGATGTTTAGAGGCCATCAAAAGAATCCTTAACGCTCCACTCCAATAAGAGTCTTATATATAATTGGAATCAGTTATCTTTCCAATTATTAATTTTGCTTTAACAGAAACTGGCTGTGACTTCATTAATGAGGCTTTAGAGATCTTGAACATAATGCTTTATAAAAGAAAACAATTGACTCCAGGTTTATGGTTCTATTACCCAGTCTTGTGTTACATCATATTGGGAATCCCTGAGGAAACCAATGTTTATAGTATCTAAGGTTTATCAGAGGATTAATATGTGTTGTTAGAAGGATGCAAGAAAGATTGGGGAAGTGAATTTGTTTCCTAGATGTTGGGATCCTTCAGAAACTATATCTAAAAAGGAGGAGCCACTTTTTTGACTTAAAATGATTTCTTTGGAAATTCATTTATTTCCTTGATCTTTAGATTCATATAAAAAATTTATGCTATTGCTGACAATGGAAATGATGAAACAGACTAAAATTAAGTTACCACAATACTGATTGCTTTAATTGAAAATTACCCTGGTTAAATAGACAATCTGATTCCATAAATCGTGGACTTTACATTACTTAATTTATAAGTAATTATTTCAATTTATTATTTATTAGAAAGAGAAAAAAACTAGTAGATTCAAAATTGTCAATATTGGAGTTTTGTGCATGTGTATTTGGTATAATCCTAATCTTGCTGTTAATTACTTAAACAGTAAAGGATTGACAGATCAGATCCTCTAAACTATGCTTTAAATGGAAAAGTTCTATAAATATGAATGGGATATCAATAGATTAATCTTCGCTCTTTGCTAATTGTATTCTCTACCTCAAATACCTAATTTTTTATTGTCAACATCATCAGAAGTTGGAAAATTATTTGTGAGATTATCAACAAAAATATTGGATTTACGAGAAGAAGAGGAATCTTGTGATTAAGAAGATTAAGCCGAAGAGGAGGAGGATCTTAAAAAAACTATTGAAAAAATCTAAGATTTAGAATAGGATGATGATGAAGATGACGAAGATTATGATGAAGGTGATGATGATTATGCCGAACTCTATGATAGTCCACTTGAAGATTACGATGCCATTTTATTAATGGAAAAATTAGTTTTGACTTTACAATAAAATAATCAGTAATTGTATGCTGCCTTGTTCTCTTAATTGAATCAATAAGAATAAGAACAAATGACCAAAAATATTAAAGATGCTAAGGAATAATATGATGAATGGCTTAAATAGAAGTCATAAAATAAGTGATATTTGTTTATATATCATGAAATCTATTTTCAAAATATTTTCATTTTCATTATCTTTATTTCTATAATTAGTATGATTTTAATTGAAATAATTTCTCAATAATGCAGAACATTGTTTCATAGATACGATTTTATTTTACTTTTCTAAAGACGTAGTTTAATTAATTTTCAAATTAAGAAACAGTTATAAATCACTTATAATATCATCTAAAATTATTATAAATTAAACTTGATTTATAATATTAATTTAAATTGGAATGCAATAATAATAAACAAACTAGTAAGAGTTAAGATAGATTTTTTAATTGTTTTCTTAGGATGGAGCAGAGGATATTAACATAGCTCAAATTAATTAAATGATAAAAGAATTAGAAACCATAAATATGGATTCCCAATCTATTAATGTGCCTTTCTAACCAGGTCGAAGATTAGCCAAAAAAGGGAATTCAAATGAAAATTTAGAAGATGCTTAAAAAGACAGTTCCCCTAAATCGCCAACTTATGTATCGGTAACTGAACTCAAGTATAGAATTATTCAAATATAGATATTTCCCAAATAATAAGACCACTATGTAATTTTCAGATTTCTCAGAACTTTTTAATGAATGCATGTCTAATAAAGACTAACACGATGAATTATTAGAAAGCGCATTTGCTATTTTTGATTATGATAAATCTGGCCACATTGATTCAAAGAAAATAAGAAAAGTCTTTTAAAAATTCAAAGACAATACAAGTGAGGAAGAAATTCAAAGTAATTATAAGATTTTAGTTAGATGTTCTAAAATTTTGTGGCGTATTACATGATTAAATGTCATTATAAGAGTTTAAGGAATTTTTTAAAAAGAATTTATGATCATATAAAATATGATAAAAACTATTCAAACTCTACTGAATGTTTCCACAAAACTATAGTGAATGGAATTTTAGCTAAAAGTTCAACATAAGTTAGTGCTGTGACAAATTTGTTAATGTGTTATTCTCCTTTGGTTATGCCGTTACTCTAAATTTATTTCAAATAAATACTCCTCCGCATAAATAAATCCAGAGTAAATCATAAAGGAATAAGACAGCATTTAAATATGTGAATATTCTCATCCATTTTTGGTTAATTTCTCTCAAAATTAATAGTTACATCAAAACTGCTAATATTGTTAACTAATATTGATGAAATGTTAATACTTCCAAGAATTAGCATCTATATAAACTAATCATCACCGATAACGCAACAACCAGTCCAGTTAATTTGTAAAATAACGGTACCCAATCTTATATTCTTTCTTACAATGCATCATTTAATGTATCCAAACATTTCAATTCAAATTCTTTAATTTCCAATATTGGAGGCAATTGTCTTATTTTGATACATCCACCACTAAAAACCTTAGCAAGACAATTTAAGGCCTATTATGTTTCTTTGACTTCTAAAGTATTCTGGTTTATTTCGTGATTTAGTTTTTATTGCTCTTATTTGTATAGGCTTTCCTAAATTAGAAGAAACTTACTTTTGAATGATTAAACTTTAAAATCACATGCAATTTAGTTTTGATTTTCATATTATCTTATCTCTATAAATTTACACTAATGTCTTTTAGTTTTTATTCTCTCAGCTCAGAAATCAAAAATTGAGTGTAACCAATCATATTGTCATTCATCTAGAATTGATTCAATATCTTACGCTATCAAAAAGTGTTATTATAACATCCTAACAACCAGAATCAATGGGGAATTCAAATTATTCTTGGAATTATGGACTTACTCCTTTCATTGTTCTTGTCTTGTGTGTTTTTGGTCCGCAACAGATTTACAAATAAACGCTGGGATCTCTAGTTTCGATGTTTTGACAATCCATAATTTAAAGTGTTAAGGAGTTCTGTTACAAGGCATTCGAATTTAACTAATCACTCAATTGCTAATGCAATATTCTTAATTCTTTAATCTTATTATTTAATATTTCTGAACGATATTATAGAGTATCGACTGTCTCATTGTATTAATTAATAAAACACTCTAAATCTATGACACCATTATTTAAAGATAACTCAATCAATTGTTGAAATAAATGCTCATCATAAAAATGACCACACTTCATAAAAATCAATAGTAATACTTTTTACTTGAGGTATATATCGAATTGTTCTACCAAAATCTTGTTGGTTTAGAATGCTGTAAACATTTCATTGTATTGTTGCTAATTCATTTCAAATTCAAAATATTAAAGGGAATTATTAAATATTCAACATTAAATTTTAGAATCATGAAGAACCATATTAAGATTAATGAAAAACGAAAGTGAGAGCAGAGTTTCAATTGACAATTTATCAATCAATAAGGCTACAGCCCCTTTGGTCACAAATTACAAATAATTGGTTTGTTGCTTAGTAAAATAAATGCTCTTTGATCTTGTGATTCCTGGATAAAAGATGTTCACAGAAGACAAGAAACAGAATTTGAGAAATTAAATATTATTCTATCAACAAGGCTTTGCAAGAAATATGAATGATGAATAAGCATATTCAGAATTAATTCTGTTGAGTACATCATCTCCTCAGTTTATAGAATTGCTCAAAATGACTTGCTTTAGTTTGATTGGGTAAAATCAAGAGATTGAAGCTTAAGTAAATAAAGAATTGAATAGAAGTATATCGTCGATTGAAACCTTTAGTGGTAACATCAAGATGATAGAAAAAAATGTCACTGTTAATTGGTCAACTAATAAACAAAAATTATACAGTAAGACTGTTATAGATATAATCATGAGAGGGTTTTTGCTAAGTTATATATTAGAGATAATCATCCGATCTTCCTTGAAATAAGACTTTACTTTCAACTTTTCTATTACTATTGAATACAATTAATGCTGTTTGGAGAAGGAAGTCTAGCCCTCATTTATGATTAACGATTAGACAACAATATATGAATTTAAATTTTATAAGTAATGAAAAATAAAAATATATCTAAAAGTATTTAATTTTTAATAGTTTGTTTAGCCATTTATATTTTCAAGAGATATAAATATAAATCTAGGTTTTCAATTCCTTTTAGGATACTCTATTTTTTTTGAATGGATATCGTAATTATAATTTAATATCTGATTAAATAATGATGCATTTCTAAGTGTGAAATATTGGAAAAACAGATTAAATTAAATACATAATATAAAAATTGTATATATAAAATGAAGGATTACAGCGAAACACGTCCTCTTAATAAGAAAAGAGTAGTGAGATCTGAATCTCCTCCTCCTCTGCGAATTAGATACAATAGGCCTTATAAAACAATAGTTTTATCATTTTTCCTCTTGAGTGCAGGAATCTTATTTACAGAATAAGGGATAATACAATATCAAGAGAAAGGATTAGGCGAGACTTATCCAATTTTCATTTTAGCAATTATGCTTTTAATACCCGGGGTGTTTTATTCTGGAATGTTTATATTGATAGTATTAGGGATTGGAGGATTCACTTATGACATGCTACCATCAGTGAATAATTGAATAAAATATATTTAATTGTTAAATCATAAAAAGTACTCTGGTACTCTTCTGGTGGTTTAAGGTTCATTATCTCTTGGAGCAGGTTCATATTATGAGCTTTTTTATAGTCAATTAATTTACAAACTCATTTTTAGCTGATCATCAACCTCTACAATGCAAGCTTGATTGCCACATCTATAACAATAATTTGGGGCTGAGAATATTGTAACTGTTTTCCGTTGATGAACATGCTAAAATCCCTCCATTACTAACTGATGTGCTCTGGCAATCAATTTCAATTTATTTTGATGCAAAAATTTATCTGTTATATCTTAACCCCATGTCCATCCTGCTCCTCTAGGAGAAACACCCCATCCCGGCTTGGTTTCTTCAGGATCGCTCCACAATAAATCACAAATTGCACCATCATGAGGGATGTCTTAAATTCTATTTAATTGTTTGATCTGATCGACTGACTCTATTGCTGGTGATAGACCACCATGTGTGCAGAAAATCTAATAATAGAAATGCTCAAATACACTGTTTTCAACTATTGCCACCAATGGTAAATAACCAAAAACATCTGTAAAGTGTTTCCATACAATCTCATTTCCGTACTTTCTCTGACATTCATCATAAAACCCATAAATCTTATTAATTTCTCTGTTTTCATGATTACCTATCATAGTATTACTAATTACCTCTCAACACAGTCAACCTATCTTTGTATCGTATTTTTAGACAGAGTATAAGACTGAAGGTTTCAACGCTCTAGGAACCACGATCTACATAGTCACCAAGAAAGAGATAATTTGTTTCCTTAATATTATTTCTTAAAATACTGGTAATCTGCCTCCGATACGAAACAATTCGATTAGATCATGAAATTAACCATGTATATCACCGCATATTGTTAAGGGTGCTCTTACTGATACAATGTTTGGTTCATCAACTAGTATTTCTTTAGCCTGATTAATAATGCAAATATTAACACTTTTTAGCACACTAGTTTTATATCATTTTCACTTAATAATTAACCATTATATAGATCTTCAATGTACTTGTCGAAATTTCCCAATTCTGAGTTACTCAATTTTTATGGATTCATAAAAAAATTATATAATATAAAATTGATTTCTTATTTTCAGAATAGTTTTGAGAAATAAAAGTGCTATTAAGATTTGGACGTTTAAGTTTTGTTAACTCAAGGGATATGTAATTAATTCTATAATATTAGATAAAAAGCTGAACATTTCATTCATTATTTTATTTAAGTATTCTAAATATGTAAACAGACAAAATGTAAAAGTAATAAAACAATTACATAATCATTGTTTTTATAATGCCCTATAAATAATTGGTGGATGCCTCTCTAATGAATATTAATTTAGATATTTATGCGAAGAATTGTGATTTAGTTATTTAAGATAAACACAATTTAAATTTCAACCTGGGCCAACTTTTGGTATATCATAATGTTCTGGCATTTTTTAAATTTTCTTATTAAAAGTTTCTATTTTTTATCTGTATGTTAATTCCATTTTCTAAATGTTTATTACAATAAATTTACTTTTTCTATTTTATCACCTAATCTCTTAAGCCTTACTAAATCATACTGGATTTCTGCTTATGTCTTCCCTGTTCCTCCTTATTGAGCCATTTCAACTGGATTGAATTGCTATTTTTTTTATTTTTCATTTTCTTATTCTTACTCTTTTGCATATAAGATAATTAATTACTCTCTACTATTTCTTACTATACGTATTGTTTTTTCTCTGTTGGATTGGTTTTTTGAATTTTTTTTTTTAATTAAAGAGGGCCGAATTTTTATGACATTAAATATAATAATATTTTGCATTAAATAAAACACAATCGAAACCAATAACAAGTTAACTAGAACAAAATAGCAATAATGTTATAATGGACACAAACTAGCTCACCTCTAAATTATGATAATTTATATAAATATCAAAGAACGAAAGACTATATCTTTTAAAGGTTTTTGAATAAAATGGCTTAGTAAATAAGTACTAATTTGAATCAATAAATTAAAATAATTTTTTGTCAAATGTTGAAAATCATTAGGGCACATTGGCTAACAATTGGAATTTAGTATAACTATTGAAACAAATATTCTTTTCTCTAAATCCATTTAGAAAATAAACTATTATTTTAATGATCATTAACATCAAAAAGACTTAAAAAAGCATTTTCAAAAAGTATCAACTTTGTAACCTTTACTGAGTAAGCTTTATTATTGATTCAGAAAGCTTAAACGACTAAGGATTACTAACATAATCAGCCCCATTAAAGGTAGATATATATCAGAGCATGAATAATTTTTGTTGGTGAAATAGCATTAAATTGCTGCCAATATTTTTATAAAAAGCCTACTTAAAGTTAAATTTCCTCTATAAATGTAAGGCAAGTTTCATCATTATACTTAACAACATAATTGTTATCCGCATCAAAATACAAATCTATATTGACTGCTGAATATTGAATTTAGAAAGGAATCATTAGGTTATTCATCCTGTTATGTCTTATAATCAAGATTAGGTCACGATGGAAAATATATTTTGATAGTAATTCTTCAGCAAGAGGAGTCAATTGACATATTAGATAAGTGAAAGGCAATAAGGATACAAGAATAGTGATGGAATCGATAGGTTTGCATATGAAAGAAAGATTAATGATAAAGGAAGAAAGCAAATAAGAGAAAGAAATTTGATTGGTTAAATATCTACAACTAACCATTATATGAACATTGAAGAAGAATAAGTAGAGCAATTTGAAGTTGAATTGAAGGGACTTGGACAATACCTTGGCATTAGTTCAATTTCACATAGAGTTATTTTTTTATAGGAGCAATAACCTATAAAAAATCCAAATTATTGTCCGTCACCTCAAGAATAATTAACTTATTCTATTCCATCTAGCTATATAAATGGAAATTAAACAAATTAAATTCTAGATGAAATTTAGCTTAATTTAATTTAAGATAGATATAAGAATAATCCAGTTGGGCTGACATGGAAACAATCAAACTAATAAGTCAGAATTTAAAAATAGAGTTCTGTACTCTCATTAAGCAAGAGAGCCCTTCTCCCTGAAAAATAATCATTCACAGGAATTTACTAAAATAAGGGTGCTATAAATTATTATCCTTATTCTGAATGATATATACATATATATTATTATAACAAAATTTGAAAATCTAGGGGTTCGAAATCTAACCTCCATATAAGAAAATCAGCTCTTCAATCAATTTACCCTACCCGCAATTAAGGAGATCAATTTAATAAAATAAAATATTAATGCAATTATTCTCATAAAGAGTCAGCATTTTGTTCTATTCTTCTATATTAATTTTTGGGAGGTGGAAGTTTCTATTTGCATGATTTTGAATAAGCTTATATTATTTATGAACATCCACAGCATGCAGCAATTGTTAAAATAGAAATTATTGACGCCACTGCCAACCTTTTCATTTATCTATCCTGAGCTTCAATTCCTATTTTGATAATATCTTTATCACGATACCCAAAACTTAAAACAAATGATATTGCTCAAGTTCATTTGCTATATCTAAAAGTGTTAGAGTTTCTTCTTTTTGCATATGTGTACTATCATCTAGATCATATTGCTCTAAGGAAATACTCAGGGAATGCTCTGACTTAATAAAATTATTTACATTCACTAACACGAATAACAATAGCATTAATATATTCATGATAATAATAATATAAAACGAATTCAGATTATTTTCAAAATTTAATATAACTTGACAATCCCTAAGAAGAGTTTTCATTCTGATTTGACATCTAAATATAAATTAATAGTTACTGTCGATTGTATGTTACTTGAAGAACTAAAATTGTCAACATCTAATATCTTTTTATTGAAATACTCAGAACCTCTAAATAAAAACTTAGATTTGCTATTTGCTCTAATTTTTAACAATATCAATACTGCTATTGATCTAATTGCATTTCATACTAAAGAAGTTTACTCTCTTATTCATTCACCTTTTTAGTAAGTTCTTAAACTTAATTAATTAATTCTTAACAAGAGGGAGTATTTATTAATTTCTTTGTAACACTTAAAATTAATAACATTTTTTACTAATCTAACTACAGATTCTTTGTATCCAATTCGTTTAATAGTTATTTGCATTTGTCCTTATACTCAGATAATTCCATCAGGATAGCCTTTTAGTTTACCTCATTAACTAAATGTCCAAGAACTATATAAATGATTATAGTTCTATTTACTTCCATTCTCATGCAAGTCTATTTGAGATTTACTACGTTATTCTAATTATTTCTTTAACATAGATATTTCAGACAGGAGTTGTTATTTCTCATGATTTCTCTTTTAATTGTTGCGTTCAATGATCATTTAATACTTTTGAATTTCCTATATTGACAGCTCATATTTTAAAGCCAACTCTTTGTATTGTTAATTCTGCACTTATATTTGTTTTTTCAATTCAATCTCTGCATTCATAGTAGTTTTACTCTTTTTTTTGTAACAAACTGCATTCTCTGCTTATGAAGTTATAGTTCTATTTGTTTATTTGAGTACTAATTATGTCTTCTTTAATGGGGACGAACTCTAACCTGGAGTAGCAGAAGGAGATTATTGATGAGAATAGTGAATTTTGTGCATTAACGAATATATATATTTTTAATTAATTTCAACTATGGCTTTATTCGTAGGCAAACAAATCTAATTGTTATTGCCATTAAGAATTCTCCTCAATTTTATAAGATTTGATTTCATCATCGTCGACAGCCACTATCTTTTCAACTTTAACTTTTGGTAGATCTGCCATTAATTCGTTTGTATGTTAAAAAAGATTTTCTAACCTTGATTTAACTAATTCAACTCTAGGTTGGTACAGAAAGGTTTGAGAAGCAATAGGGTTTTGATTGGTGCAACGAGATTAATCAGGCATCTATAGATTTGTACATCTTGATTAATCTGGAATTTATTAGTTTGTACATCTAGATTGTTCTTATAGTTGAGGAATTTAATTTTGAGATTATGGATTGGAGTTTCTAGGTTGTTCATTCTTAAAAATATCGACTGTTTTAGGTTTTTAATATTTTCTACTTGAATTTCTGAGTGCTTTCTAGGATGCAGTAGGCTAGGAGGGTTCTTCATCTTCTGGTATTGCCATAGATTACTAATATACAGAAAACTAAGCCTAACTCATTTGAACTTCCTCAACATCTCCTTATTTTTCATAGTTGCATTTTAACTAACTTTCAATGATTTCACTCTATTCACACATACTTGATTATTATATAGTATCATTATTCAACTTTAATGTATTTTGTTGAAGTAATTTTGTTGGGAATTTCAGTTCTTGCTGTCTTGATTAAGGCTTTATATTTTCGACAAACATAGCATAATATTCTTGGGTCTTTAACATATTTAAATCATAATTCTATGGATTTGGAATTTCAATATCATATTGTTCTTTATCTGAATTCTCATTTTAATCATCCTATTCATCTTTCTGATCAAAGGGATTATCGATACCTTATTCATTAACTTCCTCTTCTTCAGGTTCAAAATCTTTTTGATCATAATTTTCTTCATCTGAATTTTAATTTGATTCATCCATTTCTTCATCTTAATAATGGTCTTGCATATTTTGGCTTGCCTAAACCCTACTTAATTAAGGAGGAATTGACTTTTAAATTGCATTTGTGGGTAATTCGCAACTTTCATCTGTGATAGATGATTTTTATTACAAATGCTACTGAAAGTCATTATTTGAAAAATTTTAAGATTGCAGAGTCTTGAATTATTAAGACTATGATGTTTTTGCATTTTCTGGTTATTTGAAATTTTGAGACTGTTGTGTTTTTAATTTCAATTCTCTTAATTCTGGCATAAAACTCTTTCCTAATTATTCTTCAGTATAGTGCACATACTCAGATTCCCCTGGCAATTCAACATCATTATCAATCATTGATTCTGTAATTCCTTTAGGTTTATAATTTTATTACTAGAATTATTGCTATTATTATTATTATTATTATTATTATTATTATTATTATTACTATTATAATTATTATTACTATTATTATTATTAGGAGTAAGGTTATAAATGCTTTTCAGGATGTAACTAGTTTACTTCTTAATATTAATGCGAATATTAAGATGAAATATCAGATTATTTAAATTACTTCTAAAACTATTAAGCTTATGAATTTGCTGTAGGGGATTAGAAAGGAGATATTTTGATTGGTTATATGTTTGCTAACTATTATTAATGAGGAGATAAATTTTGATTATCTTTTTTACCTAAGGCATTAAAAAAGACGCTAGAAGCAAAGACAGTTGGATCCAAAGGACGCTTTTATTTTCCTTGAATAAAGTCTTGTAATTTAAGGATTTCTTGTTCAAATAATTTTTACTCCCTTTATATGTCCATCACTTTTCTTTAGTATTAATCTATTAATATTTGGTTCTACATTTCTATTTATTATAATCTAAGTTTTTCTTCTAATATCTATCTAACTAAATCAATTTCCTATCTATTTTGCTAGAGCTACATCAAATATTATTAATGAACCATAACAGCCTGTGGATGGTGTGTGTTTTGATCATTGAAAAGCACTTATTAATATTGTTATATATTATCCTATGGATGGAATTGATTATAGACATTCATCAATGGTGACATAGGAGGGTGATAAGGATTATGTTAATAAGGTGTTTATTGAACATGTTACTAAAGCTAGGAATATTATTAATATTGAGGCTATTACATTTATGGTTACATATATTGTTATTATTGTTATTATTATTATTAATGCCTTTGATCTTAAACAGATGATAATTATTCTCTTTATAAATCACTTTCTGGAGATAAAATCTGCAATGCAGATTTCTTAATAATGTCTTATTGAGGTTGCTCGTTTTATATATTCTACTTTCCTCTCCTTCCTACCTCTTTTTATTAAACTTACTAATCAAATTATTCAACTTACTTTTATTTAACCTATTCCTCCTATCTTTTTTTCTCAAGCATAACTTATTATTAATATTATTATTATTCTAATTCGTCCCTTCTTCTATTTTCCTCTTCCTCTTCTTTTTTCTTTCTTTTTTTTTCCTCCATTTATCTTTTTAATTCTTCTGCATATTATTCTTTTATAGCTTATTTTTGTGGATCTTCAGGTTATCCACTAGTGAATCTTCTTTACAGGAATCTTCCTTTTGACTAATCATCAGAAGGTGCAGATTATGGTGGCTAATAATAATTAGGAGATTGAGGAGGAGGATTATTTCTATAGTCATATTCTTATGGAAAATCAAAGACGTTTGTTGGATTACTGGCTGGCCTTTTGGCAAAATCCTGTTGATTTTTTAATTGTTATTATTCCATTTCTCTATTTTTTTTTTCCTAAATTTAACGATCGAGTTCTTCTCTATACTTCATTCTTTACAATGCAGCATTATCCTAATTTTATTATTATTATTATTATTATTATTATTATCTCCAACCTTACTAGGATTAGGGCTATCCGAATTTAGAAAAGAAATCTGCTTCTGGTTATGGTTATGGTTATCTCTAACTTTATTGTGAATGTGGTTTGTATTATTATTATTATTATTATTATTAGTACTAAAGATTTTATTATTACTAATATTGTTACAGTCCCTATTAGTTTTAAATTTGCTATTAATTTTATTAACCTTTCTAACTAATCTACATATCTAATTGTTCCTTATATTTTCTTTTTTTTTCCCTTTCTTATTCTGCTGCCTCATTAATTTTATTTTTCTAATAATTACTATTATTATTCATTTAGGGTGATGGTTAATAACGTGGCTCATAACTTTATTTGTCTTGTTATTTGTATGAATCATTCTTCATTTAATTATTAAGTTACGACTATTATATTTATCTTCCCCCATAGACTTGATCAGGATAATAATTGGCAACCGGTTATTGCTAATGATGGTAATTGTTATTTTGTTGATTTGAAACAACTTATTACTTATCTAACCAATCTGCATTTTAATTAATATTTATCTGATTCAAATTTTGTAGAAGCTTTTATTCCAATTAGACAGGCAATCTTTCCTTTTCTTATTCATAAGCACTTCCTAAGCCATTCTTTCTTCTCAATCTTTCCTCTTCTCTTAATTTAATTCGAGCAGCACGTTCTTACTCAGCTTTAGATTACTGAGGAATAACATCCTGATATTCTGCATATACCTTATTTCTGAATGACTCAACATCCTGTCCTGCATATTCTAATTATTTTAAATTTTCTTCTTTTTCTTAGAGTTGCTGCATTCTTAATTCTCTCTTTTTATTTTCTGCTTACATTTGAAGTTCCATTTTCAATTAATCTTCATTCATTTAAGGATTTTACTATCTTTCATTTCTAGTTCTTGGAGGTCTTCCAATCATAATCGTTAATAAAATAAAAAAAATAGTTAAATTATTCTAAATAATGTGAAATTATTTTATATCAAGCAAAACCAAAACCTTCTTTTCCTTCCATAATTGCCAGCTCCAATTTCTCCTTTAAAATCTATCTAGCTGGATAATCAGGTAAGTCTAATTAATTAAAGCTAATTGATATGGGATTAACATTTACCATGTGTGTGATGTAGGTAATTCAAAATTGACATAAGGTTTTTTATGTATTTATATTTTTTGAGGGCCATGCATTCCTTTTAACTCCTTGAATCCTCCTAAAGGAACTTTAGAAGTGCCTAAATAATGATTAATGGATGAAATACCTGTAACAAATTACAAGAATGCTGCTCTTTTACTTTTATCGAAACTCTCTAACAACTCCCATAACCACTAAATTACTTTATTTTCTTTATCGTAACCATGATATTCAATGTTTTCCTTCATGTCCTCAACTAAAATAATCAATATATAAATCTTACGATCAATGTCAGGTAGACCACACAACATTAGCTCCATTTCTTTCCATTCAAAAATGCTTACTAATGATTATGGTATCAATTCATGAAATCCATTCAAAAATGCTTCAATCTAATCCTTAATTTCTTTAGCCATCTTTTAATAACAGTAAATCTGAACATACTCTTATTTATTCTCTTCAGTAACTAACTTTGTTTTTCCTCCTTCAATTAATTCTCTTTCTTCTAGTTTACCAAAGTGATCAACATTGTATGTCCAATAGATTCCCCAATCTGTAACATTTTCTTCTAAAATTTTCTTCATACTATTATATTCATTTAAATCTATGTCCTCCATATCATGAATTGTTAATTTCTAACCCAAAATATGTTTATAAAAAGAACGTGTGAAATATGTGTCCAATAATTATCCATCATATAGTGCTTTACCTACAATTCTTCCGATGAATTTAAAATATTTAACATGATCTGGATTCACATGAGATTTATTGCTTGGTTAAAACATTTGCCCATTTAATGATGGAGTAAAGAGAGCATAATTTGGATTGAAAATCTCTTTTGAAAGCATTAAAAACCATTCTCTAGTGACACCCCCTGCATCAACTCCTTCTTCTCCATCAAATTCCACATGTAATTTACCCTTCAATTCTTCTGGCTTTAATTTGCTTATACGATGATATGAATCCATAAATATATCCTTTCTTCTACATCTTAAATTGATATTTCCATAATGATGTCTATTGTTCTGCATTTTCAATTGTTTCAACTCCATCTTGAAATACTTCTGCTTATTATCAAAATCTACTATTCTAGGATTCTTAAATATTATCACTCCTAAAGAATCATTAACCAACTTCCCTTTCTCTCTCAATTCTTATAATCTCTCTCTAATCATCATATTCAATAGAACCTTGCCACTCTCACAAATCTATTAGAATAATTCATCATGCAATTATTGTTCTTAAACCTCCTATTATTATCCTTCCATACTAGCGATCTTTGTTGGTTCTCTTTAAACATTTTTATTCTTTCTAATAGGATTAACTAATTAATAGATAATGAAAAAGCATTCCAAATATGGAGATATTTTTGTACTTAATTTTGCTAACTTTTGTTAAGGTATATCTTGTAAGAGTTTTATCAAATTTCTCCACAATTATATTAAACCTTAATCTTCCAACAATTCCTTGAAATTGCTTCTTGTATCTTGTTAGTCATTATTTTCACCTATTTTATCATTCATTTCTCTAACAAACTAAAATACATTGATTAGAACTTTATCTGCCGTAAAGATCTCATCATATTAGCATTATTTGTCAAAGTTATTATTTATTTCTCTAGTTATCCTTTAAATAAATTCCTTTATATATTTTATAATTAATTGTTGGTTCTCCTTATTATTACTAAGATTTAAAATAATATGAGAGAAGTTCTTAACACTTCTGTTCATATTTTGCAACAATATTGTGCAAACGCATTCCACTGATCTTGAGTCTAAATTTAATTAATCTTATTTAAAGTCCTTCTACTTTGTTGTAATATTTGAAATTGCTTAAATCAATAACTCTTGATGATCACCTTTAAACAAAGGTAATAGCTATATTAATTACAACAATGGAAGATCTTAACTACCTTCTGACATTTTGGCTATGGATGACAATTAATCCTTATTTCTTTGTTTCAAAGAAGTATTTTATTGATGGACCCTACAATTTTGAAATTTAAATAGAGGATCTTTAATGAAACTATCTCATAAATCTTATTTTAATCTCTTAATAGTCCATTTCTTCTTATTAATACTTATGGAGGGAATTCCCCTTAGTCTGTTCTCTGATTACGATTCTTAAGAATGAAAAATAGAGTGTCAATCAATTTATATTCGACATTTGGATTGTTTGTCAAAGCAATGAATAAGTTTATTGGGAAATTAACAAAACTATGGGACTCAACATAAAGTAATCTCAATAAAGATTCAGCAAACTCATCATCAACATTTCCCAATTTTTATACTAAATGTCGTTAAGTTTGAAGTAAGTTCTTCAAGTTCAAAGATTTTTGGTTCTCCTTTCTTTGTAATTGTGGTTATGGGTTGAGATTGCGTTAGAGTTATTACTAAGGATCCACTTAATAGTACAGTTATCTTTCTGTCTATTCAATTGCCCTTTAATCAGCTCGATCTCTTATATAAGTGGCTTCCTACCTTAGATCTTAAGGCAGATTTCGCACTTATTCAGCACTTATTTATAAATACATTTCCTCTCTATCATCATATGGAGTTTAATTTATTAAAGCAATCAATTGATCTAGATCTGAAAGTTATTATGGTTGATTTTAAGTTGGTTGTACATATTATTAATAGATTTCTCTTCTAATTTCTGGAGGTAATGATTATAAGAATTATGGGTCTATTCCTTCGATATCATTTATTTCTTTATTTTCTGGAATGTTTGAGATAATATCAATCATCATATCTTCCTATAAATCTTCAAATACTGATGGATCTATGTTGTTGTTTGTTAAATCATCGAAAGTTCTACCAGCCCTTTATAAGAAGCTGAAGGTGTTGGGATAAAGTTATTCTAAATTTAATTATTATTCTTATTAAATAGTTTAAATTTGTTATTCTACTTTTTAAGGTTAATCTTCTGTTTGCATTTGTTATTATTATTGTTATTATTATTATTATTATTACTATTATTATGGTTGTTATTATTATTATTGATCTTATTTTTTTCCTTATTATTAGGACTCTTAACTTGAAGCTTCTATTTACATAACTTCTGAGTTTGTTTTAGGAATAACAACTTATTGCTCTTCAACTTGAATTTATTATTAAATTTACAATTATTCTTATTATTACTGTGATTATTGCGATTATGATTATTGTGATTATTACTGTAGCAGATTCATAAATTATTATTATATTTGATCTTATAAGTTTTGTAAATTTTAAGATTGTTGTTATAAGGGAGCAGGATTTTATTATTATTATTATTATTATTGTTACTGTTATTGTTATTATAATTATTATTATTATTATTATTACTATTATGGTTATTATAAACTTTATGAGATTTAATTCCAATTAAATAATCGAATAAATTATGATTCTCTACTATGATTATAATCTTGCTATTGGTGTTATTAAAATAAGTTAGCTTATGGTTGAATTTGTTATTGTAGTTATTATTCAAGTTATAATTCTTCTCTTCTATTTCGAAATGTTGATCTATATCTATCTTATCTAATTTACTCAAGTCTTTCTTGTCTGTCAATCTGATCAAATCTTGCTGCTTAAAACCTATTAAAAATTCTATCATTTTAGTCAATTCTAAAGATTTCATTAGTCAATCTATTATCTCTAAATAGTGGTTACATTCTCAATTCTTGTCCATATGATCTTTCATCTAATTAGAATGATTTAGCTATGAATTGAGTCAATTCTGTCCACCAATTAATTGGTTAAGAATCTTCAGGGGAGGTCATTTTAGGTAATGAATAGACTAGTTTATCTAAAACCTTCACAAATTATTATGGGAATTGAATTCCAATTAATTGAATGATAGATTTGGTCATTTTAGCAAATGCCTAATCTTCTCTACTAGTAAGATGATGGAATTGTTTAGTGACTTCAATATTTTCTTCTGAAATTTCATCATCATTGTGCTCCTCCTATTCGAATCCTTCATTTTCCTCATCAATAACTCCATCTTCTTAATCTTCTTCATGTTCTTCTTCATCCTCTTAATCCATGTCTTCTTCAGCGTCACTCTAAATTTCACTATTTGAGGCATTTTCTTCTTCCTATTCATCTTGCTCATCCTACTCACTTCCTTCCTCTTCCTCTTGTTGATCATTATCTTCATCTTCATCCTCTTCATCAGTCCAACTAGATGAAGAATTCTAAGCTTCTTCTGGTTCTATTTGATTATTTCCACTTTAACTAGATCCCCAACTATTTTCCTCTTCTTCTAGATCCTCTGGAGCTGATTCATGAGAATTATGAGAGTCTCCACTTTATTCGCTATGCATATCATTGTCATCATATTCCAATTCTAACATACCATCATCTTCTTCAATGTTGGCAATCAATTCCACATTCACAAGTCTATTTCTTCTTCTAAAAGGAGATAAGATTTATTAAAATTCCAATTCTTCATGTTATTGATTTGAGTTTAATTCTTCTAGGAATGAAATTGGTAAAAGAGGCCATTTTTAGAAATATTTGATTGAATCCTGATATAAAATACTCTTATTTGGTACTAATTATGAATTGATCTCTTCTGGCAACAATTATCCTATCATACCTTGCAATTGAAAATGATCTCCATATTATTCTTATTGTTATTTGGAAATTACAATAGGAGCAGGTTTGTAAAATAGAAGATAAATAGCCATATTGAATAATACTGCTAGGGTTTCTGTTACAAATTACAATTCCTTTTCATAAATGTAATATGAGTTCAATTCGAAGTTCTTCATTCCATCCATATACAATTTTATAAAGTTAAAGGAGTTTGTGGTGTCATGAATATTTCTATAACAAATCTTTGCCACTGATTTTATCTATAGTAGACGTATTAAAGTATATGAGTATTAACAAACTATTGAATCAAAGTTCTTAATTCTTTTTTCAATGCCCTCATATAATTCACTCACAATCTTTCTCCTTGTTTCATTTGAAAATGGAACAATAACATTATTGGCCATTTAATACAACAAGACATTGTCCAAACACAATTCAAATAGTAGATTCTTTGCAGGAGTCATAATTCTAGTAATAAGAGTAAGAAAAGAGATTTTTCTCGGAAACTCCAAATCTTAGTAGTCTGTACTTAATTATTTTTAATAAGGCTTTAAAAATTTACTGCAATTTACTCTCACTATCTTTGGTATCAGAACAGGATATCTTCGAATCAATATTTACAATACTTAAGTAATAGTGTACCAATGATATTGATATTATTCATTTTCGAAAAATGAACTTATCATCTATTGTATTAATAATTTAATTAGGATTTATGCTTCTTAAGTATGTTAGAAGTTGGATTGTAATTGTAGTTTATCTTCACTCTTTTTTTTTTTTGAGATTTATTTGCTTTTTTTAGCAGTTTCAGGTTCCTTATGCTTTTAAAAACTAGTAGGTTAAACGCAATCGAAAGTGTGTAATGAACAACCTTTCCTAAGATTCAAATACTTAACTCCTTCAACAGTTTCTCCATCTTCAAATAAGTGAGACATAACCTCTTTAACTTCATCTGTATAAAAGGCTTAAGTTTAAATGGCCAATAAAGCTGGATGATTTGAAGCAATCTTGATGTCATTTGTTATGGGAATATTATAATAAATTGGTTAAAAGCAGATGGGGTAATGAGGTTAATGTTGTTGCTAAACCTATGATTAAGGTTGCTATTGTTGCTTATTAATGTTCTCAATCTCTTTATTATATTCTTGATTATAGAGGATCTTTTTAATTTTAGCTTCAATCTGAGCGATTACCAAGCTCTTGTCATGAACAATTGAAAGTGCTAGTTTAGTCAATGGAAACATGTGATTTTATTAATCTCCTTTTATTCTCATCAAATATTCTAATCCTCTCATTTGAGAGACAAACTTTGAGACATTTTCCTTGTTTACTTGGAATGCTCTCACAAGAATTTCTATGCAAATTTTTGAGGTCGTGTGATTTTGAACTTTTCCTTTTAATATGTTGATTACTCCCAAAAGGATATCATTTACTGTGTCATGATGATTCTTTTTCTTCTTTTGATCATCAGTGATAAATAGAGTTAAAATTGCTAATATGTGATTTATGGCTTTTAGACTGAGATCATCTTATTACTTCATTAATTCCTATGCCAATTTCATCAATTCAGGTACAATGCTTTCATATTCCTCAACAAGGTTCTTTTATTTGTAAATATAATGCAAAATTGTGATGATGACTTTCATATTATCAGTTTGAGGTTGTTTGATTTCAAGTTCGCAATCCTTAAATTTGAGTTGTAATTTTAATTATTCAAAGGCAACCTATTTTAAGCATTTTAATAAGGAAGGCATAACTTATCCTTCCAACAATTAAAAGATGCTTTCCTCAAATCTACTAAATGATAGCATATTTGTTTAGATAAATTCTTTCAGAGTCTTTTGTTATGCTTAAATTTATTGTGTAACATCTTCTAAAGAAGGTTCATTCTTTTGAATTTCCATTATTCTCACTCTTTATTCTTCAATCATATCAAAATTGTCTTAAATCCATTCAATAAGCCTATTCACATCATAAATATCATTATTTTGAAGTGCAATTGTAATCTAATCTTCTTGATAACCCATGTCTCTAAGTTTTGTTCTTGCTTCATTTGGATCTTATTATAGTATATCGATCTCACCTCCATTCTCATCCCTGAAAATTTAATATGTCTTTTAGAAGAAGTTATCCTTGTCTTTTTAGAGAATGTCTTATAAGAATTGAGGACGGAAAATAAAAATGACCTTATTGAATAACTACTCTTAAACTGCATAGATGGGATCAGCTGATAAGCATTATGTAATGGTTAGGAGATTTTAAATTTCTTCAATTTACTTAGGAATCAACATATATCCTTGGATCTTTTTATTCATATCTACTTTGTTCAGATAAATCAATTTAATGATATTTGCATACTACCAACCCAACAAATCTATAGATTCAACATTACTCTTCTAACCCACCAATTAAATAAATTAACTAATACCAGATTTGAGATTGTCAAGAAATTCAGAGTTTATTAACAAACTCAAAAAATCTGGGTGCAAATTTTGGAAATCTGCATACTTTCTACCTTCAACAAGGTTATTCAATAAATCACTTATCAGATAAGTATGCATTTAAATTACTTAGATATTTTCATTCTTCAAATTTTAACTTAATTAACAAAATAAATTACTAAGTGGTTGTAATTCATTATTGATTCTTCTCATTACTCTATACGAATTGATAATTATGACTTTTAGTAATTAAATATATTAGTAGAAAACAGATTTTTTGAAAACTTATTCTATCTTCTAATCCTCCGTATATTTGATAGATCTGATTAAGATTAAAAACAATGAACAACTCTTAGTCAATAATTTTCCTATTTCCTATTATTCATTTCTGATTTAACCGTTCATCAAATAGTGTTTTAGCACTTCCATCAACGACTCAATTTGAGAATAGTAGGATACAAATTCTAATTTCTATTACAATTAGTCCAAAGGACAAGTTAGAAAGAATTTCTCAGAGCTATAGTATGATTCATCAATTAAAATGTTTGTTTTTTCAAAGGAGCAACCCAATTTATCTTCCAGATTAGAAATGGAGGCAAGTACTTTAGATAATGCTTTAAATGGATTATCAAATTCGTCTAGTTAAGCAAATAATCTAAATACTTTGGTTAAGTCAATTTTAAAATCAAAAGTAGGAAATTCAAAGAACTTTAATAATTATTCAAAGAATCCTTATGAATTCATTTCAGATTATTAGGATGGATGTAAATTATGAATCATTTTGAAGGTTAGTATGGATAGGTTTGAGATTTTAGTAATAATTTCATAATATTATTAATATGTGTCTTCTTTCAATTTGTTTTTCTTATCAATCAACTAATCATAAAGAACTTTTAATCCAATGTTGAGTATGTTTATGACTTAGGGTCCAACTTTATCAATTTTTTGTAGATACTTAGCTATATTTTATCCGACAGATGTTAATAGTTCCTTGGGCACATTAGATACAGTTAAACTGAATTCAAGAATCTTTCCCATGAATTCTAAGCCACAATTATTAAATTGATCATATCCTTCCTCCTTTAATGAAACATTAAAATAGAATTAGAATATAGCATTAACCATTTTATTGTTAATTTATGCGTAATTTAGACTCTTAATGATTAAATTTAATTATTGTGGTAATTGAGAGTCAATCAATCTACCAATTAGTGTAGGAACCTCATTTGCAAGATGTGAAATCAAAATGAGCGTTTATTGAATAATAAGTGTGTATTTACTGTCTTAAAGTAAACTTTAAAGTTTCTTAATGATCTGAGTTTCTGATACCTTCCTGGCAATAGTAGGTGCATTAGCTCTATTATATCTTCTTCCAAGATCATCTTTGAAATGTTCGTTGATACTCTAAATAGCAAAAGAAATGATAGAATCAGTTTCATCAAAAGTAACATGTTGATATCCTTAATCTGTAGGTTTGATTAGATTGGGTCCAATGGTAATGAGGTTTTCAACCACTTTAATTAGATCGTTAAATATTTTAAGATCTCTTTGTAGATCTTCTTTTCTGGACAACCTTCCTAACATTCCAATAGCTGCTTTCAGGATTTCAGGTGGCAATAGCAATTTATTATCTTAAATAAGTAGTGTTCTAATTAAAGCTTAAGATGATCCTAGTGCAATGTTGCTTCTACTTAACAATAGCACTCCAGATTCTGATGAGAATAATTTGAAAATTCCACAAGCAACTTCTTCATCTCTAGCGCATTGTTCATTTAATAGTTACCCATTATATTTTAATGGGTAACTGGATTCGATTTCAATTTGATGTGGTTGCATTGATAAAACATCGTATATCAATTACAAAAAGGTTTCATCATAATTTTTGGCTGTATTTAATGCTATTTCATTATCCTACTATCTTTCTGCCACTAATATTTCATCCAAAGTTGATAAAATAGTTGTTAGTAATTTGGGCTACACAGTTTTCAATTGAAATAATTTAGCATAGACGCAAAAATATTGTTCGTATTCTATTTTCTCCATAAATACTTAATCTAATAGTAAAGCACAATCGTGAGTTGAACAGAAAGCATCCAATAACATGTTCATTTCAAGTGATAATATATGCATACCTAAAACCAATGTATTGGTTTCAATTTTATTCTTAGCCAAACCTCTATGAATGAGTATTCGATATTTAACTGCCTCTACCAATGGACTCAAAGGCATATCCTGCTATCCTAATGTTTTTTTAGCTAAAAGTATGGCAGAAATGGAATGGTCATCTTAAATGCTAAAGTTCTATTTATATATTTAATAAACAAATTATACTTTAATTGATGTTTAATGCTGCAATTCTTTCTTGTGAATACCATTTTTACATAAATCTGCATATGACTCATCTAAAATAGTTGGCTCTATATATTCAAATTGCAATTATGGAAACTAAATTGGATTGTCTGTAATAGTTAAATAATTTGGATCATCATAATAATAATCGATCAATTCAAGTTTGGTGGATGAAAGAGCATTATTATGATCAAAGAGAAATCTATTCAAGTAAACCAATCTAGGGATGTTATCTCGTAATTATTAATTGCAGATTTCTTTCTATTAAGGATTGTTTAGATTAATCGCTTAATCACAAATTTTGATCAGAATGTTCATAATGGTCTCATAATTTTGCAAACTGTCAGTATGCTCCACTATGCTTAATAGATGTTCTAATGAATTAAACAATTTTCTATGAATACTTTTTTAAATTATTACCTATAACACTCATACTCCATTAAACTATTAATGAGGTTTAACAACTATGAACAATCATGCCTAGAGTTCTATTATACTAGTTGAGCCATATTCTCTATATAGTCATCTAATTTATCCATTAGTAAAGTCAATGATCCCAAAGATAATTTGTGGATAACATTACTCTTGTCATTCACTAATTAAAGCAACTCTTCCAAGAAGTTGGGACTCACTAAGATGGATGCCAAGAGCTAAAATTAGGCGGAAAGAAATTACACGACGTTCGATTTCTTTAGGCTGCTCAAGAGTATTAAGAGGTATTTTCATATTTAAATTAATATAAAGTCAAAGATTTTTTACTATGACTTCAACTATCTATTTTAAATTTTCCAGAGTATCTCCCAGTGATATTTTCTCTATTTATATATATTTTAGTAGACAATCTAAACATTCCTGCCACACTCCCGGCATTTCATTGGAATTAAAGAACAAACTCAAAACAGCAAATATTACTAAATTCATCCACTTCGTTTGTCTGTCACTATCCTCACTTAAAACATTGGGCATGTGGTCATTTAATATTTTAAAATTAATAACCATAATATCCAAGTTGATCTTATTGCATTCCCAATGACCATCTTATAATTAATTCTGCAATAACTTCTACACCATTTCCTAAGACTTCTTCTCATTTCTACTCTTAGTATAATTGGTCATTCCCTTATTCCCCAAATATCCACCAATAATCCCTCCAACAATTCCTCCCACCAAAGGAATCGGAATCAAAGCCTATCCAATCAAAGCCCCTGACACTAATGAAGTGGATATCGCCAAAGTAGAAGTAAAAGTTCTCTATGGAGTGTATATTTCTTAACTAGTCAACAAAGCTTAAGCACCAAACCCTCCTAAATTTAAAAAGTCTTTAAGTAAAGGCATATAAACCACCAATTATTACATACAACCATTATTCACTGCATTTTCACCAAAATTTTGTAAGAATTCTCTAATAATAGGTTTATAAAATACTTGTTTCTGTTAACATTGGCTAAAAATGATCCAAACATTGTATCCATTTCTCCTTCGGCTTGTTTTCTTAATTGGTACTCATCCTCTTAGTATTAATTCAATATCATTAATGCTAATTATTCATGAACCCAATTAGAGTGTATTAATTCCTTCATTGTTTTAAATTTTACTGGGTACACTCCCCAACCTGACTTTCTATTTGAATCTTTTTTAAAGAATCCATCTTTTTCTTATTAATCAATCACAAAAGTCTAAATAGAATTTGATAAAATACTTTCTAAAATGCCCATCTTTTACTTACTAATGGAGCATATATCACTTTGAATTCCTCATTCATTACATAGATGATAAATTTTGATTGAGGATCTTCGCTTTCGAAATATAATCCATTTAAATAATATCTTGCATCCTTTTACATCTTAAAAGATTTAATGCCAGTTGATTGTGTACATTGATCTTCATCATCTTCACTTGATTTTTTTTGTAGTTTTTGTCTACATTAAATTTTGTACACTGCAATTGACTTACTTTTATTTGTGATGCATTATTGAAGACAGTCCAATACTTAGTCAACTGTTTGTCTGCTAATGCTTTCATTTTGCTATGCTGAATTAGAGAGCATTTTATTTTTCAGTATCAATGTGTCATAATTTTCAATTGCATATCTCATGAATTTTTCAACAACATCAGGTTCAGCATAATGGAATAGTGTAAACTCCAAGAGGTCTTGTATCGTTTGATAGCAATTCTAACTTAATTCTTAAAATAATGCTAATATAGTATATTTGTTTAATAAAATTTATGGGATATTCTATATTATTTAATAAGTATTACTCTCTCTCGAAATTTAGAAATAAATGGTTCTATGTACCCTCTGCATTCCTCTAAAATTAAACATATTTAATCACTAACTTCATAAGATAAACTGGTTAATAATTAATGTGATTGTTCTATCAATTGAGAGTATAAACTGCCAGAAACTATGTTCATACTAGTGGCTATATATTTTTTTATCAATTCAACAATTTTCGGTTGAAAAAGTTATAGATTAATCTCCCAAACAGTTATTTACAACTCTTCAGCGTAATCAATGAAATGATTTTCAAGAAAATCCACTATTGGCTTTGAAATATGGCATAATGCAAAAACCAATAAATTAAGATCTTCAATTATTTTTTATTGAATTCTCTTTTCCAGCTGTTGTTGCACTTGTAATTGTTAGCATTCATTCTCTACATACACATTAATCCTCTTTATTAGATTTTTTTAGATAGGCACTCTCTCCTTTTTAATGCTCTAAGTAAACTCCCCAATGGTAAATTGAAAAGCCCCAGTTGTTATTTCGAATATATGCCTTTAGAGAGGTTTCGGAGGAGCCAAAGACTTTCTTTTGGTTGGAGATTCTGCAAAGAGACTTTAGTCTTCAAATTTCAATAAATCGCTTAGCCTAAAAGAAGGTTTCATGATCTCATCTTATAACATTATAAATCACTTATTTAATTATTTCACAATCCAGGATTCCCAATCATTTTCATCAATTCCTTCCTCTTCCGCATCTTCAAAAAGTATGGAAACCAAGATCTATCTGCCTGGATGATAAAGAGGCAATCCCTCCTTCGCTTTCAAAGCTATATCAAAGAAACGCCTTCTAATCTGACTTCTTAACTTTTGTGAATTTGATAGGGCTATCTTGGCCTGTTGGGCTTCATGAGTGTTTTCCGAGTTGTTGCTATCAGTTAAGTCAGGCAATGATTCTTAAAAATCGTACATAGATTGTCTGCCATCCTATTCAACAGAAAATACCCCCAATCCATTTCGATTCATTTTCTATTGTTACAAAATTGAAAAATAATTCAATGTGGCTTTATGATGAGAGAAACGCTCCAAGAACTCCTCCACTAAATTAAAAAAAGTGTTCAATTCCTATAATAATCTAATTATTTAATACTTTCTCTTTTTCTACAGTCGGAATGTTATTCTCAATCTCTAGTTAACTTTGATCAACCTGGTATTATGCTATTATATCATCGTATTCAATTTGAATCTCTTGAACATCTGCCTTGATTTTACTCTTCACCTATTTTGCATTCTCATTCTACAGCATTACTTAATATTTCTTAAGTAAACCTAAAACCTTAGTCTTCAATTGCTGCATTTCTTATAATAAATCAAATTTCGATTCTTCCTCCTATGCTATAATTTAGGTAGGATTTAGTGATTATAGCATTTCATTAAGATCTTGCTCTGGGGCTTGGGGACTCCCTAGGATTTTGCTCCCTCCTACTCTTGAAGATTAAAGTGAAGAGGGTTTAGATGAACTACCTTTCGAATGGAAATGAGGATTATTGAAAACTTTCATTCTCTATAAAAAAAACGAAAAAAAATAAAAGTGAGTTTGAAAGTAAATTTGCAAGTGTTTTATTATAATAAAGTATAAAAAATAAAGAGATTTTTCCATAGATATATAATTTGCAAGAATTATTAAATCTAGTATACCATATTATTGTAGGAGAAAAAATAGTCTAAATTTAGATTAGAACTTATGTCAAAATAGAAATGACAAAACTTACTTAAAAACTTAAGGTAATGTTCAAATTAGATATTTGAAGAAATTTAAGACTACATACTTAGTTTAAATTAAACTTTATCTAAGTTAGAGTGGAGACAACCTAATATATACCGAAAAATATCATATTCCCTTTGAATATATGATATAATATCATATTGTTAAGTATAGACATCTACCTATTTTGACTTTATCTTTTATGACATCTTCCAACTCTTTTTTGATATATTATTTAATGGTTTATGGTTCATCTTCATTTAGGATATATTCTTGGTGTTCAAACACATTATCTGAATAATAATTTTAGAGCTTGCCCTAAACAATAAAATTTTGCTACTAAGGAGTCTTTGATCCAAAATCTCTTTAGACTTCTTTTCTTATTAAATCGATTACATCTGAAGCTACCTCATTCTCATATAAGAATTTAGGTTTCAAACCCAAATAAGTGACTGCTAAATTATTGGCTCCTTCTCTTAAAATTTATGACTTGACATCATTTAATCCTTATTCTGTGATTAACTCAACAACACTGCCTCCCAAACCACAGATTGTACTTTTTAAGCAATTATGTTGATATACTCCGAAAATACCTTGAAATATTGGCAAATTATAATACTATTGTTTGTTGCAACAAATGCATTTAAGTTACCAATAACAATATTTTCTTACAATTTTCCCACTAATTATTTACGTTTATCATCTATGTTAGTCTCAAAGTAAGCTTAGTTTTAGCTTTGCCTTAGAACTGATTCAATATTTGAACTATTGAAATCTTTTTCTTAATTAACAACTGTTTTAATAAAATTTGTCGAAAATTCTAAAAATTCATTAGTTCTGGCTACAAAGTCTGTTTCACAATTTATCTATATTCAAATAAATTTCATGGATACTTCAGCAAGGGCAGCTACTTTATTATTGGTATAAGCGACAATAACTCCTTGTTTAGTTTGATTGCCCGATTTCTTCTCAGCTTAAGCCAATCCTCTTTCTTTGAGATATTGAATGGCCTTCTCAAAATTACCATCTGTTGATTCCAAGGCTTTTTTGCAATCATTAATAGGAGATCCTAACTTATATTTATTCAAAAATACCAGATGCTTCTCTCAATTGCTTAATGAGTGTGATGGATATATTTGTGTATATTTTTCTGAACATAAAAAATAAAATAAATTTTGATCTCAAATATATTATAATTGTAATCTAATTCTTCTTATTTATTCATTATCAAAATAGAAATAGAATCTGATAGTTTGATTAAAATAAAAATAGAATAAGGAAACATCTTATGAATTAATGTATTGGAAGAATTTAGAAACTGTTAAGAGTATCCTTTTCTTCAATTTTAATTTTATCACAATGATTCTAAAAAATTTGAGGATATAGCATAGTTAATTATGCAAACATGGCTTGGTAAATGAAGTACTGATGAAAATTTATTATTGATTGGCTTTTGGATAGGAATATTGATTTAAAAACACTTATAGATTATAATTTCTGAATTAACAAATTCTCCATTTTTATAATATTAAATGAATAAGTTTAGAAGTTATTTGGTTATAGAAATATAAATTACTACTATTATTTGTCTTCTTTTTATAAAGGAAGGATATAAATATTATTCTATCATCATTAAAGAACATGTTACAAATTTGAAATTTTTTTGTATTATCTTTATCCATTAAAATTTTTGATTTGAAGTTTTTTAATAAATTAATTAATGGGAAATAAAGTGCCTAAGGCTTCAATAATGATTGGAGGTGCTGCAATTACAGCAGTAGCACTGTAGTATTTGTGAATATTTTAGAATTCTTAATTAGAGAAGATAAAGAAAAAATAGTAACAAAGGGCAGAATCAATTAGAACAGACTTAAACAGAATAGTTTAACGAAGAGTAGGTTCCATAAGAGCAGACTTCTTAAAATGTTTAATAAGTAATTAATTCAACAGAAAACTAAAATCCTGAAGACTCAAATAGCATCGATAGTATTTCATTCATAAACAGAGTGAATAAAGAATTGAAAGCATTTCAAGAATAATAAGTGCCTCTATCTTTTGATGTCTTAATGAAAATTACTGAGGCAGGGTTCAAATTAGTGGCTAGAAATTACAGTTAAATGTAAAATAAGAATAGAAATGGTAATAATTTGCTAATTTTAGAGAGAAGATAATTATTGAATATTCCTTAATAATACACTTTGAAGGTTTTAGAATTTAATAATGAGCTAGAAATACTCATTAATTAAAATCAATTGGATATTTGCAAAAAGCTTAGAATATCTTCTGAAATATATGAAAATAGCTTTGTTCTATAATTTTAAACATAAGCTGCATTAGAAAGGTTTATAGTGTTTTAATTTTCTATGAGATAATAATTAATGTAATTATTTGTGATTACTCGATTAGAGCATCAATCCCAAGCTAAAAAGAAATCAACGAATCCTAATTAGCCTAAGTAGCAGATATTCAATTGAAAAAGCTTGATGACATTCAATTTTTCAAAAATTATCTTTAATAATTACAAGTAATAAAATTGTATATCGAAGGGTGAGGACCAACAATTTAGCTCAATTATCATCACTGTTTTGTTATCGGATATTGTATATTAGTAACTCGGCTTTGAGGAGGAGGATATTTTGAAAGCAGTTCTTGCATATCCGGTTTTAAAGAATCAACTGAGTTTGATTCAATAAAAGGTTCAGGCTGTAATGGAAATGTGCTTCCAATGATTTAATAATAAAGTATAATAAATTTAAATCCCTATCATTTTACTTAAATTTGATTCTTAACATACAACATTATTGATGCTATCATAATAATTGAAAGATTTTTCCTATTATTTAGTTTATCTGATTTTAAATGAATTAGAGTAGTTCCTACTCGTTAGGAATATCTGTTATTCAAAATATATTTTATGATAAATTAAATTATATATATAATTTATTATAAACCTTAAGATGGATTTCACAGGACAATTCAGACTCGACGAAGACTCGATGGCTATAAATATCTTCCAAACACCTATTAAAGGGTTAATATAAGGTATTTTTAAACTTTTCATCTCCATTCCCTATAATATATTACCTGTTTATGGCGGAATATTTTCGCGCTTATACTACAATTTTGTGACAAAAAAATATATTTTTAGATTCAGAGGCTAATTGCAATTCATAAGCAAACACAAATCAGAAATTATTTGTTTAGACTGAACCTTTCGATAAACCAAAGATTTAATCAGATCTATTCAAAACTTAGAAAAAGTGGAGTCTAAAATATATCAGCAATCGAGTAATGAAGGAATTATCTCATGAAGCTATTGCTTATAGTGATATTTGCTAATAATTGACTGATGAAATGATTTAAGAATTAGATGGAAAATAAAATGATAGACAGAAAGAAATCAAAAATCTTAGAAGAAGAGTTTATGATGCTTTGAATGTCATGATTTCTATTGGAATAGTAGTCAAAGAGAATAAAATGATGAAAAAGAATTCTGAAGCCTAAGTGAATCTAACAAAGTAGAATTTAATAATACGAAAAGTAAGAATTAAATTTAATTTTAACAGCAAAAATTAAAAGAATAATTATAAATAAAAAAAGCATCAGCAACAACATAAATTTAACAGCAAGACACTCTTAAAAAATTAGTAGAATTGAACAAAATGAGGGATGTAGATGAAAGTGAGAAGATCAGATTTCCATTCATTCTTGTCAAAACCTAATTAAATAATGTTGATGAAGTAATTAATTTCCATATCATTAAAATAGGATGAATTAGTCTTAGAGTAAAACAAATAGATGGACTATTTGAAAGTATTTAGTAAAAATCAACTTGATCTCCAGCTAGATCTAACTGTAGTACAAAAACTATTTTAAAGCGAACACATGATTTTGTGAAATATCTAATTTTGTTTTTATAAATCTATATCTAACACTTTATTTCATCAAATTTAATAAGAAATTTTAATAGGAATTATAATGGAATAATTCCACTTACACAAAAAATGATTTGGTATATTGATCGAGTTATTAACTTCTGTTTATTAATTTCAATATTGTTTAATTCTTAATTTAATCTTTTGGATTGTAATTTCAGAATAATGAAATAGGTTACTATGTTATGAATATAAAGAAATGTACTTTCATTTTTTCGTAAATGTAAAGACAAAAATATATATTTAGATTTTTCTTAACTTTTTGTTAATTTGGTTTTCCAGAATCTTTCAATGAATCGAAAGTCTATAACAATGCTATTTAAATAATAATGTATTAAGATTGCATATTCGTTGTTCTAAGAAGGAATAAAATTAATATATTTTGATTATATTTTTTCTATATTTAATTAATAATTAAGAAGAAATGGATTTTATATTTAAAAAATTTTTGAAAAGTTAATAGTTAAATTATATATATAAAATGTCACAAATTTTGTTTTTTGGACCGGTCTCCTCCCAATATTTTGCTATTACACACAACTGCAATTGAACACCAAAAACACTATAAAAGGTGTTAAATTCAACATTTTTTTCAATTATTTTTAAATTGATATACTTAAATTGTATGACTTCCATATAATAAAATTCTCAAGTAGAGGGACCTTAGGAATAAATGAAGAATAATACTCCAACATCACCAATAGACTCCGATTCCTCCGATTCTTCGTATGATTTCGTGAAGGATGTGAATTAAAAGTCCTATCTGAAAAGAACTATTGAAGAAGATTAGGAACTTCTCTCAAAATATAAAGGTAAAACTCATATATAAAATGAAATAGGCAAGCACGGGCTAAAGTATTAAAAAATATCAAATGAGTAACGATAACAACTAATCAAATAGGTAACAACTACAGGCTGTATGATAAAACATGCTGCCCGAGATTTGAATATTAATTTCTCGACTGCTAAGGCTATCATGCAAATTTTTAGAAGGGAAGGTAGAATGTCCAAAAAAAGGAAAAGGTGTACTGCTTAGTCAGAATTTAAAAACCCCGAGATATTAATTTAAGATGTTAAGGAAGGTCTAAAAAGTCAATTTGGATTGATGAAAGAGGAATAATGCTAGTAGAGACTAAATAATGTGCAGGACAATTTGGATACAATTCATTTTCAATAAATGGAGGAGAAAAATAGAAATTAAGCTATTTTTATATAATAATTAAAAACATAGGTTAGAAACTTAAATAAATTTTAGAATTTCTATTTATAAGGGAGAGCAAATTAATTATAACAGGAGATATAATAATTGAATTAAAATTATTCTTATTTGCAAATTCAGTATAATCAATAGCAATAAATGGTATAAAAAGTCCACTAATTTATATTAGGTCAGATATGCAATGCCCCAATATTAACAGTAGTTTCAATTTTGATTATATTCAATATTGCAATAAGACAGTTATTTAATTTGGCATTAAAGATAATAATTATATCTGGTCCTTTTTTTTTTTGAAATTTTACACTTTAATATTCCAATAATTATAATGATACTAATTAATAAAATAATTTCTGTAATGTTTCTGTTTATTAAATTAATAAAAAAAAATGGATTTTGAAGAGGAGCACGCTGGAGGAGACGACGTTGAAGAAATCTAAGATGGGGAAGATATATTCGGAGAAGATGCCGACATTTCAGTACATGATTCAGGAAGCAAGAAAGATGCAGTCATATTCTTGGTAGATTGCAAAAAGGCATTATTTGACATGGATCAGGATGGACAAGGCACAGTCTTTTCTAAGATATTATCTGCCTTTTCTAGCTTTATGAAGGCTAAAATCATATCAAGTCCAGATGATCGTATTGGCATGATATTTTATAATACAGTAATTGATATCTATAAAATTAGAAATCTACTAATAATCAATTAAAATTCAATAACATTACAGAAATCTATAAATTAGATGGACCATCAGCAGATATTATCAAAAATTGTTTAAAAATAGAGCAAAATTTTGAGAAGGATTATCAATTAGGCAATAATGCACATTTTCATGAATGTTTATGGCTCTGCAATCATGAATTCAAAGAATTGTAAACATATTATCAATATTTATTAGAGATAAGAACAAATTCAATATGCGTATATTTTTATTCACTCCAGATGATTTACCATATTTTAAAGATGTGAATGCCAGATCATCAGCTTTGAAATATGCCAAGTAATTGAAGGATGCAGATGTTTAGATTGAATTGTTTCCATTGCCCAGTTAAAATGAATTCAAAATTGCTAGATTTTATGGTGAGATTATAACTGTTGATTTGGATGAAGTTAACAATGCTGTACTTGATACTTCAACTAAAATTATGGATTTGCATTAAAGAATTAAATAAAAGGAATTTAAGAAAAGAGCCTTGAATAGACTTATTATGGATATAGATGATATTAAAATTGGATTAAAAATATATTGTTTAGTAAATAAGGCTAAAAAACCTTATGGCAAACCCTTAGATAGGAGATACAACTAATAACTGAAAAAGAAAGCATAATTCATTGATGAAGAAACAGGACAAGCACTCTTCCCTCAATAAATATCTACTCATTTGATTTTGGGAAATGAGAAAATAGCTATCCCAAAGGAATATATGGCTAAAATAAAAGGATTTGAAAAACCTGGGATGACTCTAATAGGTTTCAAATCTTCAAGTGCATTGAAGGATTATCATAATTACAGAGCCTCCTATTTTTTATATCCAGATGATGAACATGTTAATGGATCTTCTTAATTTTTTGATGCATTGATTCAATAAATGATATTGAAAGAGAGAATAGGAATTGTTAGATTAGTCCCTAAGTAAGGATCTTAGGTTAGATTTTGTGCTCTGCTTCCTTAAGCTGAATAATATGATGAAAATCATTTTTAGACACCTCCAGGATTGCATTTGATATTTTTACCATATGCTGATGATATTAGAGGATTATCTTCAGTCAAATAGGAAGGAGCCGAGATCTCAAGATAGACATTAAATGCAGCTAAGATTTTGGTAAATGCATTAACAATTCAAGATTTTGATTGTTCGAACTTCGAAGATCCTTCAATATAGAAGTAATAATAGATTATCTATATAGATTTTACACATATTTGTAAGGTTTAGCATTGTAGGAGCAGAACATTGAAGAACCTGAGGATTTACTTTAACCAGACTTCAAAGGAATGGAAAAATATAGAGATATTGTTAATTTGTTTATGAGTAATGTAAGTCTGGAATGTTCTAACATGCCATCAAGATCTAAAGGATAAGGAGGTGGGAGAGGCCGAGGTAGAGGTAGAGGCAGGGGCAAGTAGGAAGAGAGTGATAGTGATGATTGCCATAAAGTAAAGGGGAGAGGCAGGGGATCCACTTCAAAACAAAAGGTCGAAGAGGAAGAAGATAGTTTGGAAGGAGAGGAAATCTATTAACCAATAAAAAAGAGAGGAAGAGGACGTTGATTATTAACTCATATAGATTATTTTTAATACCAAAATTTAATATTGTATGGAGTTTGCATTAAAAAATTTTATGAATCTGTTGACAATTTATTTGATACATTATTGATACCTATCTTGTTTATTAAAGATTTGGATTTAATATTTCAAATCGAATTTTCAAAAATAAAATAATTAGCAATTACTTTTTACTATAAATTTGTACGAATGGGCAATTGTAATGTGTTGGATAAAAAAGAAGAATTTTAAGAAGCAAGTATTTTTAATGTCTTTAATTAGTGTAATCAATAAGAAATTATGAAATCTTAGATATACTTGGTAAAGGAGGATTTGGAAAAGTCATAAGAGTAAGGCGAAAAAAGAATAATCAACTTTATGCTATGAAAATAATGTCAAAAGCAAAGTAATTTCCGTCATGATTTAGAATCGTTGAGAAAAAATGCGTATCATCAGTATTAAATGAAAAGAATTTGTTAAAGTAATTGCATCATCCTTTTATTGTGAATATGCATTCCGCATTTTAAGATAGGGAAAATTTATATTTAGTCCTTGATCTCCTTAGTGGAGGCGATTTGAGATATCATCTATTTAAAAATAAAAGGTTTTCAGAAGAAGAAGCATGTAAAATTTATAGTTATTCTTTTAGAGTTTTTTGCTGCTTGTATAATTGTAAGTCTAGAATATCTCCATCAAAATGGGATTCTTCATAGGGATCTCAAGCCTGAAAACTTGGTTTTTGATGAACAGGGATATCTTCGGTTAACAGATATGGGAATTGCAAGAGTTTGGAGACCAGATAATGCTTCAGATACAAGTGGAACTCCAGGGTATATGGCACCAGAAGTGATGTGCAAATTAAAACATGGTATTGCGGTTGATTTTTTCGCTTTGGGTGTTATTCTTTATGAATGTATGCTTGGAAAAAGGCCTTATGTTGGGAAAACTAGACAAGAGATTAGGGATTAAATCCTATCCAAACAAATACAAATCAAAAGATCATAATTACCTGTTGCTTGGTCAATCGAGGCTGGAGATTTTATAAATTAAGTAAATTTTTAATTGCTCATATTAGCTCATCTAAAGAAAACCTGAAAATAGACTAGGAACAGACAATCCTTCAGATGTTAAGAACCATCCATGGTTTAGTGCTTTTGATTGGGAAATGTTGCTTAAGAAAAAGTATAATCCACCCTATTACCCAAAAAAGTTCAAAGGGTATGAAGGATCACTAGAGGATACAATGGAGGATGAAAATGACAAGAAATTCATATTACTCAGAAATAACACTCTATGTGGTATTATAGTTCATATACTTAAGAATAATTCAACGAGTATCGTTATAATCCTGAAGATTGTATCAAGAAGTGATATCTTAAACGATTCTCTCTTTAACTAAATTATATTAAATAAATTAATAAGGATGTCTTCTGCTTATATTACTATTCTTTCCTCAAATGGAATTGAATTTATAGTTGCTAAAGAAATAGCTGGTTTAAGCGAGATTTTTAGAAAGTAGATATCGAATGCAGATATGAGAGGAGAATCTCAGATTCTTTCAGACTTCACAGCAGACATCCTTGAAATAATCCTCTAATACCTACACTACAAAAATAGATGGCAATTAGAATCCCCAATAAATTTGCCAAAATTTTAAATTGCCAAAGAAAAAGCCTTATCGGTTTTATAAGCTGCAATTGCATTATAAATATGAAATAATTATATAATCTTATATATTAATTATGAATTGATACATTTCAATCGATTTCAAAAAAAGAATTGTCAAAGTCAATACTCTGATTTTCATTTTCAAATTGATTGTTTGTATTTTCTAAATTGATTAGTTTTTCCTTCAATTTGATTCCCTTTTATTTTTTTGCTTTTAATTCTTACTTCATTTATTAGTCTAACTATTTTTCTAATAATTCCTTGTTTGTGTTATTAGTCTTTTTTAAACTAAATTATGTATTTTCACATTCTTTGAGCAACTATTGATTTTAAACTATTAATTTCTTATATTTCTCTATCTAAATTTAATTTTTCTTCTAGACCATAATTATTTATTTCTTAAGCCTTTCTTCATTTTTAACAAACTCGTCATTTTAGTTTACCAAACTAAAATATTTTGATTTTCTACTGGAAAGTAGATTCGAAATTTAATGAACTAAATTATTTTGATTTTTTTTCAATTCTTTTCTTTCAGCTTTATTAAGATAAATAAGATTATTTTCTGCATATTCAATTTATTCCATAATTGGTAGTCCAAGTATTTCTTAAGTAAGAGTAGATATACTGATCTTTTGTTATTATAAATGTATTAGTTTCTCATTTAATTAATTTTCTGTATCATCTTTCTCGATTTTAAATATCTCTTATTGAAGTTCATAAATAGTAAAATTCAAATTATTAATTCTTCTTTCCTGTGACTTTTCAAAATTTTCTTATTCATTATTAGTTGTTTAACATATTTACTTTTTTTTCTCTATTTATTATCTATTCACAAATTTTCTATTCTCAGAATAGGTATTTGCATCAGGATAGTTGCATAAATTTTGAAAATTGTTTGCTGTCTCCCTATCATTTTATTCAAGTTTTTAAATGAAATCATCTTTTTATTTTAATTGATCATCATTATCCTTAGCAATAATTAGAATGTTATCTGCACTCTAATGTTAATTTGAAAGGATTACCTTAATAATATCGAAATCCAATTAGTTTGAAATTGTAGTTTTATTTTTTTCCTCATCAATAAAATGTAAAGTGAAGCTATTTTTATATGCAAATTTGAAAGACTGTTGAATTTACTTTCTTAAATCTTTATATTTTGTAATATTTTCCAAGAGTTTTTTCGTATTCTTTATATTTGACTAAAAATATTCATTATCTTTTAATGTTATTACAATATTTCACTTATATATATATAAAACTTTATTTCAATTCATAAATTTTGATATCTGCTTTTTGGAATTGGATATGTAAAGAATTAAATTAGGTTTTTCTTCATCAAATTAAATTGAATTTGATCTTCACCAAATTGAAACTACTTTTTCTCTCTTCTAAAATCTTCTTCTGAGTGAATCTACTTGGTTGTTTTAAACTAGATAAGTGTTAAAAATTACTTTTGAAGCATTACTACAATTAATTGATGTCATGGGAAGCAACATACAGGATATCATTAACATAAATATGGAAATAAATAGAGTAAAGTATGGGTTCTCATAATAATGATACTTCTAGTATGTTTCTCTATTTTGAAAAATGGAAAAAGTGTAAACCAGAGGCCCAAATATCATTACTATTAATGCAAAGATATTTAATATAGTATGATGCTGCCAAAAGCCACATATGCAATAAAATAAATAAAAGATAAGGACAGATGTTCCAAGAGTATCAAACATCTCAAACCATAGTGCTGCTGCTAAAGAAAAAGAATTTATAACTTTTTTGTTTTAAAATGATAAATACAAAGTATAATCCCAACTAAGAATGCCAAAAGAGGAGCAGTAAAAGCAGCTATCAAGAAGTATACAAAATATCTCCAATTTCTAATGCCAATGCATGTGCCAACCCAATAACAATGATGATCGAATCCATCGACACAATGATTACATTCTCGACCTTTTTATTTATTTATTATATTTACAATGAGATGCTTTAGGTGGTCTCTTAATGTTACATGTTGAGCAATGTCTCTCTCTATAAATTTTAGGTATATCATCTTGTTATGTATTATTTTCAATTTAAATTGCCTCCTCATTACTTTCTGTTAAACTGCTTTCAGGCTGTTAATTATCACTAATTTGTCTCTTTAATAGCACTCCTGGCTCTATAAACTTAATTATAATCAGAAACCTGTAATTGCTGTCATTATCAAAGTAGTGATAGGTGTGAAACCATATACAACACAAATTGTATTTAAAATAATATAGCCATTTTAAATAGCAAGGGGAAATACAAATGCTATGTAGAGCAACATAGCAAAAATAATCAATAGAATTGTTGCAATCAAATTTAATGTATTTTTCTTAAGTTAACTTGAGTTTTACCTTGACACCAAAAAAAATTCCATAAACTCTGTTAAATGCATGAAATGACTCCTGCATATTTGTAAACTATTCGTCTGATAGTTTAAGATTATCCATATTTCTCAATAGATAATTTATTTTATAGTATTTTAATTAATTTTTGAGGAACGGAACATTTGGCTAATTTATTAAAAAGCAGTATTTGATCCTCTAATCTTTTTAGTATATAACTTTGGAGTGAAAAAAAATATTCCTAGATTTCATGTAATAATCATAATCCTAATTAGGCATTCATCTGATGATAACAGCCAAATTGTATTTTCTCAGTCTTTATCCATCATAAATCAAATTTGATATATATCGGGATAATCCACATCAATATTAATATATACAACAATTGATTGGAATTTAGAGGATGTATATCTCAGTAATAATAAAGACACAAAATAAAAATTATGTCTATCTGAGGTAATCTTGTATATTTATTCATAGCACCTTCAAAGAAATAAGTCTTTGTATTTACAAATTTTTAGTATTAACATCTTTGATTTATAATTGATTACTAATAAAATTTCTGGATATTAATATATTTTATTTTCAAATATGCAAAATCCGATATATTTATCTCATTCTTATATGAAATTAGAGGATTTTTTGTTCATTTACAGACTTTTGATTTGAAGAAAGATCTTCACTAATTAAATTAAACTTAGATCTTTACTAATTCAGTCAGAATTATCACATCCATTATTGATCTAGACTATTGAAGATCATCATATAAGACATTTATATAAGATTAATATATATAAGTATATTTACATACATCTATCCTCAATTTGAAGTATTAGAATATAAAAAAATTTAATAATATAAATAAATTTTAGTAAACCATTTAATAGAATGAGTCAAGAAAATGTTGATGGGTCTATAGATTTTGTTATAAGAAGTAGTAAAGAAGAAGACAAAGAAAATGATTTTAACGTGAAATATCGATAGCATTAAAAAAAAGGAAATGGTTTATTCTATAAATCTTTTGTTTAAAACTTGAGTCTTCTAAAAAGTTAAAAATAATTAGCATCATATCCATAATTTGTATTCATAGATAAATTCACAACATTAAGGAAACCATAAATTAAAAATAAATCATGGAATCAATGGGATACTTACCTAGGGATCATTAATTTAGTATGTTTGCTAATATTTTATTTTTCATTGGTCTTTTCAAAGGAATATCCAAACGAAGAACTTTATGATCAATTTATTTTCAATTAAAATCAAGGAATTATAGAGGACATTATTGTTTTGAATTCTAGTATTTTATGCCCATCGGAGGTAATATAAATTATATGATTTTAGTATGAATCTCTTTTCAATTATAATTGGCCTGGCACTTCGGTAGGTTGCGATTGTACTTAAAAATTATCCCCATCAGAAATATCGAGTTAAGCAGTGTTTACAGAAAATTTTAAAAAGGAAAGGTAATGTGAGTAATCAGAATTGCAAAGAGGATGCAAGACAATGTTTGAAATTAAAGAGAAGAGCTTAATATTACTAAACGATAACAATTATTCAAAACGTAAATGATGAAATATAGTTAGCATTCCTACTATGTGCCAAAAGAAATTAGAATGTATCATTAAGATATAATTTTACTTATTGTCAATTAGAAAATAAGACTATATGCGGATCTGGAGAATAAACCTATTGTCTTCCCCCTGAAGTGGAATGTCCAATTACAGAAATCGGATTTAATACTAACTTTGATAACTAGAATTCGAAGTTTAAAGATAACCCAAAACTTGGGAAAAGTTTTAATGTGTCCAATCGTCTTCAATTTTATTATACCAAGAACTAAACCTTCATGCCTATTTCCTAAATTTAAATCACAGAGACTGAAGCAGTTTGTAAACTAAATTCGCAAAATAATATATCTCCTAATCGATCTGATTATTACCTTATGAAGATTCAAAGGAAGAATTGTTAAGAGAACGACACTTAATTTAAAATTGTTAGTCGCATTAATGAGGACCAATTCTATCTAGCCAATAATTTATTATACTTAAATCGCTCATTGTCTTATTTTAAGACAAATAGTTCTATCATTTGGTCCTTGCAAACTAAATCTTACACTTAAATTAAAGACAGTTGTTAATTTGGATCGGAAGATAAGATTTCTCAATATGAATAGTTTATAAGAAAGATAGATCTTGAGGACTATCGTACTCTAAGATAAGTTAATTCTTTCCTAATCATACCAATTTTATTGTTGATTCTAAAATTCTTTCATCTAGAAATTGAAGACATTGATCTCAATAAGCTCAAGACAATCAAAAGATCTAAAATTATTGTACTTTTAACTTTAAGATTTGTTAAATTATCAATTCACCTTTCAATATCAGCATTGGTTTTAAATTATGATTTAAAATTAAGTCAATATATAGAACATTTTACTGACTTTATTAACTCATAGTGTATAGTTACTGAATTAGCTTCTAACATCTACGATTTTGAATAGCTTTCAGATTCAGTTTTGTTTAAAGTTAGTGAAGTATTGCTCGCAATTATTGTATAATTTTTTTTTTGTTTATACTTTCTTTTGTAAATTTGTAAGATTTTACCTATAAGAAGATTAAATACCCAGAGATAGATATCCGAACATGAATTTAAATAACAAAATTAATAAAACAATTAATAAAACAACTAATAAAACGATTAATCAAACAATTAATAACGTAGAATAGCAAATCGATTTTATAAACCTACATAGGTTATTCCAGATAGAGAATCGGAGGATTCCGAAGACGCACATATTAGGGAAGATCAAAACAATAATTAATTTTAAGAGATGGGCTAATAAAAATGATGAATGAATCCCAAATTAAACCAATATTGTATTATGGCTTAATATTTCAGTTTATTTGAATGTATTAGATTTCTATCATTTGATTATGCTTTAAACTCTGTTTTATTCTTCAAATTTCTCAATTGTTTCATAAATTTGATATTATTAATCAAATAACATCTTCATTTAAGAATATGCAATCAAATTTCATATTTTTCTACTTATTTTTCTTCAAACTGTAAAGAGTTTACAAATTCAAAGGTGAGAAATACTTCTTTATGAGAGATATTAAATAAATTTTAAAAATTTATAATTTAATGACATTTAATAGAACTTAGAAAGGCATTTTTTATATCCTATAATTTTTAAAATTTGTTAATTCTAGATTTAGACAGTACTAATAATAAAATTTCTAAAAGTCCACTATTCTTATTTAAATTAACAAGGGATTACTCTCCATTTAGTAAATTAATAGTTTGTAATTAATAAAGGCAAGCAATAATATTTTGAAAGATTCCTCACAAGACAAAAATAACAGATTTATTTATTTTATGAAATGCATATAAACTCAAAATGACATAACAATTTATTTAACATTATTTGATTTGATTTCTTTTAATAGTTTCTCCAATTGGGTTCCGTTAGTTTATTTAAATGCAATCAATATTTAGAGTTAAATATTTTCTAAACTTGATTGAATTACGACATCTATTGATATTAAAATTAATAAACCTTGTTCTTAATCGATCATTTTTGTCAAAATGGTGTTTATTTCCTTAACGCTCTCGTAGGTGCAATCTTGTACTTGATCTAATTTTGTCTATTTTCTGAAAACATCGTTTATTGCGATGAGGACATTATAAATTTTAAACACCTTTATATTAGAGATAAATTTACTTCTGGTTTCTATTTAATTAAGTCGTTTAACCAATTGACAACTTATAAATTACTGATAACTTCTAGATTCAAAAACTCCTTTAAGTATACTTTTAGATGAAAAACTGAATGATTCCACATTCTAAAAATTGTATTGAGCATGATTTCACCTAATTTTTCAGGTTTAATTATGTTTGGCTACAACAAAAATGAGAGATATCTTTTGCTTAAAACATTCAAATGAGTAATGGATTTGGATATACATTAGAATAGACATTCTATAAAGGTTTGAATGACAGCATCTGGATTTGGATTGGTGATCTACTTTAATTATTCAAGCATATCAACTCCATTCAATTTTTGTTATAGATATGAATTAATCTTCTCTGCCAAACTATGTTATTCAATATCTAAAGGTTTAGTGATATCCGGTAATTAATTATACCAATCGATAATATTCTTGGGTACCAAATCTGTAATCTTCTCAACACTAACCAATAGAAATAGTTTTCTAAATATCATAATAACTAGGTAATTATTGAAGCTATCTGTTTCATCAGGGTTGTACTTTCCGAAATACTTATCCCAATTCAATTTAAAATTGGAATTGCAAAAATAATGTGATAAGCAATCACTTAGTTGTTCTACAATCAAGATATTATTTTGTGGGATTTAGTCAATGAATTGTTCTATAGTTTCATTCCATTCCTTTATGCTATCTGAATTTCTCTAGCTTAAATGAGTTAGTAGTCCACTGTAGAAGGCGGAAGATAATTAGTCTTTTCTTGGAACTACTTCGATAGCCATATTTAACAAGGTGAAAATCAAGGTTTATCTGAATTGAACTCTAATATGGATGATATTAAATACTCTTAAGTTGGTGACATTTTAATGCAATTCTAGTACAATTAAAATTGGAATACGATTTACTATCTATTGGTTTTGAATAGATCAATAGTTTCATAGATCCATTATCTGGTGATTTCTATTTGAACATCAGTTTTATTGCTGTTTTGTGATCTAATTTCATCATTGAGAACCAAAATCTATTGAGGTCTCCAGATTTAGGTTCTTTTTACTATAGGGATCTTGAAACCTCTTCTCAATTGTCTGACTTAAGTCATTTCATCAGGAAACAACAAATAAGGTCTTGGATATGAGGTTTTCAAGAATTGTTAAAATATTTAGGTGTGGGCATCCTTCTCTTAATTGTTTAAAAAGTTGCGTATGGATTGCCACAGATGAAATAATCTATCTTCAGTTTTTCTCTTGGTCATTAAGACTTCAACATTCTATATGATATTTTTGAATTCAATCTAATTCTTCTCCATCGCCTTAATCATAGCATGAGGGAGTGTTGTTAACAATATCTGGAGATAGAATGGAGATTGCTCATTCTCAGCCCCTCCTTCCAAATCATACAAGCATTCTACAAAACTCACAGTATTAAGCAAACCAACGTTCATCAATTCACTGAGAAATTTGAGGATAGTTTATCCCAATATAGGTGTTTCTTCTTAGGCAATTTAGGGAAGATGTTCAAGTAGTCCAAGTATGATCTAGTCTGTCAAGGATTGTGTGGTCTAATTAAAATATTGACTTCATTGACAATTACCTATTTAGTTGATAACAATGCCAATATCGTAGCATATATTCCAGCTTTGAGTGGCAACAATTTTGCACATTAAATGAATGATTAAATCATCGCATCTTTCACTTCTTATTTGTTTTATTAATAATATTCCCCTAAAACATCAACTATTTTTTAGAGATCCTTTTTGAATGTATCTGCACCATCATCACCTGCTTTGCATATCTAACATTATTCAATCTAATTACCAATTATCTTATTCTATTTATTTCTGGTGGTATTTGATGTGATATTTGTAGCATTTTAATATAAATTAATATTTAATTAAAATCAATTCTTCATAACTTTCATAATTAAATAAAACCATTCCAAATTTCTCTATCATTCACTCTCTTCATTAAATCCTTCTCACTCAATTAATCATTAAATCCCACGAATATTTGTCCCATGTACAATTCACTATTATTTTTTATTTTCCAAATCTTTAAAATCAATGGATCATTCTAATATCCTTCATATTATTGTTCATTCATAGGCACTTTAAAACTGAGTTACTAGAATTATTCAAATGTCACAGAATCTAAATTAATATCAATCAAATTACCTGTTCTATGTAATAATTGATCTTTTAAATGTGCTTCCACACAATACAAACATTCTGTCTTCTAATCTTTGTTTTATAACTATTTAAACTCTATATAATATGTATACTTCTTTGTTAAATACGACTAATTTGAATGCGATTGGCACCTCTGTAAATATTGGTCCACAATCCTTTATTAACTTATTCGAAGTAGTCTTAGATTTGTTTTGATTTCTCAATCTACTAGCATACATCATATTTTATTCGTGTTTAGCATAAGATTTATCGAATTCCTTTTTCTTTATCACAGATGGCAAGTGCAAGATCCTCTTCCCCAATCTTATATTCTCTAACCCTATCTCATATGATTATTATTTTTGAGCTGTTGCAATTAAGGACTTCACTGTCTTTGATTCATGCACTTTTCTAGTTTTAGAATCTGCTGTAATCAGTTTTTTTGCTAATACATTATCCGATTAATATCTAAACAATTGAGTTTACTGTTCCATAAATTTACGAGTCCTCTCCTTCTATTAACGATAATATTTTATCTAAAAAGTTATATTTTACTAAAGTACTCATACTTTGTTCATTTATTCATGCTCACTCTGACTCACTTAAAGATTAGCAGTAGTATTTTATATCTTCGAAACATGTTTGATATATTATTACTCAACCAAATGCTCCTAATATGCATTCTTTAAAATATAAGTAGGAGATTTCATAATATTATTTATATCATTTATAATCAATATAACAGATTTATATATATATTTTGAATACGTTAAATATGTTAACATCATCCAAGCTATTCAGCAGTCAATCGTTATTAGAATGTATCAAATTGCAATTAATATTTAGAATGTCTTATGGATATTTCTTCCAAAATTTTACTTGACTCTACTATTGAATCAAATAGGGATTCAAAAAACATCATCTTCAGCAGAATAAAGGAGATCACTCTTGAAACCTTTTCCAAATAATTTACTGATGAGATCCATCATTTGTAGGCAGAACTTAGATCTGAATAAGCTCTGAATGATTAAATAAGGAGAGAATTTTTAGAAAGAGAATAAAGGATATTATAAGAATGCGATTCTAAATAAAGAGAATTTCAATTATAGTAGATTAGAGAAATCTAAAATCTCTAAGATTTGCTAGAAGCTCAGGAATCCTAATTTTAAGTATTCATTTTTTCAATCAAATTAGAAATATCAATTATAAAATGAGAAACTCAATAAATAAATCAAAGAGATGTAAAACAGGGATATGTAACTACAAAATGAGAATATGAAGAATAAAAGAAAACCTTTAACTGAGTGATCAACGAAATAAATCATTGAGTTCGGATATAAATGAGTACAGGTAAAAAAATGAAGCACTGAATTAATTAAATCAGCAATTAGACAGATAAAATAGAGATTTTAAGTTGGATTTTGAGAAGGTTCTAAAAGAGCTATCCGATTTGAAAAAAAAATCTTAATAATAGATTGATCTTAATGTTGAACTAGATTAAGAGATTGAGTCATTAAAGAATGATAATGAAAGACTTAAAAGTAAAAAATTACAAGATTAATAAAAGTCTAAGGAATTATTGGATCAATTGAAAGAGAAGAGCAATAATAAAATTAATGACTTAAAAAATAAATTAAATTAAGCTTAAAATATCCAATTATATTAGTAGCAATAATTAGAAGAATTTTAGGAATAGATTAAGGAATCTGAAAATTAATTAAATTAATTACAAATAAATCATAAATAATCGACAAAATCACTGGAACATTAGTATAAAAACTAATTCCAAGAAATAGAAATTCAATTTATTAAAGAAAGGTAAATCATAGAAGATAATCTAACAATTCAATTTGAATAAATTCTTTTATCTAAAGAAAAATTGATATAAGAACAAAACAGAGAACTCAAGTAAATAAAAGAAAGGCTCTATTAATATAGTTTAGAATTTGATGGTTTACAAAGACAATGTCAGCATTCATAATAATAAGTTATATCATTGTAAAGTGAGATATAATAATTAAATGTACATTCAGAAGAAGTTCAAAAATAAAATAGGGAATTAGATTTAGAATTATCAAAAAAGGACTTAAAATTAAAAAATTTACAATTAGAATTGGATGATAATAAAATTGCCTCAGAATAAGCATTAAATAATTTAAGGGCGAATTAAAACTAATTAAATGAAATTGAGAAGGAAAAGCAGCAATATCAAAAATTATTTCAATCAATTTCTGATGGGTTGGAAATAGAAATTCCTGGCAGTTTTTCATATTAAAAATTAGGCTAAAAAGTTGAATTGAAATTAAAGCAATTAAGGGATGAATAATCACAAAAACAAGAAGAATTAAAGAAAATTAAAGAGTAATATAATTTAGAGATTTAAGAAAAAGAATCAAAAATGAAGTTATTATAAGATTACTGTAATGATGAAAATAATAAGATATAAAAACTACTTCAAGAATAGTAGTTGGAGAACAGAAAATAGAAGAATGAATTCAAGTAAAAGTTAGATGAATAAGCTAAAATTATCATTGAATTGTAAAAGGATCAAATCGAGAGTAATAACTAATAAGAGCTATTATAAATATAAAATTAAGAATTAGCTTAGGATCTTGAGAAAATAAATGAAGAGTTAATAGCTGCAAAATAAGACATTAATGAGTTACTGAATAGAGAAAAATTTAATTCTGACGATTCAAAATAAATAATAAATTAAATCTTAAATGAGAAGAGCTAAATATAGTTATAATTAGAAGAAGCGCTCTTTAAGCAAAAAACATTTAAATAAAGAATTTATCGGGTTTTAAATAATTAAAGAGAATTAATGAATAAATAGATTTAGGATATTAAAAATATGTGTATAAACAAGTTAAAGTAAGTAGAAAGTGAATGCAAAATAATATTACAAAGCCTATTTAAATAGTAATTAATGATAACAGAGAATAAAATATAATTGATAGAAGCAGAGAAGGAATATGAAATTGAATCAATGAATTAAGATATCGAATTAAAAATTGAAAACCTTAAAAAATAATTTAAATAATCTGAATTAATATTATAGGAGGAAAGCCTATTAAAATTGAAATAAAAACAATAATAAATTGAGTCACTTGTTATGTCAAAAACTAATGATATTGAGTTACAAAATCAAATTTAATTGTTAACTAGGGAAAATGAAGAATTATAGAAATAGTTATTACTTTAAGAATAATTGTAAATCGAATAAAAGTAAAATTATGAATTAGAATTATATAATTTAAACAAACTAATTAAAGAATAATAAGAAGAATTGTATATATTCATATTAATTTAGAATATCTTAATAATAGTTTTCAGAATAAACTATGAATAGAGAAAGGCAATACTTTGAATAACGATATCTGGATCTTAAATCAAGACAGGATAAAAAAATGGAATAAATTCAATCAGATTATCAACTTCAAATTAACCAATTGGAGAATATAATTTAGTTGCCCTAAAAATAGGTATCACCAAGTAGAGTAACTCAGAAATCTCCATTTCAAAAATAATAAATCTTAGCAAGTATCAGAAATATATATCATTTAGTCAATAAACAATTTCACAGTAGTAGTACAATCATCAGTACTGGAATTAAGACTCCAAATAAGTAGATAAAATAAATTGATAATACAGAGAAAACGATAGAGGATTTGAGATCAGAAATATAGTAGTAGAAGGAGAAATTGAGTAAAATGAAATTGTCATTTACAGAAAGTTAGAAAAAACCTTATAGGAGAGTATGATTCTCTATTACTTTTTATTTATTTAATACTAGCAGCAAAAGATATAATTTATTATTGTATAAATACATATTGAAACAGATTCTTGAAACTTCAAGAAATATATTCATATAATAGTTCAGTTATTGTATCATTAGGAATTAATCTTCTAAATTTATTTTTTTTTTTGATCTTCGTTGATTATGATGAACTATCTATATTATTGATGTAATTAGGCAGAACCAAGATTGTTTCAGAATTCTTTTTCTTTTTAATTTATTTTGTGATGTTAGTTTTTATCTTTTTTTTAGATGTTTTTGATGTAAGTATTTCTTCTGTTTCTGAAGACACTTTGAAGTTATTTATAAAATCTAGAGGGATTTCTTAAATTAACTTCCTTTTTTGGCTAACTAATTTTTCAGAAAGAGATTAATTATAAAGCAAATCTAAATTTCCATTTATTTCTAATAAGTTTCTCTTCAATTGATAAATAATATCGGTTCTCTAACATCTGATACAGAAA